GGCAGGTAACTGTGTAAGCCAGTCAAAGCAAAAATAACAATTTTGTGGTATTTTAAAGAGTAACAAATTCTTTTCTCCTGCATTATAAAGGATATGGCATTGGAATTTAAACCTTCCTCTACTGCTACAGCCTTGGGAAAAACCTTTCCTGTATAGATAATATTTGCATTGGGGGGAAAATTCATATCATATGACTTCTATGTCTTTTAAAATTTCCATAAACAACAAAGCAAAATGAATATGGGCATGCAAAAACTAGCATACACAGTATAATTATTATAATAACAACAACTATTATTATCATCAATAACAATTAACATGTCAGCTAGTGCATCCTTTTAAAATGTGTATTATCCTAAAAAAATTTAAATGTATTATTTTATATCACTTTTACTTAAAATTAATTTCATTTCCTCCAGAACACAATATGAGAGATTTCAACTAAGGCATATTCAGAGCATACCAATTGACTTAATTCCATTGATTTCAATTGATGTACTCTAAGTATAACTAACAGATTTGTTTTAACAACGGGTTGCTATTGAACTATTCAACAATCTCAAATTTTGAACAAAAGTTTTAAGTTCTGTTTTTCACTCTTATATAACTCATTAATTTAATGATTAATATGTAGTACCACAAGTTCTCAAACTATTCATTAACCACTAGAGCAATCTTAATTTCAATACATTGCTAAAACTGAATTAACGTAGTTCATTGTAGTGTGGAATGCACTGATCGAACAGTTTTAAAATTCAAAATGCTAATGCATTCCCCCCATTGTAAATAATAAATAAACAAATAAGCAAGCATGGAAGCCCTAGTAAATATTGTAACCTATAAATGAAGTTCACAGTATTGGGAAAACAGGGTGGAAATATAAGGCTCTGTAAAGACTGAAAAATTATGGGCCTATAAAATGTGGAAAAAATACTACACAAATATTATGAAGCATCCACTTGAATTTGACATGTGTTTCCCTTCAAATACTAAAAAGTGCAAAGAAAACATTGGAAGAACTTAGCAGTAATATTAAAAGGATTATGTAGTTGTGGTTGCTTTTAGAAAAAGATACTTAGAATCTGTTGCATTAATTTTAAAAACATTTCAGAAAACTTTTCATAATGTTAGGCAGCACTTACAATGAAAAAGAATAAGAATAAAAAACAAATAAAACTATGTTCATTGTTTGTAAAGTACTAACAATGGGCACAATACAGCCAACATTAAGCATGTTTCAGTTAAACTGATTTCAGTGGGAGAGAAATGTATACACATGGTTAATCTGCCCACTGAAATTAATGGGACCTAAAGGTGCTTAGCTCTGCTGATGCCCAATAAGGTTTTGGCTGGGATCCAGTAAGCTATTTTAGGTTTCAATAGCACCCATGTCTTTCATGCAATTTCTTTCCTATGCCTGAAAATGTATAATACCTTGTCACAGAAGACAAGCAAGCACCATACCAGCAGGAAGCTGTGATGTGGAACGTGTGGATGGGAAGAATACACACACACACAGACACACTCAATTCATTTATACCCCACCCAACATTTTCTCTGATGGGACTCAATTAAGCTTATAGATTTTTTTAAAAATGGAAACCTAGAGCTACACAGTCCACAATTCCTCTCAGTTTGGAACATCAGACTCCACTGTTTTGATAATTTCCTGTGGTCATCCTCTGTATGTCATGTATATTAAAGAAGCTGCACATCTGAACTTTCCTTTAATGAGGGTAATATTGAAATGACACTGTCATTTCACTTGAATGTATTATTAATGTTATCTGTAGAATTAATTTTTCACTAGAAGGCTTAAAAATGCTTTATTTTTGACTTTCGTAAGCCACTTATTTACTCCGGTTGGGGCCAGTGGTATGATTTTGAGTAGAAAAGCAACCAGTTGCCCACCACCAAAACTGCTTCAGCAGACTCTCAAAGGTGATGTTCCTTTGTTTTAATATTCATACATAGCACAGTGCAGCATCTGGTTTTAAACTTATAAGGCTTAAAGGACAAACGTCTAGAAAACAGACTTAGCAATGACACCTAGCAGTACGCTCCAGATTTTACAGCAAAAGGATCAAGTTTGGATGACAGTAGCACAGCAATACCTTGAGTTTTACACAGAATGTGTAAATTTGAGCACAGTGTGTATTTAGTTCTTTGTAGATGCCATTTCAAATCTAGATTTCTTGATGTATTTTATGCAAGAGTACAAGTCTACACCCTAGTCAGCCCTTGTATCTAAGTAGGATAGCCTAGAAGACTTTGGTCTATCCCGTAGGTACTTCTATATTGATGCTCCAAAACCCACTTTCTCAGCCATGCTCTGAAGTCACTGCAACAGTATTCAAGGGTTTTCACATCATTTTTTGCTTTGTGAGGACAATTGCTTTTTGTTACCACTCGACATGGCAGTCCAATGGTGACACTTCAGAGTAGAGAAGAAATGAGAATAGGGAACAACTCTGACACCCTGCAATTTGAAAAAGGGCAAATCATGACTCAAAGCACTCTTTTTATAAGCTACTCAGCTTCAGTTTAGTTGTTATGGCCATTTTGTTGTATTGATAGAAGCTAAAAACAAAATTAAATTAAATCGTAAAAGAACTCTGAACTGGAACTGTTGACATGTTCATGGTGGCTTTGCAAAAGATGCTCCATAGCTCATATTATGAGAGATCCAGAAAGCCACAAAACAAACACTAGTATCCTGATTCAACAATTAAAGCCTCATACATCTAAGCCACTCCTTTCTGACTTAAAATGCATTGCTCCTGCTGATAAGGACTGTTTACTCTGCAGCTCTTTTGCAGTTATAGTATCTGATATTCCATCTAGATGTGAATTCACTTCAATGATTTAATACTATATACTATGGCATTGGTGGTATACTAGTGAGCATAGCTGCCTACCAATACTATATATCATCCAGTTTCTTTTCCCTCTGTTCCCATGGCATTATCACTAACCTCTACAGATGAGGAGTCCTGGATCTATTCTGCATTGTATCCTTTCATCCTGCAAAGCCAGAGTTCAACCTTGATAAGGGAGTCCAAATAAAACATAGCAAATGGGTACCATCATTTGAAGAGCTGTCCCTGTGGCAGGCACTTGCATTCTTTTGTAGGAAGATAGGAAGCACCCTTACATCTAATCAAACCCAGCTCAGTTTTATCTGCTGTAGGGATCATTGGCATAGCCAGGATTTAGGTTAGGGGGGGACAACCGAAGTCTAAGTCTAGCTGATTCGGAATGAAATGTTTCAACAACAGTTTTAAATTACTTTCTTTTCAACCCCAAGTGCTAAGAAAAAAATCTGTCAAAATCTTGTCATTTGAAAACTAGGAAGTTAAATTAAAAATAAACATCAAGGAGTACCTTTCATGATGTTAATGAGTATGTTTTGAAAAATGACACCTTTTCCCATCTTATTTTTTAAAAATCTAAACTAAAACAAGTTTTCTTGGATATGCTGAAAACCTTTTCAGCACTTCCTTCTCAAATTCCTCCTTTTTTCCAAAACAGTTTTTCAGTGCACACTCAGTAAGCATAGCCCATTAAGACACTTCCCTATCATCATCGACCTTAGCCAAGTCTTTACTCTCCGCAAAGTACTGAATGACCAGTCTACAGTACAAGTGGTGCATGGCTGAGCAAGAGAGATAGCCAGTCAGACCCACTGCTGTAGTATCTTAAATTCTGGTGTTCTGCACAAATTTCATTGAAGGATGAAATGATATGCTACTTGCATAAGTGTAACAAAAACCTTAGGGGCATTACATATTGCCACACTATCTCTCTATCCCCAAAATCAATTTACAACTTTACAGTTCAACTGATGCTCATATTAACACAGTAAACTCCCTAATGGTTTTTTTAACTTTGCTAACTTCTTAAAAGTCTCCAGCTCCCCACCCCACAACACTGCCACCAAGGGGCTAAGAGAGACTACAATCACACCAGCAGAACTTGCCTCAAGTTTTCTTTAAAAAGAAAATAGAGGGGAGTATCTGTTTTTACCTGGAAGGCCAAAGGTTCCCCATCGCTATTGAAGGAGTCATTTGTTTCAATACTAATAATTTTAATCTAACTGGGTAGCGCCAGCTACTTTTAAATTAAGCCATGATGCCAACAAGTGGCGAGAAACATGGAACCCAAACCAATGCATGCTTCTTCAAAAATAAGTTTGCACACAGTTACAAGCCTAGTATTTGAAACAATGTTATTTGAAATAACATTGTTGGTATCCAGCTAAAAATATTTTAAGCCAAAATATTCGAGAACCTTTCATCCCAATCTGACACAAGTCAGTCAATTCAGTTTATGAAGCAATACAACTACAGATTTGATCAGCAAAAACACTAACTTTGTAGCAAAAGTCACGAGTGAAGCCCCTTTTGTTTTGTAATTTGGCTATGTGCACTGCACATCACTTTTAGGCTCTACAGGAGCATGGTAGTCGTGGGCTGAGATACCAAGTCAAGCGTGGGGGAAACTGCCCCCCCCCCAACTACCAAGCACCTCACTGTTTTATTCACAACTCAACACACATAACAACGTTCAGGAGTTCATCCCATGCATCAGGCCAAATGCTCACAGCATCATTCCCCTAGCGCTGCATATCATAGCTGTCAACCTTCCCTTTTTTTTTTGCGGGAAATTCCCTTATTCCAGCGCCGTTTCCCGCTGCTACCCCGGATTGTTAGATATCCCGTAGACTGTCCCCGGGACAGGTGAGGCTGCTGATCCCTTATTTTCGAGGCTGCTGATCCCTTATTTTCAAACCTGAAAGTTGACAATTATGCATATTCCAGTCAGCTTCTCGCCCGGCATGAAACACTACGGAGTTAAACACACAAGCTGCCGTTCGAAGCCATAAGCAGCGCTGGTTTTCAAATGGCACGGAGTCACGCCTCGGGAAACGCTTTTCCCGGGGCGCCAAGAAACCGATGCCAAAAATCGAGATCACCAAACAGCCACGAGCCTCCTCGCACCTACGGCAAGATGCAAGCCGATTTGTACACCTGGCTGAGCAAAACCTGAAGCTGGATCGAAAAGCAGCAATGCGTCGCAGAAGACTCCCAAAACTCCCTGGAGCAAGAGGAAATTGCCTAGGCTAGCTCTTTCGGATGGGTGCAACTTAAAGCGGATCTTGAACTGCTGGATCTCTGCAATTCCGTATGATCACTCCCACTCCCCACCCCACCCCCATCCCAGCGAAGGGGACTAACCTGCGGGTGCGGTTGGCGGGGCAGCCCCCCCTGCGCTCCATGGCGGCGGGCACGCAGCTGGTGAGCTCGGTCCAGTCGGCGTGCAGCCCGCAACTCCAGCCGGTGGAGAAGCGCGAGAAGAGCCACGTGTCGCCCTTGTCCCCCTTGTCGCCTGCCGGCGGCGTGGCAGCAGCAGCGCCGGCGGCCCCCGGCCGGTGGCAAGTGCACTTCTTCTGGCCCGCGCGGCAGTAGCAGGGCTGCTCGAGGCGGATGTTGCGCACCAGGTGCCTCCCGAAGGTGGTGCCGCCGGTCTTCTGGATGTGCAGGAACACCATCACGTCGCGGCCGCGCATGTCGAAGCGCGCGCGGCGGCAAAGCTCCGACAGGCCGAAGGCGGACCTGCGCCCGGGAGAGCCCGGCGGGCGGGACGGGAGCCCCGCGGGGTCCCCCGGGAAGCGCTGCCTCCGCCGGGCCAGGTGCCCGCCGGCGCCGCAGGGGGAAACGGCCGGAGGATCGGGCGCAGCGGGCGCGCTAAGGCAGCCTCCGCCGGGAGAGGCGTACTGGTAGAGGACGAAGAGGAAGAGCAGCGCCAGGAGCGGCGGCAGCAGCAGCCAGCGGCTCAGCAGCCGCTCTTCCATGGCGCGCGGTGTCGGCGCTCCCTTCACTCTCCGGGTCGGGCTCCCCGGAGCTCCGGGACGCTCCTCTGGGGAGAGCGAGAGACCCGCGGCGGCGGCGGCGGCGGACGGGGCTTCGGCTGCCTCCGGTGCCCCCGCAGCCCCATGGCGGCGGGAGGGAGCCCCGCGCCCCGTCAGATATCACGGGCTGCGCCTCATCCCCTCACGGCGGCTTTGTGACGGCAACCACTGAGAGCTTCGTTCCGCAGTAGTTATGACGACGAGGACATTTGCTTTAAAATATATATTTTAAAAAAACTCCCTCATAGAACCGTCGCCTCAGCCGCTGAGGCAAAGCGCGAGGCGTCCCCACCAGGTGCGACCCCGGCGCTTCTTCTCACTCGCCGGCGCGCGTCCGTTACTGCCTCGCGCACGACCGTTATCCCTCTCTCTTCACAGGGAGAAGGGGGCAGCTTCGCGCGCTTGCGAGCCAACCAACGGAGGGAGGGTCTCCTAAGCGGCCAATAGCGGAGCTCAGCTCGCCGGCAGCAGTAGCCAATAAGAAACCACGGCGAAAGGAGGCGGGGTGATAGTTCTTGGCTCTCTCCGCCCAGGCCCCGCCCACCACCTATCGACTTGGGCAGCCGACGGGTTTTTGCGTTGCGCAAGCGCAGTAGCTAGAGGGTGGGGGAGCGGGAAAGTGAGTGGTACTAGCTGCTGGGTCTTTGCACGTGGTGAGGATGCTTTTTCTTCGTGTCACTTGCTATGGCTGGAGAAGAAGAATAACCAGCGCTTTGGTTGATTTGATTGACATCCTATGCCCTTTTGAAATGTGGTTCTTTTTTGGGAGGGTGTTACTGGGTTGTTGTTTTTATTTTGATTATATATGTTGTGGTTTTATATGTTGATCTTGTTTTGTGAACCCTCCTGAGACCTTGGGGTATATAGGGCAGTATATAAATTCAATCAATCAATCAATCAATCAATGTGTTTGTAGTGAATTATGACCCTTGTGGTTCCTTCCAGCTGTGCAATTCAGTTTTCAAAGAAACCAGCACCCTGATTGCACAAGCTGTTTGCACTTGAAGTGGTCTCTTTTAAGGTTTCTTATCTTTTCAGTGTACAGTTGGGCACAAAATACACAGGGCAGAAACTGTGCAGTTGGAAAGCTGATAATGTGCAGTTGGAAATATGGAGGAGACAAACTAGATATGTTGTGTATATTTGTTTATTAATCATTTAGCCTACTCATACAGAGAACCCTGTTTATTGAAACCAAACAAATTCATCAGTCAGAGAAGGCTAGATGAGATTGATGCAGTGAGCCACAAAACATCCACAGAAACTGCCCATTCCTCCATGGCATCCCTGGCTACTAATATTAGCATTCAACAAAACTGCAGGGCATCTCCATCATCCTTCACCAAACACTATAAAATGGACTTTCATGCCTTAGCAGAGGGTATGAGGCTCCTCCAGAATGTTATTTCCTGTCAGTAATTGGCCCCCAGTCTAATTTTGGGGCTTTAGTTTGTCCCATTGCAATTGGCTCTGGAGTCTGCCATGAAAATGGGTCTTTGGGTTATTACTTTGAAGGATCCTTTTAGTTGCAGGCCACACCTGCATACAAGCCACTCACACAAGAGCGTTTGTTCAATAGCTGAGTTCAAGGGGACCTGTTCCCAAATAAATGTTTACTGGATTGCAGCCACTGAGTCTCTTTCTATGGTATGTTCAGCATGGCTAAACCCATTGTTTGCAACTAACAGTGTAGAATAAAGCTGTTGGTGTCAATGCATCTCTCAGTCTCATGCTTGGGAGTCCCCACATTAAAACAAAACAAAAACAAAACTGGGGAGTGATCTGGTGGGGAGTGATCTGTATTGGGACCATGGCATTGGGGAGTGAAAGATTTAAACCCTTACCGCCATGCTATATACTTGCTGAAAATTCTCCCCTCTGTTGCTAATAGCAGGTTTGGCAGGGATTTTTGGTGAAGAATGGAAGTGGGGGAGGGTTATATCTCCTATCCTGTTTGACAGCCATAATCTGGATCAGAGTCCACCACATTTAGGCCGAAAAGACACATTTAAACCAATTTTGGGATGTTGAATGTGGTTTCAACTGAAGCATGGATTGCTTGGAAAATAAACCTCTCTTCCATTTTCACTCAGGGCCCAACTAGAAATGATCTTATTTATGTGTTTGCTTTTAACATGTCTAGTTTTAATATGTTTAAACAGCAGCTGGTGGCAGGGCAAGGGGGAACCTAGGTTTGTGGCATGCACGGAGGGATGGATCAACCTTTATGGTACAGTGCCATTGGAATTAGGGTTGCCATATTTCACAAAGTGAAAATCCGAACACAAAAGTTGTTGAGCTTTAGACATTGAAGTGATTTCCAACAGCCAAATCCCAGCTACATCTGGGAAATTCTGGACATACGGCAACCCTAACTGGAATGTTCTTCTCCTGAAGCTGCTATTTGTCCCTTGGGACCTTGCACAATGCAATCCTGATCCTGATGTGCCCCTCTGTGGCTGCTACTTTAATTTTTCAAACTAGGCGCATTCATTGCCATCACACAATGGCCCTCAGCATGCTTAATCTAGGCTTCTGTAGCACAAGAATGGCTATGGTAGACATCTGAAGGCAGCCCTGTTTAGGTAAGCTTTTAATGTTTAACAGACCACTGTATTTTAATACTTTGTTGGAAGCCACCCAGAGTGGCTGGGGAAACCCAGCCAGATGGGCGGGGTATAAATAATGAATTATATTATTAATTATTAATTATTATTCTTATTAATGGGGGCATATTGATGAGGATTAAGCAGTTGCTGCTGACATTTTGGTTTAATTCATGGGCGCAGAATTCAAATCACTTAAAGGAAAAAGTTTACTTTTTTAGTAACTCAAGGAGGGCAGACTTCAGTCTTTTCAGACTGAGGACTAACCTTTAGTTTAAACATGCCACTGGAGGACTTATGTCTTAATTGGTAACTTTTTTTTGCAGTAGTGCTGGTACTGCAACCGACCTGTGATCCAGTAGCAGTGGGTCCCTGCTCACCAACTGAAAAATCAATATCCTATATTATACACACCCATTGTATATACTCTCTGTGCTACACAAGCACATATCTTTCCATGCGTGAATTTAACTTAGGAGACCTTTAATGATTTAATAATAAAGGGAAATATGAGGCTGAAGCAATAAATCCATTTCCATTACATATGCAATAGCTTACAGCAGCACTTTCAGACTCTTTCCTTCATGTGTAGCAACTTTGAACATTGATTTTTAAAGCTGTCTTCTCAGTAGATGATAATCAGTGCTGCATGTAAATCATAAAAATGGGAAATTGTACTTATCCAGATTAATTGAAATGGACATAAAATATCAGTCTGCATGATTGTAAAGTAGTACGAATGTTCATCCTAATTATATTTTGTATAAATAATTACAAGGAATATGGATGAATTTACACAGTGCATTTGATATTCTGGAAAATGACTTGAAATTGCCTCAACAATTTCTAAAAGGAATATTACAGATTTATACCAACTGAGAGGCAGCTGTGCTGGTCTGCAAAAAAGAACCAAACCTTGTGGCACCTTAAAGATTAATAGTCAGGGGTTGCCAACATTTTTGGAAACCATGAGCACATCTGTAAACTAGAGAAATATGTCATCACAACACACATGACACAACCAAGCAGAAGGCCTCAAGGCAAGTTTAGTAGCAGAGTGAGCTTGACAATAGGGTGAGGAGGCCATGGCAAACTGCTCTGCCCCTTCTTTCCTTGACGTAAACAAATTTTAAGCCCCAAAGTAGCTTGATAAATGGGGGGGACACACACACGAATATTCGTGCAAGTAGAAAGCCAACAGGGCTGTGTAGCTAGGACCAGCCCAAGTTGCTTCGGCACCTGCGGATGGAAGTGTCCAAGTTGCAATATGCTCCTGGTTCTCAGAGAACGGATTTGTTCCCAATAGACCAAAGTTGCCGACCTGGAGAAGCTGAGAGGCAGAGAGGTTGGTGGCATATCTTCCCCTTCTGTCATCGAGAATGAAGACCTTGGCTTGGGAAAGGAAGGCACCACTCTGGGGAAGAGGGGAACAATTCCTTAGAAGGGACCCATTCCTTGAGGACAAGCAATTATCCTGCCCTGCTGAGGACATTCGTTTGGGTGGGGGAATATTTTTTTGCAATGGATAATTCAGTCATTAGGAGCATGAATAGGTTCGTGTGATGGGCATGCAGACCGTATGCCTGGCGTGGAGTTTGTATATCTCCCATCGTCTAGTTAGCTAACTGGATGCAACTGGTTGTAGGGTTTGTTGGCACCAATGACAGGGAAATGTAATCCAGAGGTCCTGGAAGTGAAATGTAGGTTGGTAGGTAGGATATTGAAAGCCAGGACCTTGTAGCTTTTTTTCTGAAATGTTACCGGTTCTGTGTGCAGGGCGGGCCAGACAGGCACAGCTGTGTAAATGAGATGGATGGATTGGAAGGTGGGGTTCGATTTTGTTAGGGAACATTTTGGAACAAGCCAAGCCTGTACAAAAGGGATCAGGATGCAGCCAGACTGTTGGCACTTGAAATATATATAAAAAAGTGGCACAGCAGCTTTCAAACTGATGGGGGGGCAAGGGTAAGCAGGCAGGAGCTGAGGAACATCTGGTTCAGAACAAATCTTCCTCTTGGGTAAGGAGGAAGGTGGGCCAAGCAATACAGTAATTTAAATAATGGAGGAGTGGAACTAGGCATTGAGAATGCAGGGACACATGACAGCAATTAAGAGAGGCCAGAGAACCGATCAAGGCTAAAACATACATGCCGGAGACCCTTGGAATAAGAATCCTTTGGGCACATGTTTACTCTCGCAACTTAATCCTGAAATGCACCCCAGTCCAGTGAGTGAGATCTATGTACGGAAGCAGGTTTTCATGCTCACAGCTGATGCTGATTCAAATGTGTATCTCGCTGCACTAAGCTGGCTATGCCTTCCAAGGGAATAGGGATGCGTGTCTCCATCGAAAACCACTGATAGTTGCATGTAACTACTTGTACACAGACAGAGTTTGGTCACAGTTAATTGATTTTTAATTAGCTGTGTAAAAAGGTTGCAGCTCTCCCCTCTGCCCTCTGCAGTCAGCAGACCAATAAATAAGCCATTTAAGCTGAGAGTTTTGGATTAACATCCAAATTGCAAACATATTTCTCTAAAAGTAAGTCCCATTTATATCAATAGGCTATTCTTTTAAGCTCCTTGTTTGGAAGCAAATTGCATTGAAATTAATGGATGCTTTTTCTTTGTAAATGTCGTTTATGGATGAGGTGTATATCTGCTGGCCCCGGTTTTTGTTCTGATAACTGCATAGTGAATAGTGCATTAAAAAAATCCACTAAGAGCACAACCTGGACCTCTGATGTTGATGAGGGTATGAGAGCACCATTACTGATGTGGGACGTCATGGGCATAGCCAAGATTTTTGCTGGGGGGGGGCAGGTCTTTTGTTAGGGGGGCAGAACCTCAGTTATCTATGTATTTATATTGATTTTTATTGATTGGGGGGAAGCAGCCCCTCCCTGCCCCCCCTTGGCTATGCCCGTGTGGGGTGTACATCTCATTTAGCTCATTAACACTTAGACTAGCATAGGATTGTGCGGCATGTCACAGTTTTTTCCTGTACCTGTCTGATGTGCTAGCATTTGGCTGAAGATCAGGGTTATCTTGGTGTCCTCCTCCCTCATATGTTAAAATCTGTTTCCACAAATAAAGTTTTCTTTTTACCGCACATGCTGATAAAGCTTCAGCTTTATTTCCCTTTAGTGTAACCCTTACCATTAAGTATACTGCAGTCACTATGATTTATACTAAGTGGTTGAACCTTATTAAGACTCCTTCATTAATCATGTCTTCTGAACACAGAAATAGCTTTAGCAATAATTTTTTATCCCCATGATTGTCTGTTGTGCAACTGGTTTTAAAACGTTTCTTTAATTGTATTATTCTGCCAAAATATTTTTCAGCTGCAATCCATCAACCAGTTAAGCTAGAGCATTTGGCTATTAGCTTAAATCCACACTTTCTAGTTTGGGTGAAACAGGAAGCCAAAAAATAGGTCAGATCAGATGACAGAGCCCCATTTACTTCCATTTATTACATGAGTAAGAAAAAGGGCAAGTATTGCACCTGTTTTCCTATCCCACCCAGTACATCTGCCTGCAATGCCACCAACCACATACATGACCCATATACAAAAACTACAGCATGCGTACACTCAGATCACACAGTTGGTTTTTCAGGTAAGACTCAGAATCAGCCAAACGATATGAGCCTATGTACTTCTGATTTTAAATGTGTAGGTATTGTTCAAATGTTATGTCCCTCTGCAAGTGGGTAGTGGCATCAGAGGTGGAGCAGACATCCTAGGTAAGTGGGAAGGCAATGCAAACTCTTGTTCATGCATCTTCTGTGCCATGGGGGGGGGGCGTGACTGGGACTATACCATCCTGTACTGTGGAAACTGTCTTTTAGATGTACCTTCATTGTTTGTTGTTGTTTAGTCATGTCCGACTCTTCGTGACCCCATGGACCAGAGCACGCCAGGCACTCCTGTCTTCCACTGCCTCCCGCAGTTTGGTCAGACTCATGTTTGTAGCTTCGAGAACACTGTCCAACCATCTTGTCCTCTGTTGTCCCCTTCTCCTTGTGCCCTCCATCTTTCCCAGCATCAGGGTCTTTTCCAGGGAGTCTTCTCTTCTCATGAGGTGGCCAAAGTATTGGAGCCTCAGCTTCACGATCTGTCCTTCCAGTGAGTACTCAGGGCTGATTTCCTTCAGAATAGAGAGGTTTGATCTTCTTGCAGTCCATGGGACTCTCAAGAGTCTCCTCCAGCACCATAATTCAAAAGCATCAATTCTTCGGCAATCAGCCTTCTTTATGGTCCAGCTCTCACTTCCATACATCACTACTGGGAAAACCATGGCTTTAACCATGCGGACCTTTGTTGGTAAGGTGATGTCTCTGCTTTTTAAGATGCTGTCTAGGTTTGCCATCGCCTTTCTCCCAAGGAGCAGGCGTCTTTTAATTTCGTGACTGCTGTCACCATCTGCAGTGATCATGGATCCCAAGAAAGTAAAATCTCTCACTGCCTCCATTTCTTCCCCTTCTATTTGCCAGGAGGTGATGGGACCAGTGGCCATGATCTTCGTTTTTTTGATGTTGAGCTTCAGACCATATTTTGCGCTCTCCTCTTTCACCTCATTGTTTACTTCATTGTTTACTTGTTTACAAAACAACAAAATATACTAATCCACACAAAACTTACTACATACAATTCGTACAATACGCACTCTATGTCTCAAACAGATCAAAAGTACCCAATTTGAACATGTCATTATTTATTAGTAGTAGTAGGACCTTCATCATAATTAAAATTACTTTAAGCCGAAGAAAATTAATAGTGTCCATGAGTTGAGAATATGACACAGTGTTCCGCTAAAGTTTACTACCTGAATGATGATACTGACTGGGCGGCAACTATTCAAGGACTATTAGATTCAATTCATATATATACACTTAATTTTGTTTCTTGGTTTCCTTGCCACTCTTGTACATTATTTGTCCAAATACAGTGGTACCTGGGGTTAAGTACTTAATTCATTCCGGAGGTCTGTTCTTAACCTGAAACTGTTCTTAAGCGGAGGTACCACTTTAGCTAATGGGGCCTCCTGCTGCTGCTGCGCCGCCGCACGATTTCTGTTCTCACCCTGAAGCAAAGTTCTTAACCCAAGGTACTATTTCTGGGTTAATGGAGTCTGTAACCTGAAGTGTCTGTAACCTGAGGTACCACTGTAGTATAAACACTGACAATTGGGAAACAGTGGCCTGTGAGCGCTCCAATTGGAGAACAGCCGTTACCAAAGCTGTCATGGACTTCGAAGATGCTTAAACTCAGGATGAAAGGGAGAAACGCAGTAAGAGGGAGGCATGTTTGGCAAACCCTCACAGTGATCAACTCCCTGCGGGAAACTTATGTCCCCACTGTGTGGATCCAGAACTGGCTTCCACAGCCACTTACGGGCTCACTGTTAAGACCGTGTTCATGGAAGGCTCTCGGCTATGAGGGATCGCCAAAGATGAAGAAAGAAGGAGGTTCTCATCTCACCACCTCCAGTTGCGCTTTACGGGCACAGCTGAGAGGGGCTTGAAGTACCAAACACGCTTTGCTTTCCGCATCAAGTCCCCGACCCATCACCACTATACTACGGATCCATCGACAACAATACGTCCGCACTGCCAATAACGCGGATCTGCGCGGCATCGCGTGGGGGAAGCGCAGCATCTTCTAACGGTTCTCGTTCGGCCGGCCCCGCCCCTTCCCTCCAGGCCCCGCCCCCTCCTTCGGCGGCTGTTGCGTTCGTCTCCGATTGGAGCCTTCCCGCGGACCAATGGGAAGAGCGGGGCCGCGATCCTACGGGAAAGAAGCGGGCGGGGCCTGGACTGGAGGCGAGCGCAGCGATTGGACGGGGCGGCAGGGCCGGGGGGCGGAGCCCGCTGTCGGGCCGCCGCCTGTGCGTGGCAGCCGCTCTGAGGGGATTCTGGCGAGGCGGGCCATGGCGAAGAAGGTGGCCGGGGTGGCGGTGCTGGTGGCCGGGGTGCTGGTGCTCGGCTTGTGGCCGCGCGGCGCCGAGAGCTCCCCGAGGAAGGCGGTGGCCGCCCGGCTGGCGGCCAAGTGGCCGGCGACGCCGTTGCTGCTGGAGGCCAGGTGAGGGGACGAGAGGGAGGGTTGCTTGAGGGGTCAGCTGAGGGAAAGCGAGGGCAGCTGAGGCGCACCTCCGAAAGGGGGCGAGGGATGACCCGCGTCAGGAACAAGGAGACTTCGGGGAAAGGTTGACCTCGGGATCTGCTGCCCCTGTGGACCCTGCCCTGGGTGGAGAGATTGACTTGGAATCCTCAGCTCCCCCCCCCATTTTTTATTTGTTTTCACAACATTATAAACAAACACATAAAACAAACAAACAAAAATCATAGCCTTATTAAAAATTACACTTATTAACATTGTTAAGTGACTTCCTCGCTTCCCCTTGGTTGAATTTCATTGCATGTCCTTTTAACGGTTTTCCAAATCACAGTTCTTAAAAAAAAATTAACTTAAATATTAACATCCTTAGATCTTCACATTATGAAATTAAACATATTAATTCATCACTTAAACAAAATCCTAAGCCAATTAAGTATCTGCAAGCTGTTTTCAGTTAATTTAACATATTTAACTAAGTAATCATTAAATTTGATCCAATCTTCCTGATCCTCCTCCTCCTTCTGGTTGCGGACTCTTCCGGTTAGGTCGGCTAGCTCCGAAAAATCCATCATCTTATTCTGCCATTCTTTCAGCATCCCTTATTTTAGGAAACCACGAGGGTCATCTAGTCCAACCCCCTCTGCCCTGCAGGAATCTTTTGCCTAACACGGGACTCGAACCCACAGCCCTCATGCCCTACCTGTTGAGCCAGTGCTCCACAAACTCTGCTTCCCAGGTGTCGGGTACAACTCCTATCATCACCCCTGGCCCTGCGAGCGAGGGATGCTGGGAGTTGTAGTCCGGCGACAGCTGGGGTACCCAAGGTTGAGAAGCGCTGGACTGCGCGACCTCCAACCAGATCTCCTGGTGGGAATCCAGAGGGGTTTGGGAATCACAGCTATCCCGGCTGGGGCTGGTGGACGCCGAGGGAAAAGGATATCAGGGCAGTCTGATTGGGAGAAGCGGAGACATCTGGTGCCAGGGAGTGTAGTGTAGTGGTTAGAGCAGCCTTTGTCAGCCTTGTGCCCTTGGACTGCAGACACCATCAGCTCCGGATAGCGCACCTGGCAGGAGTTGGTGTACGTTGTAGTCCCAGCAACATCTTGAGGGTGCCAGGCTGGTTAAGTCTGGAGAGACTCCTTCTGAAATACTCAGCCTTGAAGGTCATACTCTTTCACCTACCTCACAAGGCTGTTTTGAGGAGAAGGGAGGGGCAATGAATGCTGCCTTGGAACTAACTTGTAGGAAAGTTGTGATATACATAAGCTGAATGCTGTGATGTATGTAACATTAATTGTCCATGGAAGTCCAGAATTTCAATTGATTTAGGATAGTTTCCTTGAAAATCCATTGGAGTTTATGGAATGATTTAAGGGCCTGTCCCAAAGATTTTAATGGCATGTTAGGGAGATTGTTCCAGAGAAAGTGTCTTGGAGTTGTAATCACAAACCAAATAAGTGCCCCTGCATTCCAGCCCTTTTATAGTACTCGTATGAGTTCATTTGCCTTATTGGTATCTCCATTAAGAACGTGTAGCCATGTGGTAAAATACTGAGGTCAGATATCTTACATATCCAGCAGTATCAAAAATAACAAGAAGCAAGTATGGGTCTTCTGCATCTGGCATGCCCATGAATCTTGTTCCAATGCCATAACATGCCAAAGTGATATACTGTAAGAACCTTATTTCAAATAATTCTACATGTCATCAATAACAACTTAATACCTCAAGATGGCTGATCTTTATATTCTAGCAATTTGACCAATGTTGCCACACTGTGTGCACGCTGCATATAACTATGTAAAAAATTTCCCACCTCCTTTTTATGCTGTCATAAAATAGAAGAAAATGAATTGGTGTGTTTAAATAGCATTATTTTCTGCTATGTTAAACCAGAAATGCTGCTTGCTATTTAAGCTTATGAGTGGTCCTCAGTTTGGCATCCTGCTCCTTTTCCTGCCACCCCCAAAATAGATGCATTTGAATTTGTGTTGTGTCTTAGTAATAAATAATCCAGTAGTTACTCCATGTCTTCTGGGATTGTGCCCTTTTACCACAGTTTGAGACAAAATCCTATCCCAAACAAACTTTTCATTGCAGAATTTGCACAGAAGTAGATGTAGGCATAGCCCTTCTAGGACTTTGTCACCTGCACATCAGTAAACAATGTCTTCCACTATACCATTTTGTTTCTATAAGAAAAGAAACGTTTCTGTAGTATAAAATATCACAAAGAACAAACCTTGTTTACAACTCATGGTATGTCTGAAGTAAGGCAAACTATAGAGCTGGGTTTGGATGACACATTAAGCCAAATTATAACTCAGCCCTGAGGAGTGTAACAGCCATATCTCCTCTTTGGGAACCTGTGCGTTTGCGCTAAGCCATGGTTTGCTGTGGCATTACATGCAAATGAGTCACTCTGTGCAAAAATACACAACTTCTGAGCAATTAGGAAACAGCAAGAATGGTTAGATCATGTAACACAGTTAAAAAGTAAATAAAATACATTTATGTAGTTAAAATTTACTAGTTTAATCTGTGCAACGTCAGAACTTAATTCCAATTGTATATGATTCAGAGTTTTCCTTAGCAATGAGCATTCAATATACCTCTTGTACAATACCATAAAATTTTGCGCTGTATGTGCTACATGTATGGAGGAATGAGGCAACATAACTTGCATGTCTCATCATACTCAGTTTTCATCCACTCCTTGGCCTGCCTGCTGAGCTCATGGGTGACTGAATGTCTTTAAAGTCATTCAGAGTTAATTGTATAAATCCAATTTCACTGGTGTGCTTGCTGAGTGTGCTAGGGTGTCATATGTACATAGCAATTCTAAATAAGTTTAATTAGAAATAAGTCCTACTAAATTTAACAGGATTTATTCTGCAATAAATATGTTTAAGATTGCAGCTTTTACCTCAGTTTCCTGTCTGTAAAGTGAGAATTACATCCTGCAAGCCTAATTTGAGCAAGTGTTATATAACTGAATGAAAACATCTCTGCCTTAGTTGTTCAGTCTGCATTGTTTTTAAATCTATCTTTAATTGTTTTTGGACTTAAGAAAAATCTGTCTTAGCTGTTTTTATTATATATTTGTAAATTTCCTTAAGGGGCATGTAGAAGGGGATTCATTAATCAATTAATTAATAGGTTGACAGCTTAATACAAAATATACTTCCGTGGATCCAGTGCTCTGGCTATGTAGATTATGTCTTGTTGGTTGGTGACATGGGTTATTATTCTGCAGAATGTTTGCTATGTAGTGTTGTTCTACTGATCTCAAAGGACTTCTACAATTCTGGGGTGAGAAGTAAATTATGTCTTTAAATCATTTAGGCTTTTTCAAACACTTAGGGAGAATTGGCACAGCAACATCTTCTGGGATGTGTGAGGTTAGGATCCCACAGATCCCTAGCTGAGCTGGGAGGTTCCCAGTGGATTTGGGCTACACCTGCTCGGCTTCTTCATCCTTAGCTCAGCTGGAGATACACTGACATATCACCCCCATCTGTCTTAGCTGGATCCCATTTTACTGAGTTGAGCTCAGTGGATCTTAAACTGGTGTAAGCCTTGAAAAATGAGTTTTCTAGAGGCATGGTGGGGTCAGTACTAGAAAGGCTTGATCCTAAGCCCATTTAGCTCAGTTACATGTCCTGGCAACCTGGGGTAAATTAAACCAGGAAAAAGCGTAGTGTAATTCAAACACAATTTTAAAGACTTGTTCCCCCTCTGCCAGGTTTAGGCGGGCTCTGCTAGCAGAAGCCCCATTCCTGAATGGAGTTTGGATCCGGTGTAATTTTTGCACCAGCTTAACTGATGCCAGGCCTGCTATATGCCAGCTGCTTGTGTATAGGATCGCTCACTTGGGCTTCTTCTCAAAATGGTTGTTTGTGTCTTATGAGTTATACTAATGGATGAATTATTACACACCTTTTTAACAGTGAATTCATTGCAGAAGAAGGCAATGAGCAATTCTGGCAGTTTTTGGAAACGGTGAAAGAATTAACATTATACAGGAAAGGAGGTAAGTTGTGTTTGTTGTGTGTATCTAGACTGGCAGACCTTTCTGTAAATTGTACTGTGTAATAGTGTTAATAGTGTGCATGCTTTCAACCAAGAGTGGTTAACCTGGGACTCGCCAGTTGTTGTTGGTTTACAACTCTCCCACCATCCTTGACTATTACTGGTGCTGGCTGGAGCTGATGGGAGGTTTGGGGTTTTTTAAAATCTTGCCTTTAAGTTGTGTTTTAGGAAATTTTTATTCTTTTTTATGCAAATCACTTAGAGATTTGTTTATATTAAGCAATAAAATATGTTATAGATAAATAGTCCAACAACATCTGGAGGGTCACTTTAAATGCACAGTGTATTCTGCAACCTGTCCTTAGTAGTGCTTCACTTTCTGGTTTCTTCACATTAAAATAAGAACGTTGAGACAGTCCAAGACATGTTGATGCCTGAAGCAGAAAATCAGAATGATATTCTCCCTTCCCAAAATCCACTGCATAAAGTAGGCTGCCTTGCCCTTGCTGATACCTGGACTTTGCAGTCAGCCACTGATTAGACTGACGGATAGCATGGACAGGTCCTTTTCAGTGGTGGGTCTGTACCTCTGAAACTTATTTACTCAGCAGATATGTGGGACCTCCTGTTCTAAGAAGAAGAAAAAATTCAAAATATTTTTATTTCAGTCTCTCTTATTCATCATGGTATTGGAATTGCTGTTGCTCAATTTTTAGGGGTGTTAATGTGGTTTTCATGGATTCTGTAGGTGATTATGCCTTACAAAGTGGTATGTAAATGTAGTAAGCAAGAAAATAAATAAATAAATAAATAATCAATGGCTTTTTAAAATATTTGCCCAAACCTTTTTCATGCCCCCCATCCTTATTTATATTCTGCATCATCTTCTTAGTTATCAGAGATCTTTAAAAAAAAAATTCTGATCTAAGCATCCCAGCATTTGTTGGTGGGGAGGGGAAGCAGCATGAAGGAGGGTCTTGATTTTGGCCTTATGAGTGAGCCTTGCCACTTGGCAATTTCATAATGTCATATCCGGGTTCATCCTCTTTTCCGTTCACCACATGAAGTTACTGATAAATGTGTAGGTACAGCATTTTTGTATCTATAATAACCCAGAGCTCTTTTCTGCAGCACATCAAAGGAGGCGACTGGAAGGTTTTGTTTCTGTTTGTAACAAACCATAGTTCCCCATTACCTTCAAACTTGGAGAAAAGTGATTTGCTTAAACGCTTGATACTGAGAACAAACAAGAATCAAACAATAGTTTCAGATTCTTATTTACTAATTAGCTAAAGCAATGTTCTCCAAGTTTAGATGTAGCAGTGAATCAAACATTGCATGCTAATTTTAATTGTGTCCAGTCATTTGGGCACATCACAACATTTTGTTTGTTTTGGGGATTTATATTCCTCCTTTAAATGCCCATGGTGGCTTCCATTAAATATTTTTTTTAAAAAAAAATTCCACAGAAGGGGGCGTCTACACCTTCTGATGTTTGCTTTGTACAGGTTTGTGTATAAAGCCTTTCCTCCTCCCAGGAGGGGAGGGGTTGTGATCGGGAGATGATTCCCGTGTCATGCAGGGGGCGCTCCGCCCCCTGCTTCAACTCCAGGGCTGGCGCCACGCCCCTCCCCGGTTCGGCACCCAATAGGGAAGCTCGACGGGGGCGTGGCTTGCTGCTCAAACGCAGCCACGCCAGCGATCCCCACCATTGCACACACATTTTCTTCCGTGGTCCAATGCCTAAGCCAATACCTTCTCACATGCTGTAATCAATAAAGTTGTGGCCTTTACCTTACCCATTAACCTTACATTCTGTGTCCACGTGTCTTTATTCCCCAAGCGGGGATCGGGTCCTCGAATCACAACTCTAAACTATGGTTAGTGCACATCAAGGTTTATAAACCAGCAGCACACCATGGCTTACAGGTGAGGTTTGTTCATGTTTAATAAACCATGGTTAGGCTGCTGCTATGGCTTCAAATGATCTAATAAACTGTAGCTTAACATTAAGATCGAATCACATCATGATATGGTTCTAGAGTTGCATACTGTTCTCTTTAGGTCATTGTTCCTCCTTAGTCACTCCCCACCTCCTGGGACTGGAGAGTTTTTCGCTGTTCCAAGCACTAAGAGGAAGGAACAAGGTGCCACAGCTGGTCCTCTTGTCCCCATACTTATGTGTTATGGTGAATTAAAATATTTCCACCCAACCCCAATCAAACTGCCACACAAGCTGGCTGCCATTAAATATGGTTGTTACAGAATTGTTGTCTTTATAATCTTTAGTCCTTGGGGACTTGCCCAGGTGTTCAGTTAGGATGGCAGCCGTAATTGCTGTTTGTTAAAAGAAAATTATATGCATAACCACTCAGTGGAATAGCAACCTGTTTTCTGTCTTTTGTTTATCTGTACTAGTACTACTTTATTTTTTCCTTTTCCACAGCACTGTCTGTCTTGTCTTCCTCCATTTTCCTCTTTGCTTTTTCAACAACACAGCACTTTTTGCTTGTTAGTTCATAGGATTTCAGGCATTTACCTTAGCTTGGACCATTTTATTTGGTAAAATGGTTAGTGATTAATACACAGTAATGCTCTCTGATGTATGATTCAACTTCTGCACCACTCTTTTCAGATCGGCAGGAGAAACCAGTTCACAAGTCAATATACCTGCCCTTTGATGGACACTTAATAGCATGTTGTCAGGGAACTTCCATCAGTGCCGGAGGGAGAGAGCAAGATCCAGAGGGATTCCAGAGAGCGTCCCGGGATTGGGAGAGGCAGCCCATCTTCTGGGGAAAAGAATCAGCGTAGCACCAGTGGAGAAGGGGGGCAGATGGGGGAAGCGGTGAGGCGGTCCCATGACTCCTTGCCGGGGACCAGCGGGGAGAGTAGAGCTCCTCCGCTGCCTACGCCCTCCTTGTGCAGAAGGCTTTCGCACAGAGAGAGTAGGAGGAGACTAGGCGTCAAAGAGCTTCTTTGCTGGAAGAAGTTTAAGAAACGCCCACTGATGGATTCTGCCAGCGATTGAGACAGCCATGGGTGAGTGGCTGTCCGGACAGAAAAGGTTCACTCAGGCAACCCAGCCAGGTGTTTGCACCGGCTTACGCACGAGCAACCCCTAGAACCATTACACATGTTTTATGTTTAATTTGTAAGCCCCCAACTAGAGAAATTGTACTTTGTATTAATAAAAATTTTAGAATTGGCCAATCATCTGAAATCCCACAACTTTCTATATTCCAGATATTTTTATTTGCCAACACGTAATTGTAAATCAGTGATATTTGGGACTAGATGTTAACATCTCACTTGTATTTCTTTTCCTTTTTTAATACAGTCTCGGAGCATTCTTATTACAACTTAATCCTGAAGAAAGCCGGACAGTTCCTTTCAAATGTGCAGATTAATCTTTTGAAATTTTCTCTTTCCTTACGAGCACATTCCCCAACCATTCAGATGTTTCAGCAGGTGTGTAAAATTGGCTGGTACAAGCTAGGAATCTGGATATGGCTTTGGTTCACATGCTAAGGAGGGGCTTTCAAAAATGGCTCCTCATTGTGGCTGTTGTCATACTGCAAGCCGTTCTCTTGCAGCAGCTTGCAGCATGGCTAAGAGTGCTTTCTTCATACTGCTGCAACCCTCCCTTCCAAAATGTTTTGTGGTAGCATGATGGTCTGCTTGCTAAGCTTCTGTAGAACTATAGTGCTGCGTGGAAGGGAAAAAAGACCAGAGGGATGGATTTACAGTAGCATCCAGGTGATGGTGGTCTTCAAAGCAGCCCTTAGTCTCTAGTAGTGTTGTTGATATTGGTAGGACTGGTCTGGAGAAAAACACTATTTGCTTTACATCCATATGACCTATATATCTGCATATATTGTTCAGTGTGAACTCAGAAGCAAGCCTCAAATCGGTCCCACGCCATAGAGATACTGGCCTGGCTTCCATGTAGGGCTGAGTGAAACTATGGCTCTCAAAGAGGACATAATGGCTGCTTTGCTCCTCCTTGCCATTATGATGTTGTGCTGTTCTGACCCAAGTCTCTTGCAAGACAAACTGCAAGCTGCAAACAAATACCTGGTTTGAATGTGAAAGCTAAACCACAAGCATGGATTTGGATGTCATTCTAAGCCAAAGCACAGCTTAGTACATTGGCAAAACAATTTTGGAGAAGAAAAGCTTCCATGATCTCCTCTCTGGGAGCCTGCCCATTTGCACTAAGTCATGGTTTGGCTTAATGTTATGTGTGTAAGACAACAATGAGTGATCCAGGAAGAATCTATATTATAATAAACACATGGTGTCCCAGTTCATTTCTTCATTTCTGCCTGCTAATGGGGTGTGTGCAGAGTTCAGCCCCCTAGATTACAGGTTGTCCACATGTGCTTTAGAACTAAAAAATTCCTTGTAATGTCTAAATGTGGGAAACTCTCTTCCCACCCCGACTATAGTTATTTAAAACAACATATGGTCAAACAACTCACCTGGCTCAACAGAAAATGCTGCAAACTTGCTCTTACTGATGTGAAAAAGAAAGCTGTATCCTATTGATATTGACACCAAAGCTGAGTCTGATCTTAAAGTGGGTATTTCTGAGGGTATTTTTGGAAGTAGAAGAATAGACATGGTAACTATGAATTTGCCTATCAGCAATTTTATAAAATCAGCTTATACTTTATAAACTAGTTTAATAAAGGGTGTCCCTGTCATGTGAAGTAGGCACATGTTTCTGCAAAAGTTTGTATTAAAACTGTCCAAAGATTATGTATTTTGACCTCAACTGGAGTTGAGGAATGTGAGAAAAGATGATAGCTTCCCTGTTTACTTCTGTTATTTCCAAAAAAGGTGTGTTTTGTTATCTTAACAAAAAAAGAAAATTGATTTCTAAAACATCCAAATAACTGTTAATGGTGGGCATTCTGAGACAGGATGCATTGGTGTTACTTGTAGGGCTCCGATCTTTTCATTATTTTCTCCTCACATACTTGGTACTTAGACGCACAATGTGATAGCAGCTGATGCGCTGTTTTAATCAAAGGAAGGTGCATTACTTTTAGGATGAAATGCAATTACACCAGCTGGGTTGAGTGTAATTGTTGAAATATTAGATTGCAGCTGATGAGCCGCCACCGAAAGGTTGCAGTGCATTTGTGGTTATCCATGGGAAGAGCACCTGTAAGACTAATGAAATTTGGAAGCTTCTGAAGAAAGCTGCTACAAGGTAAATATAGTGAGCTATTTTGAACGAACAGTTCTTAAAGCTTTTGTTCCACAGCATCACATTTTTATTTGTTTTGGCAGCACACATTTACCTTTGTTCTCACCATATAAACCTGGATATTGGGACTCAATGATACATGTTGGTCAAAGATGCCACTTTGAGTTGCAGCTGTTGCTTCATCTCAGGCGCCTGGGAAGAGTGATTGTCTGCAATCTTTCTTCCATATGAACTTTACATTTCAGGCAGTGCTTGTCAGTTCAGCTCCATCTCTTGGTCTGCTGCTACCTCCATCCTATCAGGTGGCCTCCCCTGACACTCCAAGAGTTCTGATTCTCTGATTCTGCAAGGGAGTGTTGAGTTCTGCCCATGGAACTGTGTGGGATTGCCACAAAACAGCTGTTATTTTCTTTTTTAAAGATTGGTGGAGCTTTTAAAACCATGAGAGAAGTAATATGTTTGTGTGAGATACTACACACTGCATCTTCTGATTTAGAAATATTAGCCAGGCTGTCTAGTGCCTGCTCCCTGCCACTAATGAAATTTGGCAAATTTCAAACTAGCCGACTAACTTTTCTCTGACCCAAGTGGTCACGTGTGTGGTTCTGACACAGATTATATGGATACAGGATTATACCTGTGGGATTACCACGCACATTATCACACACATTGAGACAGAATGTGGCTGATATGACATTAACAGATGCGTTATGTGTGGGAAAACCAGGCTAGTTTGAAACCAGCCTCATATAACCAACATGCATAAGTCAAATTAATGCACTTCCCCTTATCTTGGGAGGAGATCTTCCTGTGAAGCTCTGTGTGTAAAGAGGTTTGAACTGGCTGCTCCAGCTCAGCCACATGGTTCTCACCAGCCACTCCTGAGTTCCTATACAGTAATTTAGGAACTTTCACCACTTTGTAAACTAACTTTTACTGCCTGTGCAACTTCTGACTGATGTCTGGAAAAGCACATGAACCTAACCTTTGAAGAGTTTGTAAGTAAACCAGTTTTTAACTTAGAAACGTGTGGTCCATTCCTATGGTGGAACGGAAATTTTGGAACTCCCTTTTAAAGGTCTAACAGCCTATATTTCCATGCTTTGCTTTGCTGCATATTTTGTGACATTAATTCTCTGATGGGCTTCTCTCACCACAGAGTACTTGCCCCAAATTTGGATCTTGGCATCCAGAAATTATCCTTTCTATATATTTTTTCCACCAACAATATCCAGCTAAGTCCTACACAGAGTAGACCATTTCAGTCAATGCACCTACCTTAGCCATGTCCATTAATTTCTGTGACCATCCTCTGAATAGAACTAACACTGAATGCAATCCCTAGATATACATGATATACATTTTTGCACGGACGTGCGCACGCGCACACAAAAAGTGACCTTGATATGCACTGGCTTCTGGCTCTCGCTTGCACCATTTGAAGGCTACTTTGGCTGCAGGGATTAGGTGCATTATTTCAGCCCTTCTGATCCTTCCCCAGATCTGAAGACAATGGTGTTTGTTCCCATTGTCTGCCAGCCTACATATAATTGATGAGAACTGATACAGACTTCAAAGCATATGCATGCCTAGATTTCTTTGGCTGAGCTTCAGCATGTTCTAAGGAACATTACCCCTAGTGTTCCTTAAACTTTAGTTACTTTGGTAGGATAGAAGCAGTGTGCATGCTATGAAAACGAACCTTGTGGCTTGTTTCCCCCCACCCCCCACCTTGCTCTGCTCCCTGTGGATATCCTGCTAGCAGAATTAGCCCATAAATTGTGAGATTAACAAACTACACATAGTTTAAAATGGCACAGGATTGCAAAGTCATTAAATTCTCAAAGTCAACAAATTCTTGTTGTTTACGAGGCACACACATTATGCATAGGATTTTGGCTTACATAGGAGTAAGTTCCACCAGAATGGGATGAAGCTACATGTATGTTTTGACTTCTGGTCATGGTGAGAGTATTGCTACATTTTCATGAAACAAAGCATAAATTCAGCTAGAGCTTGAACTATCCATGTTATCTTTAGTGATTGCATACCCTTTGGTCTAATAGCTCCCATGAACGGTACTAAATAAAAAGTCTTCATGTACTGGATAATTAAAATAGCATTCAGTGCTTTGTGCTTGCAGCTGTGTAGCTTTTTTATCTGTGTCATGATAAATTGGCTGATGCTGAGTTGCATCTCCAGCTGGAAACTAACTTAGCTTGTTCTGCAACCAGTTTTAGCTACTGTGATGTCCTTATCTTAGTCTGAAATCCTGTATCAGGCATCCCCAAACTCATCCCTCCAGCTGTTTTGGGACTACAGTTCCTATCATCCCTAACCACTGGTCCTGTTAGCTGGGGATGATGGGAGTTGTAGTCCCAAAATAGCTGGAGGGATGAGATTGGGGATGCCTGTCCTATATGGTACTTCCTTATCTCAGAGGAAGCCCCATTGGACAAAGTGGGTTTTACTTCTGAGTAAATATGTATTGGATTGTGTTACATACTTTTGTCAGTTGTTCAGTAACCAGGCAGTGAAGACTCTCCCATTCTGACACACTCAAATTACAGTGGTGCCCCGCAAGACGAATGCCTCGCAAGACGGAAAACCCGCTAGACGAAAGGGTTTTCCGTTTTGGAGGTGCTTCGCAAAACGAATTTCCTATGTGCTTGCTTCGCAAGACGAAAATGTCTTGCGAGTTCCTGCGGGGTTTTTTTCCTTCCCCCCCCCTTTTTCCCAAGCCGCTAAACCGCTTATTAGCTGATGGCTAAGCCGCTTATCAGCTGATCTTTAAGCCGCTTAACAGCTGATGCTAAGCCGCTTATCAACTGATCTTTAAGCCGCTTAACAGCTGATGCTAAGCCGCTTATCAGCTGATCTTTCAGCCGGCTAAGCCGCTAATACTGTAGCGCTAAGCCGCTAAACCTCTAATGGGCTTGCTTTGCAAGACGAAAAAACCCGCAAGACAAAGAGACTCGCGGAACGGATTCTTTTCGTCTTGCGAGGCACCACTGTAAGTGATTCCTTTTAAGTTGACAAATTATTTGTTCTTAATCCAAGGCCCAAGCCATATCTGTTCAAAGGAGATCATAAATTCCCTACGCTTAATGAGACCGGCCCAGTAGTGATCCTTTATGCCGAAATGGGTACAAAAGACTTTGCTACATTTCACAAAGTTTTGTCTGAACAAGCACAAAAAGAGGAAATTGTTTACGTTCTTCGACATTTTGTCCAGGTAAGTGTGTGTGCAGAAGGGATATAATTAACTGCAATAGAATTGTTTGTTTAAATCTTTGTTTGTTTAAATCTTTCCAAATGTCCATGAAGCCCCGTTGTTGCATACTTTGTTGTCAGTTTCAAAGCTTTTCAGCCACAGTTTGCCACAAAAGGGGAACACTGGGGCTTTTGGCCTTGTGTCATACTTATGGGTTTCCTATAGGCTTCAAATATAACACAGTACATTGAAATTAACAGGAGAATGACTGGCTTCAGATGAGCCTACAGTCAGCCACTGGAGAACTGATATATCTTGTAAGGAAAGTAACAGGTGGCGTTTTATTGAAAATGATTATCTTTCTTTCACCCCCATTGTTTTTAAGTTCCCATTGTGGGTGGCCAGATACAAAAGAGGACAGGGTTCCTGTGCCTTTCATATTATAAAACATCTGCTACAGCTCCCACTTCTGCACAACTGTTAAACTACTGTCTTCTTTTGCATCTGTTCGCCCTATTAGTGAAGCACTTCCTCCCTTCTTTCCTCTAGAATGTTCTTTACAGTATGTCAGAATTCTTCCCCTGTACAAGCACAGACTGCAAACCACATGCATCCTCCAAGTTAATATTGCATTAATTGGATCCTGACATTCAGTCACAAGTTTAGGAGGCCTAACTTTGGTGTGAAGTCGTCTTTTTTTTAATTGAAGTCAACTAGGCTGGTGATGAAAATGCTGTGGAGCAGTCCCAAAGAAAGTGTAAATGGATTAGTATAGTGTCCGAAGTTCAAAAAATTTTTTTTGCCCTAACGTATAATAATAATAATAATAATTTTTATTTATACCCCGCCCTCCCCAGCCAAGGCCAGGCTCAGGGCGGCTAACAAGCAATAATAAAAACAAGTTGAATGATTACAACTTAAAAACAAAATTAAAATACAACATTAAAATATTGAAACATTAAAATATTAAAATATTAAAATGTAGCCTCATCACAGGAGGAGAAAGGAAAAGAAAAAAGAAAGAGAGGGAGGGAATCAAATTGACTCCAAGCCAAAGGCCAGGCGGAACAACTCTGTCTTACAGGCCCTGCGGAAAGAAATCAGATCCTGCAGGGCCCTGGTCTCATGAGACAGAGCATTCCACCAAGCCGGAGCCAGAGTTGAAAAGGCCCTGGCTCTGGTTGAAGCCAATATAATAATAATAATAATAATAATAATAATAAATAAATAATTTTCCCTCGCCACACTGAACGGCTCCCAACAGAATATTAAAAACACGATAAAACATCAGACATGAAAAGCTTCCCTAAACAGGGGTGCCTTCAGGTATCTTCTAAAAGTCAGATAGTTGTTTATTTCTTTGACATCTGATGGGAGGGCATTCCACAGGATGGGCATCACTACTAAGAAGGATCTCTGCCAATAGAAGGGATTCTTTCGGAATGTAGGCCTCTATTAGTTTTAGAAACAGAATGATTAAAATCCATAGTTCTTGTCTAATGCCTTCTACAACTCACAGTACAATGCTATAACTTTGAAGTAAGTCCCTCTGAATTGTATGGGGATTGCTATCAGGGAAGTGGGTATAGGATTGCAGCCTTAACGGGCAATTATTTGTAAAGTATAATCCTGATCTTGTGTATGTTTACTCGGGAGTTCAACAGATTTAAATGTGATTTACGCTAAAGTAAATCTAAGTTTAGAACTTATTTAGAAATGGCAGTACTTAACATTCCTCCCTTCTGTTCTTTTCGAAATGATGAACTCGAGCAGAAACCTAGCTCCGAGAAGATGTATTTGTCTGGATATGGTGTGGAACTTGCAGTAAAGAGTACAGAATACAAAGCGGTGGATGACTCTCAGACCAAAGGTACATTTTTCTCCGGTGTGTGGTATTACTAGAGACATTATCATCACAAAATATTTGGCAGTGTCTAGAATTTTGAAGGCAGTAATCTTCTACATTGCCCCATTGAAGTTAATGGAAAATGTCTTATTGGGTCAGTAATTCACCCAGTATTTGTTTTCCTGACACACACCACTGGTTGTGATTGCATTTTGTGGGATATGGCAAAAGTAGCCACAGGCGTTGAGAATCAATACAGAAATGTACATCTGTAATTTTTTTGTTGATGGAATGGAAAACTCCTATTTTCTAACTGTATGCCAAACCTGATCTTCCTCCTTTGTCATCTATTTGAGAACCTGTCTTAATTTCTTTCTTCCTCTCATTTTAGGCAGTGAGTTAGTTTCTTTGATAGAAAAAGTAGTAATCGTAATCAGTTCTAGAAAGCAAATATATTGTCATATTTTTGTACATGTGTTTTGTTTAGCTACAAATAATGTAACAGCAGAAGGAGCCAATGAGGAAAGTGAAGTCCAGGGCTTTCTCTTTGACACATTAAAGTGAGTTTATGTTAATTATAATTCCATACTGGCATGCTTGTTTTTATAAACTTGTGTATTTAGTGCTTGAATAAAATCCGTTGCAAAAATAATCTTTTGAAATTTTACCTGTTTTATGAAGTTAATTTAAACTGGTAGTTACAAATGTCTTGAAATGTTAAAATGTTTCTTTTGACCATATTGCAGTTGTTTTAAGATCAGGTTTCTGTTGAAGAATGGATGCACATAGACATTTTCCCGCTGTGCAAATAAGTATATTTTATCTCTTTAAAAAGGCATGTTGTTTGACCATATGAAGATAATTACACTATGCTTGGCTACTTACATAAGCACAACTCTTTTATTTTCAGTTAGGATACACCTTTTGTGCTGGTAAATGCTTTATATATCATAAAATATCCCATAGAGAGGAAAGTGACAAACATGAGGAAGACCAAAACTGCATCTTTGCTCAACATGTCCCCATTTCATACAATAGCATATTTCTGAGTGAAACCAAAAGCTACCACACTTCATCACATCATGTACACCATTACATCCATGTACATCCATGTACTCTGGACCTTGAACCAGGAATTCCGGAAGCAGAACCTGCACACATAATAGCAACAGCAATGCTATTTCCATTTCCATTTCCATTTCATTTCATTTCATTTCATTTCATTTTTATTAGTAATTGTATCATTTATATGTCACCCATCTGACTAGGTTGCCCTAGCCACTCTGGGTGGCTTACGTTTTGCATTAACGTAAAGAATCAGCTCCTTATATGATAACAGCTGCCATTTTTACTAAATGTTGGTCACAATACCTAAAATACCTAATATGGTGAAATGGATGGTTAAGATGCAGGGTCCAGTGGCCATGGCTCAATCAACGTCCTTTATTAAGAACTAAGGAAAATCAACAAATATAGATACGTTTATAGGCACCATTTATTGGCTTTTGTGGGAGTAGCCTATAAATTCCAAGCTCATATTTATCCTTTAGGAAGATAAACTGTAATGAAAATAAACCACAAACTAAAAATGTCTTCATATTTTATTACACAACTGACGTTGGTTAACTGCCCTAGGAGCCTTTTTGGATGTAGAGTGGATTAAAAATACTTTAAATAAATACAAAAATAGAACACATCAAATATAGACGTTGAAATAAATTTCCTCAATGAGTAATAAACGGCTGAGTCACGTATTAGAGAAAGCCTGCTTAAACAAAAAAAAGGATATCAGCAAATGTCTAAAGATCATTGCTGGTGGTGTTTAATACTGGTGGTGCCTAATATCTTACTTCGCCAAACCTTTATTAGGCGTTACAAATATAGGCCATCATAAAAAATAGATGTACAAAATTTTAAAATATGTTCAAATAGCCATGTAAAAATATGTAATAATGAGGATTTTCATTGGACTTTCTTCCCACTAAATAGTGCCATTCACCAGAGATACTATTGATAAAAACTCAGCCACCCTTGCAGTTACTTGCAGGTTAATATTAAACAGATAGAATCTGATATTTTCATTGTGCCATGAAGACTACCCCCAAAAAAGGGGAAAGCATTCATTTGCGTAGCTGGTTGTACAATGGGCAGTAGAAAAGAGTATGTTCTACTGTGTCCGGCACGTTCCAAAAACATCCACAATGTCTATTGTTTCTGGGGATGTTTGAATATCTGCCCTTGACAAAAGCTGAGGGGGAAATGTTCAGTCGGGCTAACGCAAAGGCCCTGCATTGGACTGGAATTATTAATTTTGAAATATAAGTGACCCTGTTATCTGTTGTATTTAAACCATAAAACTTAGGGGAGAAAAATTGATTTACAGCTGACTCGATGTTTTGTTTTTCAGTGTTCCTTAATCTGATTTGAATATTACGATAAATAATTGTATAATTATAATTATATAACTTGAATTATGCAAGAGTTCTGCCTAATATCTATAGAAAGGGAGGTACTACTACATGGGAGATCATTCCTTTGTACCAGGCTTGGGAGGGTGAGCTGAATTGGGGGACGGGACCAGCCAAGCTCTCCCAGCTAAACCAGCCTCCTGCCGTTGGTGCAGCACTCATGCACCCACCAGACGGGCAGGTGTTAGTGCCTCTGGAATGCCTGCCAGCAGTAGCCAGCACAACGCTCTGAAACAGGGTGTTCCAGGGGTGAGGAGGGGCTGAGCTGGCCCATATCTGTCGGGTCCTGAGCTGGTTTCACAGTCATTGTGTGATAGCATCAGGCCTATGAATGCTATGCCTGCTCCAGGCTGGCACAGCGACCTTTCTGCCCTCCACCTTCCACCTTGGCAACCATATGTGGCAGGGCTGCAAGTGTGCTGGTGGCTTTGCTGCACTGTAAAGCTGTGGGCTGGGAGAGGGGAAGAGAGAGAAGTTTTGAACCCAAAAGTCCCATGCCTAATGGAAGGGAGCGGCCAACTGGAAGGTCAGCAGACCTACAAAAGCCTCATTATCTGGCTCTGCTACATAGGGCTGCCATACATCCATAATTTCCCGGGTAGTATTTTCGAGAATTGGTTAAAATGTCCAGCTCATATCGGACTTTCCCCCCAAATAGCTAAAGACTTCATTTATTTGGAGTTTTTGTCAAAAAGCTCAACAACTTTGGCCTATATGGTACAGCATTTATTTGGAGTTGGCTCCTTTGGTTGCTAACCATGGTTAATGGTAATCAGTGATTGAAACTTTGCTTTGAACCCCGTCTTCAAACTTTGGTTGTGCGGGACAGTAGCATTAACAAGTTCCTCCCTTCTGGGTTAGGAGAAACATTAAAACTACAATTTTCAAACGTTTATCATTGGTCTTTATGCCAACCGAATTGTAAGCTCCTACAAGTGTTGTGTAGTATTGACTTGGTTTATGTTTCATAAAATCCAGACAGAACTATCCTGACCTCAAGGACAATCTTCAAGAGCTGAGGAAATACCTGATTGAAAGTAGTGATGATACAGAGCCTTTGAAGGTTTGGGAATTGTCAGGTAATAACCTTTATACTAGTTGTTTGTTTTTTGGTGTAACACAGTGGAAGAATGAATGGCAGTGTATTTGCACCAGTTATACTGACATCAATGTAATGTTTACAAACATTGTATGTGCAAAGGGGTAGCTGGTTTTTAGGAAGACTGTTCTGAGAAAAAAATTCTCGAGGTGTACATTTGGAAATAACTGCTGTGCACACATAACTTTTATCATCCGGGCTAAAAAAATAAAATAAAATGTGAATCCCTTGCTCACACAGGCTTCAGATTAGCCATTGTATTCAGAATCTGGATATCCATTATGCTTCTTTTGCTATGTTGCTTAAGGAGTATCTACCAGAACTACATTTTCATGGAATACATTTTCAGTGAGCTGTGCTGATCTCCCAGGGATGATGGTAATTTGCTAGTGTTATGAAAGTATCATGCTGAAAACCTGAGGGACCATTCTAGATGTTACGCCTAGTTCTAAGTGGTGCAGTGGAACAGGAAATGTGAAGGAATTAATCTCTGGGGCATTTTTTTTTGGAACAATGACATCCTCTGCTGGAGCACCAGATACAATCCCCCCACCCACCCACCCACCACTGCCTCTGTTCTCATGCCTCTGGCAAGCGAATGAGATGATAACGAGGCTTTCAATTTTTACTGTTGTTTGTAACATATCACCATAAAGGAAATTGGAGAATTTGGGCAATAGATGGAAGCTGGCTGCTTTTGTTTCCTTTCTTTGCGGTTCTTGCTTCATGTCAGCAGTTTAAATGGTAACACCTTTTTGTAAAATGGTGAGCATGGCTGATCAAAAGCTAAAGGTTTGGACTTTTGTTAAAGCTCAGTGTGTTTTAGCAAGCTGAACCTATGCCGTTAGAAACAAACTCGACTGAATTTAGTAGCACTTACTCCCAGGTAACCATGCATAAGATTGTAGTCCTGCTTCATGGCTGATCAGGCAAGTGATTCCAGGTTAAGCGGCGCACCACCTTCTGCCAGCCCAGTATTCTAGGATCGGCATCAGATCCCATTAAGTTGGGTATTATGCCATGTCTACTAATTGAGGTGTACATGTGTCATAGTAGATCAAGACAGCTTCCTGAATTTTTTAACTCGGTGGAGTGTGGCTATGGAAGGCTGTCAATATGCGCTTCTGTACTTCAGAATTTACGTCCTAGCATCAACGTGCAATGGGTTTTTCAGGCTCCCTTCATATAACCGACTTTGGTGGGGCTGGGGAACTAGACATGCAGCTGCTACTTTCAGCCGCCGCCGCACATTTTGGTTCTCTGATCGGATCCTTGTAGCTTTTCTTAAGTTTTCGGAAATAAATCAAGAGATTAATATATGGTCAGACTCAAAACATTTGTCCTGGCTTCATTGACAGGATGAAACACCAAGAAGCATCTATTGTTCTCTTCTGTGAATCTATTTTTAACTAAACAGTTTTAGATTTTATTGGTAAACTGCTGCATCAGATGAACAAAGTGCACATAAAGCTCTTCAGAGAGGCAGAGGGAAGGGAAAGATGTTAAATCTTCCTATCCTGATGACCTGCAGGAGGATCTTGTGTGGCTGAAATCATTGTGGTACAATTTATCTTTACTGTTTCTATTAATGCGGCACAGGAGTAGGCCATGAAGTGTTATCATTGCAAAATAAAAGCCATAATACTACTTTAAAAGCTATTTCGTCATATCTATGATATGTTGAGGATGAGGGAAATTGACCATGAAGCTTGTGGAAGATTAGGCTTTTTTTCATAATACTGTAAAAGTAGCACGATATGATGCCTTTTCTCCTTTCAGCGTTATTGGTAACAGTTTCTTGTATGCTTTTATGTTACATATGGGATATCCTTTTTGGAAATAAATAAACAAGTTAATGAGAATTAGTTAGTTGTAACTAAATTAAGTTCTACTGCTTTCCCTGGGTCTTATAGCATTATGCATGTCTACTCAGAAGTAAGTCCTATTGAGTTTAGTGCAGATTACACCCAAGTAAGTGGGTATAGGATTGTAGGTCTACGAAAGGCCAACATTCGCTGCATTGCAGAGAGGAGAATGGCCTTGTGCTACTCATGATTTATTAGTTGAATTAGATTTGTTTGTTATAGCTACTAGGAGTTCAAATAAAATAGATGGAATACAAATTTAATGAAACCTTTTGAAACTGGGCAATATAGCTATTACCGTGTTTCTTCTGTAGTTATTATTCCTCTTTTCCAGTGTTCCAAATTCTGTGCCAAAAAAAGCTGAATTCTGTAACCTGTATAAATAATGCAAGTTAAGCACCTTTTTTTTGCTGCTTTTGAATAATCAATACTATTTTGCCTAATTTATTCTGATTTTTAGTAATCATGGCGAGTGGCAAGAAATTATATTGGAGTCTGAAACTTCTCCCCCAGCTGTTGGAAATTTGGTGTAGCACCTATGCTGCGTTTCAGTAACAACTGGCAAAACAGTTTCAAGGCTATCATGAAACTTGTTCTGGAAAGTTTAAATTTTCAGAAAGCTTGAATTCTAGGGGTTTTCTGCACTCTGATCAAATCAAATCAAAACATACATGCAGTCCTGACAGATGCATGCAGATGAGGTTTGAACAATCAGAAATGCGAGTAGAAGTAAAAGCAGTTCAGTAGTAAAATTTATGTATGCGACTGCAGCGTCAAGAATCTTATTGGCCCCAAAATGGAAAGAAGAAGACCCGAGGAAAGAACTGGATACAGAAACTCATGGCTTATGCAGAAATGGCAAAACTTACCAGAAAAATAAGACATCAAAACTACAAACTTTTTATAAAAGAATGGAAATTGTGTATTGGATATGTACAAATAAATTGTAAACAGAGAAGGACATTGGCAGGATTATTGTAATAACCTGCAGTTTCATAAGAGTAAATAATTAAAGTAGTTGAATAAAAAAATAAGTTAAGTTAATTCAGTATATGCAGGAAATGATAAATATAAATTTAAGGAACCGCAGAAAGTGAAGAAGGAAGTCAAATTTTGAAATGTTAAAATGACTGTAAAACTATTGGAGTGTACCATATTTTTCGCCCTATAGGACGCACTTTTTCCCCTCCAAAAATGAAGGGGAAATGTGGGTGCGTCCTATGGGGCGAATACAGGCTTTCGCTGAAGCCTGGAGAGCGAGAGCCTCTCGCTCTCCAGGCTTCAGGAAGCTCTGCGCAACCCTCCCGGGGTCCGCGCAGCTCTGTGCGACCCTCCGGAGCCCAGCACCAAGCCGCGCCGGGCTCCGGAGGGTTGCGCAGAGCTGCCTGCATTCCGAAGCCTTGGGCGTGCTGAAGAGCGCGCCCGGGCTTCACACAGCTGTCCGCAAGCCTGGGGAGACCGGCGCGGCTCCCTAGGCTTGCGGATAGCAGGCTGTTCTGGGGTCTGGGGTCTGGGGAAGCTCGGGCTTCCCCCGCGCCAGCCCCGTGCCTGGGGGGGAAATAATTTTTTTTTCTTTATTTCCCCCCCAAAAAAACTAGGTGCGTCCTATGGGGCGAAAAATACGGTATATAACTGAAAATTACCAATAGTTCAGTGGCTAAGTTCAGACATTACTACAAACCATTTGGAGAACTGGAAACAAGACATGTGCCGCGTCTGAGTTAGGGCGGTGCAGGCAGTTGCCCCACACAGGGTGCTGAGCCACGGAGGCACAAAATTGAGAAGATCCATAATTGAGAAGATCCATTTTGGGTTGCCACCTTTTGGGCTCGCTCAGGACGCCACGTTACCAAAGGTTGCCAAAGTACACACCTGACATGTGTGTACAGCATTCTCTGTAGTTTGCCAGTTCAGATATCGTGACAAACTGTGGTTAGGTTGGAAGAGCCAAGTGCTAACCATTGCTGCTCTGAAGTAAATTGGGGGTCAGCACTAAACAGGAGTCGGAAAGGGAAGCAGCGTATGAAAGTGGGAAGGAATGTACAAGCCTGCAGCTCATTCATAAGCGGGATAATTTTCTGACTAGAGCCTTTGAAACATCATCAGACAAAACAAGCTTAACCTGCTGCCACATCTTACACCTAAGGAAATTATTTAATTACAGCTGCATCTGTAGTATAGTTTAGACTGTTTACTATCTCTGGTCATGATGACAATTATAACTTGTATTATGGTTGTGTTAGTGATGTATGGAAGTGAGAGCTGGACCATAAAGAAGGCTGATCGCTGAAGAATTGATGCTTTTGAATTATGGTGCTGGAGGAGACTCTTGAGAGTCCCATGGACTGCAAGAAGATCAAACGCATCCATTCTTAAGGAAATTAGCCCTGAGTGCTCACTGGAAGGACAGATCGTGAAGCTGAGGCTCCAATACTTTGGCCACCTCATGAAAAGAGAAGACTCCCTGGAAAAGATCCTGATGCTGGGAAAGATGGAGGGCACAAGGAGAAGGGGACGACAGAGGCCGAGATGGTTGGACAGTGTTCTCGAAGCTACAAACATGAGTCTGACCGAACTGCGGGAGGCAGTGGAAGACAGAAGTGCCTGGCGTGCTCTGGTCCATGGGGTCACGAAGAGTCGGACACGACTAAACGACTAAACAACAACAACAACAATTATGGTTGTGTACTATCATAGTAGCCTCTGAGTGCTTTTGTGGAAAATGTGTATAGAAATAGGACTGCTGTATTTGTTAAATTGGCTTTAGCGCAGTGGAAGTCACCATTTCAGATGATAAGATGTGTCAAAGAGTAGTTGAAATAGTACAAACATCATATGTTACGATGGATTAATGTATTTTATATATACTTACCTTGTTGCTTATCTTGTTGCTTTTACTAACTGTGTGTGCAAATGACCTGATTGGCTAATGATGAATATAATTCTATTTACAGTTGTTACTTATACGCCCCTGTCTAGTCAACATATATATGCTCCAGGCATGTGACCATAGTCAAGGAATTGAGAGTTGACCCTAGGATTTCCTCTTCCCTTCTCTCCCTAAATTCTACCTGCCAACATAACTGTAGCTGATTGTTAGATAAGCATTGACCTTCAAGTTAATTAAAGCCAGACAGGTTTTGCTATTAACAAATGTTTTAAATCCATACCTGAGGTTCTTCAGTGAATGCTTTGTTTTCTTGTAGACATTAGTTTGCAAGCAGCCTCTCGGATTCTCTCTGTGCCCGCTTATAATGCATTAAAAGTCATGAAGGACATTGCACAGAACTTCCCAGTCAAGGCCAGGTAAGGCTAATGTTATTTCCAATTACAGTGGTACCTCGGTTTAAGAACAATCCGGTTTAAGAACAATTTGGTTTACATAGTCCGCAAAACCGGAAATAGTGTCTTGGTTTGAGAGCTTTACCTTGGTCTAAGAACGGAAGCCGAACAGTGGAAGGGCACCGGTGGCGGAAGGCCTCATTAGGGAAAGCACGCCTCGGTTTAAGAATGGTTTTGGTTTAAGAAAGGACTTCCGGAATGGATTAAGTTCGTAAACCGAGGTACCACTGTATATTAATGAATGTCTGGATTTTGAGAGTTTCTTTTGAAACTTTATTTACATTTTTATCCCACCCTTCTTCCAAAGTTATTAGGGCAGCAGATGTGACTTTCCCTCATTTTATTCATTCACCAACCCTAGGAGTTAGAAAGTGACTGATCTGAGTTGAGCTTCTTGACCGAGTAGAATTTGAGCCTGGTCTCTCCAGTCCAAGTTCGATATGCTAGAGTAGCCTTCCAATAAACTCCACAAAAGTTGCTAGCCTGACTGCTCTCATATATCTATGTAAGTTGTCTGTGTCAATAAAGAAAATCAGGATCTACCTCACATCTTGCCTTGAAGTTGATTCTTATCATGTGACCAGGAAAGTGGTTTTTAACAAGCCTAAACAACAGTTAATAGAATTCAACAGATGGAAGGATCCAGTATGTAAATCCGAATGCTAAGTCTTAAATGGCCCATTGGGTGCAAGTTGTCAAATTAAGAAACATAGCCATGATCATTCATGCCACAATAATAGGCAATTCTTTGTCATCTTTCTATACCAAGAGATTACTCATAAGAGCAGTGAAGCTAGCTTTCCAGTGTTTATACAACTGGTATCATGTCGAGATTTCCTTCATTAGCAGACATTGTCATGATTGTAAGTGAACTTTTTATAGTGTTTTTCATGGATAAAATGCTTTACAATTCTTATCTCGTTTACCCTGTGGGTCTCCCTCTGCTACAAAAGCCAAATTTCTTTCCCTACTGTTCTATCAAACAATACACTATTGTTACAGTCTGCGATGCCTTGAATCCCCAATACAATCCCATACTTATTTGACATTGCAAGGCACAGCTGGCTGTAGTTTTTGAACTATTATGACAACCCTTAGACAGAATAAGGCGGAGATGAGAGTGCATGGTTGATGTTAGACATGAGCAGTAATTTCTGTCGTCTGGCAGAAACTTGAATAACTTTTCTTTGTTCCTGTTAGAATACATCTTGCATAAAATTTGTATTTGAGCATATAACAACCATTGAAAACGATGCTTCAGTCAAGTACCACTGTCTATCAAAAGTCTTTTCTAAAAATCTTTAATAGTCATTTTACTTTAGAAGAAAAGTTTACAGGTCTTGCTAGATAGCAAGAAGTTGAGAGTGGACATCTGGTTTGAACATGCCCTCACCTGCCACAGGGGGAAAAGCCTAGTTTAAGAAACCATAGCTCAAGCTAATTGTAGTTTCCAGTTCAGAAGTTACTACAAATTGGTTAGTTTAAACCAATTGTTTCATTGTGGTTGGGTGTTAGAGGGGATATGTTGAGGGGATATCATTGCATGCAAAACTTTGCCTATGGAGTACTTTATTCCCTCAGAATAGGTGGGGGAAATGCCGAAACACACAACAGTTCATGATCTCTGACTTTTTCAGATCCCTGACCAAAGTGTTAGTGAACCTGCAAATGCGGAAAGAAATAAAGGAAAATCAACAGGTTTGTTACTGTTCTTTTTATTATACAAAATGATGCAGTTGATTATACTGTGTCGAGAGATGCATATATTATACAAGGCTGGGAGATAAACGTATTATAATGTAACTTAAAAATGTAAGCAGCAGAATTTCTAAATGCGGACTTGCTCATCAGTTGCAGTCCTTAGCTTCTCATGACACCTTCTGCTCAAATATTGCATGGCATGGCCTGATTTGCTGAGCAGCCCTTCCAGCTACAGTGAGCGATGAAACTTAGACCATTAATGTTCAGATGTTACCTTCAGGGCTTGAGCTTTAACTCTGAACTAAGCTGCTTTAATTGACCACTGGAGTTCAACATAAATCAGTTCAGTACTCAAATGTCTGCACACAGTATAATTTGCTCTGTCGATAATGTATTTTAATGTATTGCAGAATTATATTTTGAGCTTTTGCCCTTAACACATGGGTCATTTGAGATCTGTGTTCTTCAGAGTATGTTTTAAAATATAAGTCTCCTTCCTCAGCTTCACCCCTATCATCCTAGATCAAGTCAGTAATCTTCAGCTATTGTCCCATTCCAAACAGCCCCATGTTTGTGAAGATTGCTTCGTTCAGGATTCATTTTCTTATATGTATAGTGAATCAGACAGTCATTGCCACCTCTTTCTACTCTTCCCTGATTTACCGGTATATAAAATATGCTTGATTTACTACTCACAGAGGTGTAAAGAATTTTATTTATTTATTAAATTCCTTCACCGTCCTTTATTTGAGGAACTTGTGGATGTCAAGGGTGCAGTACCAGTGATGCCGGCAGAGTTAGGTTATGGACCAACCCCAAGGTCTCACCCCCCCCCCTTCTCTGTGCATAACATGTAGACAACTTCAGGCTCTCAAAATTATCTAAGTGTTTTTGGAGGGTCCCTTATCCATTTTGATAAACTTGTCAGAAAGACCCACCCTTTTTATCCAACACCCCAAATCTGCTCCTAGGTCTGCACTTTTCTTCTTCCGTACCTCCTCGTGGAAACCATTCTATATCTTGCAAAAAATTAATCCCTGTGTTCTTAAAACAGTAAACATCCCTCCTCAGATGTTGTTGGATTCCCTCAGCCCCAGCCAATATGGCCACTGGTCCAGGTTGATGGGAACTGCAGTCGTCCAACAACAGCTGGGAGGGCCGCAGGTTCCCCACCCATGTGCTAAATTATGGTTTTGTGCTGCAAGATTGTGCAGGTATGAGCCTCAGGCTTGCATGCCGTATCCTGATAATAATGTAAAAGCCCAGCTGGGTGTTGGGGACTGGACTGAGGGGGACAAGACTGAGGAGGAATGGTGGAGACCTCCCCTCCCTCCTGAACTTCCCAGAGAAGAGGAAGGTTGTATTGAATTACAACAGTGGTTTGAGGAAGGTCACAGGTAAGAGACAGGTGAATAGAAGAGTTGGGAGGTGTTGGGAAAAGAGAAAGGGGGAGACAGAGTCAGAGCAGCCAGCTGACACGTTATCACTGGAGAGCGTTTTTTACCCCCCCCCTTCTCCCAGAACCTGGCATGCACTGAAAGTAGAAGAGCAAAAGACTCAAGAGACAGTTAGCTCCCGGCGGCCACCATCGGGGAAGTGCTGTTGCTAGGAAGGGAGGGGGAAGGAGCTCAGTTGGAGCAACAGCATTGACGGGAGACAGACTGCATTCCTTCATCATTCTCTGTGAATTATTGAATAAATCTTGGTAAGACCTCTTATTGTTGGCGAAAGGCCCAGAGCTCCAGCATTCTGTTCTCACAGTGGCCAAACAGATGCATATGGGAAATGCACCAAATGGGACACAAGTTCAGCAGCACTCTTCCCACTTTGTGGTATACAGAGGCATTCTGCGTCTGACCGAGGAGGCAGGACATAGCATAGCTATCACGTTTGGTAACCTTAACCTCCATGAATGTGTCTAATCTTCTTTTAAAGCTGCCCAAGCTTAGCAGCTCTCCCTGCATCTTGTGCGAGTAAAGATGTACCCAACATTAGAAAATTCCAGCCTGGGGTTAGTGGGAAGCCATAGATTTCCAGATTCGAACGAATTTTGTTAAACTCTGACTGAAAGATTGTCATCTGCAAAGGGAAGAAGGGACAATATAAGCCCGAGATACCTGCCTGCTTCTTCTCAGCATTTAGCTTTTACATCTGAAAGCTCTCAAGGAGGCTTTGACACCTTATAGGCTAATAGATTTATCGTGGTGAAAAAATTCATGAGTTAGAACCCACTTCATCGATTCATTATGCCCTAATAAATCTGCTAACCTAGAAGGTGCCGCAACAAAACTCTTTGTGTTTTCTGGAAGAAACTAACATAGCTACTGCTCTATGTTCTGCTGGCAACTATTTATTTTTTATTTGGGATTTCTGATCACTCCACTGAGACTGCTTCAGAATGGGTTGTGCTAAGATGTTTCTCTTCTACACTGCTGGCATTACTGGTTTTCAGAATAGTCTTTCAGAAATACCAAAACTAGGCAAAATCCACTCATAGAAGGGAAATATTTGATCCAGACTTCAGTTCTAAGCTTGGTTAGAAGAAGTAAGTCCCATTGAATTCAGTGGGGCTTGTTATTTTCTGAGTAAAGATGCTTAGCACCAGGCTATAAATTTCATTTTGTAGATGCTTCAAAGCAGTACTGAACTTCATGCCCATGAAAATCACTATTAAATAGCACAGTGTTTTTCATGCTTTCCTGACACTTTTACGTGGCTGATCTAAAACAAATACTTCTTTTAAAGCCCTGGAGCTATTTTTTTTATTTGAGCCATTTGATCTTTTTAATAAGCATCTTTTAGTGAATTCCTATTTAAGTTTTCCTCTTTCCTCTTTTCTCTCTCTCTCTTTCTCTTTTTTTGCCTTACTGCAGATTACTCATTTTTATTAGACTGCAGCAGCTGCACAAACGCAGTGTAAAATGGTATCAAGTACTGGTAGTTAAATAGCTCTTAAAATAGACCTGAATACATTTTGATGCCAGTTGCTCTCTTTTGGAAAATCCTGTTACCTAACAGAAGAACTTTTGAGTCTTTCTGTCTGAAGTGTCACATCCAAAGTAATGTTTGAGTAGACAGGAGTCTAATATACTTGCAGAAATTGTTCTACACAATTGCTAATGGGGTATTGGGGTGGGTGTGTGTGTGTGTGTGTGTGTGTGTGTGTGTATGTTTGTTCTCTGTATTTTAAACTTACTACATCAGAGAATTCAAACATAATTTTGAAGAGAAGTAATAAAACAAAATTTCATGAATCAGACAACATTTTGGTGAAATCGTGACCCCTGCGGGTCAGGGCGCCAAGAGCTCATTTTATGGTCTACCGTGAAACATGCAGTTTGCACTGCCAAACGTTGCAGGAGCCAATTTGCAGGTGTCTGGCACCATTTTCAAGTGAATCAGATGACATTGAGTTTTCGGGGGAAATTGTGACCCTGCAAGTCAGGCTGCAAGGGCTTTTTGTGGAGTGCCTTGAAATGTGGGGTTTTCACCGCCAAACATTGCAGGGGGCCTTTTGCTAGTGTTTGACAGCACTTCTGAGTGTATTGGATGACGTCAGGTTTTTGGCGAAACCGTGACCTCGTGGGTTACTTCTTTGAATATAGATAATGAAATTTGGGGTTAATCTGTGCAAATTTAACCTGGCTGCATACATAAGGTTATTGTCTCTAAGGACCGCATGAAAAAATGCTTTGGGTGCGCACAAGTGCAGTGGTGAGAAAGCAATCTCTTTGTCTTTTTTGTCTGTCTATAAATCTGGCAGCTATTCAGACATCAGTAGTAGAGCAGAATAAATTGTCATGCACATTTTTGAGCTACAGGATATTCGTCTAGCAGCAGGAGAGGCATGATTTCAAGCTGTGCAGAACTGAAAGATTCTCCTCTAAGATAATGTAAGTTGAATAGAAAATGCAATATGGGAAAGAGGCTAAAGCCTATTAAGGACTGAAAAGTATATGGTGATTAGATGCAGTCAGAATAGCTTTCAAGGATAAGTAGCTATGTTACGGAAGCATGTAGTTGTTGAAGCCTAAATAACATTTCAAGTTACAGACTCACCTAAGGAAGCCTTCCTTTTGTTTTTGCTCAGGTTAGCTGTCTAAAAACAAACGTTGTATGCTCCATGTTATAAGTGTACAGCCATTGTACCAGGTCCAGTGAAAAAATGTTTCCATTAGACCAGCCCTGTTTGTATGTATATAGAGACAGAGAGCGAGATTGTCCCTGATCTTATTCGCCTTTGGTGCACATTGTAGGGTAGGCCATTTGGTAACTCCCATTTTACAGATTGAAAAAGGACCAAGAGAGGGGTGTGTTCGCACGGCCATCAGTGTGCATACAAAACAGAGCAGGAATGAAGAATTTTTAAATCAAATTCAACACTGGCAATATATTATCTAAACTAGTGTTTCCCAACCTTTGGTCTCTAGCTGTTTTCGGACTACATTTCCCACCATCCCTGACCACTGGTATTGCTAGCTAGGGATGATGGGAGTTGTAGTCCAAAAGCAACTGGCGACCCAAGGTTGGGAAACACTGACGGAACCAATTATAACAGTAACATATTAAGTCAAGAATATTCAGTAAAATTTCAAAAGGAAAAGAGAAAAAACAATCAAAGACATCAAGATTAACACTCAAACAAGCCCATCTAGACTTGGACTAACTAGATCAGCTCAGGGCAATTGCTGAGGGCCATGCAGTCTAAGAGCCAAGTCAATTAAAGTTAGAACAGTACAGTATATTTGTGAGCTGCACCCCAGTCTGAGGTGCACCCCCCCCAGATGTTGGACTCCAACTCCTATCAGTCCCAGCCAACATGGGCAATGGTCAGGGGTGATAGGAGCTAAAATCCGACAACATCTGGAGCACACAATGCCTACCCCTGCTGTAGCAGATAATCTTTTTCAAGATCAAATGGTGCTTATTATCCTATTTCTTCTCTTTAAAAGTTGCTTTAGCTGAGACTGCTTCATAGTACACCATGTAAATGTTCTTTATTGTGGGAAAATAGGGAAATGGCATCTAGCTCCGGTGTAGGCACTGCCAGGCAGCCCATTGAATCTACTGCTGGGTGGCGATATTATAATAGACAAATAGGTACCGCTGCAGCGGGAAGGTAAACAGTGTTTCCGTGCGCTCTGGTTTCCGTCACGGTGTCCTGTTGCTCCAGAAGCAGTTCAGTCATGCTGGGTGGCAATATGGTCTAAACCACTGAGCCTCTTGGGTTTGCTGATCGGAAGGTTGGCAGTTTGAATCCCTGTGACGGGGTGAGCTCCCGTTGCTCTGTCCCAGCTCCTGCCAACCTTATTATGGCGCATAGCACTTTGGGAACATCCAACTTCTTCTGCAATTACCTTTTGAGGCTTTCCCTCCTTATGGAGGGTCTCAATGATGGCTTTCTGCACAACTGTCAGGTCAGCAGCCTTCCCCATGATTGTGCTTCCTACTGAACCAGACTGAGAGACCATTTAAAGACTCAGGAACCCATTGCAGGTGTTATGGATTGAATAGCTACTGCACCTTTTCACAATATTCTAATTTTCTGAGATTGTTAATTTGGGGTTTTCATCAGCTGTATGCCATAATCATCACAATTATAGCAAATAAAGGCTTGACATATCTCGCTTTGCATGTCATGAGTCTATCTCATATATTAGTTTCACCTTTTAAGTTGAATTACTGAAATAAATGAACTTTTCCACGATATTTTAATTTTTCGAGTTTCCCCTGTATAGCGAGCAAGAACTGGTTTGCTTCAAAGACTCTGGTGTGTTCAGCAACAAATGCTGAGCCTAATTTCCTGAAATATAACTTGTCAAACTAAGTTAAAGCCTGTCTTTCAGGTTATTTGGTTTTTCCTTTCTGTGAGCAGTGAATATGTAAGAAAGGATGAAATATGTTCATGAATAGTTAGCATCAAGCCTACTCTGTAGAAGAGGAGAAATCCCTTATCTACAAGAATAATTAGAAGATTAAATTTTATCCAGCCAAAATTAATGTCATCTTGTTCACATAGATTTCAGATTTGAAAGATGATATTCTGAAGATGGGTTTTTAAACTGTCTTGACTAAATTATACTAAGCTTGACTTCTTCTTTTTACTATCTTTCTAGCATCTGAATGAAGCTCTTGAACTTCAGCCTGGTGAAGCACGATTATTTCTAAATGGTCTTCGTATGGATTTGAATCTTCATGATCCATTTAGGTAAAGTATTAGTTATGCAACTTCCTATATTAACTGTACCGAAAGGGCCCAGTAACTTGATCCATAGACCAGCTAAGCTGTGGTTAGCTCTATATTGACAGTCCTAAAAAGAATATTAAGTATAGCAATCTGATTGTTTTGTTTAATTTAAATTGAGAGGAAGAACAAAAGAGTTGCTAAGTAAATCATATATTTGTGTTTTTTTAAAAAATAGTCTTTTAGAAACTTTGAAGGTAGAAGAGAAAGCAATGCGTGGACTTCACTCCCTTGGAATTAAAGGAGATGTTCTTAGTAAAATCATGAGATTAGATGCCCATTCTGATGATGACGCTTATGCATTAGACATTCGTCACTCTTCAATAGTAGTAAGTAACCATATTAATTTCTTTATCTAGCTAACAACTTTTAAAGTCCCATGAGACCCTTGGGGTGATACTCATCTAAGTTTTATTCAAGAGTGGACCTATTGAAATGAATAAACCTAGCTTTCTCATGTTCATTTATTTTAGCAGGTCTGCAAATCATAATACAATAAAATACAATATAAGAATTAAAAGAAGCAGTGAAATACAGTTTAAAATCATACAGCATCTTGCGCAGTGCATTACAAATACTGCAAGAGGCAGAAAAATCACCAATTGCTCCACCAAGATCATCAGAATGAATGAATCTTTATTTGCATCAGCCATCGGCCATAACAATAAAACAACAATACAATATACAAAGAATAGAAATAAAATGTCAATTATATAAAATACATTTTAGGGTTTTGAATCAATAGTCAAATAGTGGATCTTGTTCTAATTGCCCCAGCTAAAAGATCATCAGAAATTTTCATATACTCCATGGGAAATAAAGTTTTGGATCCGCTGGTCTAGGCAAATATTGCAAATGACATTCAATAAAAAATGAGTCCTATACCAAGCAATTATTTATTATTATTATTATTATTATTATTATTTGTATACTACCCTATACTGAAATACATATATAGACTGCACACACACACACACCCCTAAGTAAGAAAATTAGCTTTGTATATTTTATGAATTTGTTTGAAGGAAAGAGATTTATTAATTGCTAAGATTCAGGTTTCTTACAAAGTTCTACTGGTGAACTTGATAACCACTGGGTAAGATTCAGGTGCAACTGCAAAAAAACAAAACCTTATTCCTATGTGTAGTTGCCATATTAAATCCTGCATTTATTAACTGTAAGTGTACATCAGTGGATAAACAGTCTTCAGTATCAAATGATAAATTTCCTTGTAAGTGAGGAAGAAATTGAAAGGAAGAACCTCAAAGGATGCTAAATTACCCTTTATTGACAAGTATATGAACACAGGTAGTAGCTGAGAAATTTTTAATTACTTGCTTACTGCATTATATATCGCTGAGTTCCCAAGGGGATGAAACCCTTTTCTCCTTTATCTGTTAAATGTGTGGTTTCCTTAAACTGTGTAATTTTTTAAAAACTTGCATGCAATTAAATCTATTCAGAGTACAGTAGACCAGTATTAACTTTCTTGTCAGCGCTCTCTCTCTCTCTGTGTTCCCTAAATGATTGTCATGAGATTTCCAGTGTATACATTTTCTTACTAATAGTTAAACACAGACTGTAGGTACCAATTCTCAGTGCTATTTTTCTAGAAAAAGAGGTGCCAGAACTTACCATGAATCCCTCCCTTGTTCTCTTATAACGGCAGTGGCACCCAACTGAGAGGTGCCGGAACTAAGTTTCGGTGAGTCATGGCTGAAAAAAAGCTCTGCCAGTTCTTCGTATGGTTTTCTCTGGCTGGGCATACCTTTAAGTGAATTTCAGTAATGCTTCTCTGAACGGCAGTTTGCTCACCTCTGCTAGTTTCACCCTGCAACAGAGCCGCTTAGATATATTCCAGACTGGGATAACCAAAGTGGTGCCTTCCAGATATTGCTGGATTGCAACTTTGCAATGAATGGCTGGTTAACGATATTTTAAATAAATGAAACAAATTCCTATTATCCCTATGCATTGGCTTTGCTGGCTAGGAATGGACGGTGCTGTCATTTAAAATGATGGTCTGTTTAGGTGTTTGACCCCAGACCTTAAAATATTTGGGCAGTGACAGCATTGTTCCACTTCAGGAGGTTGCTGCACTGCAGAGACAGGAGCAATCTTAATGAACTTATAAAGTTGAATTCTGGGCAAAGAAGGAGCAAAAGCAGGCAAGCATGTAAAAAAAAGTTTGATGTGGTTGTTATAAGATTGAAAACTTAAATGTGGGTTCTTTCCCCCCTTTTTATAATAATTTTTATTAGTTTTCAATTATAATCCAATAATAGCTTCATTATAACAATACTAATTTATAATACAGTTATCGATACTAATTATTCAAATACCAAATTATATAATTTAGATAAAGTAGCCCCATGCATTCTAGAATTGATGGCTTGATAATTTGCTTAATTTTTCGTTCCAAAATCTTATAATTTCCATTACATTCCAGTCATAATAATAATCCCTTATACAACAACCGCAATATTAATAACTTCTATTTATGTTAGCACATTAAATGATTTATAAAACTACAAGCAAGGAACTCAAACTATATCCTTGTTCTTCCTGTGTGTGGCAGTTATTTTGTCTGTGGTGTTTCTTTCTGTCCTTGTAAGATGTTATGACTTTCTTTTCCCTGGTTGTTGCTGTTATCCATCATGCCTTGGGTGGAGCTGAGTTTGGCGGGTGTGTGTTCTTAACCATGGTTAGCACATATCATGGTATGAACCCAGTCTATGCTTTCAGTTCAACAACCCTGGAAAGGTCTGTTGTGAAATGAATGCATACTCTAGAACAGCCGTCAGAATCTTTTGCAATGTATTGTGCAGGGCAGCGTTCAAAGTGAAATATATCAAGTATTCTCGGGCAGACAAGTCAATGAAAGTGTTCCCTGAAGGGAGAAAGTCTATAAAGTGCTTCTTAAGCTTTGAAAATCCTTTTTAGCACCATATTAAGTTAGACAAGAGAAAACTTTAAGCAGTAACACTGTTTGGCATATCAGATAATATACTCTATTGTTTTACTTTTGTCTTACAAAGAAATTATGACCCCTCTTTATCCCTTTCCCTTTTTGTTGAAATATCTGATACCTAAACCGAACACATTTATTTGTGAGTGTTAACAGAGTCACACTGAAGTTGTTTTTCAGAAGTAAGTCCCATTGTAGTAAATGATACTTAACTTCTCAGGCAAGTGTGTAGTAGTAGTAATAGTAGTAGTAATAAAATAATAATAATTAATAATAATAATAATAAATAATAATAATAATAATAATTTATAATAATTTATTATTTATACCCCACCCATCTGGCTGGGCTTTCCCAGCCACTCTGGGCGGCTTCCAACAAAATACTAAAATACAGTAATCCATCAAACATTAAAAGCTTCCCTAAACATAGAATACGTAGAATAGAGGCCAGGAACTTCAGTCTTTCCCACAGAATTTCATGGTCAGGAGGACTCTTGCAATTGGTCTTTACCTACATGGCTACATATTTAAATGTTCTCCCAACTATGTGGTTGGTTACTTAAGGAAAGGTAATTCCCACGTAGTTGAGGTAACAAAGAAGCACTTAATGTGCTTAAGATGTCAGCCTTACAGCCATGTTGTCATCATGTATCTGGTTATAATGTTTGGTTTTAATGGTAACTCTGGCAATCACTTCTGTGTTTCAGTGGATCAATGACTTAGAAACAGATCACATCTATGACAAGTGGCCTACAAGTTTTCAGGAACTTCTTAAACCAGCATATGCAGGAATGATGCGGCAGATTCGGCGCAATCTATACAACATGGTATGTACTGGGGGTACTGGCCAAACTTACTTGTATATTCGTTTATTTTGAGATTAGGGTCTTCTGCCGTTTGTCCTCACCACTCTCTGGGCAGCAATCCACATGTCTGTATATCATTTAAGATAGTTTCACTTGGTTGTGTGTAAAATATGCATAGCTGTTCTGGTATATCCACGAAGACTCTGAAAAGGCGTAGTTTGCATCTGACTAGAAAATGGATATGATAATACATCTTCAAATGTTACTCTCCAAGTAGCAAAAGCTTGGAGCTGCAGGCGGATAAGATCAGGCTGGACTTGGAGGACCTTGGATAGTTCAAAGTACCGTACTTTTCTATGTATAAGACAAGATCTTCCCCCTAAAAATTGACGCTTAAAATGGGTGGGGGTGTCTTATACACGGGTAGTGCATTGGGGGGACGTATGATTGGCTGCTGCCCAGAAATTGAGGGCGTCTTATACATGGGGGCGTGTTATACATGGAAAAATACGGTATATACTTTTTTCTGTTATCAGAATCACAGCTTTTACCTCTTTCACCAGACTGCACCTCTTGGGCTCCACCTCCTTTCTCAAAAGTGGAGAACCCTAAAGGGAAAATCTGGCTTGGGAACCTAGCACTCAGTTGCCTCTTGGTCAGCTGCCAGCTTGTGTATTGGCCGACCTTATGATCCGGCACTAGTCTGAAAGTGGGCAGCAGGATAATATATTTAAGGAAATATTGTTTATTGGAGTCTTCATTCAGGAGTCTCTGACCCAAGGGGCTCCTGACTTGACAAGCTCAGGTTGTGCTTTGCTGGTCGTGTTGATCCACCTGGTTTCTCCTCCGCTGTGTCAGAAGTTTGGCCTCTGCTGGGGTTTGGGACATGACATAAGTGCTTTATATAAGCTGCCCTAAACTGAAGTTGCAGTCTGTATGTGTTTTATTCATTCATACCAAGATAAGCAGCCAGAAAAGTGGAACCATTGAACTGTAAAATGCACGTACCTCATCAGTTTCATATTTGTGGGCTGATCTGTCCCATGTCATTACAGCATGAGGCCCTCTGGTTATTACAGCATCTTTTGTACAGCTCAAGGAATTCCTGATTAAAGAGTATACCAGTGTGGTATGGGATTTGGCTACATGAAAGAGGCATCTCTTGTGCCACAACAGGGACTTAGGAATCAGCCCCCTGTGGCCCTGAGTATCCTGAAGTTTTCTGATATATAACTGAATTTATACAAGCACATTTTATCTGAGATTTTGGCAGTGGGTTCAGCATTTCAGAACCTCTTTAGCTGATTCTTATTTTCTACCTGCTGAAACCATAACCATCAGAGTTGATTTCCAAAAATTCTAAGCTTATCCCACAACATGTTCAGAAAGTATGGTAAAAGCTAGGCTTCTTTTGACTGTGAAAGCTGCCATTGCACTTTTAGAAGCGAAATGTGAATATGAATTTCTGGGATCAGCAGAAGCCATCAAAATACCTCATTAATACACTATCTCATGATTCAAGTCTAGATGCCATCTTCTGGGAGAAACAACCTACATCATTGCCTAACTGCTGCTAACTTAAAGTAGTTGTGTGGAGAGACACACACTGAGAGCAACTCTTTCTTAAGCTACAACAGACATGCTCCATATCCTTTCTGTTAGTGTGTCACAGAAGAAAGCGAAATTAAAATGTGCACCTCTATGTCTGATTGGCTTTTAGACACTAGAACTCAATTTATCCTTCTGTTCTTCCTTGTGATTAGGCTTTTAATTTAAGTACACTTTACTGTGAGAGAGCCTACTGTTGTCTGTCTGGAATACTGTGTTAAATCCTGATACAGCTAACATGACACAACTTATTTCTTTTTAGCATTATAAGTTCATCCTTGGCCAAGCTGATTGATAACTGCCCGCACATATTTGAAAAGGTTGTTGCTGAGAGAACCAATGCAGTCACTTTGCTAGCCAGATTGTTGTGTGTTGGTGTCTGTTGCCAAATGAGTATATGCCCTTGTAAGAATTCACCTCCAAAGTTTGAAAATCTTGGCTCCTTTATTTAGGTTCAGCTTCTTGGCTATGTAATGCTTAAGACGAAAAGTTGCCATCTAAGATATTCAGTAACAACAACAAAATGAAAATAAAAAATGCAGCAACCTAGAGTCATAACTTTTCCAGGGTGTAAAATATTTGTAGACAAAATGTAGATATACATATTTTAAGTATTCTCACCACCCCCTGCAAAAGTGGCATTCATCAAAGGTTTGCCGCAGGAAGCGGTAAGCATATACATTTTGGGAGGTTGTGAACAAAATTCAAAATGACAAATCTGCTACTGTTTATCACCCAGACTTTTGCTACAAATGCATAAATTCTAAAGTTGCATTCAAGTATATAAATGGACTTTTATCTTTCCATTTCCCCTAGCTATTACTAGGGATGTGCTTACTTTTTCCTGATATCTTTGAACTAGTAGCTCTCACTGAAGTGATAAATCTGTCTATGGGCTGTACCATTTCACGGTGCGGATGACAGTACAGTGGAACCTTTGGTTACGTACTGTCCTCCTTATGCACGGGTAACATGCTCCACTAACCCAGAAGTAGTTGCTCCTGATAGCGAACTTTGCCCCGGGATGCGAGCGGAAGTGTCATGTCAGCGGCGCATGCGCAGCAGGAATCCCCATTAGCGAAAGGATAAGAACAGTTTAGAGTTAAGAATGGACCTCTGGAACAAATTAAGTTCGTAACCGGAGGTACCACTGTACACCTTTGGGAATGCCCCTCATACAAGAAAATTCTCCACATAGCCTACAAGTACGTCAGGTGATTTTGCTGGGCTAAATATCGTCTGTTGGACATCAGTATTTTTTGTGGGAGATAATTCAGTTGTGCGAGCCCAAACTTGTGGTCTGGAATCAATACAGTCTAGAACAGATATGCTACCTCAATGTGTTCCTTTGGGCCTCTTAAGTCTGCAAAGGAAAAGAGCAGAGAAAGTACAGGGAATGATACTGGGCCTAAGGATTCTCTTCTCCCGTCAGGTCATCTTTATTGATCCTATGCAAGAAGAAGCAGCTCACTTCATGAAACTTGTAGAAGTATTCTACTTTCAAAAGGTGCCTCTTAGGTAAGTTGAAATATGGGCAGATATGTTTCTTATACATGATGGTGTACACTGGCGTACAGTCTGTGTAAATGTCATGTGTGGTGACCCTTGGAGCCCTTCCAGCCATTCTCTTAATTGCGTGTTCATGATTATTTGTGCTCATGATAGGGTAACGGCAGTTAAAATCCTTTCAATCCTTTGTTTAGTATGGCAGCACCTGTACTTTGGAGCTCCCGGCCTATTGAAATCAGGCCTTCACTGAACTCTTTTTGGCACCTGTTAAAAACATTATTTCCAAACTGTGTCGCAACACGTTAGTGTGTTGGCTGAAGTGTGTAGGTGTGTCCCCATACATTTTGTATATGTGTCCGTATCTCTTATAAGGGGTTAGTTTAACCTCCGGTTTGCCAGTAAAGCTGAATTACTGTGTCGCGAAATGATGCATGTCTGAAAAGTGTGTCACCAACATGAAAAGTTTGGAAAGCTCTGATTTGGACATACCTAAGCAGTTGCTTTAAAAGTTGAGATAATTTTAATCCATCTTAATATTTTAACTTTGTATGTTTTAAAGAGGGGTTGTGGATTTATCTTAAGTGTTTTATCATTTATTTATTTATTTATTTATTTATTCATTCATTCATTTTAATTTATATACCATCCTATACCCGCAGGTCTCAGGGCAGTTCACAGGATAGAATGACAATATAAAAACACAGAATATATAATCATACTAAAAACAGAAACTACCGAATTAATCCCCACCCACCACAGCACATTTTAAAAGGGTATTGGCTATACAAACCAGTTAAAAACAATTTAAAGCATTAGTTTTTTAAAGAAATAAACAATTAAAAAGCAGTTTAAAAGAATGTAAACAGCTTTGATGGGTTCCAGGGATTCTATAGAATTCTCTTATTCTGTCCAGATAGCATTTATAGTAGATTTTTTTTGGCAAGGTGGTATGGAAACGTTAATCAGCATTAAACAGCTTTAAAGTTTCCATACTTTAACCAGGACAGCAGTTGCAAACGGATTACATGGGGTTATAGGTGTTGTAGTTGCATTTAACGCTGTAGAGATGAATCAAGCTAGACCCCCACTGGGCCTTCCACTTTTGAGGTTTTCCACAATCAACCAGTGCTTAAACTGTATTAGGTAAATACAGAAATACTGTTTGCAACTGCAAGAGTTTCAGGACGGATATACTTGTTGAATGGTTTAATATGTAAAGGTTCATCATTGTTCCACTCGATGTGTATGTCTTTAAGGGGCCAGAGAAAGGGCCAGAGCAAAATAACGAGACCCAGCTTTACAGCTGTGAAACATAGCAGGTGCTGCTGAGTTGTATTGATTAAGCTGTGTTGGTAATTGGGTGTAGTATATAAGGAGCAGCACCTAGCTCTCCCATTACCCTGGGGGATGGGTTGGTGGTTGGGTCATGTTTGTTTGTTAATGTATTTAGTGTAAAAGGAGTTTTTGTTTTTCTTATTAAAACCTTGTTTAAGTTATTTTTGAGTCTCTTTAAATGCATGGTCTCCCCAGCAAGCTCTCTGCAGCGCTACCATACTGCAAAAAGCCAACATCTTTGGTTATGGGCCCAGCTGCTGAGTGGATGACTGCATATTTTTGGACTCTGAGAAAGGTTTGAAAACTCCTTCTCCTGTTAGCGTAGTTCTGTGGGTCTGGAAGAGTTCCAGAATGGTTGACCGGGTTCCTGAAGCTGAGAAGGCTCTGGTCTTCCCACAGCTGACAGATGAGAACTATAGTTTATGGTCTTTTCGGGTGGAGGCGCTTTTGACCTCTAGAGAAGTATGGACCTATGTAACTGATGACCCTCCTGACCCTGTGACTAATGCTTGGTCGAAAGGAGATGCGAAAGCCAGGGCGATAATTAATTTGGCAGTCAGCGACCAGCAAGTAGTCTATATAAGAAATAAGAAAACTGCCAAAGAAATGTGGGACAGTCTTGCAGCAGTGCATGTTAGAAAAGAGTCAGCGTCTGCATTGACGTTTTCAAGCAGTTGTACCAGACGAAGTTGCAGCCTGGTGGTGATTTGGCAGCACACTTGAGACGTCTGGAGGCAATACGCGGCGAATTAATTCGAAGGGACATGGAGATACCTGATATTCAGTATGTTTTCATCATCCTTTGTTCCCTTAATGAGGACTTTGATGGTATAGCTAGCCAGATATCTGCCGTTCCACCAGCACAATTAACTGTGGAAGGGGTAACGGCAAGATTAATGGGCGAGTTGGACAGAAGGGAGGCTTGTGCCATAAGCACTCCTATTTCCAGAAAGAATGAGGAACGCCATATGCAAACTTGTGGTGATACAACTGCATTTAAAGCTGCAAAGCGTTGTTGGTTCTGCAATAAGCAAGGACATTTTGCAAAGGACTGCAGATCCAAAAGAAAGCAAAGTACTCCCAAGTCTGTTTCTGTTCGTCAGTCACGGTCGTCAGCTCAGCAGCCGGCATCGTACCGTAAAGACAGAAACGAGCCGCGAGCTTTTCACGCTAGCACAAGAGATCGTAAAAGAATTAAAGGTGCCAAGTGGAATTCTTTTATTGTGGACTCAGGAGCATCTCAGCACGTTTGCAACGATCGAAGCTTGTTTATTTCTTTCGAAGAGGAAATTGGTAATGTACATTTAGCCAATTCACAAGTCTTGCAGTCGCTTGGCAGGGGTACTGTTAAACTTGACTCTTTAAACATTACTATAGCGAACTGCATTTACTGCCCATCAGTGGACAATTTATTGTCAGTAAGGTGTTTTGCTCGTCAAGGCATAACTGTGCGTTTCTTAAAGTCAATGTGTGAGTTTTTCGAGGGGAACAAACGTCTATTGTATGCCCGGGAATCTGATGGTTTATATAGACTGTATTTTCGCACCTACTCCCAATCGCCTATAAATTGCAGAGCAGCACAGTCAAGCCAGGGGTTGAGGAATGTAAGGCCACATTCTGGGTGTGTCCATGAGGCGCACAGAATTCTGGGACATCTGAATTTTGCTGATGTAATTAAGACCAAGAATATTGTTAATGGCCTCAACTTAAAACCATGTAAATTCTTTATGCAATGTCTATCCTGTTGCAAGAATAAGATTAAGGTTGCACGCAAGGGTAGGTGCTCAGATAGGAAAGTAACTGAGCCATTTGAGCGTGTACATTGTGATTTAGTTGGGCCACTCCCACCATCCTTAGGAGGTTCTAAGTACTGGCTTACCCTGATAGACCAGTATAGTAGATATTGTTGGACTTATGCAATAGCTGAGAAGTCCCAAGCATTTGAGAAGTACAAAGTTTTTGCAACTGGGTAAAAACACATTTTAACAAACCTATTAAGAACCTTTTTTCTGACCGGGGCGGGGAATTTGTTTCTGAGGATTTTGAGAATTTCCTGGAAGCGCAGGGGACTACTCATGAGTTATCTTGCCCCCGAAGTCCCTGGCAAAATGGGCTTGTTGAAGTTGTGCAGCGTGACCTGCAGGCAGGGGTTAAAACTTATCTGCACGATGCTAATCTGCCCAAAGACTTTTGGGCTGAAGCGCTCAATGCCTTTTGTTATGTTAGAAATTGCAGTTATCATTCTGGTTTAGATGTCACCCCCTATGAGAAGCTGTTTAAAAAAACGCCCTAATCTGAAATACCTACGCATTTGGGGTTCAGATGTAATAATGCATTATCCCGCTAAGCAGAAATTGGGTGAACGTAGTGTCCAGGGAAAATTAATGGGCTACCAGCAGGGGGCGTACAGAATTTACATACCAGCAACTGGCAAATTTCATATTACCAGAAGCATGATACAAACTGTAAATTGGAATGGCGTTGCTATTTTCCAAGATAGTAATGGTATAGATAATACTGAGGAAGAAGAGGTAGAAGAAGCAGCAGCAGCAGCAGGAAATGGTGCTTCTGAATTAATGGAAGAAGACAAAAAGCCTGTTGAATCTGATAATTTCTTTGATGATTTAAAGTCACAGGCACCCGAGGGAGGTTAGATTCTCTTGAGTTTTCTGACCGTGAGCTTAGCCAACAGGCATCTCTTCAGTCTGACAATGATGATTTACAACCTGAAACTAGTAGTTTACATAGTCCCATTAAGTCTGAGGAGTCTGACTCTCCTTCCGGACTGAGACGTTCAGATAGAAAGAGACAGAAGCCACAACGTTTTGCAGATGAACATTTTAATACTGTGTATGCCAATAAGGCAGTTTTTGAGCCAAAAAGCTACAATGATGTTCAGAATTTACCTAAGCACCAAGCTGTAAATTGGTATAAAGCTATGAACTCTGAAATAGCTTCTTTAAAAGAGCATAACACTTGGTCTCTTGTACCACAAACCCCAGATATGAGACTTATTGATTCAAAATGGGTTTATAGAGTTAAAATGAATGACAAAAATGAAGTTGTAAGGTACAAGGCTAGATTAGTTGCTAAGGGTTTTCAACAAATTCCAGGTGAAGATTATGATTTGTGTTATTCACCAAGTGTAAAATATGAAACAGTTAAGCTTTTGTTAAAAGATGCATCACAACGTGGACATTCTGTTTATCACCTAGATATAAAAACTGCATATTTGTTTGCAGATTTAAAAGAACAAATTTTTATGCGTGTCCCTGAAGGCATAGACGCCGCTGAAGGTTTGGTATGCAAATTAAATAAATCCCTTTATGGTCTGCACCAAAGTGGAAGGAATTGGCATCAAACTTTAGCAAAAGAATTGCTGGATATTGGTTTTTCACAGGGAAAGGCAGACAATTGTGTGTTTATAAAGGAAAGGGCAAACTCTGTAGCAAAAATATGTGTCTATGTAGATGACGTGTTAATTTCTACAAAAACTAAACAGGAATATGAACAGGTAGTAACACAGTTACAGAAGAAATTTGATGTGGTGGAATTAGGCATAGCTAAAAATTACTTATCCATGCAAATTGAGAAAGGCAAAAATGGATCTTTTCTGGTTCATCAAACTGCAAAAATTGACGATCTTGTTGAAATGCTATGTTTAGAAAATGCAAATGGGAAGGAAACGCCCATGGTGTGTGGTTTCACTTTTACAGGTGAAGATAAGCCATTTCCTAACAAAACTTTGTATCGTTCTGCTATAGGCAAGCTAAATTTCATTCAAAGAATCTCAAGACCAGATATAACTTATGCCTTTCACCTTCTGGCAAAATTTGTGGAAAAGCCCACTACACAATGTTTCTCTGCTCTTAAGAGAGTGGTAATGTACCTTAAACATACCAAACATTATAGGTTGCAGTTTACAACATGTATTGACAAAGGTTTTGAAATTTTCTGTGATGCATCTCATGCAGTGGAACAAAATAATTGCAGGGGTGTGTCTGGTATGGTGTTTTGTTATAATGGTTGTCCATTTGAATGGAAGTCCCAGACACAAACCATTATTTGTCTCTCCACAACAGAGAGTGAATTATGTGCATGTGTTCAGGCCACTCGTGATGTGGAATGGTATCTGCAAGTATTCGCAGACCTACAGATGCAAGTAACACTACCAGTAAAAGTTTACCTTGATTCCCAGAGTGGACTCGCTATCCTATGTTCAGAAACCAATACGCAGCGCACTAAAGTCTTAAGATTACGTTTACAGTTTGTAAAGAAACTAATTGCTGATGAAATGGTTGTATTTAAATATGTTCCAGGTGACAATCAAATTGCAGACATTTTTACTAAAGCACTTCCAAAAGGTATACATGAAAAACATGTACAAAGTATGCTTTATGTTTTTGTTCCACAATGATGAACCGCAGGGGAAATGTTGAATGGTTTAATATGTAAAGGTTCATCATTGTTCCACTCGATGTGTATGTCTTTAAGGGGCCAGAGAAAGGGCCAGAGCAAAATAACGAGACCCAGCTTTACAGCTGTGAAACATAGCAGGTGCTGCTGAGTTGTATTGATTAAGCTGTGTTGGTAATTGGGTGTAGTATATAAGGAGCAGCACCTAGCTCTCCCATTACCCTGGGGGATGGGTTGGTGGTTGGGTCATGTTTGTTTGTTAATGTATTTAGTGTAAAAGGAGTTTTTGTTTTTCTTATTAAAACCTTGTTTAAGTTATTTTTGAGTCCCTTTTTAATGCATGGTCTCCCCAGCAAGCTCTCTGCAGCGCTACCATACTGCAAAAAGCCAACAATACTACTTTGCTTCCAATCAGTGCATGTCCTGTAACTCTACTGAAATCCAGTATAAATTCATCAGTAATGGGCTTTAATTACATTGGGGACACGTTACAGAAAACCCCCCAAATCAGATGGAACCCTTTAATTTTCCTGGATTACTTTTGCCGTGTCCCTTCCCCACAGCAATTGATTCAGCTGAGCATGTAGTATTTATGTGAAATGAGATGTACAACCCTTGTCATATAATCTGCTAGAGATCTGATTTCGTTGCCAGAAAATTAAATAATGGCCTTGACAATGGAAGATGCCATTGAGAAGGAAATAACTCCATAGATTTGATGGAAGCTTCCAGAAGCACATGTGACCAGAAAGCTAGATTAGATGAACCTTGATCTCCTCTCACAGTATTTTGTTTTATCAGTGGGGAATTGTTGATACTACTTTGGATTTGTTCTCAATAGAATCACCATAGAAAACTAGGATTCAGTCTGGAAAGCTGTGCTTGATATTCTGATTTAAAATGCTTATTGCTGCTGGAGGATGGGACAAGCAGAATTTCACAGTAAAGATGCTTAGGAACTACCAAGTACAGACTTGCAGAGAAGAGTTAGCTAAAGTTAGGAGGGAAGGGATACCAGGAACTGTAGAGTCTAGGTAAAAGGGCAGGAATCTTGGCTACTGGAGAATTACTGTGCTGATATAAAACTGTTGGCATCAAGTGAGATAAATCATAGATGTTCAGGGGGAATAAGGAATGCAGAGTGCCAGGTCAGTTAAAGACTGAAAATGTGGGGACATTTTTTTTTTAACCTCAGAAAAGGTTATTTCTGTATGCAACAACTACAGCCCATGTTTTGTTAGCTGCAAAATGGAAAATGAGGGAGGTCCAGATTGGCAACTTAAGTTGACAGAATATGCACAACTTGCAGACTTAAAGTGTAGAATAAGAGAACAAGAAGAACATACATTTAAAGAAGATTGGAAAACGTTTATTGAATATATGGAAAATAATTGTGTACAGCTGAAAACGCTGGCAGCATTAAGATAAATTCAACAGTGTAAATAAGTTTTGATTGATGTAATAATGGAAAAGCGATTGGTATAAATATGCTGGGATATAAGATATGCAAAATGAACCATGGAAAGAGAAGAAGGGAAGTCATTGATATCTTAAGTATGTAAAATGTTTATCTGAATTTGTAAAACAGAAAATATAATAAAATCATATTAAAAAAGAAAATGTGCAGACATGATTTTGATGGTGTGGTTTTGAATAGGAAATGGACATGTTTTGAGAGGTCAAGGTAGGAGATAAGGTTTTTCAGCAGAAGTAAAGATCATGTTAGATCCTTTTGAATTTTGGTATCTTCTGGTCAGCAGTCTAACTAGCAGGCAAAATCCCCCATGAACCTATGGCTACATGAGAGCTATCTGCAGTCAGATGTCATAATTGGATTGAGCTCACACAGAGAGGTAACCCTAAATTAAAACCTTTCTCTAAGCAGGTCTAGGCTATCTAGTCCTCCAGTTTACCTCTTTCACTGCTTGCACAGTCATCGTCACTAATGGTAGATGGTTTCATAACAATTAAATTGCTTTTATTTGCTGTAGGCCACTGCCACTCACTTTAATATTTTGAATGTTGCCAGTTTATTCTTGCTATTTGGATTCACATGCAACGTGTCTAATCTGCTTTTAATGTGGTTTTATAAAATGCTGCAACTCTTACAGAATTTTCATTTCTTTTCTGAACAGAATTGGGTTTGTTTTCGTCCTAAATACTGATGAAGTCGTTGATGGAAACAAGGATGCAGGTGTAGCTTTATGGAGAGCTTTTAACTTCGTTGCAGATGAAATGGATATCCCTGCGGCTTTTACTGCCATGACGAGAGTTAGTGCTTGTAAAATATTTTTAAAACAATCCTTTTTTTTTCAAGGTTACCTGTATTTTTCTGCAGGTACAAAGTAGCCACGGGGCTTACTATTTAAATGCATTTAGTTTTAAAAAATACTTTTCCGTAAGAAGTTTTGTTCTCAGCGTTGCCAAGCTTTCCTGGTGGGGCGGGGATGGATGCAGATCCATGTGCCTTTTGGCACAGATCTTAGCCTGAATGGGCCAAAAACATAAAATTCAGCTGCCTGCCTCAAGATAGAGACGCACGCCCCCAACTCAGTGCATGCAATTGAGACATATAAGCAGGAAGTCTCAGCTAGCTTCAGATGACTCATGCAAACAGAGAAATGCGGCACAGGTGAAAGCAAAGGAAACCTACAGAATCGCTAGGCAAGCCAGTGGGGTGTGTGTGTAGAGGCAGATTAGAATTTCCTTACTCTTAACCCAACTGTGGTTAAACTGGAAAACATGGAACTGAATTCAGGTAGATGATAGTAAAAAAAAAAAAGGGAGATGGTGAATTCAGTGTTAGGCATTATTATGAAACATATTTAACACCCATCCTTTAGTGCTTTTGCCAGGCCAGTAAGAGGCTGTGTTTGTTTTTGTGTCCTTGTCTGGCCCTGCCCACTTTTGGGGTGTGGTACCACCCACTGCTGAAATGCAACACACACACACACACACACACACACACACACACACACCCTGTCCCGCAAAGAGCTTTCCACACTAGTAATCTGGTTGTCGGACTGAGAGACTTCCTGATCCCCTGGTGTAAATGGCTTCTGCCCACCAGTTTGGGATTGTTAAGGGGAGAAACGCTAAATATATGGATTTGAGAGAGTTGGTGCACTCCTGCTTAACAGGAACCCCGGAGGAGGAAGGTAAATTCCAGGTGCTTAAGCGCAGGTTAAAGCTGAAGCTCGCAGAATAAAATCGTGAAAAGGTAGCTCTTTAATTTTATCTAACACTCTCATGAAGCCATCAGGATTCCTTGCTTCCAAAGCTGTTCTAGGGAGGCTGTCCTAGAATTATGTGCCAGTAATAGAAATCTCCCCATTTCTAACCTAACTTTATTAGTGGCTAATTTATAGCTGTGAGGTTTTATGCCTCCCTACTTGTCTTCCCTTAAATAGCTCTGACGGCTAAGCTGTGATATTTCTAACATGACTGCATATTTAGCAGTTTACTCATATTTCTGGGCTTCTGGAAGAGAGTAGGCAACAAGACAGCTTTATTATGTAAATATTTGCCTTGCTTGCTTGACGCATTTCATGGCTGGGTACTGGAAGGATGTGAGATGGATGCATGTAATTGTGCAGAAAATAAAGGGTGGTTTTATTCTCTCTCCTGAATTTCTCCTTTTCCCCTAAGTGCCCAGAAATGCATATGATGGATGAGTTTAAGAGTGAAAGTTCATTGAAGTTTAATTGGCGGAGGCATTAAAGTGTGCCGTCTCTTGGTTACTGCTGAAAAACCCGGTAATAAAATGAGCTAGATGGGCCTGTGATTGGGCAGCAGGAGCCTTTAAAATCCACTTGCAGCTTGGCAATAAAAATTTAATATAATATGAATACATCAGTAGAATGGGTGATCACATTTCTTTATCTGTTCCTCTCTCTCTTTTAATTAGATGTACCATGAAGTAGAAGAGGGAGGTGTACTTTCTGTGGGGCATGTGAAGCGTTTTCTTGTCACGGGATTTCCTCATGCTGACTTGCAAGATATCTTGGGTGTCGATTCTGATTATGATGAGAACAGACAGGTAGGAACACTACAGAGCTGCAAGAGGATGTACCAAAAACCCAATTTTTTAAAGTATTGGGTAGAAGGCACAAATCCACGGGCATTGAATACTGAGGCTTTGGAATCTCAGATGTTTGAGGAGGTACAATATTTCACTTCCCACAATACCTATGCCACAGAGTCTGGAATATCGGCAAAGCGGCATTGATGCTGTAATGCAGGAAACGGCCAGGATCAGATGTGTGGATGTATCTTCTAAAATGAGTCTTATAGGCTCTGTTGTTTGAGGGTCAACACGGAAACAGAAAACAACACTACCCTAATACATCTTACAGGCAGCAGTTCTGTTCTTGGTCACCTGGGAGGCGTGCCCCATTGAGCTCTGTGTGACTTAGAATCATAGAATCATAGAGTTGGAAGAGACCACAAGGGCCATCGAGTCCAACCCCCTGCCAAGCAGGAAACACCATCAGAGCACTCCTGACATATGGTTGTCAAGCCTCTGCTTAAAGACCTCCAAAGAAGGAGACTCCACCACACTCCTTGGCAGCAAATTCCACTGTCGAACAGCTCTTACTGTCAGGAAGTTCTTCCTAATGTTTAGGTGGAATCTTCTTTCTTGTAGTTTGGATCCATTGCTCCGTGTCTGCTTCTCTGGAGCAGCAGAAAACAACCTTTCTCCCTCCTCTATGTGACATCCTTTTATATATTTGAACATGGCTATCATATCACCCCTTAACCTCCTCTTCTCCAGGCTAAACATGCCCAGCTCCCTTAGCCGTTCCTCATAAGGCATCGTTTCCAGGCCTTTGACCATTTTGGTTGCCCTCCTCTGGACACGTTCCAGTTTGTCAATGTCCTTCTTGAACTGTGGTGCCCAGAACTGGACACAGTACTCCAGGTGAGGTCTGACCAGAGCAGAATACAGTGGCACTATTACTTCCCTTGATCTAGATGCTATACTCCTATTGATGCAGCCCAGAATTGCATTGGCTTTTTTAGCTGCCGCGTCACACTGTTGGCTCATGTCAAGTTTGTGGTCAACCAAGACTCCTAGATCCTTTTCACATGTACTGCTCTCAAGCCAGGTGTCACCCATCTTGTATTTGTGCCTCTCATTTTTTTTGCCCAAGTGCAATACTTTACATTTCTCCCTGTTAAAATTCATCTTGTTTGTTTTGGCCCAGTTCTCTAATCTGTCAAGGTCGTTTTGAAGTGTGATCCTGTCCTCTGGGGTGTTAGCCACCCCTCCCAATTTGGTGTCATCTGCAAATTTGATCAGGATGCCCTTGAGTCCATCATCCAAGTCGTTGATAAAGATGTTGAATAAGACCGGGCCCAAGACAGAACCCTGTGGCACCCCACTAGTCACTCTTCTCCAGGATGAAGAGGAACCATTGATGAGCACCCTTTGGGTTCAGTCAGTCAGCCAGTTACAAATCCACTGAGTGGTAGCATAGTCAAGACCGCATTTTACCAGCTTCTTTACAAGAATATCATGAGGCACCTTGTCAAATGCCTTGCTGAAATCAAGGTAGGCTACATCCACTGCGTTCCCTTCATCTACCAGGCTTGTAATTCTGTCAAAAAACGAGATCAGACTTGCTTTTGAGCCACCGTGCATAGGATTGCAGTGTTAGTCATCCTGAATCCACTTCTGTAAATTCAACTTGATGCTTGGCTTTGTAAGTAAGCAGGAAAGGCAGATAGGCAGCTATCATTCAAAACAGTGGCGTTGCCTTGTTTGACTTGCCTGTCATGAGATCCTTTTTTCACCTATGACAGTGCATGTTCAACCAGCTTTCCATATTTTCATCAATGCATTGATTTGAAAGAATAAATAAATGAAGTATTCTAATGTTGTCAACTAATCTGCAGGTCTAAATGAAATCCAGAGGGTTGGATCGAGAAGAAGTTAGTTAAACCTAGTTCTCATTGAAATTTGTGTTCGTGTTAGTCTTGACTTGTCCCATTGATTCCAGTGGGAACTTAACCTGAATTCAACCCAAATACTGTTAATGCATTGTTTCAGGAAATCATGTTCTCAGCCGGCGATTGCCAGTCCCCCTGCCTTTAAAATAACTGTTTGAAAAGTTGTAAAGGAATAATAAATCACTTTGCTCCTCACCTGTCCCAGCAAGCGATGCATAGATGTTTGTGTTCATTTTCTCTTGATATCTAATCACTACTTTTCCACAGTCAGCTCTATATAATTGGGACATCTTTGCTCCATCTAGGCAGGAGCAATGTTTTATAAGAAGACTGGCCTGGGTCCATTGCCTCAAGCTCTCTTTAATGGCGTGCCCTTTAACAGAAAAGAGATGAATCTAGCAGAGCTGCAAACCTCTCTGGTGAAGATCATGGATGCCACAGAGTCCTTCCAGCGGGCAGTGTTCTTGGTATGTTTCGCATTTTATTTTATTTTTAAGCAAATGCTCAGTGAAATAATGGCTAGTCGATTGCTTAAGTTGTGCTTATGGTCTACATTTTTTTATAACGAGGCGGTTTGGAATTAATCTTGTGAAAACCTAAATGGCATCATTATTTTAATTTGCAGTCATGATTTTGAAACCTAATATATAATTATTATCCATGCTTTAGAATTTAACTAAGCCCTTGTTAATCCTTGAGATGTTTGGAACCACAGTATGAAGACAAATGTTGCTACAAAAATGTGGACTGGATAAGAAGACATTTCTCCCCACTATCCTTTTCTTCAAATGATTGAATAATTTGTGTGAGTGTGATGTTCTAACCACCTTCCTGACTTCACTTTTTCCTTCCTCACCTTTTTCTTCACAGTAACCTCTGTCTTTTGCCCATTCTAATCATAATAATAATAACAACAACAACAGTAAAAGCCCCATTTGCCTTACCTGCTTGGCTTTTCCTTGCCTTCCCTTCATTCCTATTCTTCCTGTGGTTGTTTTAGCGGAAGGCGGAAGTGAAGTACAATGTATTTTTTTGCCCTTTGCAAAGCTCCTCACAACCCACTCTGGATCCACGGCGCCTGGTTGGAGGTGTGTGTTGTACTGGTACCCCAACACCTGCTTGTTGCATCTCTGGAAAGGGAGAATGACAGCAAATGAACCCACAATTTCTGCCTCTGACAGCTGCATTGTATCTTGCAAGGCACTTAAAAAGGGCAAGCACCTGGAGCCAGCAGAGCAGGAGCAGGCCATTAGCATTCCTGTGCAAGCCATGAAACCTTCAGAGCAGGAAGCCAGGTGATCCCAATACCTGGGGGAATGAATCATTAAGATCCATGCTTTCTTAGGAGCATCCACTTGAAGCTTGTTTAACCACTTATTTCCTTCTTCATTTGAGAGGCAGAGAAGATTCCTGGAGAACAGTATGAGCTCTTAGAAATGCTTTATTCTACCTCAGCCTCCAGACAATGAGGAGTTTTTAAGGAGTCACCAATTCCCCCTGGTCAAAAAATTATTATTTTTAACTCTCCCTTGCCCTAACTCTTTGCAGCCCAGCGGCCAACCCATCCCACATGCTTTTAAGCTTAATGCTGATGTTCAAAGACAATTTAACCAAAGAGGCATTTCTGGGAGAAGTTTCCTCTGAACATGGAGACAAACTTTGACTCCTTCCCACCCTCCGTCTCCTTCTGAACGTAATGGTCAACCTAAGGCTGTTTTGCTATTAGCTTCCTGACATAAAGCCCTTCACAAAATTATATAAGCAGGTGTGTTCTAAGACTCTCCTTCATAGATGGCATTATTCCCTGGAGAGAGAAGAAATTGCTCCACCATCTTCTGATCATTTTGTACTGATTTCAGACAACCTTATTACCAACACCAGGGGCTGACCCACGTGACTCAATTGTTAGTCCAGAATATGATGATGGAGATGTTACGATATAGAAGCAATGCGGCCGCGAGCTGGTAGCTTGAAAGCAAAACATAATGGGAATGTTGGGACTGTTCCGTGGGAAACAGAGGGACAGTCAATTCACAGTGCAGAGGGCACCGGAATTAGCTCAGAGTGTAATATGAGCTGTACAGGAAGTACAGGAGGAGTTTGTCTCTCGACTGCTGAAGCTTGAAGAGAGCAGACATGATTTTTGTAACGCTGCAAAGACAGAAATAAAGGAATGTAAATACGTTTCTGTCTATCTCTCTCCCCTGCCCAGGGGGGCAGGAAAGAGGGGGGGCGTGTTCTTCTCACGCTGAGGAGGATCGCCTATCGCGACCTAGCCTGGATCCTGCCGGGAATGCAGACAGGGAGGTCAACAGGAGATCAAGCCGGGTGCCTGGAGAGTGGCCAGTTTCTCCTGATAAAGGCTTGAATCCCAACATATGGTAGCAAGGAGCCGATGGTTTTGATCCATGAAAGCAACAAGAGAGGTTGATGGATCGTACTTCATCCTCTGCAAGGAGATAAAGAAAGAATGTGGTAGCGGGCGGATGGAAGCTACAAGGACGGCTGAGCACCGGAGAAGGTGTTTTTGCTGAGCAACGGATTCCCTCAAGGTATGGTGATTTTATGGCTGTGAGAGTGAACGCGAATTGAAGCATTCTTCGGTTCACTGAGTGTCTGCTTTTGGATGAAACCAGCACTGAGAGAAATAGCCTGCATATTTCGCATTCCTGAGATTGATAAGGTTTGCTGCTCAAGCCTGGAATGTCCAGTTGCTAAGCAACGAAACGTCAGTATAGTGGAAAGTTACTGGCCAACAACGGAAGTAAGGCTGAGCACTGTGAGAGGCTGGAAAAACACTGAGTAAACAGAGTTTGTTTTGTCTATTATCTCACTGCTCTTGGAGGGACTTTCAAAACAGCCTGCGTTTAGCTGCCAAGTGTGAGGCAGTAAACAGCCAATAGACTTTTGGAGTTTACAGGCTTGAGAGTGAGAGCTGAGGCTTGGATTCAAAATGGATACCAAGAAGGGGGGAGGCTTACCTTACCCACCTCCACTGACTAATGACAATTATTCCTCATGGTCTGTAAAGATGAAAGCCCTGCTTCAGAATCAGAGGATTTTTGGGGTGATTGATAACCCCATCCCTGCTGCACCAACGCCAGGTTGGAATTCACAGAATGTGAGAGCCAGGACGGCCATAATTCTGTGTATCTCGGATGATCAGCTCGTGCATATTCAGCATTTGGAATACGCGCGTGAGATTTGGGAAACGCTGCGTAGAATACATCAAAGAGATGCTGGTTCTTCAGCGTTGCTGCATTTTGAAAAGCTAACCAATCTAAGGCTAGCGCCTGATGGAGATGTATAAGCGCATCTGACAGAGATGAAATTCTTACGCCAGCAGATGGCGGAACGCAATTTCCCTCTACAGGAAGAGATATTCTGCTTCATGATTATTAACAGCCTTAATCGGACTTATAAAACGGTTGCAAGTCAGCTTGGTTCTCTACCTGCCGCAGATCTTTCGACGGAGAGAATTTGTGCCATGATTCTCAATGAGAAAGACAGACTTGCTGCAATAGATGTCAAAGACAGGGGGAGAGAAGCTCGGAGTTCTGACACCCCCCCACTGCTATTGCTAGTGAAGAACAGGCTGTTGCTTTGAACGTTGTCCGTTGTTTCAATTGTGGACAGACTGGGCATCTTCAGCGGAATTGTAAGAAGCCACGTCAACAGAAAGGAGCTAAGGGAAGCTCTGCAAAGCCTGAGGCATCAGGCAAAAGTCGTACCAAGTCCCAGGTGAAACCTGCAAAGGCTTTGATGTCAACAAAAGCCACATTTTCAATGGAGAATGCTTTTATTTTGGACACTGGAGCGACGCAACACATGACGTCACGGCGAAATCTGTTTTCAACGTTTAAGAAGCAAAGCTTCACTGTGAAACAAGCCAACGGTCAGGAGCTGGAAGCGACTCTTTTGGAACTGTGTATCTTGAGAGTCTGAACTTGACTATAAACAATGTGTATTTGGTTCCTGATTTAAAGTTCAATCTGCTGAGTGTTTCGCAGATCACAAAGAAAGGACTGACTTTGTCCTATGATAGAGAAAGCTGCAAAATCTTCAAAGATGGAGAGCTGTATCTTTCTGCCAGCGAGAAAGATGGACTGTATTTGTTGACTTTTGATCAAAGTGATTGCATAAGTTGTAATGCATCTGAGTCTAACATGATTTCTCTCACAGGTGTGTCGAAAAACGTCCAGAAGACGACGCAAGTAACCAAAGCTTTTCAGCGAGTGTATGCTGATGTGATTGGTCCTCTAGCACCGTCTAGAGGCAATGCAAGATATTATCTTGTGTGTGTGGATTATTTCTCTCATTATGTGTGGGTATATATACTGCACAAACCACAAGAAGCCTTAGAAAGGTTTAAAGAGTTTTGTGACAAGGTTAAGAATGTTCATAATGCTAACATTGATTGTCTTTTCACAGATGAAAAGCCAGTTTTTCTTTTGCAGGATTTTCAGGATTTCCTGGATAAGAAAGGGATAAGGCACAAGACTGCTGTTTCTGCAGAAGCATGGAACAGAAGTGTCTGTGTGCAAGTGAACAAAGAATTGCAAAACGGCATGAAGGCGCAATTGCTGAGTTCACATTTGCCACATGAGTACTGGGCGGAATCGTTAATGTGTTTTTGTTACAGTTGGGTGAGAAAAGTTTCAAAAGGTTTAGGATGTTCTCCTTTTGAGAAGCTGTTCCACAGAAAACCTTCTGTTGCCCATTTTAAGGTTTTTGGGTCTCATGTGAAGACTGAAGCTCCAGGTGGAGTAAAGAATGCTAGAGGCATTTTTGTGGGTTATGAAAAGGGTCTCTACAGAGTAATTTTGTCTGAATCTGGTCAAGTGATTCTCACAAAATTTCTAGAGAGTGCTCCTGAACAGGAGAGAGTAATTGTTCACACATTTCCCACTGAGGACGATTCAGATGATGATGATGATTTTACTGATTACAGTGGTACTGAAAATGACAGTGATAGCTCAAAGAGCTCAGTTGACACAGTCATTGAGAGGAAATCTCACACAATGGATAGACCTTCACAGGTGAAGGATGAACCACTGTTTACTATTGGAACTGGTTCTCCAAAGAGTCCTGAGACTGAACCAGTGAGCAGAGAGGATCAGCGCCTCATACGCAGGTCCGAGAGAGTTACAAAGGGTGTACCACCCAAGAGGTATTCAAAAGAGTTTGCTAACTCAGCTGTAGCATGTGTTACTATTGTTGACAACTCAAGACAGGTTAAAGGTGTGTCTAAGTCAGAGACAAAGACACAACAGAGAGTTGCTAAGCGTAACACTACATTCCCTAGCCAAGGAAATGCAGATGCACTCATTCCTTGGAAGACAGACAACCAGAGAGGTACACTGGGGAAACCAGTGGCGGGTAGTTCCAAGGATGGAACTGAAACAACAGGCGAGTGTTATGTGTATAACAACTGTTTGTTTTCTTCTCTGGATCACGCTTTGCTTGCCGCGCACATTGATTCATATGGGGGAGTATGTTACGATATAGAAGCAATGCGGCCGCGAGCTGGTAGCTTGAAAGCAAAACATAATGGGAATGTTGGGACTGTTCCGTGGGAAACAGAGGGACAGTCAATTCACAGTGCAGAGGGCACCGGAATTAGCTCAGAGTGTAATATGAGCTGTACAGGAAGTACAGGAGGAGTTTGTCTCTCGACTGCTGAAGCTTGAAGAGAGCAGACATGATTTTTGTAACGCTGCAAAGACAGAAATAAAGGAATGTAAATACGTTTCTGTCTATCTCTCTCCCCTGCCCAGGGGGGCAGGAAAGAGGGGGGGCGTGTTCTTCTCACGCTGAGGAGGATCGCCTATCGCGACCTAGCCTGGATCCTGCCGGGAATGCAGACAGGGAGGTCAACAGGAGATCAAGCCGGGTGCCTGGAGAGTGGCCAGTTTCTCCTGATAAAGGCTTGAATCCCAACAGGAGACTGGGTTGACAGGTCTCAAGTTAAAGATTGAGGGGTCTCAAGTTTCGCATCACCTCTTTTATAACTCCCTCTATATGACACTGCTATTCACAACTCTAGCAGCTCTTCCTCAATAGCCCTTCTGCAGAGCCAACCCAACGCCACTTAAGGGAGAAGGAGTGCTGATTGAACCCAAATCCATTCTAGCGTCTTTTCCATTTTTAAAAAATAACAGGATTCACCTTAATTATAAAAAAATATATCTTGGGCTAACGAGTATTATAGTCTAGAGCCTGAATTTATGGACTCTTGGAAGCTCCCAGCAGCTGACACCCCAGTCTCTAGTCTCCAAATTTCTCCCCCACAAAGATGGGGATGCTCAACTGAAAAACGCCACTGAGGGGAGGCAGTTCACCTTACACAGCAGGACTTCACCTCAGGTTTAAAATTCACTCCCCCCCCCTTAGGAAGAAGAAGAGTTTGGACTTGATATCCTGCCTTTCACTCCTCTTAAGGAGTCTCAAAGCGGCTAACAATCTCCTTTCTCTTCCTCCCCCACAACAAACACTCTGTGAGGTGAGTGAGGCTGAGAGACTTCAGAGAAGTGTGACTAGCCCAAGGTCACCCAGCAGCTGCATGTGGAGGAGCGGGGAAGTGAACCCGGTTCACCAGATTACGAGACTACCACTCTTAACCACTACACCACGCTGGCTAGGTGTCCTACATTTTTCATGCACTGGTAGCTCTTTTATTTAGCTCTCAAGATAGTATGCATTTCCCCCCTCCTTTTTAGTGTTGGCATAAAAGTCCAGTAAAATTGGTGAATATGCAAACTGGATTATGGGAGCTGCCTACTTCTGGCAAGTTCTCTTCCTGCCTTTGACCACAAGTTGGAGTTGTTACCCACCCCAATGACCTTTTACAGGCACTGGTACTTTTCAAATAGGTACCAATAGAACGATCTAAAGTTATTGAGTGGTGCGGAAACTTAACAAACCTGCTGTTGTTTTCCTTTCAGGGCGTGCTGAATGACCATACAAACGCAGTAGACTTCATCATGGAGCAACAGAATGTAGTTTCACATATACATGACAAGATTCTTGATCCTCAAAGAAGATATTTGAACTTTGCATCCCCATCAGGTTAACCCAAGTACTGCTTCTTTTCTTTCTGTCAGTCCTAAGTTTGATTTCATATTTGATATTAACAAGCCACGTTTTAATTTTTGCAGTGCCTATAGATACAAACGATTTCTCAACTTTTTCCTTCTTGGACTCTCAAGATAAGACTTTTGTTATTTCAGAAAACATGAAGTATGTTACAAGGAAAGGTACATTTTGTTTTTGTTCAACTGTTGTTATGTAACATTCATAGAGCAATGTCTGATGCAAGCTGAATGGTTTACCAAGATTAGTTATAACATTGTATTGTTGCTTTAAGCTACGTAAAAAACCCTCAAATATACATTCAATATAATTTGATTCAATATAATTCAAATATAACAAGATCCTTAAATGTAACTTAAATATAACAAGATCCAAATTTGGGACAAGTACTCTTAGGTAAGAGAACCCCAGCAAAGATTTAAAACCACAAAATATGCAGCAAAGTAAAGCGTGGAAATATAGCCTATTAGACCTTTAAAATATGCCCCTCCAAGTGAGTTCCAAAATGTTCCCTAAAAATTTTCTTTCCAAAGTTTTCCTCTTCCCCCAGCATAGGAAAAGGCCACATGTTTGGTAAGTTTAAAAAATGGTTTACTTACAACTCTCCAAAGGTCAGATTCATGTGCTTCACATTTATTGAATAAATGGAAAATAATTGTGTACAGCTGAAAACGCTGGCAGCATTAAGATAAATTCAACAGTGTAAATAAGTTTTGTTGGATGTAATAATGGAAAGCCAATTCGTATAGTTTTTGTAAAATATGCAGGGATATAAGATGTGTAAAATGAACCATGGAAAGAGAAGAAGGGAAGTCATTGATATCTTAAGTATGTGAAGTATGTAAAGTGTTTATCTGAAATTGTCAAACAGAAAATTTAATACAAATTGTATTAAAAAAAGAAAAGATTCACATGCTTCATAAAAGTTTTACAGGCAGTAAAACTTAGCTTAGTTACAAAATGGTGAAAGTGCCTAAATGATTAGTATAAGAACTTAAGAGTGGCTTGTGAGAGCCATGTGGTTGGGCTGGAGCAACCACCTCAAACCTCTTCAAGTGCTGAGCTTCTTAAGTAGCTGGGAAGAACAAAGGCTTGATTACCTAGTTTCTACAAAGGTGAGGGGAAGTGGACCTAGCTAAGCCTGGCAGGACAGCTTACTCTATGGTATTAACCTCTTCATGCATTGATTAGACTTAAGCATGTTATATGCGACTGGTTATCCCACACGTGAGGTATCTGTTAATGTAATATCAGCCACATTCTGTCCCAATGTGTGCAATTGATTGGGAACATGGATTCAACAACTGGTTCTTAAATTGGCTTGGTCGAGAAACAACATTCCCAGTCAGTGACAATGGCTACTTCAGTTGGCGTGCTGTGCACTTAGTGAGGAGATGTCGGCTGCACAATACTTCCTCCTCCTCTTGAATGGCATTCCTCCCTTTGTAGAGCTAATCATAGTTCAGCATTATATTTGTGCCAGGAATAAGACTTAAGTACATAAGCCTTCTGCAGTCATTTCTCCCTCCTGTCGTGCAATGGGGAGAGTGGGGCCGCACTCAATGGCCGTTCTGGTGCATCCCCTGCCAGACCCACCCTCTGCCAGCTGCACTTGGGGCTTAAGTTCGGAGCGTGCACCAGCTCTGAAGATGATTTAGAATCATTGAATCATGCGAGGGGCCTACGCGTGTAGACTAGGCTATCTGATTCAGACATTCAGGCAGGGGGTGGGTCCAGTTGAGGCAGCGTCCTGCCCTCTCCTTGCTGTTTCAGTCATATGTCACATTCTTGTAAGAACATGGGGTGAGCGGTGCTGCCTCAAATACTTACTAGCATATTTTAAAATAGCTCTGTACAGTGGTACCTCGGGCTACAGACGCTTCAGGTTACAGACGCTTCAGGTTACAGACTCTGCAACCCAGAAATAGTACCTCGGGTTAAGAACTTTGCTTCAGGATGAGAACAGAAATTGTGCAGCGACAGCAACGGGAGGCCCCATTAGCTAAAGTGGTGCTTCAGGTTAAGAACAGTTTCAGGTTAAGAACGGACTCCGGAACGAATTAAGTACTTAACCCAAGGTACCACTGTATACAGCAATCCATACTTCCGTTCTGTCAGTGCACTCTTGTTCATGCACTTCCCTTTTTATTTATTTTTTTAATGTTGAAAAGTGAAAATGTTCCATCTGGGTTCTTCCCCCCCCCTTTCTTTTTTTAGATGAAGATGTAGTATACCCAGGCACCATATGGATCGTTGCTGATTTTGATAACCCAGATGGGAGGCAACTGCTTTCAAATGCCCTGAAATACCTGGTCAGTGCCATAAAATTCCTGTGTCCGCATAGTATGAGTGCAGCCGGGTAATCTCTCTCAGCAAGGCTCTGAAGGAGGATGGTGATGGAAACATAAATAACGGCAACAGTATTTGATCACTATGGAATGGTCTCACTAACCTAATATCTTATCTCCTTTCCATAAAATGAAATAAAAAGTTTTAAGGAAATAGGCACGCTTGTGGAAGTATTAGCTACTGAACAATTCTCAAAGCTGGCAAGGAATTGGACTGAAAAAGCCAAAGAGAGTTGGAAGAAATAGGCCAGAAAGATGCTGACTTCTTTTGACTTCTCTGTATTATATGTAATGGTACAAGCTCATTATACACATGCAATTTACTATGTCAGCACCCAAACCCTTCATTTAGCAAGAGTGTTTCTAATAAGGAACTGATTATGGGAATGATCCAATCTCCATACCGAGCAGCGCATACCCATTTCTGCATTTGGGATGGACCGAATGGTTGCCTAAATAAATAAAATTTTAAAGTATCTGACACTTCCAGAGTAAATAACTGTCCTATAAATCTGGTTTTACCGTGCCAAACTGAATTTTTTCCTGGACTTTCATAATGTTCAGGAAAACAGCCATTGCAGCCTCCTGCTCTAAAAGATAAGCTGGCATCTTTTGAGTTGGATCCAAACTAAGGTAGTCGTGCTTTAGTCACATTTGTCTTTGTTGGCTTGATTGTTCAGAATATACCACCTTTTATATGCTATATAAGATTTCAGGTCAGTGATTAAATTTAACAGGACTAGTTAATTGTGACCAGCATAAGTCCCATTGATTTCAACTGGACTAATATATAGCTAACTTTGTCTGGACCCAACACTATATCTTGGCTGCTCCCACCGTAACAGTTCTGAATTCTGCTTTACATTCATGAACTATCCATAAGGTTCAGCGTTTTGGATACTTTAGTGCAGGGAGTAACATAAATTCTACTCGTTACTGGTGCAGAGCAGAACTCCGACATATAGTTAGCAGAGTGAAAACTTACGTTGCAGGATTCCCAAAGAAATACGTAGACCAGAGGCAATTCATATTTCACCCAGCAGAGCTTTACTGCTACTTAAGGCAAATAAGCGTAATGGTCACAAATCCAATACATTCAGGATTCGCACTGTCCATAAGAAATCCAGTTGCAGCAGACTTAAACTTACAATATCTTACAATAAGACTAAAACCTTAACACTAAGCGTACTATATACAGAACACTACACCAGAAGGAAAGAGATAGAAAGTGAAACTCGGGTTCCTTCTGGCCCTACTTTTATAGTCAGCATGACCTTGACAGAAAGACCTTGAACAGAACCAGTTTAAGCCCGCTGTACTCAACTTCTCTGAAGGAATAACCCAAACGTCATGAACCTTCTGCTTGTTTCTAGGCAGAATAGACACTTAGGTGTCAGATAGAAACTTTCAGCTTGCACCAGTTTCTCTCACACACAGAAGCTTCCATAACTTTCTTGAATTAATTAAAATGGGAAAGATCTCTACACGTCAGATCAATACTTTCTGTACCAAGAAATGCAAACTGAGAGGGAGGCGGGACTATAACATTTATGCCCTGCTTGTAAACTTCCTAGAAACTTGTCGCTGGTTGAGACCAGATTGCTAGACTACATAGAGCCTTGGTTTGATTCCATAGGCTTATAATGCCGTTCTTAGAAAAGAAGAGCCAATTCACACTACATCAGCAAGCCTGTTTATTGCGTGTACACCATTGTTTGCAGTGACAAACACAACAAAGTGTAAAAGGGAGCTTATATGGCATATATGGGGAGCCACAGCCAAATGCTCTCATTTTTTCAAAGCATCTCCCCATCAACCTGAGCTGCTTTGAAAACACAAGAGTTGATAACAAGGAAAGGAGAGGCAAGGGTACTGAAGGATGAATGTATTTAGGCTTCACTCCAGTTGCAGATGCAGACTGACAGGCTTATCAAAAGGCTTCATAGGAAAAGTGGGTTATGAGAAGGGATTTGAAGGAAGAGAGAGAGAGAGTTGGTGGTCTGGGAGGGACTTGCAGGCATTAACTTTAATAATAAGTAAACATGTAACGTCTATCTGTGTCTTACAGAAAACTAGCAGTCATGTACAGCTTGGGGTTGTGCATAATCCTGCATCGAAAATAACTGAAGATAACACTGTCATTGCAAGGGCAATCTTGGCAGCTTTTCTCACGCAGAAAAACGCTAGTCTGAAAAACTTTCTCGGTCGGATTCTAAAAGAGGACACGGCAAGATCTCTCGCTACGGGAACTAAAATCAAGACACTTCTTGTTCCGGTTAGTAGTTTTATACTCCCTTTACTCTCTTCGCACTTGCTGATCGTACAAGACAGCGAAGTCATTTTAAAGGAGGGCCCTCCTCAGTTGGTGCCGTTGCACCGTGAATTCAAGGAGAAACTGATTTAAGTGTTTGGAAGTGCTGTTGCCAGGCTGGATTTGACACCCAGTCTCTCTTTGGGGGAGATGTTTTAGCTTTTCTGAGCTGGGAGACATCTTGTTACTTTTCTGTTCTAGGGCATGAATAACGATGCGTTTGAGAAGAAGTACAACACGATAGGCGTCAATGTAATTCAGGCTCACAAGGTGTTTTGTCGAGAGGTTCTTAAGCTGCTTCCTGGGCAAATGGCTGTTGTTAGTAATGGCAGGGTAAGTAAACAAGTAAACTCATTGGTAGGACGAACTTCACTCAGCTTATCGAGAAAGCCCAGCTCTTGCTCTTTTTTCATCTCACTGGCAACTTCTTATCCACCATTCCAAATCAGCAGTAGGGAACCTCTGGTTGTGGGCCTCATTTGGCATGTAGTTTTACCTGCAAGGTCCTAATCTTCCCCAAACCAGGCCCACATGCCCTACACCTGATGTCATATATAAGGGTTTGCAGGAAGGTATAGATCTGGCTCTTTTCTGTAAGCAGACACTGCTGAACGGCTGATGGTTGACATCTGCAAACCTCTGAGCCTTTTCTCACAGAGTTTCATTGCAAATCACCCAAAGGACAGCATTTCTCCTGGTGTCCCAGTTGCATTATTGAAACGTCCTGCAGGGGTTGAGGGAGGTCAGGATTCAGGCTGCTGGTTGGATCCATTTCCCCACCCAGACACATTATACTTGGGCTTGGGGTCCTATTTATTTATAGAATTTATATACCGCCCTATACCCAGAGGTCTCAGAGCGGTTCACAGAACAAGGTCAACATAAAAACCACAATATATGTAATCAAAATAAAAACAACAACCCAATAACCCCCCCCCAAAAAAAAACAGAGCCACATTTTAAAAAGGCATAGGATGTCAATCAGATCAACCAAAGGCCTGGTTAAAAAGGAACGATTTTGCCTGGTGCCTAAAGATGTATAATGAAGGCGCCAGGCGAACTTTGCTGGGGAGAGCACTGCACAGACAGGGAGCCACTGCAGAGAAGGCCCGTTCTCGTGTTGCCACGCTCTGGACCTCTCGGGGAGGAGGCACACAAAGAATGGCTTGAATGGGTCTTCGCCACTCCAGCTAAGCCCTTCATCTGAATGAAGCTAGCCAGGTGACTGGGAATGGCCGCTGGGACCATATAACACTGGTCTTGAGAGATCTGCACTGGTTCCCAGTACGTTTCCAAGCACAATTCAAAGTGTTGGTGCTGACCTTTAAAGCCCTAAACGACCTTGATCCTGTATACTTGAAGGAGCGTCTCCACCCCCGTCGTTCTGCCCGGACACTGAGGTCCAGCTCCGAGGGCCTTCTGGCGGTTCCCTCACTGTGAGAGGTGAGGTTACAGGGAACCAGGCAGATGGTCTTCTTGGTAGTGGCGCCCGCTCTGTGGAACGCCCTCCCATCGGATGTGAAGGAAATAGAATCATAGAATCATAGAATCACAGAATCATAGAGTTGGAAGAGACCACAAGGGCCATCGAGTCCAACCCCCTGCCAAGCAGGAAACTCCATCAGAGCACTCCTGACATATGGTTTTCAAGCCTCTGCTTAAAGACCTCCAGCTATCTTATCTTTAAAAGACATCTGAAGGCAGCCCTGTTTAGGGAAGTTTTTAATATTTAATGCTGTATTGTTTTTAACACTCGATTGGGAGTCGCCCAGAGTGGCTGGGGAAACTCAGCCGGATGGGCGAGGTATAAATAATTTATTATTATTATTATTATTATTATTATTATTATTAGTTCATCCGGTCTCAGCACCCAATGGTATATAAAAAACCGAAGCTGCTGGCACAGCACCATTTACTTCTGACTTCCTTGCCTCTTCGCAGGGAAGTGATACAATTGTATACTCACCTAGGATTCAGCAGGTCTAAGAAGGTGGTGACCTTGACAGGTCAGCGATCATGTAATAAATGGAGCCACCATCTACAGTGAGACTCTGAACCAGTTTGGTTGTCCAGAATGGAAATATTTCCATGCCTGAGTGTGGAGTGGGCCTGCACAGAGTATTGGTGAATCGCCTAGCTGCCAAGGCAGCACTGTGTGCTCTTTCCTCTGGATCAGGGGATGCTACCCCATGGCTGATGATGCTCCAGCACATTACACTAAAGGCCCAGAAGGGGGCAAGGGGAAAGAAGCACCAATGCCATTGTCACTCTCATTTTGTCATCCAGACACGATATGAAAGAGTGCATTCAAAATGCGCAGAATATAACACACAAGTACTTTGAGCTTCACTGGCAGCTAGGCTTGTTCTAGGTGCAGATGCTGGTTTGAAGCCTTGAAAAGCAAAATGTAGCATTCCTCCCCCATCCCCACCAATGTCTTAATTTGTTTGTAACAGATAATAGGCCCTCTACGTGAAAATGAACTGACCGCAGAAGACTTTGACTTGTTGGAGCAAGTAACGCTAAGTAAGGCAACAGCGAAGGTCAAAGCCCTGGTCAAGGAAATGGGTGTTGGTGGTAAACGGTAATATTTCATTCAATTTTTTTTATATTAAAATATTTTTGTGGGGTTCTCTTGGATTGTAGCTAGAGCTTTCCTCACTAGCCAAGGCAATGCGACTTTGGACATTCACTCCTTTAGATCTAAATCAATTTGACAGTTTGCATTTGAGTTTTAATGTCTTTTGAAAGCCTTCAGAATGTTATGGTGACACTTCCTGGTATATATTTTAGAGGGTAAATATAGCTGATTGTTTGCCTTGAAGAAAAAAACCTTTTCTTCTTTTCTTTAGCGGCAGTAATTTAGCAATGAAAGTGAGTGCGCTTCTTTCTTCCTTGCCTAAAAGTGATGTCCGCCGAGATATTGACTTTCTCAAAGAGAAGCACAGGTAAAAAGCCTCTAAATTGTTGCGTGTTAGTTTTTGCCACAGTGCATTCGTCGTCGTGAAATCTGAGTGATACGTAAGATGTTTCAATACTTAATTAAACATTTTTAGCACTTGATTTATTATGTGTACAGGCAATGAACAATCCACACATATACCCAAGAACAGAACTTGATCTAAAAACTTGCTATCTAAGACCATAGTTGATTTAATTGTTCAGAGCTGAAAATAAATGTTCTTGATGCTGCTTTTAGCATTCATTTATCTCTGCTGATCAGGCATGTGTGGATAGGCTCACATGGTCAAAACCCCAAAGACAGTGCACAGGAATGGGGGGTATCAGCAGAGCCCTGAGGTTTGCAGAAGTACATAAAAACTGGTGGTAAAATAGACCTCAAGGGGGACTCCCCCCCCCCCGCAAAAAAATAATTATCAGAGTCCATGAAATGCTGACTAATTATTGGCAGGGGAATTGGATGGGAGGGGGAATGAAGGACAGGATCACGGACTGCGCAAAACACTAAAACAGGAACACTTCAAGCTGCAACATTTTGTTGTGGGTTTCACTTGATGTATTTAATAAAGGTTCTGATAACACATCAGTCAGAACTCTTATGAAGCCTGGCTTTTAGAAATGGATAAACTGCTACATTCCGACATGCCTTAATGACTGGAGTTTGGGGGATTTCTCTGTTGTTTTGTAATTATTAATTATGTGTGTGGCAACTGAGATTAAGTCACTTTCTTTAGTTTGTCCCAAATTCTTCAGTTCGGAAACCTGTTTATATTGTGGTTCTGCTTTTAAGTCATATCCCATCACTTCAAGAAATACTTTAAAAGTCTTTTTTCCTGTGCTTTGTAATTGCTTGATGTAAACCTCCACTTGACACAATATTTTTCTCTGGAGGTAGTTCATGCTGTGTGTTATGAAGCAATGAGATATCTGTTGAACCAGAGCATGCTTTCTAAAAATACAAAAGGGTTATATTATAAAATTCCAGTGTATGCCCTCCCTACAAATCATACTTGCCCTTTTATATACCTTGCTCAACACTGGGTGTGTTTACTCCCCACAGTGTACTAAAGATAGATCCAGAGCAGAAAAGTGAACCCTTCTTTGACGTTGTTGGCATTGTAGACCCGTTGTCGAGAGAAGCACAGAAGCTGTCACATTTACTGATTGTAAGATCATATTGATTTCTTGTATGCAATTCCAGCTTTGTGATTTAGTTAAGACCTGTGTAGAATGCTGGGGAGAGAGAGAACAAACCAGCTTCCAATCCTCATTTGACCATGAAATTTACTGGGTGACTTTGGGCCACTTCTCTCTTTAATGCTAACCTCCTTCATAAGAGGATTATGTATATATGTACGTTTCCGAGCACAATTCAGAGTGTTGGTGCAGACCTTTAAAGCCCTAAACAGCCTCGGTCCTGTATACCTGAAGGCATGTCTCCACCCCCATCGTTCTGCCCGGACACTGAGGTTCAGCTCCAAGGGCCTTCTGGCGGTTCCCTCACTGCGAGAAGTGAGGTTACAGGGAACCAGGCTGAGGGCCTTCTTGGTAGTGTCACCTGCCCTGTGGAACACCCTCCCATCAGATATCAAGGAGATAAACAACTACCTGACTTTTAGAAGACATCTGAAGGCAGCCCTGTTTAAGGAAGTTTTTAATGTTTGATGTTTTATTGTGTTTTTAATATTCTGTTGAGATCTGCTCAGAGTGGCTGGGGAAACCCAGCCAGATGGGCAGGGTATAAATGTTATTGTTGTTGTTGTTGTTATTATATGTAGCATGGGGGAATATTCAATTTGAAGTGGATTTAGGGCAATGCAACCACTTCTGTTGCACTTGGGTATGGTGTGAGAAGTTGCAAACAAATAAATTTATATGTATGATGAAAGTGTCTGGAATTACGTTGTTGCCCCATGCAAATTGCTGTGCTTAATTCTGGATAGGGCAAAATCCCACACAAAACAATTTCGTTAATACGAGAATTGTTTCTGTTAGTTCCTTGGTCAGGTTGTCAACATGAAACTGAGGCTGTTTATGAACTGTAGATTCAAGCTGTCAGAGGCGCCTTTGAAAAGGTAAGTAGCACGTGAAGTTTATTAATGAAATGTGCCCCATAATATGGTTCCCACTTAGAAGTAGTTGCCTTGCCTTATGACTTTACTCATTAGGCAGTGAGTATTCCACAATCTTCTGCTAGTTTCATTTACGTTTTCCCACTCTGCTGCTTCTCGACTGCATCTTTCCTTCTCTCCAAATCTTCCTTTCTTTCTGTTTGGAATTACTGAGAGTAATTTTGCAAGTATTGCCACAAATACTTGATCTTCCAGTCCTTTCATGCACCCAGGCATTAACACCCACTTCCTGCTTCTCTGAATTCTTAAATAAATGTGCACATTGGTTGACTGCACTCTGTTAGAAACATGCTTAGCATAAATGCAGCAACTCGTCGCTCGGTGCTGGTGCTTATAAAACATTAGTGGGTATTAATGCAGAAAAATGGTCCTTTAAGCAAAGTATATCCTCATAGAAAGAGAGCTTATAATTGTAATCACTTTATAATTGGAATCGCTTATCAGAGCTCATCATATTACCATTTATTTATCATTTTTGCTGTATTTGCTTTCTGCCGTGTAACCAACAGCCAGGAAGCCCTTTCCTTTTGCCAAAATAATTAGATCATTTGTTACAATATTATGAGTTTTCTGTGACTTGTATTTGCTTTCTCCCAGGCATAAAATGGGTTCTGGGCAGGAAAATTAATCATTGTGTGCCTCATGTTTTTGAAGGGCTTGTTCACTTGCCCTATATAATAGGGCTGTCGCATTCAGCTGGCTAATGCTGGCGTCCTAAGTTGCGTGTTCTGTTTTTCAAAGGGCTGGTAACACCGGCCGCGTTCTTGGCACGTGTTGACAGTGAAGAGAATGTGTTTGTTGAGGGCTCGGCTGGTAATTGTGGCACAGGAATCCGACCTGAGCTAGAAGAACTATAAAGCCTCTGGAAATTAAAAATAAAGAAAGGGTGCAAGAGATCTCCTACACTGTCTTGTCGCGTGTGGATTAGCTGCTTCAAAAATAGCAGCATTTGCATGCTCGGCAATGATGAATGTATAAAATAGGATCAGAGGATTCAAAGGTGTTTTAAAAAGGTTGTTATGCAAACTTTTCAGTTGCATCTTGCCCTTCCTTTCCTGCTCTTTTCCCTTTAATACTGACATTTGTATCCTTGCCGTAGTTTTTATCGTTTTGTTCTGGAGCCCGAACTTGTTTCAGGGGCAAGTGGTTCCTTTCCTCTTGCACCGGGAGCAAACTTCTTTGAAATGCCAGAATCCCCTCTCCTGACCCTCAACATGATAACTCCAGAAAGCTGGCTGGTTGAAGCGGTGAACAGTTCTTACGACCTTGATAACATTTATTTGAAAGACGTAAGTACTGTTTTCTAAATGTACGCGTAGGAATTGCACAAATGCATGACTGACAAATTAATAATTCTCCCCTCCCTTTACAAAAACATTCAGGATTTGTGTTTTCTTTAGGACTTGCAGACCAAAAATGCCTCAAGAAAAATAACATGATAAATGTTTGCCCTGTTTCAGATACATTTAGTTACAATCAGATAGATAAATCAGGTAGATTTAGTGACAAAAGAAGTTTTTTGAATATGTACTAAGCACGAAACCAAGAAGGAGCGGAAGCCATAACTTGATGTGTGAATGTTTTTAAATAGTGAATTGTTCTATTTTCAAACTTTATAGCATACCTAAAGGTTTGCAGTTGCACTGTATGCCTTTACGGTGTAAATTCTGGGTCTGTTTTTCTATAGCTCATCATAGACTGTTTTTGATACACTTGCCTGACAGTATAAGAAGTTTTGTATTGGTGGTAGAACGAGTTGGTAGCAATAAATCAGGAGTCCTGCTGAGTTACACACATTTATGTATTTTGCCTCTCCTTATATTACAAAGAACATTGCTTTGTTTCCATTATTTTGGCATGGGTTTATTTTTGCCTAAGGATGAGTATTTTTGTATTGAATAAATTTGTAAAGTACCGTAGCTTCCTCATGCTAACTGTCTAGCCAGCTGCTGACACTAATGGCTGACAAGCTTAGGTATGTGCAAATACTTGGACTAGCTTAGGGCCCCACCAAAATGAAAACGTGACAGGGGATTTTGGATTAATCACTTTTTAGGCAGGGTCCATCTAGGTCTAAAACAATAAAGCTAACATTTTCTATCTGGGAACCCTGAAGAACATGGAGTCAGCCCTGTTGTGCAATTCATTTTTAATATATTTGGACGAAGAGTAGTAAATAAGGAAAGCTACCACTGAAATTTGCTGTGTTGGCATACAGTGCCAAAAAGCAGTAGAGGAATGGCCCTTAGCTCAGTAGTAAAAGTTTCCTAGCATCTCCAGGTAGCATCTCCTGGTAGAGAACTCTGTCGAGAAGTCCTGGAGAGCTTCTACCAGTCAGTGTAGAGAATACTGAGCTAGATGAACCAATGGTCTGACTCAGTACAGTGGTACCTTGGTTCTCAAACTTAATCCATTTTGGAAGTCCATTCCAAAACCAAAGCCTTCCAAAACCAAGGCGTGCTTTCCCATAGAATGTCATGCAAAACAGATTAACCGTTCCAGACTTTTAAAAACAACCCCTAAAACAGCAATTTAAAATTTATTTCACTCTCTAACTAGACCATTGATCCATAAAATGAAAGCAATAATCAATGTACTGTAGTATAAAATAAATAAGGCAGTATTGTATATGATAAAAATTAAAATTAATTTTTTTTTCTTACCTGCACTGATGATTGTTTGGATGGGGGGCTTTTATCCATTTCCGCAGTCACACACTCAATCAACCAGTAGCTGAACCAGGTTCCACAGTCACAAAAACAAATTAATCAAAAAAGCCTCAAAAACAAAAACGCAAAATAAATAGCAAAAACAAACGCACCAAACTTAATCCGTTCCTGAAGTCCGTTTGACTTCTGAAATGTTCGAAAATCAAGGCGCAGCTTCTGATTGGTGCAGGCACCTCGGAAACAATAGCTGACAGCCGCATTGAATGTTCAGCTTCTGAAAAATGTTCGAAAACCAGAACACTTCCGGGTTTTCGGCGTTTGGGAACTAAGGCGTTAGAGAACCAAGGTACCACTGTATACGGTGGCACCCCATGTTCCTATCTTCTTAAGAGAAGCAAACTTCCTAAAATAAGCATGATGAATTCTGGGTAAAAAACTGAATGTCAGTTGAAATCGCAGCTGCTGCAAAATTAATTAATTCTTGGACAGCTGGGGGAAGGGACCCTTTCCCCCTCCTTCTGCCTTATTAGAAAGGACAGAGCTTAAATACAGTGGAAGCAAGGCTGAATCAGATCTAATGCCTTCAGTAAGACTGAGCCTTCTGCGCAGGTCCCTAGCCAAAACGTTTGACTATCCGTATATGCCTCCCACTTCCTAATTTCTGGAATTCTAAACCAATGAAATTGTGCATTTTCACAGGTTGAGAGTGTTGTTTCAGCAGAGTATGAGCTGGAGTATTTGTTGCTTGAAGGACATTGTTTTGATGTCGCCACTAGACAGCCAACTCACGGACTGCAATTCACTTTGGGAACTAGGAAAAATCCTGTTAAAGTTGATACCATTGTGATGGCCAATCTGGTAGGTTCTGGCTAAGCCTGGTGATGGAATACTTTATTTGACCAAATGCTTATTAAAGGTAAAGGTCAAGGTACCCCTGCCCGTGCGGGCCAGTCTTGTCAGACTCTAGGGTTTTGCGCTCATCTCACTCTATAGGCCGGGAGCCAGCGCTGTCCGCAGACACTTCCGGGTCACGTGGCCAGCGTGACAAGCTGCATCTGGCGAGCCAGCGCAGCACACGGAACGCCGTTTACCTTCCCGCTGGTAAGCGGTCCCTATTTATCTACTTGCACCCGGGGGGTGCTTTCGAACTGCTAGGTTGGCAGGCGCTGGGACCGAACGACGGGAGCGCACCCCGCCGCGGGGATTCGAACCGCCGACCATGCGATCGGCAAGTCCTAGGTGCTGAGGTTTTACCCACAGCGCCATATTATTGGCTACCTAAACACAACTGGCCCATTATTATTTGATTCTTTTATTCTTTTGGGCCCAGAAATGATGGTTAATTATAACGGTACATATGGTTGTTTCAGACAAGCTGAAGATTTTGCTTCGGCTTTTGACTTACTACAGCTTAGTGTTGCATCTGACAACGAATAGACTGCTGTTAATCTTAACTATGGTTTATTAAAACAAGCCAACTTCCTAACATGGTTATGTCATGTTTTTGTGAGCTATAGTTAAGTGTGACCACAGTTTAGGATATAGATCCTGCATTGCAGTGGATGGCCCTTGGTGTCCCTTCGAACTCTGCAATTCTGTGATCCTATGACCCAACACTAAACCGTTTAATAAAAAATGGAATGGAAGCTTCTAATCTTCTATTTGTGGTTGCAGCAGCAGATTTTTTTTTAAGGGGTCAAGGATTTCATGAACTTGAGGTTCCTACAGACTCATTCTACATGCAAATACAGGGGCAATAGCAGAAAAATGCTATTTTCAGGTCACTGTCCCATGATAGTATGTAGGATGTGGTGTCATGAGTAGAATTTTCCCAGAGGTTCTAAGTCAGGCATAGCCAAACTTGGCCCTCCAGATGTTTTGGGACTACAATTCCCCTCATCCCTGACCACTGGTCCTGTTAGCTAGGGATGATGGGAGTTGTAGTCCCAAAACATCTGGAGGGCCAAGTTTGGCCATGCCTGTTCTAAGTGATCTTTACAATTCTGTAAAGGGGCCATAATTAATGTTAACACTGCTTTATTTAAAACAAACCAGCTTGATCAACCATAGTTTGAAGTTGGCTTGTTCCAAAACTATAACCGCTGGTTGTCAGATTTAGACAATGTTACTGGCTGCAGGCCAACTAAAATAGAAGTGAGCTTCCAAACTCTGCTTCCGGGACTACACTCGGGGAGGAACAGGCAAATCTGGGGGCAGGCTAGGCTTTGTAGAACACAGCCACTGTTTACAAAGAAAGTGTTCTCCCCTCCTGCTTTCAAAGCAATATTTCCATTTTGTTTGTTTTTTTCCTTTGTAGGGTTATTTTCAGTTGAAAGCAAATCCAGGTGCTTGGATTTTGAGACTACGTGAAGGAAGATCCGAAGAAATCTACCAAATATATAGGTAAGTCATAACATGACATTTGCTAATGGTGTGGCGGTCACTGGAACTACTGCAGAGAAACATTCAGGCATCAACACAACTCTGTTCATTCTACTGTTTGCAACAGCACAGTCTGACTAGGTGTTTTGCTCCTTGCATCTTCTGAAGGAATGATGTTCACCAAACTGTCCTGGTTCAAAGAGAAGCCTTTGGAAGAAGTCACATTCTTCTCACTTCATCTGAATTGGGAATTTGGCAGTCTTAACAGTACAGTCCCAGGCTACAAGACTTAGGAATGTTACATGACTACAGTGTCTTACTGCAAAAAGGTTTAAAATCACAGGAATAAAAATTCCATAACGGGTATAAACAGGGAGTTTAACATCCTTAGCATCCTCGTTTTTTTAAATAAGGAAAGATAATTTCAGAAATGGGGTAAATTAAAAGAAACAAACATATGCAGATTTGCTTACTCGTTTATTTTATGTTGCAGAGTTCAGCTTTTCTTGGTACAGAATTTGGGCTTATTATTTAAAGCACATGAATAACCACCGTGCAATTGACAAAGAAGGGCACTAAATCCGCTAGAATTTGTTGGAATTAAACATAACAGTAGGTTGGTTTCTGGATGCACTAAACGATCTGTTCTTTAAAAAAGAAATACATTGGTATTCAGGTTACTAACCTCCTCCTTGAAATTATTCTTTTTTTAAAAAAAGCTCCTTTGCTATTTAGACATTTACGGTGACACTATTCATGATGGCGATCATCGTTTTGAAGCAGCTGCACCTGTAAAGCAGAATTTCTTATGCAGTGTAGCTATGGATGACGCCAGATCTAAATTTGGCATCTCTCAAGTGACAAGATTTCAGTCTAATTATTATGATTCATTTGCAGTTCAATCCAGTGCTTCTCTATTTATAGTGCTGTCAGGCACTGCAAGGCTTGGATCAGGAACCCTGCAGGTCAGAGACAGGTTTGCTGCTGCCTGCACCATTTGGGCTGCTGAACCCCAGAAATGCTGGTGATCTGGGAATATTTGACAAATGAAGCAGAACTCTTTTAAACAATGGCTTCAGCTGAGAGGGTAGATGGTTATCAAAGAATTCTGTGTTTGAGGGGGGATTACAATAACATTTAGAGATTAAATTGCTCATTCTTTAAATTGATATCCCTACATATGTAAATTTGTTCCTTATTATTGTCCTGTCTTAGGCAAGTCAATTGGCACTTTTGTAAAAATAAAAATCAACAACTTTTGGGGTTTCCTGGTTTATACTTTGTGAAATATGGCAACCCTATTATTGTTGTTTAAATCTTGACCCTGTCTATTGATAGCTTTTTATTGTTTTGTACATTTGTACTAGAAGAGTAGGATAAAAATGCTCTAATAATGAAAGACGGTAAATATGTGTCTACTCAGAAGTAAGTTCCACTGTGTTCAATGGGTCTTACTTTCAGGTAATTGTATGAAGGATGCTGGCTTGGAAAATAAAATAAAGCAATAAACTGAGGTTTCTGAAATCCAGATTCTGAGCAATTTATCTTAAAGCTGGGATGGTTTCCTGAAATATGTGTTGATATTACATTAATCAAGAGACGTGGGTGGTGTTGTGTTTCATCTCTCATTTCAGCCCCAAGCCTTTTAATGGATTTTTAAAATAAGTGAACCTGCCATTGTTTAAAAGATGTTTAAAAATAAGCGAACCCTTTGACAGTGATGCTCTGTAATCAAGCAACACTCCTTCCCAAAAGTAATGCAGCTCTCTTAAGCTCAGTGTTATAAATGATTGAACATTTAAAAAGATTTTAGAAGGAGATACCATATTGTTGTTATCAAATTGAAGGCTGTACAAATAATATGAATTCATGAATTAATAATAATAATAATAAATTTTATTTATACCCCGCCCTCCCCAGCCAAGGCCAGGCTCAGGGCGGCTAACAACCAATAATAAAAATGAGTTGAATGAGTACAACTTAAAAACAAGATTAAAATACAACATGAAAACATTAAAATGCAGCCTCATAAAAGGAGGAGAAAGGAAAAAAGAGAAAGAGGGGGAGGGAGTCAAATTGACTCCAAGCCAAAGGCCAGGCGGAACAACTCTGTCTTACAGGCCCTGCGGAAAGAAATCAGATCCTGCAGGGCCCTGGTCTCATGAGACAGAGCATTCCACCAGGCCGGAGCCAGTGTTGAGAAGGCTCTGGCTCTGGTTGAGGCTAATCTAACTTCCTTAGGGGCCGGGACCTCTAGGGTGTTGCTATTTATGGACCTTAAGGTCCTCTGTGGGGCATACCAGGAGAGGCGGTCCCGTAGGTACGAGGATCCTAGGCCGTGAAGGGCTTTAAAGGTCAAAACCAGCACCTTAAATCTGACCCTGTACTCCACCGGGAGCCATTGCAGTTGGAAAAGCACTGGGTGAATATGCTCCCATGGCAGAGACCCCGTGAGGAGCCTCGCTGCAGCATTCTGCACCCGCTGGAGTTTCTGGGTCAGCTTCAAGGGCAGCCCCGCATAGAGAGAATTACAGTAGTCAAGCCTGGAGGTGACCATCGCATGGATCACTGTGGGCAGGTCAGGGCGGGAAAGGTAAGGGACCAACTGCTTGATGCGGCGAAGGTCCCGACCCAGCCAGAGAACCTCTGTCTTTGAAGGATTTAGTTTCAATCTGCTCCCACGAAACCATCCAGCCACAGCTTCCAAGCATCTGGTCAATGTGTGTGGGGCCAAGTCGGTGTGGCCATCCATCAGCAGATACAGTTGAGTGTCATCAGCATATTGGTGACAGCCCAGCCCAAAGCTCTGGACAATCTGGGCAAGGGGGCGCATAAAGATGTTAAAAAGCATTGGGCAGAGGATTGTGCCCTGCGGCACTCCACACACCAACGAGTGGCGTGCCAACATCTCCCTCCCTAGCGCCACCCTCTGTCCCTGACCAGAGATAAAAGAGCACAGCTGTTTATGGGCTATGCCCTGTATCCCCACGTTGGTAAGGCGGTGGTCCAGAAGATCATGATCGACCATGTCAAAGGCTGCTGACAAATCAAAAAGAATCAGCAGTCCTGACCCACCTCGATCCAGTTGTCTACGGAGATCATCTGTTAGGGCAACCAGAGCCATCTCAGTCCCGAAACCAGGATGGAACCCAGACTGAAATGGATCTAAAGCCGATGTTTCCTCCAGAAACCAACCAAGCTGTTCAGCAACCGCTCTCTCAATTACCTTACCCAGATATGGAAGATTTGAAACTGGGTGGTAATTGGATAGGTCTAAAGGATCTAGTGAAGTTTTCTTTAAAAGCGGACGCACCACTGCTTCCTTCAGTTCCCCTGGGAATGTCCCCGTGCCAAGGGACAAATTGATAATTTCAACCAGGGATTGAAGTCATGGGGGGGTATTTTTTGTCTCCTTTTGTTACCCCACCCAGGACCCCAGCTGCATTTGATAACATGGGTGTTTACCTTCAGTGCTGTTTGTCAAACTGATCATTTTGCACTGACATTTGACTACCTAAGGAACAAAATAAAAATGGCTGCTTAAACTGACGGAACACCAGGATCTTAGGTCATTTGGACATTTGAGCTGGCTACCTGGGTCCTTTCTGTACAATAGAAAGAGCCACGACTTTAGCCTGTGCATTCCTTCCTATCCTTGTCATAGCCACAAGCAAGGGTTTCCATTTTTACTTAACCACAGCTTGTTGCATTGTCTCAACAAAGAAATTATATTATTGATTGATTGAATTTATATACCATCCTATACCTGGAGGTCTCAGGGCAGTTCACAGGATAAAATAAAAATATAAAACCACAATATATATAATCAAAATAAAATCAACAACCCAATAACACCCCAAAGAAATAAAAGACCACATTCTAAAAGGGCATAGGATGTCAATCAGCTCAACCAAAGGCCTGGTTAAAAAGGAACGATTTTGCCTGGTGCCTAAAGATATATAATGAAGGCGCCAGGCAAACTTCTCTGGAGAGAGAATGTTTTTGTTTTGCTATGTTGTTGTTGTTTGAATTTATATACCGCCCTATACCTGGAGGTCTCAGGGTGGTTCACAGAACAAAATCAAAATATAAAACCACAAAATATATAATCAAAATTATAGTTTGTTACTATGCTATTGTTTTTGCTGTGTTATGAAATTGTTTTGTAGTGTTTGCTTGAAATGCATCCTGTTACTATGTTTTAAACTACTTTGAATATGGTTGTGTGTGTGTGGAAAAGCCACATACAAATAAGATGAATGAATTCCAGGTGCAGTGGTTAGGAATTCTTGTCTGTTCCTTTCCCTATAGAACTATAAATCTTGGTTTGGCAACTAAGCAAACTAACCATATTGGAATATCTACATATTGGGGAGCAAACAAACAAAATGCTGTCTGTTTATGTTTGTCCGGTCTGCAGCATGTCTTGCTTCCTAAAACAGAGTGACGTTGGATACAATTGCCAATAGATTACAACAACAAGAGAAGTTGCCTTTATTGTAAGAAGTGTTTCTGGCTGTTAGTCAATGTCTTAAAGCTGGTTTTGACATCTTCTTTTGCGGTGTGTCTGTTGGTGATATTCTAGACATGCTTGCCTTAGGAAGAATCATTCTGAAGGCTTGCTGAGAAGGGCCCAGATATTTGCAAGAGATTACCAGATAGTTTTTGGCTTCTTTTCTGAGAATGCCTTAAGCGGAGTGGGGGCTCTACTGAAGCTGAATCAGTAAGTTGTCTTTTGTGCAAGAAGCCAGTCTTTTGCATGCAGAGATACTCGAGGGGAGAGATTGGTATTGGCAACTAGGCTTCAGAGACTTGGCAACAGGAGTTTTCCAAATAGCCACTTTTTGCTTTTCAGTGTGATTAGGATTATTCATTCAATGAAGGTACAACTGCATATTTTGCATTTAGAATTAGCTTTTAAAGACGCTGAGCCTGTAGCTTGTGGATAACTGATAGCTCAAGCATGGGTTTTCGTGCCAGGTGGCCTCCAGTAGATAGACTTTAGCTCTGGAACTCAGCTGTTGAGCATAATAGCACCGTATTGATTTATGCTTTGTTGAACCAACTTGCTTGCTAAATTGATATGACCTTCCCCCAAAATTTATCCTTCTGCCAGCAGCCTCTGCTGGAAGCATATAAATGTGGAAAACTTCCTAAATTAGTAAGCTGGTACAAACCATGCTGTGAACAGGCAGTTTTCATTCTCATCTGAGCAAAACATTCTACTTCTTTATGTTGTGATTAAAAAAGAAGTGGGATTTTTTCTAATCTGAAGTTAAAATAACTTAACTTTTCCCTCCTCCTAGGCATGAAGGAACTGATTCTTCTGAAGTTTCAGAAGAGGTTGTTGTGGTACTAAATAGTTTCAGCAGCAAAATAATCAGAGTCCAGGTATGTATGCTAATAAAAACTTATGGGAACAATTTTATGTTTCATTTCTTTCTTTTCTGTGAGGTTAGTTTGGCATGGAACTTAGTACAGTCGTACCTTGGAAGTTGAACGGAATCCGTTCCAGAAGTCCATTTGACATCCAAAACATTTGGAAACCAAAGTGCGGCTTCTGATTGGCTGCACAAAGCTCCTGCAGCCAATCGGAAGCCGCGGAAGCCCCATTGGACATCCGGGTTCCAAATAGGTTTGCAAACCAGAACAGTCACTTCCAGGTTTGCGGTGTTCAGGAGCCAAAACATTTGAGAACTGAGCTGTTCGAAAACCAAAGTACAACTGTAATGGTGCCTGGTGGGTGCTGTGTGCTGATAACTCAATTTGTTCTCATGTGTAGGTACAGAAAAAACCTGATGAAATTCATGAAAGCCTCTTGAGTGATGGGGCAGCGGAAGAAGAGGAAGATTTCATGATTAGGTAAACTGGCTTGTTTGCATTCGGGCAAACCAGCACATTTGATTTCCCTTTTTGGGAAGAAACTTAAAAGAAACTGGGCCTTCCTCAATGAAGATGTTAAACATTATTTTATGTACAGCAGTGTAGTGTTGAATTTTGCAGTGCTGAAATTTACCATGATGGTCCCCGTAGCCATTGCCCACCCCCAGGAAAAGTCCAGAAATACAGTTTTGTCGATCATGCATATCTTCAAAAGCAGCACTGCATAGTACAATATCAATTTTATTAGGAACAACTGATGCAGAAAGTTTCTTCACTGTGGACATTATTTGGGGCATTTATTACTCCATTCTTCAGGCTCCCAGAACAAGTAGCAAAGATTTTTGAATGGGCAGAATGATAACACAGGGAGATTAAAACGAGCAGAGCAGCCAGAGTGTATTACTTCCAGCCAGACTAGGAAAGAAAGAACAGTTTTAAAATGTGAAGATTTAAAAAGAGAGCCAAGGTGCTAGAGGTAGTTAGGATTGGGGCAGGAGAACGAGGTTCAAATTGCCACTTGGCCATGAACTTCACTGAGTGGCCTTGGGCAGCCACAACCTCTCAGCCTAACCTACCTCACATGGTTTTTTGTGAGGGTGCCTTGGAGGAAAGAAGGGATAAAAACATATTCAATAAAATTAAAAAGTCCTGGACAAATAATAAATTTCTTCACATGGTACTGAAAATACGTTAAATTCAGCAGCAGCCGAGTCCTCCCCTGGTGATATTATTGCACGGTTTGGGCAACACAACCGAGAAGGGCCATGTCTTGGGGCAGTAAAACAGTGTTCAGCAGACTTCTCTGGGCTCTTGTGCCTTCCTCCTTTTTCTTCTTCTTTTGTCTTGATGTTCACTTTTAAATGCCAGCTGAATAATGCTCTTTTTGAAGTTCTACAGGAGGGACTCAAAAAGCAGAAAACGAAAAGAAAATGGATATGTTAAATATATTTTCTGTTGCTTCCGGCCATTTGTACGAACGGTTTTTAAGGTAACTGATTCTTTTCGTTGTTGTATTTTAGGATAGGATTGTGTTTTCCCCCGGTATTTTAACTTTGAAAGTGGAGTGAAGTATTTAACATGGAGCTTTTGAGTGCTGGGGGCAGGTTGTACGAGCAGTATAAGCAAGACATGTGTAGTTTAAGAGGCTTGTTACTGGATTTTTTATTTCCAGTTGTAAAGATCTCAAATATAAAGTTACCTTCTGGCATCTCTGTTGCAATGTTTTGCTGTGCATACGCTAATATGTTAACCGATAAGATTTTTTCCCCTCTCCAGAATAATGATGCTCTCAGTTCTGCGCCACACCAAGACACCGGTTAAATTTTGGTTTCTGAAAAATTATCTGTCACCAACATTTAAAGTAAGTACACTTATCTCCCTGTTAAGTTAAAAACTTTTGTGAGCCATGAAAATAATCGCAGACTCTTGTTAGCAGAAAGATGTCAGTGTTTTGAGATCACAAATCAAAACTTATATATAGTAACATCAGCATGCATTTTTCAACTTTAAAATGTGACCTTTGTCTAGATGGCCTTTGAGAGAGACATTCGTCATCATTGTCTGTGCTTTCAATTCTGTCAGGTCAATTTGTAACTTTTAAAGCTCTTTCTTGAGTAAAATCCAATTCTGAGCAGTTTTATTTCACAAAAGGTTTGGTAACTTGAAAGTGTCTCATTGCAGCTAATAAGATCTGGTTCTTCTATGATTCTTAACTATAGAGCAGGAAAGGATGGATCAGGGCCACTTATTACATAATAGGCCGATGCCTGAACTGCAGTTTAAGATTGAGCTGTGGGGTCACAAATGTTCCCTTCGGTCACAGTTAAGGGGTACATCAACATCGTAGCTAAGTGCAGTTAACACTAGGCTTTTTTTAAAAAAAGGTTTTATGTATTTTTATTTTGTACTTTTCAAGTTCATGCATTTCACTAATTTTATACATTTCACTAATTTTACAATTATTTTGACATTTCAAAACTTCCTTTCCCCTCTTTCTGCAGTTCCGTAAATTTGTTTTTAATATCTTCTGCATATACTAATTAACTTAATTTGCTCATTTATTCATCTCTTTTAAATATATACTCTTATGAAACTGCAGGTTATTACAATAATCCTGCCAGTGTTTTTATCTGTTTATAATTTATCTGTATTCTTTTATATATATAAAAAATGTTATCTTAATTTCTTCTTCTTCTGGTAAGTTTTACCATTTCTGCATTTTCCATAAGTTTTTGTATCCATTCTTCCTTTGCTGGGACTTCTGCTTCTTTCCATTTTGGGGCAAGTAACATTCTTGCCACTGTAGTAGTATACATAAATAAATTTCTATACATTTAGGTAGGTCTGTCCCTATAATTCCCAAAAGAAAAGCTTCTGGGTTTTGTTTTTTTACAAAGGTTATTTTAAACATCCTTTTCATTTCATTATATATAATTTCCCAAACACTAGGCATTTATCCTCCCCCCACATCCGCCCCACCATACCACATATGCGGAAGTCAACCAGGTAGACATCAGAATCTTATTTCAACAGTGGTGACAGGAACAGTGTCTATTGCCACACCTGAGAGCAACAGGCTAACTTAAGGGATGCTGGGCAGCCACGCAGCACATTCTGTAACACCTTGGTCCCACCCATCAGCCCCTGGACTGTACTAATATTAGGTCGAGTCCTTCAATGATTTAGAAAGAGGAGCAATTCCAGTTGAGAATAACGGTCTTGAAATCGGAGATTGACAACTGGCTGCCCACAGGCTATTTCCGCCCCACGCCCAATGTAGCTTTATCTCACATGCCCAAATGATCCTCAAGGTCTGGTTAGAAAAAGAAGGTGCTTTTCCACTTCTAAATAAAAGAAGTGGTAAGACTCGATGTGAACCTTATATATTGCCCTTGGAAGGACAAAATGTCATCCGTCAGACTGGTTCCTGAAAGGATAATTCAGGAAGCACATTAATTCTGCTCCGTTAATTTTTTGTTAATTTTTTCAAACATTTCTTACAATAATCTTCATGTCAAACAGTTGCATTTTTTCATAAATTGACTTTCCACCCGCAATTCTACAGTGTTTTTTACTCAAACCTCACATCCAGGCAAATCTGAGGACATGTGTACCATACTTGGGAAGTATGTACTGTTAGGAGATTGCCAAGTTTATCACAAGATGTTGACCATCTGAATGGGGGTTGGACTGTTCTCTGACTGGTGTCTGGGATGGAATGGCTGCTAAGAAGTAGGCCATCCATGATTTAGACATCCCCAGGGAAAATGTGAAGCTGGGAATTGTATTGGAAGTAGTGCTTGCCTCAAGTTTCCCATGTGACCTTGACAAGTTTTTTTGGCAACAGCGTGTGTGCAACTTTCTTTCTGTCTTTTTATCTTGTAGAAAGTTATCCCTCACATGGCAAACAAATACGGATTCCAGTATGAACTTGTGCAGTACAAATGGCCCCACTGGCTTCATCAACAGGCAGAAAAGCAAAGAATCATCTGGGGTTACAAAATTCTTTTTCTGGATGTTCTCTTCCCGTTGGCTGTGGACAAAATAATATTTGTTGATGCTGATCAGGTAAAAAAGTCCAGTTTTTAAGGAAGTACAGTAAGACTGTTCTTGTATGCATTGGTTCAGCATGTCCCTAATATGCCTGAATGTTGTGCTTCAGGCCAGAACTGCAGTTTCGCTTGGTTAAAGTTTAACCCTAGATTGTACCATTTTAGTCCATTGAGTGGGCGCATTTGAATGCTCCCTTTGATGCACATGCAGAACTAGCACATCCCGGAGAAGATTCAGAAACGTAATCCTTCTCCTGGATGAGGTTTTGTGGAAGAGCTTTTGAAAGTGCAACCCCCACTTGAGTATTGGAGTTCAGGTAAAATCTTTCCCATGTTACATTGTTGATTGCGGGTTCCCAGTTCTGTACACTTGGCAGGGAAGTCATTGCCATCAAGGATACAGCATTTGTGACACCATTTCTGATGAAAAGGTCTGCTTGTAACGTTTTCACCCCAAGTGGGCCTTGGCATTGCTAGGGTCATGCTAGGCATCCTCTTTCAACTGGGAGCTGGGATGGAACTGCATTCTATAATGGCTTTGATTCCTGTTACCTGTGCCAGAGATGTGTGTTCAACGTATAGAGTATGGTAGTTCAATTCTCAGTGATGTTCTGATGAGATGGGTGAAGAAAGCTTTGAAACACTTAAAAAGCCAACTTCTCCTCTCCCCCCCCCTTCCCCCTTCGGTCTCTGTTCAGCTTTTCCTCTTTCCCCCCGGCCCAGTTATCACAGCTGGCCTCCTTCCTCGCTTTGCTCTTTCCCAGCATTCTGCTTCCAACCTTTAATTGGCCATGCATTCCATGACGTCATATAGAGTGTAGGCGTTACACCATCCTCTCTCTTTCTCCTACTGTTTAGATTGTAAGAAGCGACTTGAAAGAACTCCGAGATATAGATTTGAAAGGCGCACCCTATGGCTATACTCCGTTCTGTGATAGCCGTCCAGAAATGGATGGCTACCGTTTCTGGAAGTCAGGCTATTGGGCTTCACATCTTGGAAAAAGGAAATACCACATTAGGTAGGTACAACCCAATCTCTCTTCTCTGCAACCTCCTTTTTATAGTATGTAGAAATTAGTAAAAACATTTTTTATGCCAAAGTTCTCTATTGAATATTTCACTAAGCAGGATGTCCTGAAGTACATATAGACGAAGCATGGAACCTCTATGGGTTCTTTTTATGTGTTGAGACCTTATTCTGGCGTCATGTTTACCCTTCTTTTGCATACAAAGAAATGTGACCTTAATACATTGCTCTGAAACTTGTCGTTTTTATAGTGCTTTGTATGTTGTGGATCTGAAGAGGTTCCGGAAGATTGCTGCAGGAGACAGGCTCAGAGGTCAATACCAAGCCCTTAGTAAGGATCCAGGCAGTTTATCCAACCTAGATCAGGTATGCTGCAATTAGTGGTGTATGTCACAAAACTATTGTCTTGCCTGCTCTTGCTACAGTGACAGTAGCACAGTCAAGGAAAGAAAACACACCCCTGTGCTTTTAGCATGGCCTAGTGCTGTTTCGCTACTTTGTGTAACATTTTACTATTCACAATATTCAGCTTGTATCTTGGAACTGCAGCAGCAATGTTAACTGGTGATGTGTTTTTTTTCAGGACCTTCCAAATAACATGATTCATCAGGTGTCCATTAAATCTCTTCCTCAAGAGTGGCTGTGGTGTGAAACTTGGTGCAGCGATGAATCTAAGAAAAAGGCTAAAACCATTGATCTGGTGAGCTACCTTATAATAATTCCCCTCTCCCCCAATACACATTCATAGTGAACATTTTATCCATCCTAAAGGAGAATACTGTTTCATGGTGTCTTGAAGGCAGTCCTGCTGTAAACGGTTTCATAATGAAGCATTTATTCAATCCATGCTGCAATCTACCCTATGGTAACGTCAGGAGGAGGTACTGAGCACATGTACCCATTCCATGCCCTTCCTCCATTGGTGCTGTGGTCTAAACCACTGAGCCTCTTGGGCTTGCCCATCAGAAGGTTGGCGGTTTGAATCTCCGTGACAGAGTGAGCTCCCACTGCTCCGCCCCAGCTCCTGCCAACCTAGCAGTTCGAAAGCAAGCCAGTGCAAGTAGATAAATAAGTACCACTGCGGTGTGAAGGTAAATGGCGTTTCCATGTGCTCTGGCTTCCATCATGGTGTCCTGTTACACCAGAAGCGGTTTAGTCATGCTGGCCACATGACCCAGAAAGTTGTCTGTGGACAAACGCCGACTCCCTCGGCCCAAAGCGAGATGAGCACCACAACCCCATGGTCACCTTTGACTGGACTTTAACCATCCAGGGCACCTTTACGTTTTAAAATTGAGCAGCTGAACTTTACACATGTTTACTCTGCAAGATACAACCCATGCTTTCTTTCTTGGGTCTAGAAAGTCAGTCTTCAAATAAATGTGGTGTATCATGGTTCAGTGATTTATTTCTATCCCATGGTGTAAGGGATGCTTGTGTCCCATCTTACCTTAGGTAGGATCCCAGTGGCCAGTTGGTGAACAGATCCCATAGAATTGTGGTTCACTGTAACCCTGACCACAAAGACTATCTCTGCCCCATTGTGCCTGCAAGCAAATGTTAAATCACCAAGAAGTAACTTGACTCAGAGTTGGGCCACTGAAATTAATCACCATGAGGTCCATTAATTTCAATAGATCTAGTATAACTTGGTTGACTACCACCCAAGGTGTCTCAGGAAGGGAAAATTGCATAGCAACACTTTCTTGACTCTTCCAGTCGATCACCTTCATACAGGTGTGAATGTCTTTCAAAAAGAGCATTGCTATCCAATTTTATATCTGTTCATCAGATCTCCATCTTTAAGAACCAGATTGTCTGTTGTGGACTCCCTATCAGATTCACATTCTAGTGCTTTTGGTGAAGTTGACAGAATAGCTTGTTTGGAATGAGGCAGTTTTTTTAAAAAAAAGATGAATGGTGGGACTGAGGGCTCCTGAGGGGCTGGTGACAGATGGTTCTGTTTATAAAAAAGAATGCTATCCAGATGTGCAGGCTGCCTAAAGAGCAGTGATTGAAAAGCATGGCATGCTGTTCTCCAGAAATGTATTAATACGTGGATTTTTTTGCCAACATAATTTGTATAATGGCTGCTGATGTGTCAGCACAGCTACGATTTCTAATTCTGCTATGGAACCAGAATGGTGTGTATTTTAGGGCTTAATGTGAGTCCCGTATGGAAAACAGATACGGGAAGTCAATCAATCAATCAATTTCTTTATTCGACCGATAGTCAGAATTAAAACATTACACAATAATTATAAACTATAACATCATAAGTTACATAAGGTACATAAGTAAGGTAGAGCCACAGTACTAGATCTCTCACAGATAACCCACGTCAAAGCATTCAATTATACGTTTCCGACACTTGAGTGCCAGGAAAAGAAATTTAGCCACTGACAAGGTTGTTTTCCCAGAAGACTTATTTAGCAGATATGCTGTCTGCTTTCCTCTTTGTCGGGAACTGAGCTGGGGTAAGTATGGAGTTATAAGATACTGTCTTAAATCGTTGTAGAAGGGACAGCTCAATAAAATGTGCTCTGTGGATTCTACCTCACCCAATGCACAGTGGCATAATCTCTGGTCATATGGGACTCCTCCATATCTTCCCTTCAGGACCGCCGAGTCAAGAACATTCAGCCTAGCCGCAGTAAATAGTCTGCGGTATTCCACGTAGTGGATATCCGCCAGGTAGCGAGCTGGGGCAGCCCGATACAACTGCTCCCCAGAAACAACCCAGGTTTCACACGGGCTATGTCCTCCTGTCTGGCAATATCCCTTAATCTTTGCGCGATCACCGCCTTTGCGTGGCTATACGTCATGGACTCTATATAAAGGGAGGACAACCCACACTTCTGCACTTCCTCCACTATCTCCCCTTCCCATGGAGATTTAAAGTTATCCCTCAGAATCAAGGGGGCCAAACCCACCGGTCTGAAACAGAGCTTGAGCCATAGCCATAACTTCGCTTTCAGGGCCACATACCTAAAGGCTTGACAACCGGTTTCCAGCCTCATGATCGCACCTGCCACAGAGGGGGATCCTGAGTATGGCCCTGAGGAATTGGGTTTGGATAGATTCCAATTTTTCAAAATCCCTACGTGAGCCCAAGGCAATGCCCACCAGCAGAAGAGGGAGGACTTTCATTTTAAAGAGACGTAAGGCAACATTGACAGTTTGTGCCTGTTTCTTGGAGTACAGGGTTCTAATCATCAGGGCTGCTTTGGATGCGTTCGAGGCTATGTATTCTCTGTGCGCCAGGAAGGACCTATTTGATCTTACAACCTGACCCAGGTACTTGAAGCAACTGACCTGCTCTAAAGGAATACCATTAATTGACCATAAATTAGGTTTCGGTCGAGCAGCAAAGACCATTATTTTGGTCTTGGCATAATTTAATTGGAGCTCGTGTTGGGTCTCATATTCATGAAGAGCTCGAAGCATCCTCCTTAATCCGATGGGGAGGTAGCTAATAGGGCGGCATCGTCCGCATACAGTAGGACATTCAAGGCTCGTCCTGCCAGTTTTGGTGGATGGAAATCAGCATTTGCCATATGCACCACTAGCGAATTTATATAGAAGTTAAACAGAGCAGGGGCAAGCAAACAGCCCTGTCTTACCCCCCTAGTGGTGGCAACCGGATTGGAGACTAGCCCCTTACTATCTATCCTAATCCTCAAGAGGGTATTTGTATGCAAATTAATAATCAGCAAGAGAAGGCGGCGGTCGATAGATGTCGCTGCCAATTTTGTCCATAGCTGGTTCCTGGGAATTAGATCAAAGGCCTGCTTAAAGTCTATAAAGGCGACGTGGAGGGCTTTTAGGCCATTGCCAGCGTACTTAGTGGCCAAGTGATTTAGGATTAAGATTTGGTCTGTTGTTGATCTTCCGGGGCGGAAACCCGCCTGTTCCTCTGCGATGATATTGTTGCTTTCCATCCAGGTCGTTAATTTGTTAAGGAGAAATCTTGAATAGATCTTCCCGATAACATTTAGCAGGCTAATTGGTCTAAAATTGGCCGGGTCTGTGCGCGGCCCTTTCTTGTGAATTAACACAATCAGTGCAGAGTTCCAGCTTGGAGGAAATTGTGCTGTTTTGTTTATATAAGTAAAAAGAGCTGCTAGGGGTGGACACCACCAATCCTTATTGGCTTTGATAACATCTATGGAAATAAGATCGTCTCCGGGTGCCTTGCCCGCCTCAAATTGGCCTATAAGTGTTTCCACTTCAGAGCAGGTAACAGGGTCCCACTCTGGCAAGGGGGCCAAATCTAACCTTCCTCCGCTAGCTGCGTGAGCTGCATATAAAACGGAGAAGAAGCTTTCCCAGGTGTCAGCTGAAATTTGGGGTTCTATCCTTGACAACGGTCTACCCAGGTATCTGGAAATTTGGTGCCAAAAGGAGGAGGGATTTCTATTTTCTGCAGCTTTTAGAAGGTTCTTCCAATCATTTCTTTCTGCCGCACGCTTCTTTTCCTTTAATAGTGCTTTATACCTTCTCTTGAGGATCATAAGGTGACTGCTAGGTGCGGAGTCATTTGATGCCCTATATGCCAAAAATTCATTATATAGGTTGTTCTTGAAGTGCCTGCATTCCTCATCAAACCACTTTTTATGAGAGAAATGGTTACTATTCATTACCGGGGTCTTAGCCAACGAGGGTTTTAGCAGTTCTACTAAATTGTCATATATTGGCAGTGGCTCAACTGCCTGGATAAGGGAGTCCCTTGTCTCTTGCAGTTGGTCAGACCAAAGGAGTTCATTTATCCGTTGAGCCATATTGTCGGTCCATTTTAAGGCAGTGGGCCTCATCTGAAGCTGGTTATTTGTAATAGGCACGCAGGAGTAGGTAGCCAATTCTCCATCCAGGGTCAGCGAAAGTTCTAATGGAAAATGGTCACTTTCCAGCCTCGTTACCACCCTAAAGTTGGAAATTTTGGGAATTAGGTCTGCTGATGTCCAAATAAAGTCTATGGTAGAGGCTCGGGAGCCTGACCAGAAAGTAAATTCGGCAGGGTAATCAGAACTGAGAGCTCCGTTTAAAAGGTGAAAATTAAGAGCCATCAAAGTTTGTCTACATTTAAAACCTGCATATGTAGCAACACTGTCTTTAAAATTCCTGGGTAAAAGGTCTGAGGTTAAAATGGGTAGTGAGGGATATTTATTATATTTAGCAAATAATGATTTATCAGAGTGAGACAATCGGCCATTGAAATCTCCTGCAACTAGGAAGGTGGCTTCAGGATATTTTTCTAGGAGAGTTTCAAGAGTCTGTTGAATTTCCCTCCATCTTTGGACCACCAGGTTTTTCTTATAGATTGGGTGCAAATAAACATTAATCACCACAAACACTTCCTCCGCTGTTTGTAGCTTAACACCCAGCATGGATGACGACTGGATGTCGATTTGTTCCACCTGCAGGTTTAAGGCCAAAGAAACTAGGGTAGCCAACCCACCTTGTGGTCTGCCAGGAGATAGTAAATTCTGATGTGCATTCAGGTAGAAGCCCTTATACCCTGATAGGGAGAAGCCCTCACAAGCCCAGGTCTCTTGCAGCAAAAGAATATGACTGCCTTTTATGTAGGCGACAAAGGATGGATCCATCAGCTTAGGTTTAATGCCAGCTACATTCCAGGATAAGAAAGTAAGTAATCTCCTGGTCACCCCTTCGAGTCATGCTGGGCCTTGCGGAACCAGCACGGCAGAATCCACCTGGGAATGCATGCGGCGAGGGGGGACAATAGGCTGGAAGAAGGAAGTAATTGTAGCTTGTTTACCAGGCAATTTCCGAGCACCACTTACCGCAGCAGCAGCCATGGATTGAGGCTTAATTATTGGAAGCTGCAAGGATGGATTCTGGTGCACAGGAGTATCACTTAACGACAGGTCCATAGACTCTACATTTAAAGTATGCTCTAAGATTGAGGGGGGTGGGCCTTTTGGATCTGCAGATGCTGTAGGGAACATGCAGTGTAAGGCAGGTGGAAGGCATCCTTTTCGGTTTGCCTCCAAAAGAGCATCCAGTCTTGCCACAGCTTCCGAATTTGACCAGAGGGTTGTCGAATCTTCCACTGTATCCTGCCCGGACTTGACATCCCGAGGCTGTGCACAGCCAGGTTGCAGATCAAAGGTCGTTAAAGCAGGTACCACTTGGGCTTGTGTAGCCTGATCTACAATTGGTGAAGAATTCATCTTATTTACATGAGCATGATCTTCTGAGTTACGGAGACAGAGTAGCAACTCGTCCAATCTGTCCGTTATCTCTGTTCGCTCCAGTTTTGGCAATTGGGAGAAGGATAGAAGTAACTCACGCTCCGTAGAGTTCTCCAGATGTGTGGCCTTTGTCAGTGGAGGCAGGGGGGCGTCAAACCAGCTGATTAGATCTGCAGCCAGGGGAGTTGGGGTCGTAGCAATTGGCGGACCCTCAGACTTATCTGCTTTCTTTTTGAACAAGCAGTTTGGTAAGAGGGAGCAGATCTTGGTATTGGTAAAGACTCTTGTAGCAAGGATTCCATAGTTAATTAGAAGGCTTCTTGAGGACATAATAAGTGCAGGGAGCTTTTTGGTTTTAAAGGAGAGCAGCACTCTCTGCCTCTGAGGTCTGCTGCTAATATGATCAATATGCTTCAGGTCAATAGAGCTAGGGGTTACCCTCAGAAGCTCCGCTAGGTATCTCCTTATATCACTCTTATAGTGCCAGTTTATCACCTTGCCTCTAAAGGGGCAAACCGTTAGGCAGATTTTGGTAGCTTGCAGTAGCAGTTTGTGAGGAGGTGCAGAGTGTTGTTCCTTCTTATTTTGCTCACCTTGCTCACTTTTCTGATTGCCAGCAGCTTGAGGAATTATACAAGAGGTATGAGGTAAAACGGGTGCTCTGGGCATTTGTAAGGGCTTCATCTCAGGTGGAACATCAGGGGAACTGTCTTTACCTGTTAGGGATACAAGCGAGATAATCTTCTCCAAGGATCCTCGGATGTCTTTTATGTATTTAAAGATATAGTCCACTGTTCTAGCCACCAGGTCTAAAGTAGTCGAGTGTTCAAATAGTATCTCGTCAATGCAGCTTTCACGGGCTCTAGTGCAAACATTCGAGTGGATGCCAGTATTATTATTGCTTGAAGGTTTAGTAGGCAGGTTATCAAAAGGTTCTTTCACACTGGGTTCCTCGTCATTCATCTCTGCTAGCAGTGTGAAAGAGTTTGAAACCGGGATATTAAAAATATCCTTTGTACTTTCAGATTCACTAATTTTTGTTTGTTTAGCAAGAGGCAGGCATCTCCATTCCTCTGTGTCGTCTATATCTCTAGAATCTCTGGTACGTTTCCCAGTTCCTCTCCCACAAGCAGGGCTGTATAGTTGCTTAGTCATTTCTCTCTTCATGCAACCGCCCCAGTTTCAAGGTTAATGGTTGTCTCCCCGATAGAAAAAGGCGTCCTCCTACTTACTAATTTAAAACTAAGACTAAAAACTAAAAACTAAAGTTAAAAGTTAAAAGATTAAAAGGTTTCTATACTCATTAAAACAATGTTAAAAGATAAATCAGGGAGCTCACACTCACGCTGACTAAGTGCCGTTCGCCATCTTGGATATCTCTCGATACGGGAAGTGGGACAACACTGAAACCTGGGAAACATAGATTTGCTTCCCTTCTATGTCGTCTCTGCCCTCCTTTGTGACATCCCCAGGGTTTCCTCCACTCTAAAGTGATAGCTGCAGGAAGACTGTGCCATTTGACACTTCTGGATCACAATAACAGACCCATAATCTGTTTGTAATATTTGTATTTCAGTGTAACAATCCAAAAACCAAAGAACCCAAACTAGAGGCTGCTGTCAGGATAGTTCCTGAATGGACAGAGTATGATTCTGAAATACAGCAGCTTATAAATCAAATAAAAAAGGAGAAGAAAATCGTGAGTCAGTCTCAACAAAAAGGTGAGGTATAGAAACATTTGCTCATTAAAGACCTTTGGCAAGGGGAACGGGGTTTCCAACATTTAATTGCCTATCAGGACTGGTGAATTTGCAACGCTGGGGTCCTCAGAACCACTGGCGGAGGAAGGGGGGGTGCAGTCCGCCCTGGGTGTCATCCTTGACGGGGTGACATCGCCCCCCTGCCCTCCGGGATGCTAACCCTGCCCCCAGGTGCCGGAGCAGCTAGCTCCGCCTCTGCTCAGAACCATGCAAGGATGCCTTTCTTAATACATGTAGGGAGCCCTCATGAGTTCAGAAAGATCATTGTTTCAGAAAATTACCCTCCAACTCATGGATGGCAATCAAACTGGCAACAAGGGTGTGCCACACCCTCCCCAGACCCTAGGTGTTTGCATATGCAAATAGAGAATGCCAAAAGAGTGTTCCCGCTTTCCTATAATCTTCCAATACAGTCCAAGGTAGCTGATATTAGAATTTGAGCTGTTTGCTCTTTTCTTTTCTCGAATGAATATTACTGCCTAATAAAATCCAGAGATTGTCCAAGCCCCTGTATAATTGTCTGTGGCCCTTATTGTGAGTTAGTTCCGGAAGTAGAACAGCAAGCTCTGGAGTAACTTCTGGTTGTCTTGTTTCCTATGTGAAGGAACCAGCTTGCAATAGAACCACCAACTTGGACAGAAGATTATGGCTAAGTAAATTAATTGTGATTCTAACGGTGATGAGAAAATGGCACAAAGAAAAGTCTCGGCTTTATTCAGTTCTTGTGTGATCTTGCAGTTGTTCTGTGTACTCAAATAATTATTATTTTTTTGTTTTTCACTTACAGATTCCAGCCATGATGAACTTTAGCACTATTTGAAGAGTGTCCTGATGACACGGCTACTGGCCATAGACTGGGGGTTAGTGGTAGTTTTTGTGGATGTATGTAAATACTACAGAGATGCTCTATATTTTTAAATAAAAACTTCTGGCATTTTATTGGGACTTGGAACGGAGTAACAGAGTGGAAAGGAAACCTAGTAAAGTGTGGGCTGTGCAGTTTGTCATTCAGTCTGATTGCCTTTCCACTTCTTTCGTTTCCAAAGGCGTTACAAATTCTGGTGCTACATTCGCTAAGTGCACACTGCTTTTGTTTCACATTACACAAATATTTTGTTGGAGATCTCATGTAATAATTTTGAAATGTCTGTCTGTAGTAAACAAACACCCCCATCACATACTTTTCTTTTTAAAGCCCTATTCCATCTTTCTGCAGAAGCTTCCGAGGAGGCTGATCTGAGACAATACTTGAAGTTGCATTGCTTTTTCTGTATGACGTGTCTGCGTGCCTCTTTCTTGTATTTGATGTCACTTTCACTGAACTTTACTCTCCTGGTGCAAGAAATCAGTTGGGTTCCATTCCGTGGAGAAAGTGCTGAATTTTGGAGGGTTCAGCTCACCAGCTCAGCAAGGACTGAACAGTCTTGGCACTTGCTAAACCTCAATATTCCCGCTGGGCTCTGAAAGAGATGCTGCGTAAGACCAGCAGCTGCTGCCACGGAAAACAAAGTGGGAGCCCCGAGTCTCACCAAGAGCAGCCACTTAAGTGGTGTGGGGCAAGCAAACTGCAACTACCTCCGATGTTACTAAATGAAGGACTTCCTTTGCAGACACAAATCCTCTGACATCTAGTTCCGGCCTGCAAACTTAAAAGTTGATAATCACTTCTAAAAGTGACTTCTAAAAAGCATTTGGCTTAGACCCCAGAGGAAATACTGGAACTAATGGATACTCGCTTCTGCACCCCCATATACTTTTAACCTTCTTTTCAATCTACCTGCCTAAGTTCCCTTTTTGGTTCGCCCAGATAGTCTAGCTGCCCAGAGTGGCTGGGCAGACCCAGCCAGATGGGTGGGGCATAAATAATAAGTTATTATTATTATGTTCTTAACTGCTGCTGGGCCCAAAAATATTTGTCTACCTGCTCTGCCAACCTGGGGCAAACATGGCCATTGTTCTGTTTGCTGCCCTGGGTTCCTTTAGGAGGAAGAGTAAGATATAAATTTAATAATAATTTCTCCTGTCTCAGTTTAATCTATAAACCTATTTAAAAACCAAAATCTTTGTGAGACCCTCATTCAGCTGCACTGGATTCCAGTTGATAAACCTTTTCCTGCTTCCACAACACTTTTTGTGACTGTTTTGAGAGTCTTTGCTGATACTCAGATTTCTCTACCCCTTCTCTAAAATGCCTCTCTTTGTATAGATTAGCAAGGTGTGTCTTTTGCAATCACTCTTTCTTCCTCAGTCTTACATTGATTTGTCTTTTACAATATCAGCCTTGTTACCACTGACATCTGAAGGCAGTCCTGCTTAGGGAAGTTTTTAATGTTTGAGGTTCTATTGTGTTTTTAATATTCTGTTGGGAGTCGCCCAGAGTGGCTGGGGTATAAATAAATTATTATTATTATTATTATTATTATTATTATTGAGGGGCATATGGTTTTCTGGATCCTCCTGATCTTTAACTTTATGAATTTTTGTGACACTAAGCCAAACTAATCCATGTCCTTTACTTCCTATCTCACTTGTATAAAACGATGTATCAGGCTGGAACTAGATGTTACAACAAACAATGGACTGCCATCTCCAAATGGTACAATAAGAATCTAACATAAAATAAAAATCAAATTATTCCCTCTTTGTGCAGTAAAATTTACTTCTCTCCTGCTGTGCATCATTTTGATTTCACATCCAAGAAACTGAGATAGAGCAGGAGCTGTAAGCCCTCCATGAAACAAATGCAAGGGAGATGGAGCTGTTGCTGTAGAGATTTCTTTCACAGGGACCAGGGCTGATTCTATTATCAGTATTAAACGATACTGTGAGACAGTGGTTAAAAAGCAACATTCTAGTGTCGTCTACTCTGGTTATTGTAAAACTATGGCACAATTATTTACCTTGGTATTAATCTCACTTCATAAAAAAAATGGCAGCTTGAAACAGATATAACTTAGACACAGCTTTAATCAAAATCTTTCTTGAATAGTTTGCATCTTTATCTTCAAAACACCTTCTTGGCTTTCATAATGTTTTTAAAAAATAGAGCTTTATTCCAAGACATTTCCAAAGTGCACCCACACTGCAATGGTATATATGCTAACTGATACTGGCTGGTCTTTTTTCACTATAAATCCTGCACTGAGGTACTCTTGTTCAATCAAATTTGCAGGCCCTAATTGCACTTCACCCAAGAGCAATGCTAGTAGCTCTCAAAAAACCCAGGGATAGCCCAAAACAACTGAAATACACACAAATAAAAGCAAGGGCCTCTCAGGAGCCCTTCCCCATTTCAAACAATAGGCCTAAAAAAGGAATTATTTAAATTACTGTTCAGCATAAATGCATAAGAGCTGCCTTTGGCCACACTTTTGACATACTTCCCTTGGACGCAGGAAAAGCATTAGGTTGGCACTGGTTACATTACTTAGGAAGATTACTGAGAGCAAGATCTGATGTGCAGTTCAGATGCATGTGCTCACAGAAACTATTCCAAAAATCTGTCCTATGCCAGAAAACGTTATAAATTAAGAAGCCATAGGAGCACTTCAACCATTCAGTACTTATCTGCTGTTTTGGGATGTGTGAAAGAGAATGCGCTTGACCCGAACTGGACATACTTGTACTCCACAATTGACATGGCTTGGTAACAGCAAATCTAGCAAAAGAAAATATATGCAGAACTTACTCCATGCATAGCTCTCACTTGCAAGAACTGGTATGGGGTTTGTGGATTATTGAATACCAGTAGTACTGTAGACTACAACATTAGCGGAGTTACTCTTGAACTTTTGACTCGAGAGCTGGAGTGAGAAGGTGGTGAAATATTTAACTAGGCTGCTCTGAGCCCAAAATGCACTAAAGTCATTTCTTAATGCTCAAAAATTGCCTTCTGGAGAGAGGCTAGATTTTTCTGAAAGCCACTTTTGCAGGTCCATCATCTCATTATGAAAGGACTCTAAATGCTGTTTTGAATGCATTTCACAAGTATCAGAGTACTGCTAAATTTAAGGCTATCAGAAGTCTCCCAGTTCCTGCAGCAAAGCTAAGATGGAAGTCAGCTTTGGTTTCCTATGACATCAAGTAGTTCAGTGGTTTAACAGAATGAAAGAGTGCCTTCTTCCGATATAACGTATGTACCCCAAATGCTTCTTGGTTATATGCATTAGTTAAGGCAATGAAGCACTAAAAACTGCCATTTGGAGGGGTCACATTTTCATCAAATTGTAAAACACTGTTGATATCCTCATCCCAACACTGTAATCTTGACAGTTTCCTTACATTGCACATCTCTTTCCGTTTTTCCTTTTTAAGAAAAAAAATTAAAAATCTAAGATCAGAACTAGTTCTGCACATTTGGGGCAATGTCTCAGTCGTTCTGCTCAAATGTCAAGCATATGTTGAGGGAAAAGCTCAAAATGGATCTATTTAATTAACACCAACTAAGAATATCATTCTATTTAAGTATCTTTTTGAAGCAACCATAAAAAGAAAAGAGGTTTTAATCCAAACGAGAAAATTGCCCTTGTAAAAATAAGTTAGAAAAAGCCCACAAGCCAGCTGCAGTCATCCTATATTGGATAAGTAAAGAGTCCTAGTGATGATGCTTCTCTGGGGAATTATCTTAAGCACTAGAGTGGCTTTTTAGAGGACTTGCATGTTGCATAAAATCCTCCTGAAAAGTAGTATGGGGACAGTTATACTATCTATACTCAGGCCAATCCATATCCTGCTTTGAAGAGGCAGGCTTTGTCATAACCTGAGCTATGTTTACAGAGTGCCTCAGAGGTGCCAACAGCGTGCAGAAGTGATGGAGAAGCTCCTCCGATGTCTCCCAAGAAAACAAACTTTTCCTCTTAGCAGAAATGAAAACTAGATTGCTTTTCTCCCTGTAGCGACGAGAAAGCATAAAGTATCCCATCGCGTTCCAAAGGTCATGAAGAGTTTAGTAAAAAAGAAGAAGAAAAATTAAAGTGCTTTGGGGAAACAATTGCTTCTCTGGTGTTAATGTGTCTCAACCCACTTCAGAAGAACGGGTCCAGCCTTCCACCTCTTTAGAGATCTAACACCCAAAAGTACAAAAATAACCAGTACTAACATAACTGTTGTTTCGCTCGCCACTGTGGACTTGCTTACTCTTTGCCTATCACTGAAAAGCTGGCATTTATTTAAGTTCAAGGAACGAAACTCCTAATTGAAATTGTCTAGAAATAGAAATAAAGAGAGTCCTAGAAACAAAAAAGGAAGGCGGTGGGGTTGTTTCTAATTGAAGTGGAATTTAAATTTAAAAGGTCCTCCAGAACTGAACGGGTCAAACCCTTGCCACGTATTCCAGCCTCTGTGGAAGTGGTTTCCTCCTCCTTGCTGGCTTTCTGCATCCAGCGGGTCTTCCCCTGCGTCAAACTTCCTCCGCATCTCTGAAAAGACACACACGTGGCAATGAGGTCTGTAGAACTGGACACATCATCCAACCGGGCTCTAGGATATTTCATAAACATGGTAAAGGTAAAGGGTAAAGGGACCCCTGACCATTAGGTCCAGTCGTGACCGACTCTGGGGTTGCAGCACTCATCTTGCATTATTGGCCGAGGGAGCCAGCGTACAGCTTCCGGGTCATGTGGCCAGCATGACTAAGCCGCTTCTGGCAAACCAGAGCAGTACACAGAAATGCCGTTTACCTTCCCGCTGGAGCGGTACTTATTTATCTACTTGCACTTTGATGTGCTTTCGAACTGCTAGGTTGGCAGGAGCAGGGACCGAGCAACGGAGCTCACCCCGTCGCAGGGATTCGAACCGCCGACCTTCTGATCAGCAAGTCCTAGGCTCTGTGGTTTAACCCACAGCGCCACCCGCGTCCCATAAACATGGTAGACCACTAGAATTTCAATGGGTGGGTAGCCATGGCATGCCTTCCATCCCAGTAGGCCCTAAATATCAGGTAATCAGTGGTTTTCACAAGTGGAGCATGATTAAGAAACCCGAGGTAGCCAGCCTGGTGCCATCCACATGCCAGCTGCCAGAATCCATCACCATTGTGCTAGCTGGGGGCCTGGACACGGCCGCATTGGCTACGCGTCCGCAATGAAGAGAACTCCTGCTTTTGAAATAGAGATGAAAAGCAAAACATGTTGGCTGTGTGGGTCTATCGTTTTGAGAACGAACTAGTCCCAAAACAAGCTGCAAGCCCACATACCTGGATCAGTGAGGACTTCTTTGGCAGCTGCAATATCAATAAACTTCTTCTCTGCTTTCTTCTTCTCTTCCTCGTCCTGGAAATTATCTGGGTGCCACTGCATTGCTAGCTTTCGGTATGCTTTGACGATTTCTTGTTTTCTCGCATTCCTGCAGAGAGGGTGGGAAGAATCAGTTCTCCAACTGTCTTCACATCAAGCCAAGTCTTGAAACACACGCACACACAGAAACGGGACACCTTTGCCAGCACCTAAAGCCCTCTCCAATCTTTCAAAGGGATCACGGGAAGAGCAGTAAGCTCCAACCCCAACATCCCCATAGGAGACATTTCCATATTGAGTGGGAAGGTTTGAAGGGGCTTTCTAAATGCATTCAGCTAAACAAAGGATTGGATGCCTCTGCAGGATCAAGCACCTTCTGTTATTATCAGGGTAGCTGATCGTTCAGAGGTATCTTAAATGCATCCATCTGAATGCACTTAGAAGCCCCCTTCAGACCTAGGCAGTGCAAGTGCCTCTCATGCCTCTACAATTTTCCACCCCTTTGCATGTTACTTGAATACTTCAATAGGACTCGAGAATGCTAATAACCCTAGCATGAATTCTTTTGGGATTTTTCTTTAAGAGACAGTTTCTCTGGTTATGCACAGTAGAGAAAAAACAAACGTGAGACCTGCACTAGACAAAAAGGGATATATTATGGGGAGTGGGAAATAAGGGTAACATCCAACTGTGCTCAATCTATAGACATAGTCTATTTCAAACAAACCCAAAGTATTTCTTCAGGGCATTTTCATCAGTCAGCATCTGCAGAGAGGGCATCGCAGCCCAAAACTTTCTGATAACTCCTACAAAGTCATTACCTTTTGAACGTTACCAGTGTTCTTTGGATTTGGGGCCACGTGGAACACTTACTTTGAATTCTGAGCAACGTTAATCTAAGTCTGCTTGTTTCTTACATAGGTTGCCATAAACGTTAACCAGGCATCCAATAAGAAGAAGAAGAAGAAGAAGAGGAGTTTGGATTTGATATCCCGCCTTTCACTCCCTTTAAGGAGTCTCAAAGCGGCTAACATTCTCCTTTCCCTTCCTCCCCCACAACAAACACTCTGTGAGGTGAGTGGGGCTGAGAGACTTCAAAGAAGTGTGACTGGCCCAAGGTCACCCAGCAGCTGCATGTGGAGGAGCGGAGACTCAAACCTGGTTCCCCAGATTACGAGTCCACCGCTCTTAACCACTACACCACACTGGCTGACCACACAATAATGTGTTTGTCCCTTCATGAGGAGGCTGAAAAGCAGGAGCAAGAAAGCCAAGGAGCTTCTGGGTCACTGTAGACATAGAGGGGCAGCCTGACCACATCCTTCACCCTAGAGCTGCAGGTGGGGAACCTCTAGCCTATAGACCAAACTTGGCCTGCATGGCTTCCCTCCATCCATTTTCACCTGCCCCACACCTGGAGATGGGCAGGTAGAGATGTACCATCAGGAGGCTTAAATGGTGCTTCCAACTGCTCACTGGCAAGGGCAAGCAGACTTTGGCTTTACACCCATCATCATCATCATCATCTGACGATGATGATATATTTGCATACTGACCTATACCCATAGGTTTCAGGGTGGTCCACAACATAAAAATTGCCATATTGAAAGGTTTTTGGCAGAAGGTAACTGAAACTATCAACAGAACTGTACGGAACAACCTTACATTTACAGAGCAAGATACCCTTTTGAATTATACACCCAGCACATGGAACCTCACAAAAGGACAATACAAGTGGACTCTCTGTGCCCTTACCACAGCAAAAAGACTGATACTGATGAATTGGAGAAATAAAAATGTGGCTCCCTTCTACGATTGGATTGAAGACATATACATACTTATACAACTTGCATATAAACACAGACTTGCCATGGACAAATTCAAAGAATTCCATTCTTACAAATACTGTAATAGGTTAAGATCCGGTGAATTACAATAACAACTTTGTAAAATACAGTATACAGTTTGGGGTTCCCCCCTCCCCCCTTTATTTTCCCTTCTACACGGGTGCTGTTTATTTACGTCTCATCATGTTTAGTGAGCATATCATCATGTATTTTTTGAACTTTCAATAAAGTTGTCTGGAAAAACAAAAACAAAACATAAAATTGCTGATGGGCACTAGAGCTGTTGATTGGCTGCACGATCAGATGCCTGGCTGTGCTTTGAAGCCCTAACAGCCACCTGATGTCTTTATGATGTCATGCGACTGCCAGGTGGGCAGCCCATGAGGCTAGTTCCTGACAAAAATCTGGCCGGCAGAGCCAAAAAGGTTCCCACCCCTGCAGTAGAGCGACAATGTAAGAAGCACCTACAGATCCACTGCAACATTTTATTTTTGCTAATGCAACCTAGTTCCCATTCTAAAGGCCAAGCTCCTCCTTTTGTTAAACCTCCTTTTTTAAAAGTGTGCCATAATCCGGTTACTTTTCATCTGAAGGAAAAGCAGTTGTGCAGAGCGACAACTGCTTCTTGTCAAAACCAGCTTCTTGTCAAAAGTCTCTCCCTGCTTCCAGCTGCAATTTGCTTCCTCGAGGGGTGCTGTCTGCAGTAAACTGCACAGGGGAGGAAGCATAATTCAGACTGGGGACCCCACACAGCAGCTTTTGCTAAAAGTGAAAAGTGGTCAGCTGAGGACAGGCAGAGAGCGAAGAGCAACTCTGCACCAAAGCACGTCGGGTGAGGTGGGAGAAAGCCTTCCTGCCCAACACTTGTTGCTATGCTCTTAAATCTACCCTTTTAAAGACATGATTTTGGACACAGGAGACTGGTATTTCTAGAAGACACTTCTGAGAAATCGCCTCCCTTACTTTCCAAGTTGTTTCAGCCCTTGGTCTTTTATATCATTCTTTTTTTCCTTCCACGGCTATTTGCTTTTCTGTAACACTGGCTTTGTTCTTTGCTTAATACTTCATCCAGCCTTTAGCTAATGAGGCTTTTTGGTGCTGCCTGTTCAAATGAATTTGCTCTCCGCTCAAAATTAACATTGCTTTAGGACGCAGTGTACCCCTTTGGAGGCCAGAGCTTATCTAATCACGGTTCTCTCCAGTACGTGCGTGTTGTTGGTTCTTTTGGATTATATTTTGTATTGATATTTTAGTTTTGTTATGGCTTCTGGCCAAACAAATAAAAAACTACGTACTTTCCTTAGGAGGTTGAAGAAGTCTCTAAAGTATTGTTGCGGGCGGGGGGGAAGAGAAAGAAAGTTTTATTTGGAATAAAGAAATAACCATTCATTTTGGTCTGCATAAAAGATGGTCTACCAACAGGGAAAAGTACACAGTTTTAGGATTAAACATTCAGGAGGACTTCCTCATGGGCTGTGACAGTGGAACAGACTCACACAGAATATGGATGAACTGGATGAACACAGGAATAATAAAAGGAAGTTTCTTGTACCTCACCAATCTTGCTGCGTTGCCCCAGCTGCTCTGGGTGGCTTCCAACATATTATACAGAAACAGAACAACACAACAGAACATCACACGTTAAAAGCATCCTGACACAGGGCTGCCTTCAGATGTCTACAAAAGATCGTACAACAGGGCAGGCATCACTACTGAGATGGCCGTCTGCCTGGTTCCCTGTAACTCACTCTCACAATGAGGGAACCACCAAACGGCCCTCGGAGCTGGACCTCGGTGTCCGGGCTGAATGATGGGGATGGAGACGCTCCTTCAGATATACAGGGCCAAAGCTGTTTAGGGCTTTAAAGCTCAGCACCAGCATTTTGAACTGTGCTTGGAAATGTACTGGGAGCTGGGTGAAGATCCTTTAGGGCCAATGTTCTATGGTCCCAGGAAGCTGCTTTATACTCAGTCAGACTACAGGTCCATCTAGTTTATTGCTGTCAACGCAGCTGCTCTCCAGGGTTTCAGAGAGGGTGTCTCCCCCAGTCCTATCTGGTGATGCTGGAGAATGGATCTGGGATGCTCTGCCATGGAGCTACAGCCCTTTCGCCCCCATCAGGGATGCTGTAGTAGTGGATTTCTTGGATCGGCAGGGGGCTGGATTACAGGAGCACTGAGGCACCGTCTAAATCCACAGAACGAGCTAAGTGACAAGAGGTCCATGCTTGAGACTGAGAAAATGGCAAGTAAATGAAGCCAGTGACTGTATTTCCCACTCGCCTATGAAGTGACTCTCAAGCGTGGCTCTGAACATATATAAGGGAGTGCACAAGACAGACTGGAAGGGGCAGCGCATGGGACTGATGTTTCTTTCTGAAGTGCCACCTGGAAATGTTTGTTCTACCCACATAGGAGGTGAGCCCTGCATGGGACACCCACTCCTGGTGAAATGGTACAGTTTGGACTTCGGCCATTTTAAAGAAACACGAAGAAAGGGAAATGGGAGTTACTTGTTCTTCTCATCTCCAATGTATTGCATAATGCCTGAAACCACTCAAAGATAAACCACAATCCTTGTTCCACAGTCACTTTTGGAATGTTGCAATGGTGCTTTTCCTGCTGTCTCCTTGCAAGAACTGTGCTCTATATTGCCTAACTGGTTTATAACGAGTGAGATATAGAGAACGATGGGTGGTACTCAACCAAATTCTTGCACTAGCACAAGGATTAGTGTTACTGCAATGGGATCCCTCTTCTCCTGCTCCTCTTGTTCATCGCCATCCCTAAATCTGCTCCAGAGGCCTGGAGAAAACCCCACAATAGATTTGGGCAGCAAGCAGTGGGAGGAGAGGCAGAGAATGCTCCATTGTCCAAGGATAAATCCTTTGACTGCGCAAATGCTTGCATTAGTGCTATGTTGACTACAACCCAACGACTCCATCCTCAAAGGATGTTCTGCTCCCTTCAGGAACTATAATTCTATAAATGCCACATGTAATATGCATAGCAAGGATGTTCACAGGACAGCTTTGAGCACATGAAAGACTTGTAAAAGGGGGGTGTGATGTTATGATGACCTGGAGAAAAGGCAAGATACAATGGGCAAGAAGTAATATGTATAAACTTATAGACTATCAAGTACTCACCTTTTTACTCCTAAAATTTTGTAGTAATCTCTCTTCTGAGATTGCTTGAGTAGCCGCTGGGCTTTCTCTAAGCCTTCCAAAATCTGTTGGTCACTGTCACTGTGGTCCTTAGCAGTTTCATAGTCTTGAATAGCTACACATAATAAACAAGGACACACATACACTTAATGATCTTGCAACAATTAATCTTCAGCAGAGAGGGCTCAATTTCACATTTTAACTTATTCACTGGTTTTGTTCGGAAAATCGAGTCTCAGCTAAATAAGCCAAAATAACACTCTTCCCTTTGCACAAGCAGCAAAAAATTAAATAAATCTGTTTTCCCTCCTCAGGCGGGCAGCTTTGCGGGCAGGCCCTGGGCCTCCCCTGTGAACCAGCCTATTGCAGGCTGGATCATCATCCGGCCGCCGAATTGGCCAATCGGGGGAGGAATTTAGGGGGCGTTCCCTTGGGCGCAATGCCAACTGACCAGTAGCGGCGCTTGGCACTGCGCTCAGGGCAAGGATAAATGCCCAGCCTACAGGGCCTTTCACCCTCTCTCTTTCTCACTCACTCACTCACTCACTCCACTGGTTCTCCCATCCACCCTTCCTCAGATTTTTTGCCGATGGTACGACCTTGCTTTGGACAATGTCAGATGCTGGATTTAGGGGCCGGGCAAGATTTTTTCACATCTGGCAAACTGGCTCCACCATGTGGGTTTTCACCTACCTCATAGCAATTGTCACAACTCTGTAAGGCGTACAGGCATTGAGTAAGCCTAGTCTTGGTTGGAGGGGAGGTTGTAACCTCTGCCTGCCCTTCCATGGGTAAGGTTATCCTGTTAAAAGGATCCGGGAGGAGTGGATCCTGTCCGATGCTCAGACGGAGCCTAGGGCCATACCACTCCTCCAATGGGGACCACTAGGGGGATGCCCCAATTTGATGTAGGTCATAGGGTGTCCCCACCTGTCCCGCTGGCTTCACTCCTGGATGGGCAGGAGTGACATACGCAGTTGCTTATCTCAATGCCTATGGCCAAACCTTCACATCTGTAACCAATAAAGTTGTGGCCTTATTTGATCCCAAAACCAATATGCCGCGTGTTGTCTAGTTATTTGCACCTTAGGAAAAGGAGTGGTCATGGCTCCTCATTATATTTGTGCTAGGATACCAGCTTTAAACCACAGTTTCATATTTTTGTTGTTTGGAAGCCATTAACCATCGTTTCTCAGTTTGGATGCAATGAGTAGCTCTGGATAATTGCAGGTTCCTAGCCGGTGGTGCTGTGGGTCAAACCACAGAGCCTAGGATTTGCCAATCAGAAGGTTGGCGGTTTGAATCCCCGCGACGGGGTGAACTCCCGTTGCTTGGTCCCTGCTCCTGCCAACCTAGCAGTTCGAAAGCACACCAGTGCAAGTAGATAAATAGGTACCACTCCGGCGGGAAGGTAAACAGCGTTTCCGTGTGCTGCTCTGGTTCGCCAGAAGCGGCTTAGTCATGCTGGCCACATGAGCCAGAAGCTGTACGCCGGCTCCCTCGGCCAATAAAGCGAGATGAGTGCCGCAACCCCAGAGTCGGTCATGACTGGACCTAATGGCCAGGGGTCCCTTTACCTTTAGGTTGTTCATTTGTGTGAAAGGCGTGGCAAAGCGGCTGCATACAGGTGCCTAAACCTCATGCCTATCTCAGATTATTAAACTGAGATTTGATCATCTGGTTGGTACTGTTCTATAAAAGCTGAAAATACAGTACTAGCAATGCCAATTGCACGGAAATATGATCTTTTCCTCACTTAGCTCTCTGCTCCACCTGCTCTGCATTAATTGTCCTTCTCTTCCAATATCTCCTATTCATTCTCTTATAAAAACCCCTCAGTCCTTCCTATCAATGGTTCTTCAGAAATCCAAGCGTTGGAACAAGATGAGGAAGTTAAAACCATACTGAGTACAGGTATTAGAAACCACCACCACTTTGAGTCAATCACTGGAGCAATCCACACACAAAACCATTGTGCGGACACTACAGAAGGTGTGTTTTTGTAAAAATATGAATGTCATTTACTACTAAATGGAACGCTTCAGCTTTCGTTTTAGTGTCCTTCACAGTTTTGCATTTCCTACATAATGAGCCTTTTCCTTTTCGGTTTCTCCATTTTTAATCTCAGAAAGTCTCATTGTGGATCTCAAGACTTTAGTTTTCTAAGTAAGACAAAGCATTTGCATCAGATTATCTTCCAGCAGCTGTTCTCTCTCAGTAGGCATTACATTTATCTTTCTGCTGTTTCTGGGCAAGCCGGCAGGAGACGGTGACCAATTTATATCACTTAAGACACTCAGTGGCTGCACGCAATTCCCTTTCGAAGAAGAACAAAAGGGGGAAAAGTAGTTCTGATGCCCCAGCGATTTAAAACATCCATCCACCAACAAAGCGCAAATCTGATTACTCTTTTTCATTCTCACTAAGCCAGCCTACTGCGATTTGCCACTAGAGTTCTCTGCCTGCCACTGTCATTTCTTAACACTTTGGCCGTTCACTTAGAAAAGCAGCAGGAAACTGCTATTCAGGCCCATCGTAAAAACTCTACGGCTACGTCAGAGTTGGAAAGTGAAGCTCCTGAGATTTCCTCCCCCATCTTGCAGCTTTATTGCTCTGGTAATGTTAAATGCCGGACAACCTCACCCATCCTTTTAAAGCACGTATTATAAAATCTCACAATGAATGAAAGAATGCCTGCTGAAAGTTTGCCTTTTTCGTTCATTGCCGTGGGCAACTACAACACACCACGGCTAATGGAGTGAAGATACTTGAATGCAGGTTACATACTGGCAAAGGGAAAGCCGGTGTCATGAAACAGATAAAAGTGATGGACTGGGTTCAAATCTTCGTTCTGTAATGAAATTCATCAAGTTATCTTGGGACAGTTGCTATCTCTTACCCTGAATCCACCTCGGAGAAACATTGTCAGGATAAAAAGGGGGAAAGCATGAAGTGCCACCAAACCCACTTAAGCAAAATAAAGTGACTGATTTAGGGTTCGTATCATCATCATATTCATCATCATCATCATAAACTTTATTGCGCTAGCCAAAGGCCATGGCATCATTCACAAAGGGAACAAAAAGAGAAACAACAATAACCATAAAAACCATAAAAACATCAGGCACTGCAAATACAATAAACCACGGTCACATTTCCTAGAACTTATTTGTTGCATATGATAGAATAGCAGGGGGTTCTCAGGTAGAATGTGCCAGTTAAATGTCCGAATCACCTTTGCAACTGACCGCTCCCCTGCTAGAACCTCCAAACAAACTCAAGGGTTTGTATTGTACCAGTCGGGCAGAGCATGCCTCTCTTAGTAGTTGCATGTAAGGAAAGATACAACCCAGGGTTAGAATAAGAAACCTTGCACGCCCTGCCATGATCTTGATGATAAAATCCTCAAGTCTCCACTGGTGAAGATTACTTGATGAAGACAATGCTCCTGTCTACAATGTGTAGATTTAGCACTTTGCCAATGTTCTCAAGTATTGTTAAACAGATAGGACGGCAAGAGCACTCAAACATACTTTAAAACAAGGCTTCCTAGAGTTTTATTTTCTCCCTTCCCCCTCACTGCTGCGTTGGACATAAATACCAATCAGCAACAAGAAAAATGGTGGAGTTGACTGCCTTACCTGCCTCTCATCCCCTGCCTCAAATGGGCTGCTTTTTTCTTTTTTTTAACAATATATATATATATATTGACACTGTGTGTGCTTTTTTTAAGCAGGAAAAACTAGTTGCAAAGCACTCTGGGGGCAGAAAGGGGGAGGCAGGCTTGGCAACAAGGCTTGCTACCTTGCATACTTTATCAGACAAAGGTAACTTCGTGAACAACAGCAGTAGCAGCTCAAACCCCAGAGAATCCACACTGTTCAGAGTTGGCTTCTGCTGCAAAGTTTAGAGAGGAATAGTTAGCCTACAAATAATGCACTGAGCACACTACTACGGCGACTTGACTGTTCAAAATTAAGAATGTGAATAAATGCACACCAGTCACTCTTAATCCGTTTTCCAACGGGACTGATTTTGCATGGTAGCAAAGGGAACAGCTAGACTGCCCCATGCTGCCAATTTCTGTATAAAACCACCCGCTGTCCTTGAATTTTTACCTTCCTCATATTGCTCTTCCAGCAAATACGCTTCAGCCCTGTCTTTGAGAGCATTTACGTTATCTGGTTCCAGCTGCAAAACTTCTGTGCAGAGCTTGATGGCGTCGGCCGACTGCTGGTTCTGAAAAGGGAAGAGGGACCAACCGGGTCAGTGCTTGCATTCATTTCCGACAACAGCAACAAAAAAGATGAAACTAAACATTTACCTTTGAGAAGCAGTGGCAGATTCTCTCTTTGGCTCGAGTGGTGTAAACGGGAACTTCGGACTCAGTTTTCATCACAGTCTCGTATTTATCAATGGCATCTTGGTACCTATTTACAGCAGACGGCAAACGGTGGTTAGTTTAAACTGGGGGCTGGGGGCTTTCAGCCATGGTAGAGTAAAGGGCAAGAAAGACTGCCCAGTCTCATTTGCGTAGCACTAAACTGGCACAGCACTGCAAGCGAACCAGGCCTTGCCTCCCCCGAGGTTTGGCATTCATTTACCTTTGCTACGAGTGGGTTACAGAGCACCGTGGCATTTGGAGCACATTCTGTGCGCAGCACATTTCCTGTCTTCCGAAGCTTTGGTTTGATCTTGTTTCCCCCAAGAGCTAACAATCTGACGAAGATTTATTTATGGGCAGCTGCAGCATTTTAATTGCAAATACGCTGTGATCTCCACATTTAAACGCTGAGACATTAAAATGCCGTTTTAAATAAGAGATGGCATTTAGCGCTAAAACTAACAGCCCTGACACTTTAATTTACTGGGGAGATGAATAACTACGTAAAGCTTTCCACAGAGGCTGTGTGGTAAACCTCTCTAATTACTCACAAAGCCAATCGATTCCCCATTTTTTTGTATTTATCAGCAACTGGAGTGATAATGAAGCTTTTGCTCCCCCCCCCCTTTTGTCATTTCTGCAGCACTGCGAGTTGCCGGCTTACCCACTTCTTGGCACCAGAAGCCGTGTGTGTGTGTTTATGTGGCCACAGAAAACCCACCACACATTCTTCAATCAATATCTGTGAAATGTTTAGTGCTGGCCCTCTTATGAGCCCTCTGAAAGGCTGCATAATGCCCATCAAACATGCAGAGAGCAATGCTTCAGCCATTGTTCAGGGCTGCGGTGGGGATCCCAGCAATGAGCCTAATCACAACCAGATCAGTATGATGAGGGAGCCAACAGCTAGAACAGAAACAAAGATAGCATGGTAGGAAAGGTAGAAACTGGAGCAACAAACCAATGGAAGATGGGCCTAGTGAATGTTTTGGGGACACCAGACGCTGTAGTCTTACTGAACATACCATGAAGCAGAGCAAGGCAGGCACCTCAGGCAGCAAATTTGGGGTGCCATTAAAGGGTAGCGCTTAATTATTTAATCTATCCTCACTGCATTTTTTTCTGCCAGGGAAGGGAAAAGGGGCTTGAGAGATTTTCCACCTCAGGTGCCAATCTGGGATAGTCTAGGTGAGGTTAGTAATCTGGATGGGAGACTGTTGCAAATCTAATATACCGTATTTTTCGCTCTATAACACGCACCTGACCATAACACGCACATCGTTTTTAGAGGAGGAAAACAAGGGAAAAAACATTCTGAATGAAACGGTGGATGAATCATTTTTGTGCTTCATGCTGTGGCCACAGACATGTGATCTGATGGTGAATTTGCGGTGACCCAATGCAAAAATCCTGAAAATCCCTATGGATCCATGCTTTGTAACCACGTTTTTGCACCATTGCAGCCCCAGGCAAAAAGATTTTTCCTGGTGCAGGCTGTAGCCATGGACATGCTATGTGATCTGGTGGTGAATTTGGGGTGACCCAATGCAAAGATCCTGAGGATCCATGTGGCTCCATGCTTTGTAACCACATTTTAAGTGGGGAGGGAAGGAAAAACACAGAAGGGACAAGGAGCACGAGAGGGGTGTGCGGAGAAGCAGCTGGCTAAGAATGCAGGAGAGGGGTATAACGGGAGGGAGGAAAGGAAGGCAAAAGTTTCCCCCCACCCACCCACCCACCCACCCAAGCCAGCCAGCTCGCGCTCTCTCTCTCCCACCTGCATGTTTTCCGGCTGCCTGATATATATATTTTTTAATTGCCTTGACAGAAGAAAGCATTTTAACTGCATTAAGAACTATTTAGCAGCGAAACCTAAGCTTTGCCATCCCTTAAGAGGTACAGACACTGTAATCTTCCAGATCGCATGAATTTACAGGCAAAACACTGTTTAAGGATTTCATCCTTTTAAATGGAAGAAAGCATATTTGAATGCTGTGTGTCCTCAAAAACAAAAGCAGGAAGTCAAATCAGAATTTTAAGCTGAACCTGTAATCTCTCTTCCCTTCACAAACATTGTTCTCTCCGGAGCACGGAGAGGAATTGGAAGGAAGGACGCGATCCTTTCCTTTCCCCTCTGCTTGCCTGGAGGGGAGGGGCTTTCCCTGCTCTTTGTTCCGTTTGAGCAAACACAGCAACGAAACAGACGGGGTGGGCAGTAAGACCCTGAGGCAGAATGCAGGAAAGCAGCCGCTTCCTCTTTTCAGGTTTCCCTTCTCCAAAACGCGATTTGATTTTTGCCTGATTTTTGCCTCCACTCGCGCCAGTCGGCTCCAGGGACCACACATTCGCTCAATAACACGCACAGACATTTCCCCTTCCTTTTTAGGAGAAAAAATCTGCGTGTTATAGAGAGAAAAATACGGTACATATAATAAAATGGAAAAAAAGAAACCAGAAATTAGAAGGCAGCACAGAAAAAAATCCCCAATAAATACAGCTCATGCCGTTCGCATTTGTTGTCTAACAAACGTGAACGGCATGGATGCATTTTATTTGGGATTTGGCCTAGTAAGGTTCCCACCCAGCTAGAAAAGCAAAATCTCCTAGCACCGACCAACTATGATAAGAATCACAGGCCTGAGTTTCTGTCTTTACTCTGAGTTTCCCAGAGTAAGCCCATTGCTTGTGTGTGATCCAAGAAGTGGCGTCCGGCCTCACAGAGCACCTAACAATTAGTACCTTACCTGCCTTCTTGGATGAGTTCTTCTGCCGACAAAATCTGCTTATTGAGTTTCTTTACTTTCTTGTAGTGGGAAAAGCACTCCTTATGGTCTTGGTCAAGTTTCAGGCATTCACGCACTTCACTTTTTACAGGGGGGAAAAAGAGAAAGGAGGCGGCAAGTCAGTTTTATTCTGCGGACAGCAAGCTAGATTTTAAAGACCTGGATTCAAATCTTACTCCTAAACTCATTTTGTGTGTGTCCCTTCACAGGTTACACTCTCTCAGATTCATTTCCTCTCCTGAAAAATTGGGATATTAAGGGTTTTCTCAAAGGCCTGTGGTATATATGTAAAAAGAGGGGTGGGACACAATCTGTTTCCTCCCACTGGGGATACTATAGGGTTCTTTTCAAGCTAAAAGCTACTCTGGAGCTAACTAATTTAGTCAGGCAGGCAACCCCTGGAATTTACATTCTGGGAAGAACTCATTTTAATCATTTTCTCTCTATGCTTTATTTGCACTGGATTGCCATCACACAGTTTTCTGAGGTTCTAAAAGTGGGCGGGGATACGAGAGACCGTTTCTGAGGTTCCCAAAAGCCCTTGTGGGTAAAGTGTTTAATTTAGCTTTCTGGCGTGGGATGTGATGCCTCTGAAAGATCTCCAAAGAGAGAGTGATATTTTGGTTTTAGAAGGCAACTTGCCTAAAAGCAGAGGCTCAGGCACCAGCTGAGGACTAGGAATTGCAGATGGGCATCATAAGGAACAGGTGGGGTTCTGAACCCTGTGCTTTCCTCCAAGTTAAATTTGGTAGATTGAGGAAGCATTTTTGGAAGAAAATTGGCAGAGGAGCGGACAAAGGTGCTTCACTCTTCCTCCTCCAACCTTCTCCCTCGAGATGTGAAGGCCAAAGGGGAAAAGCTGCGAGAAAACTCTTCCTGCCACAGCCCACCCAATTTTCCCCAGGCCCCACTTAAGCATTTTGAACCCTTCTTTCTCTACCACCCCAATCCCAAAACCCAAAATAAGATTCAAGGGAGGGTGTTGCTGGGGGATTTTCAATGAGGACGCCATAGGCTTGGGAGGAATAAACGTTTCTCTGAGCTATTTCTCCCCAACATATGTGTCTCCCAAGCTCCTACGATACCTTGGCAAGCAGAGATTTTGTTTCTGCCAAGGCAAAGCATATTTCAGATAGAGCTGAGCTAACCAGATTTCCACCTTTACAAGCAGCGAATTTCAAAATAGCTTTTGCTGATTTAAAGGCTTGCAATTTAATATTGGATAGCTGTGTATTATTCCAAGATGCCATTTCTGAATAAATCAATTCCAGATATTTAAATGTATTAACTTGGTTTATGATATGTTCACCCAGGTGCCAAACATGCTTTTTAGGGTGCTTCCCAAATTCAATGACCTGCGTCTTATTGTAGTTTATAGATAAAGCATTCCTCGTGCAATATGAACTTAATTTTGCAAGCCGCTGTCTCAGGCCCACCTGGGTTCTAGATACAAGTACTAGGTCATCAGCATACATTAAGACTGAGAGTTTTTGGTCGAGAATTGTGACAGGGGCAAACTGTAGGCCCTCCAGTTCTTTAACCATGTCATTAATATAAAAATTAAACAGGAAAGGCGCCAAAATGCATCCCTGTTTGACTCCAGTCTTAATTCTAGTGGTGAGATGGCCAGCCAGATCCACCTTTACTTGTATTGATGTGTCAGGATATAGTGTTTTGATAAGAAATAACAGACGGGGGTCTATATTTGTCTTTTCTAATTTTTGCCACAATGCAAGTCTTGGGACCGTATCGAAAGGTGACTTTAGATCGGTAAAAGCGACATATAATTTTTGCTTCAAATTATGGATGTATTTACATAGTAGAAAGTTTGTCACAAAGCACTGGTCCAATGTGGATTTTCCTCTTTGGAAACCTGCCTGGACTTCAGATATCACCTTATTTGTATCTGCCCATTCTTCCAGTCTCCCAAGAAGGAGCCTGGCATATAGTTTAGAGGCTACATCTAACAAACTAATGGGTCTATGATTGGCAGGGTTTTTCTTATCACCCTTTTTATACATTGGGGCAATTATACTCAGCTTCCACCCTTCTGGTATGAGACCTGAGCTGTTAATGTATGAAAACAGTTTTGCAAAAATGGGTGACCAGAAATCAGGTCTTATCTTATAAATCTCCATTGGGATCATGTCTTCTCCTGGAGCTTTATTGGCTAGTTGGCTTACGATTAGCCTCTTAATCTGATTGGCAGTTCTGATAACTGAATATAGTAAACTTGTGAGGGTAAGTCAGGACTGGGGCCATATATTCAAAGCATATTTCCAACCTGTGCAGATTTGGGGGGGGGGGACGACCCACACCCAATTACTTCTGAGGAGACTTTTTTTATTTTTGCCCTTACAGGTAATAATAGTAACCTTACCTCAAAGACATTTCGTGGTCTCCCAGCTGATAGTATATAGTGCTGATCTTATAAAATGCTTCGGTGTTATCGCTCTTCAATTTGGCAGCAGCTTTTAAATCACTAAGGGCCTTCCCAGGCTCTCCCTCCTTGATGTAACATTCGGCTCGAAGCTCCCGCATCTCTGCAGCCCAAACACAAACCTTGAGAAACCAAAAATGAAAGCGAGACTTTGGTCCAAAACGTTTGTTGTTGCATTTTTTTTTTTTACAAAAAGGACAATAAATGTACTTTGATGCCGCCTCTATGGTGAGGCAAAGATCCATTTCTATACACATTATGAGATTATTGGGTTGCCTTTGTTTGTGTCTTTATTATGCATTTTGAATTTTTTATATTGTGATTTTATGTTGTGAGCTGCCCTGAGATCTACAGGTATAGGTAAAGGTTGTTAGGATATTTCCGTTCCACCTTAAAAGGGAGCAGGCTGTGAGTCACAGAGTCTGCGTATTTCCTGTTCACAGGATGTTTATGTTTTCTGTTGCTTTCGTTTCTCTCTCTGTGTCGTACACACTAAAGCAGGCAGTCATGTTTTTCTGTGTTCTGATCAACGCTGAATAAACTTGTAAATAATGCTCTCCTGAGTGCAACTTTTGGCTGTGCATTATCTGCTGATAGAGTGTGCATGAGCTCTGGAATGTGGCAAGAAATCTTCTAGAAACTCATGTCGCTAATTGCTGATACTGCGTGCCTACGGGAGATCGATGGATCGTCCGGCAGACGGCTTGGGGCCATGATGGACTTTGTCTCCCTGGCAGTATCCCCTGGGCCATTAGGTCCAGTCGTGGCCGACTCTGGGGTTGCGGCCGAGGAAGCCAGCATACAGCATCCGGGTCATGTGGCCAGCATGACTAAGCCGCTTCTGGCAAACCAGAGCAGCCCTACGTACAACGCATTGCAGTAATCTTCTTTCCTGTTGTAGAAGCGGATGTGAACATTTCAGGAGAGAGGCCACTTTCAGAAGATAAGAAAACACTGCTGGATCAGGCCAATGGTCCATCTAGTCTAGCATCCTGTTCTCTCACTGGTCAACCAAGATACCTATGGGAAGCCTTAAAATAGGATCTGAGCGCAACACCACCTTCCCCATTAATGATTCCCAGCAGCTGGCATATATATATACACACACACACACACACACTAGTTTTGGTTGAACTGATTGACATCCTATGCCTTTTTAAAATGTGGCTCTTTTTTGGGGGGGTGTTATTGGGTTGTTTTTATTTTAATTATACATATTGTGGTTTTTATGTTGATCTTTTCTGTGAACCGCCCTGATACCTATGGGTATAGGACGGTATATAAATTCAAATAAATAAATAAATAATCAACCTTAATTTATTTGTTGAGGCAGTAATCAGTGGTGAAATTTCAGCCATTCAGGCACTTAGCCAGATGCTCACTATGACCTCAAGCTGAACTGATCTGAAGTCTTTTGAGTTATATCAAGGTAGAGTTTGTTAAGAGGAGCTGCCCATCTGCCACCTGCAGCGCCCACAATTATTTCTTGGCAGCCGTTTCCCCTCTGAAACTTACGTTCAGAATTTCATCCAAGAGACCGATCACGGTGTAATAATCCCCCGTGAGATATGCTGACTGTGCTTCCGAATGTAGGCGCTGCATCTCGTCAGACTTCATCAGCTGGGTGCGGGCTTCTGTGTCTTCCTTATCGCTAGGATTAGACTGAAGCTGCAAAAATTAACAAAGAAAGACAAAGAACGGTTACATCTGAAATGGAGGCAGAGCCGTCTTTCCCACTGGGCTTAGTGGTTCGTTGCGCCAGGGCGCTGGCCTCTCAGGGGCGCCCCAGCGAGTGGGGGAGCTGCACGGCTTTGCCAGTGGCCTTCCCTTTCCCTGCACGCCCGCCAGCTGAGCCCTGTCACCTATATGGCTGGCGGGCGCGCAGCTTCCTTCCCAAACCTCTGCAGGGATTGCTCTCCTGCAGCGGCATGGCGGAGAGTTGTGCACACACACCCCATGGCTGGCAGTGCGCAGCTTCGCGCCCCCCCATCTGTGGTAATTTGGGGGCACTGAGTGGATATTTGCACCCTGGCGTCGCATCTGCTAAAGACGGCGGTGAACTGAGGAATTCTACAACCCATCATCTGCCGTGCACAAAGCAAAATGATGCCACTGAATTCCTTTGGGGAAATTCTTGGGGCTTGTTAGTCATGACTAACTTAAATCTTACTGTTTTCAATGGGTCTTTAGTAAACATGACTAAGTCTGGATATTACCCCCTAAACAAAAAGATGAAGAACCTGCAGCTGTTCAGATGTAGTTGAACTCCAAATTCTATCATCGCTAGCCTTTATTTTTTGGAGGTCAATAATCTCTAGAGGCCATCAGTAGGATTTAGATTTTATTGTTTTTTTGTAATATGGGGCCAAGAGTTGCTTTGAACGTATAACAACACCCCAATATTTAATGTCCTTGATCCCAAGATTTTACTCACCATCTGAACCAAATTGGTTCAGCCAAAACAACTGATGTGCAAAGCTGAACAAAAGCTTTGTTTAGAAAATACACACTGGCTCACACAATTATAGAAAGAATGTGAAATAAAAGGACACAAGCGCGCAGGGGAAATACAGAATAAAAGGGCTCCTTTCACCTCCAAAGACATGGAAATTTGCTAGTAATAGAGACAATGTGTCAGCCTGAATCCCAGCAGCTAATCCAACCAAATAACCCAACGTAGCAAAGCACACATCCCTTCCACAGACTATTTCACTATAATGGCTAAATAAGCTGTTGGGAGAATACTGTAGTGTTAGAAATAAATTATGTGCATAAAACAAGGCAAAAGGCATGTTTTATACAGAAGGTCAGACTACTGAATTTGGGGTTGAGGGAGGGAGAGAGAATAACTCCAGGATATTAGAGTAGAAAAATGTTATTTATTTTAAAAGAAAATATGTGTAACATATTGAAATTTCAATACGCATTGCCTCATGTTATGAATACAAATATAATTTCTAAACAAGCCAAATGTTCTTTATAGCCACCACCTATCACTGAGGAGGTCTGACCTTTTGATGAAATATCATGACGCGTTCCCTTTGGACAGCAGATTCCAGAGGGGAAACAATTTTCATTTCTCCAGCCTCCTTCTCTGTGCATCATTTAACACAAGAAAGGAAAAGGCAGAAAGGAAAGACAGAGAGATTGAGAGAAAGAGAGGGATGGTGGGTGGGAGAAGTGCCATTGTACTCCAGGTGCAAAAAAGCCCAGGGCTGTCCCTGTCACCCAGAGTTAGCTGATGAACGGAAGCAAGCAATCAAAAACCAATTAAAAGGGTTTTTTTAAGCCTTCAGCTCCTGTCATTGCTATTTTCTGACATGCAGTTCTTCAGTCATTTAGACCGTGAGATCTGCACACAAGGAAGGACCTGTTTACCTTTGTCTCCGAACCGTTCCTGGTGTATCTGACACTTGAACAAATAATAAAACGATGATTAAGTTCCCCCACGTTCGGAACGCGCACTCTTAAAAGGCGTCTTTAGCCTTTTGATTTATGAAAATATATTTATCATGATTACGGAAACACTTGAGCGCTAACAAGAAAGCAAACAAGGCCATACATCCTCCTTACGTCCCACGCTAGTGAAATCCGCGAGTCCAAGGGGAACAAAAAGAGAAAGGTACACACAAAAGTGGTATTGAGGCTGGGAAACAGGAGGGGACGAGGTCACGCAAATGGTAACAGGCAAATGTGCCACGTTCCTGAGTTTCATTCCAACAACAGCTGTAATATCTTCATAGGAAACCTGGTGCCCTTCAGATGCTATCAAACTCCAACTCCCATCCGCCCTAGTCCACATGCCAAATGGTTAGGGGTTTGGGGAGTTGTCTTTCAACAAGTTAAGGTGTGTATTAACCTGTAGATATTGCAGGGGGAAAACGCTGGCTGGTGCTGATGGAACTGAAATCCAACAACATCTGGAAAGACAGAAGTTTCCCATCCCTCTCTTGAAGAGCAGTGTTTCTCAAACTTGGGTTGGACTACAATTCCCATCATCCCTAGCTGGCAGGTCCAGCGGTCAGGGTTGATGGGAGTCGTAGTCCAAAAACAGCTGGGGACCCAAGTTTGAGAAGCACTGCTTTAAAGCAGTGTTCCCCAACCTTGGGCGACTACAATTCCCATCATCCTTGACCACTGGTCTTGCTAGCGAGGGATGATGGGAGTTGTAGTCCAAAAACAGCTGGAGGCCCAAGGTTGGGGAACACTGCTTTAGAGGATAAATCACATGCCTAGCTTAGGGTTACCAGATGTCCCTGTTTCCTGGGGACAGTCCCCGGATTTGCGAATAAGTCCCCGGACAAATTCCATCCCCGGAATGTCCCCGGATTTCATCTAATATCCCTGGGAAATTAGTGCAGGGGCTCCAAGATGCAGCTTCCGGGCTGCCTCCACCTTCCCTGACCCCAGCAACTAAGCTGTGAAGGGAGGCTTCATGCTGCCTATCGGAGCAGCCTCCCAACTCCTACTTGCGTGCAAGCAGGAGGGGGCAGGGATCTCTCAGTTAGGCAACAGGAAGCCTCCCTTCCCAGCTGAGGGATCCCCACCCCCTCCTGCTTGCAGGCAAGTAGGAATGGGATTTGGGCTGCTCTGATGGGAAGGGAGGCATCGCACTGCCTGAGAGATCCCTGCCCCCTTCTGCTTGCATGCAAGTAGGAGTTGGGATGGGGCTGCTTTGAAAGGCAGTGTGAAGCCTCGCTTCCCAGCTGAGGGACCCCTGCCCCCTCCTGCTTGCACGCAAGTAGGAATGGGATTGGGTCTGCTCCGATGAGAAGGGAGGCATCACGCTGCCTGAGCCTTGCCACCGCTCTCAGCCCTCCTTCTCCGCCTTCCATGCATGACCCACCACACACCGCTTCACCACCACCACCACCACCACCACCACCGAAGAACCAACAACTCAGTGGCTGCCCAGGCTCATGGAGAAAGGAGATAGAAGACTCAGAGGAAGGGGAAACGTGGCGGGTGAGGTCAATGCGGCGGCCACCCCTCTGCCACTGCCATCGCGGTGTGTCCCCGGATTCACTGAAAAAAATCTGGTAACCTTAGGGTTGAAAAGCATGGGGAAGTGGGGTAACAAGAATCCAGAAAAACCCGGACATACTGATGTATTAACAAGCCATTATATGGGACAGGAGAACTGGGGAACACCAGCTTTTCAGACCATACGCACTGAAGTTACAGTCCTATGCACATTTACCTGGAAGTAAACCCCACCGAAAGGGACGCAGGTGGCGCTGTGGGTTAAACCACAGAGCCTAGGACTTGCCGATCAGAAGGTCGGCGGTTCGAATCCCCGCGACGGGGTGAGCTCCCGTTGCTCGGTCCCTGCTCCTGCCAACCTAGCAGTTCGAAAGCACCTCAAAGTGCAAGTAGATAAATAGGTACCGCTCCGGCGGGAAGGTAAACGGCGTTTCCGTGTGCTGCTTTGGTTCACCAGAAGCGGCTTAGTCATGCTGGCCACATGACCTGGAAGTTGTCTGCGGACAAACGCCAGCTCCCTCGGCCTATAGAGCGAGATGAGCACGCAACCCCAGAGTCGGTCACAACTGGACCTAATGGTCAGGGGTCCCTTTACCTTTTAAACCCCACTGAAGGGATTTACTTCCAATTAGAGATAAGATTGTGCTACAAAAGATTTTGCTCCTACATCCCAGCACATCAGTGACATCCAGTTTGCATCATCCGCCACTTGTCTGCGTGGTCACTATGCAATATAAATGGTCTAATATTTACATCGCTTATGGGTCTGTAGGCTTTTTAGTGGCCTCCTGTCTCTCTCAGGAAATTTACCCTTTTACAGAAAATGTCATACTAAGAAATCACCACCAGGAAAGGGAATATCCATCAAAAGTTTGTCAACTTAAGCTTTCTAGCCATAAAAATAATGATGCCAGCAGAACTTGTGGCTATAAAAAATATACTGCAGTGACCTCCCTATAGCAAGCTAATGTAGGTAATAAAAAAAAATCATTTAGTACAGCTTAATTAGCAGTTTAACAACAGTATAAAATAGATGAGATGGAAGTGGTCAAACTGCTTTTAAAAATTATTTGCGTGTGCATCTCATTTCTGCTTTATGAATCTATTTGCTTTGTTAAGCCAAAAATACAGCGACATGTGTTGGGTTTAACAATTTGTCATACTGAGCTTCATCAGCTTGCATTTCTAGCCTGCATATTCCTAAGGTTGGTGTCATGTAATTTATCAGTTTTTCATAGCTAACCAATCTTATAACCCACAGTGCAACATTTTTTTTAAAAAAAATCAATCCATAAAACACCAGCAGGCACATTAGAAGTCGTTTCATCAATTTCTGAAAGCAGATTTTTAAAAACCTCACACACACAAAGCAAATAATTCAAAAGAAACAACAACAACAAATTCAAAACTTAGGATTTGTGTTCGGTTTCCTTCCCCTCTCTTTCCTTAAACTGCTTTGAGAATCAGGGCTTCATATCTACCTAAACCCAAACGCGACACCCACACCATGCCATTCTATGTACATTTACTTAGAGGTAAGTCACACTGTATTCAATGGAGCTTAGTCCCAGGTAAGTGTGCACAGGATTGCACTCTAACCCCAGGTTCTCTCGCGTATGTTTATCATTTGGTCTGCCTAGACTTGGCAACTGACAGCCATTAGCCCCGCTTATGGGTTGCTCGTGTGTTTGGCACTCCAATGTTGTGGTGAAGTGGTTGGAGTGCCAGGCTAGGACCTGGAAGATCAGGGTTCAAATCCCCCCCCCCACTGGGTGTTAGAATTCCTGCTCCATGATTGCAGTCATGGGATTTTTGTCTATCACATGACGGTATATGTTTTGACTCCATAGAGTGGGAAGTGACGGAGACAGGATGTTTGTGTTACTGTGTTCTGTGAAGTGGGACTATTGTCCTTTGTTCTTTTTCTCTTTGCTATCTGATGCTAGAGAGAGAGGGAGCCATGTTGCAGTGCTCCATGTGTGTTTATATGTAAATAAAGTAGATTAGCCAAAATGCTGTGTTGCTGAGGTCTGTTACGCAAGCTGCGAAGACTCTGTGGATGTTAGTTTCTGTTTGCCACTGTGTAGCTGCTTAGAGTCACAAGACTCTGTTTACATTCCAGAGACCTTCCAGGCTGTTGGAAGTCTTACGGAAGACAGGAGATGGATGTGATGTTACTGGTTTCCTGTTCCTTTGTTTTTCAGTTGCTCTCTGCTCTCACAGAGAGAGGATGTATTTTTTTTCTGTCAGCGTAGCTTAGAAAATAAGGCATAGGCATGTAGCCATAAATCTCATCACTTCCGCGTGCTGCTTTGATTCTCTGCTGAATGGAGGATGTGCCTGGAGCCTTATCAGAGGCTCAGGTCATCAATCATGTCAGAGGCGATTCCGGAGGACTCGGCCGGAGGAGGATGAGCTTTATCAGCTCGGTCGAGCAGAGATTCCGACAGCGGATGCCTAAGTGTGCCGGTGTCGGTTGGCATCAGTCGCTGTGATGTTCGGGCTGAAGAAAGCTTTTGAAGTTCCTGAACGATCGACCAGGAGGGAGAGAACATGCCAGTCGGGCATGTGTCTCTGCCAGGGTCCTACTCGAGTGTAGGCTGAACTCCTGACACTGGGTGCCCTTGGGCCAGTCACTGCCTCTCAGTCTAACCTACCTCACATGGTTGTTACGGGGATTAAATGTACACCAAAGAAAAAGTTGGGATATAAATGCAATCAAACGAGCAACCCATCAGGAGTGGAGCTGCAAGGCTCTCCAGCCCCATCATCACATGCCATGGCTGGCACCAAAGCAGCTGTTAGGCAGAGGAGGAGCGAGTGGGCAACTGGGGAGTTCTGGTTGGTTCCCCTCTTGCCTCTCTCCTTCCCAGCACTAATCTGGAGGGGGTCTACATAAAAGGAAAAACCCGCTATAAATAAGTCAGAAATTGAATCGTCATAACAAAATTTTAAAAATGCTATGTAAAAATGGCAAAGATTTTTTTTTGCTCTCTGGCGCCATCTGGTGGCACCATCTGGTTTTGACTTCGCATGACTTTAGGTTTGCGCAAAGGGCTCTTTCACCCTAATGCAACAAATCAGAGAATTATAGAGTTGGAAGGGACCCTGAGGATCATTTAGTCGAACCCCTTGCAATGCAGAAATATGCAGCTGTCCCATAGGGGGATTGAGCCTGCAACCTTGGTGCTATCAGCACCATGCTCTAACCAACTGAGCTATCCTGTACCATTTTTTCTTTTTTTATGAATTTTTTATGGTTTGGAAAGTGACAGGGAAATGCATCGAGATGTGTAAACACTCCACAAACACATCAGGATGAATGTTCATTGCTGCATAACCGTCCCGCAAACAAATCAGAACTATGACTAAAATAATAATTGTAAAATAATAATAACTGTAAATATATAATAACTAGGAATCACATTGTCTTGAGAGAAACACTATGGCCTATTTAAAGCAGAAAGGCCTGTAATAATAATAATAATAATAATAATTTATTATTTATACCCCGCCCATCTGGCTGAGTGTCCCCAGCCACTCTGGGCGGCTCCCAATCGAGTGTTAAAAACAATACAGCATTAAATATTAAAAACTTCCCTAAACAGGGCTGCATTCAGATGTCTTTTAAAAGTCAGATAGTTGTTTATTTCCTTGACATCTGATGGGAGGGCGTTCCACAAGGCGAGCACCACTACCGAGAAAGCCCTCTGTCTGGTTCCTGTGACCTGGCAATGAGGGAACCGCCAGAAGGCCCTCTTCTATTGGCTACGCAGCATTTAAATCAAATAGGCAGGATACAAAACTTAACAGGACATTCTGTATTAGAAAAACACAACTGACAAGAAGCTGACAAAAGAAGTTGTTCTTCAATAATAGTCTTTGCTGGCCTCTAGTGGAACAATACAAAATGAACAATAAGTTTTCCACTTTTGGTTCCTGAGAAATATGATAGTCTAGTGTCTCCCTTAATCTGCCACACTAGGAATTGTCTGAGTCACCTTCCAGTCCCTGTGCTATCAATTTCAATTTTGTATTGCAAGGAGCAGCATGCTGCCCCGCTATGTCACCAATAATCCCCTTGTTATTAAAATTCTTGTTTGTTATGCACCCTCTGCCAGACCTCCTCTTCATTATACGCATTAATGCCATTTTAAAAAGACAGAGAGGGGGCAAACTCACCAGGGCCCAATTCACACACAGTCCCCCCACTTGGGACTGATCACACATTCACCCAAATTACCACGGTGCTAAAATCTTTGTAGCTGCATATATTCCACACAGCATAAGAAACACTTAAAAGATTTCCATTGTGCGGCACGAAAGATAATCCCTGTGAAATCTACATTTCTGCTTCCTATTTTCCTCCGGAAGCCAGTTGACAAGGGGTGGGATTTACTAAGAGCTCATCCATTCCAGAAGCCATCTAGAAAAACTACAAGTGTAATCTGCAGAACCACCTCACACCACATAAAAGACAAAACCGTCTTCCACATAGCCAAACTTTATGGCTTTAGCAGCACAACTGGTTGATGAAGCCACCTGCCCGCTTTTAATTCCTTACATCTGGAGGGCTAAATTTATTCCTCCAAGCAACACACTAATTCTGCTTGAAAGACGCCACACTGTAGCTTCACACAACATGCCACTTTAACTTTCTCAAGGAAAGCTTATAATTTATTCTGTTTATAGCCTCCCCTTTCTAAAAAAAAGGTTTGATTTGCAAAAAGGCAAATGCTAGAAATTGAAATACTTTATTGTCACTTGTACAGCTTGTATACAGTGAGATTACATGAGCACCCCCCACTCAGCTCTCTTAAGTCTTAATTCCCCTCGTTTACTGACACCCACCCACCAAACCCGAAAGTCAGTTGCCCTGTTGTTATCGTTTCATTCAGCGGCCTAACAACCCACGGATAGAAGCTGTTCTTTACCCTGTTGGTGCGACTAATCATGCTTCTATATCTTCTGAAAGTGTGATGCTATATTTAATAGGCGTTTACACAGGCACAGAAAGACCAGAAGCTCCAGCTTAAATATTGCCAATGGTTTGTGTGCACTGCAAACTCTTGCCTACAGACAGGTGGGGTCTATTGGTGGTCACTCCCAATCAAGATGCCTTAAAATGGGCCAACACCCAGGGCTATTCAGGGCCAGTGGCACCATGAGGCATATCAGGCAGATTTTGTACCAGCCCTGGGTCTGACTAATGGCATGGTCTCTAACAAAGTTGTCCCATTAGCACACGCCCTTCCATCTGCGCAATGGGGCTTCCTCTCCAGGAGGATTTGGGGAAACAACCCGCCCCCCGAACAGATTGTGGGGCACACAGAGAAAGGAGCCGCCGTCCCATTGTGCACACAGAAGTCCTTGCACAAACAGGACAATTCCGATGGATACAACCCACAGTTTTCCCTTGCAAACGAAGTTCAGTCGCCAATGGAACCTTAAAAAAGGCTTTTCAAAAGCACAAAACACATTAAGAATGCTACATGCACATGATGGGGGAAATTCCAGAACTGTTTAAAATCATAGAGAGCACTCATTGCCTATGTTTCACCAGCAAACAAAACTATGGTAGAAATTATTGTGCTGGGAAAGAGGTGTGTGTTTGTTTTTCATATTTTTAATACTTTGGCCTCAAGTCAGTCATGCTTAAATCATGGCTCTCTTGTCTCCAAGGATTTTTAACTGTCTCTGGATAGAGTTCTCAATCTCCAAACCCTATTAGATTTCAAAATCCCATTTTCCTGTTAATATCTTTGATTTACAGTCGTAAGCATCCCAGAAATGTTATAACAACTTGAATCATTTTGGCTGCTTCCCATTCATATACATTTGGCTACGTAGCAAACAAACATACGGAAATTGTACGTTGTGAAGAAAGGGAAATTTATGAGAGGGAATAGAACTCAGGATCATCCACTGAAACTTGACTAGTGTTAGATCTGGAGAGACCATTTGCAGTAGCCCTTCTTCACACAATATTTAAGTCATACAATTTACAGCCACAAGATGTCATGATGGCTACTAGCTTAGATGACTTAAAAAAAATAGATTGGACAAATTCACGAAGGGTTTGGAAAGTTAAGCTGCAAAATTTATGCGTAGAGAGCAAATCATATCGTACACAGTGGGGTTTACATCAGAGTAAGCGCACTGTGCTGTTAGTTTATTGCTTCAGTTTAGCATTTTCCTTTCCATTGTGGAAATGTATTGAAATATCAGTACCCTATCTAGTCAGTTTTATGCTCAGAGAAGTCTTGCACTTTCCCCTTCTTCCTAGCACTGCACAAATTAAAAAATATTTATTCTGCCATTGTGACACAGGAGCTTCCCTGTGTGACATGCACTGGATATGTGCAAAGCACCACCTTTTTTCAGCACGGGCGCTGTTCCATATTTCAATAACCCCATTATTAAGGTTTCTTACTTACCACTCTCTTAAAGTCCTCTTCGGCCTCATCAAACTTTCCCTGCTTCAGTAGCAGGTGTCCTCTTTGCAGCCTCGCCTAAAATAAAGGAAACAGTTCTGTAACACAGGAAGACACCGTGTAACATACCTAGTGCAAAACTAAGGGAAGTCTGTGCTCCAATCCCCACTCAGTCATTGGAATCCCTGGGTGACCTTTGAGTAGCCCTATTTCTCATCCCAAGCTACCCTATGCAGGAGGAGAGAGAACCAATTATGCCACCTTCAGTTCTTTGGAAAGGTGGGATAAAAATTAAATGAATGAATGAATGAAGTTCTTAAGTGTAGGCACACATACATTCAACACATATTTTCTATTTCAAAGCATAGAGCATTTTGTTGCTGTTCCGTGAAGTACCTTTGCCCCTCCCACCACCCCAGGTAATTCTTTGGGAAGCTGCCTAGCTAGAACCAAGAGTCAAAGGGCAAAGGCTAAATGTCCAGATCGCCAAGGAAGATAGAATCTGTATTATGAGGCACAGGTCAGTTACTGGGGGGGGGTGCATTTTCCACTGAGAACCCCCAGTCTTACAAAGCCTTTGGGGAGGCTGTCATTTACCACTCCTGTTCAATAATTCCCCCACTTTAAATAACCCCACTGAATTCAACCAAATTTGCCTCTGAAGAGATGTGGGCTGCATGTGCACTACACATTTCAAGCCCTATGATACCACTTTGAACAGTCATGGCTTCTCCCAAAGGATTCTGGGAACTGTAGTTTCTTAAGGATGCCGAGAGCCATTAGGAGACTCCAGTTCCTCTCAGAGAGCTACAAGTCCCAGGGTTCCATGGGAAGATGGTTGACCTTTGGGAACTGCAGCAGGAGCGTGCACAATGTTCTACATTGTTCTACAACATAAGCAAAATGATAGACATCCCTGCCCGCAAGGAATTTGTGATCTAGTGATTTAGGAAAGGGGACCGGGAGACCACTGAAGAATCCATCTCAAAAAACTGACTGAGGGCATGTAAGAATCTATGGAGGCTTGATTTCAATAGTCAGTAGTCACTCCTACTTTGCATCAAAATATCAGCACAATATTGGGTACCTTACAATCCCATAAGAAGCTGAATTAACGCTTTGAAAAGGTGGCCCTCTTTCCTAAAGCACATTTTGTATCCTGCAGTTGCTGGAATTTCAGTCTACATTTAACCTCTCCAAGTTACAGGATAATAAAAAGTTTTCTGTTTGATTATGCCACTTACTAGAGAGAGAAAAAAAGATTCCCATTTAAAAGGCAACATAAAAAACAAAGACAAAAGCCGTTTTCATCCACCCTGGAGGAGTCTCTGGAAAGTATTGCTTACCGATGTGAAATCCTGCTTTAATTCAACCACCTTGCTTAAGTCACGAATGGCAGCTTTAGATTTGCCCATGGCTAAATATACTGTGGCTCTTCTGTAATAGGCAAGGTAGTTATCAGAGTCCCCTTCTGCAAGTGAAGAAGCAGCAATCAGAACATAGCCTCAAGCCAGCCAAATCTTTGGATACAACTAAGCATGCAATAAGGAGAAATAACAGTGCCATTACCAGAATTTTTAAGCAGCCTGATACCACCATTTAATTAGCGGAGGGAACGTTTCCATAGGACAGCCGTTCGGCACACATTTGCACTATTAACGCTAATGGGAGAAAAAATGAAAATCCCACGCACATAGGAGCATTCAGCTTCCTGGTTATTTTTTAGGGCTTCAGGAGGTGAGCATCCAAGTGGATTCCAGCTGTGGAATGAAGTCAAGCCCCCTACATGCTAAAGCTTTTTATCTCAAACTGCAGGCTTGCCTTTCGAAGGCCGTTTTACATTTTGGTGCAGGCTCCCGCATCTCTCATTTGCGGAAGGCCAAATAACCATCTCACTGGAGATCAGAGGTGGCGTGTTCTTCTAAGAATCCCCATTAATTCTGCTGATACAGCAATCAGCAGGGACAGAAACATGCCAACCCTAACTTCTCATTCCCATCCCAGACAATGAGGATGCTATGGGACTGAATGGAAGTACAAAACTTTCCTTTCGCATCAAGAATGCTGCATTGTATAGGCTTTGCTAAGGACAGGGGTCAGCAACCTTTTTCAGCCATGGGCCGGTCCACCGTCCCTCAGGCCATGTGGGGGGCCACACTATATTTTTTGGGGGGGGAATGAACGAATTCCTATGCCCCACAAATAACCCAGAGATGCATTTTAAATAAAAGGACACATTCTACTCATGTAAAAACATGCTGATTCCTGGACCATCTGTGGGCTGGATTCAGAAGGCGACTGGGCTGGATCTGGCCCCCAGGTCTTAGGCTGCCTAAGGAGGAGTTTCTCAGTGCTTCAAACCAGATACTTCTCCCCATTGCTTGAATTGTGGGGAGGGGGCAGGAGGGATAAGGGGAGGCTTCATGAAATCCACAAGTCCCCACTCTGTCCAACTTGAGCCAAATCATGGCCATGCACACCTTTCCAAAAATAAAAAATAAAAAATGGGTTCATGACAAAAAAGAGAGCTACCCCCCCCCCTGCAATTAAACTATTGTTTCCTTTGTCCACAGAACTGGATGCAGTAGATGGAGGGATCCTTATCTTCCCCCTATGGGCTAAGTTTGATAGGTAGGCTCATTTAGTTAGGACTCATTTTTGCCCCTGTGGTTTGAAATCAAAGGCACAGCCTGCAAAGCACCAATGATCAGCTGATTGCCAGGCCTTGCAAAGGTCAGAGGGCAGGTAGGTGTGTCTTGGCAGAAATGGCCTGGGGGGACCTAGCCGCTCTAGTTACGTTCAAAGGCCAAGGGTTCCCTACTCCTGCTACTGAAGTACTTCTCCCGTTTATCACAATTTGTGTTCTCTGAATTTGTGCCTTTGGCAACATTTTTAAGCCATGACCCCAGATAATGGATGCAACATTTCAGCAGCATGGAGATGCCGATAGCCTGAGTAGGGGACACGGACGGACGGACACACAAGATTTTAAGACTTTCCCATCACAAGATAAACCATAAACCGCAAAACACAAATGAAACAACCACCATAAATATATTTTAAAAGCAATCATGGGTTCATACTGGTACAGGTATCTGAAGAAGTGTGCATGCACACGACAGCTCATACCAATAACTAACTAACCAATAACTCTAAGGCTCTAATGGAAGGAATTTTTTAATTTTTTAATTTTATTCAATTTTATATTGTTTCGACTACCGGTAAAGCTAGATAGCTAAACACCCTTTGAAGCTCCCTTTTGTCCTGGCACAACAAACCAAGCCAGAAAACTGTAAAAGTGGTGGCAACAGGCAGGCTTTTCTGGGAAATGCTTCCTGCTGTTCCATATCCCATGCTCCCCATCCTCCCGATACTAAACTTGCAACAATATGAGGTGCCAGGAATCAGTCTTGCTGAATTCCATTCCTTTAGTTGATAACCTTTCTACCCAACACCTGCTGTAAGGTAGAAGTCTGTCATCAACAGGTGGTGGAGAAAATCTAAGAACACGTCCTGAGGCCACATTATGTGGAAAGCTCGTGTTATGCAGCCACATGACAGCTTTTGTAACAGATTAGGGAAAATCCAACTGCCTCCTCAGTTCCCCAAATTAATCATTAAGTGCCACCTCCCTTGTAGCAGGAAAAGAAATTAAGGTTTAATGCGCTACAAAAAATGCCACTTCTTGGCAGAGAACACCTAGAATGGAAGACACCTACGAAGACTCATCTGTTACTCTCTGCCAAAGATCCAAGTTTTGCGATTAGAGGTGCAGGATCACAGCTACCACATACCATCCATCAGCCCCAACATCTGTTTACATCTAAAAAGAACTCAAACATCTTATCGCTTGCATAAAAGCAAGCTCAGCGTTCCGAGCCAGAAGATATCTCCCGGCGTACGAAATGGATGGTTGTTGGTGCCTCGACTCGGTAAATTGGGAGCTCAAGTTTAACCACGTTAGTAGCTAAGAACAATTCAGAAAAAATCGCTGCAAAGTGCAGCCCAAGCTTCATGGGTTGGAAATGCTTATCAGCAGCGTTTCAGGAGCTATCCTTGTCAAAGTGGCAAAGCAGAGTAGGGAGAGAGAAGCCCTGAAAGTAGAAAAAGTCAAGGAGAGCCTAAAACATTTGTCACACTCCTCACCACAATGATGTTTGCTAGTTGACCTGCCGCAGAGAAAATCTATCAGGCCCAAACCTACACAATTTTTCTCCAAAGAAAGGCAGGGAAGTTGAAACACAACCCAAGTGGTGGAGGGTTTTTCTGCAATTATTCACGCAGGATTGAGTCTTTCCTGATCTCTCCCATACATGGGAGATCACATTTGCGTAGCGCAAATTTCACATGTAAAGCAGTTCTCCATTTAGAAGGATTCAACTGAAACGGGCAAGCCCCTTGCTGTGAACCAAACCTGGTGCCCCAGGGACAGACAGGCAATTTCTCTTTCCTTGCATCAATCTCGTTCACATAGAAATACAGTTAAAAGTTACAGGACCAGAGTCCTGAATGGAGACCAAGTGCTGGAGCAACCAAAGGCAAGGAGAAAACATGGGGGACAGTTCAGCATTCCTCTCCCACTTACACCTCATACTCACTCCTCCTGCCTTATATGTGGATGAAGGTCCCATATCGGGTTTTGGCCCATGCCAGCCTATGGGTCAAGTGTGTTAACCCCCTGGATTTCCCTAAGCAGGCCTAAATCGCACTCTGAACACCCAGAGCCCACAGACATCCGGGAGATTTGGATAAGTCCTGTACAATTCACAATATAGACTGTCGTTACACGCTGCATTTTTCTATCTGCCATGACTAACCAAGCCTAAAGAATGCACCAAGGAGAACTTTACCACCAAGCATGCCCATTTAATGGACAGAAAATTCAAAAGTCACCACTACTAAGGCAAAGGCCTGCTTCAGACCGCATGACCGCATTCCAATGAACCATTGTTTACCAGCCTAAAAACAAGCTATGTGCCGACATGCACCTTCCTCCCCTCACATGCCTTGTTTAACCATGGTTTCCCTGATTTCTGAACCTTTAAGTTTTGGCTTAAGGGCTCCTTGAGCCAGTGTGATGCAGTGGTTAAGAGCGGTAGTCTCGTAATCTGGTGAACCGGGTTCGCGTCTCCACTCCTCCACATGCAGCTGCTGGGTGACCTTGGGCTAGTCACACTTCTCTGAAGTCTCTCAGCCCCACTCACCTCACAGAGTGTTTGTTGTGGGGGAGGAAGGGAAAGGAGAATGTTAGCCGCTTTGAGACTCCTTCGGGTAGTGATAAAGCGGGATATCAAATCCAAACTCTTCTTCTCCCTCAAACCAGGATACAAAACTAGGGTCAGATCTAACTTTGCAGAAACCAGGTCCTTGAATTAAGGAGGAAGAATGCAGCAGGTACACGGCTCATTCTTGGACTGATAAACCACAGTAGGTCAAACTGGGATTGTTACATCAAATTGGAGCTGCATCTGCAAATTATGACACGTGTACCCTGATTCCCAACTACAATCACATGTTGCGAGCAAGTCTTGTTGATTTCAGTGGGGCTTACTGTTACTTGAAACTACCATCAATGCACATGTCCCCCCCCACAAAAAAAACCCCTAGGTCCCTGCCTCATGGAGCTCACAATCACAGTTTTGACAGAGAGAGAGAGACAAAAGCAGGAGAAGAAAAATGGTAAGACAAGGACAGCAAGAGCAAGAAGGGAAGGGAATGTGCAAATAAAGATGTGGGTATTGCAGGGGTGCCCAAACGTTTTTCAAAGAGGGCCAGATTTGATGAAGTGAACATGCGTGAGGGCCGACCAAAGTTGTTGACTTTTTTTAGGATTTTACCCCAGGAGATAAGACTGCCACAGGGGCAGGATTAACCAACCAGCGGGCCAGATTAGGCCCCGAAACAGACTTTGGACATGCCTGGTATACAGTCTTTGTTTCAGCTGTAGATGAGAGGGAAAAGACTCCTTACTGCAGACTTAGCTGAATACACAGCTTGCCAGGAATTAAAAGAAGAGCAGGCATAACATACTAGAGAACATCGACCAGTGATCCTCAACAAAAGGAAAAAGACAGGAAGCGGTGTGCTGCTTACTTTTCAAAATACTAGGCAAGAGGGATGGTACACAGAGGAAAAGGTTTTTGTAGATGAACAGTGAACTTGTGGGTAAAAGAGAGGAGAACAAAAATTTGGCAAAAGTCAAACGCTATCAAATGAAATGCAACTGCTTTTCGACACACACCTATGGCAGCGTGGAAGTGAGACAAAGCATCTGCCAACTGCCCAGCTGCCAACAGCTTCTTTCCCATTTCAAGTTGTTTTTCGACTTCTGCGTTTATCCCACATTCCGCACCTGAATGAAGAAAAAAAAATATTTAATATCGTTAAAAAAGAAATTGAATTGTTTTACTATTTTATTTGCTTCCTTCCTCCATCCAAGCTGACGCCACAACATTATCATACGTGAATATGAATAAAACAGAATAAAAATCTGCATACTCTATCAAGCCATGATGCAATTTCTGTTTCCTTTTCTCAAAGTTAAAACGAGTTAATTCCCTCAGATCATTAAATACGTAACAGTCATAAGATTTATAAAGTTAATTCAGTTTGCTGCCCTCAAGCGCATTTTGTGCTTTCAATGGGGTCACCAACACAAACAAATACACTTTTGTGTACTTTCTAGCTAGTTGCATTTAGAAAGAAAAGGAAGGAACTAAGGAATATGGTTTTTTTTAAAATTCCCCTTCCTTTTTTGGTCTTACACCGATTTCCAAAGCAAAGTTGCCATTTTCAAGTACAAATAACTTTTCCCTCTAAATGTTCAACAGACTCACTGAGCTCTGACAGCCAATATGATGATTTCCTTCCCCATTTCACGCATCATCACGGACAATAAAAACTCTGGAGGCCAAATTACATTATATCTGCGCAATCTCTTCTTACCTCATGCATGCCCTCAAAAAATATGAAGCGCGGTTATCTGGGTGTTATTAAGAGAAAAACTGAAAGCAAAGTTACGCGAGTGTCTATGGAGGCTGTACAAGACTCTTATTACTTGAGATGAGTGAGCTATAAAGAGTTCAACTTTATCTTACGAAACCAGAGCCAGTATTTATATAGCTAGAAATCATATATAAATGCATGCAAGTGTGTCCCTCAAAGACAAAGTACAAAACTCCAAGATTGCAGTTTTCCACATACAACCACTAAATGTAAAGTCAATTTATTCATTCAGAATAACCATGTACTGCTGAGACTGTCCCACTTTAGATGCTAAGGGCGCTACAGGCTTACCTGCTACCTAGCCTATAGGTCTCAGAGAAGCTCCCTGTAGTTACAAAGCTAAGACAGTGGGTGGGGTGGGGTGGAGAGTCGTAACACAATTCTCTCCTCGATGTGCAAGTTTTCCAATGCAAGGAGTTTTCTACGCCAAAAAACATTATAGCAGGAAACTCCTCCCATCTACAGTCTGAAGTGGTACACTCCATCAGGGCTGTGCCACGTGATTATTCTAAATGCATAGGGATGGGGCATCATACCTTGAAGCAGATGAACACGATGCTTTTAAAGCACATTCAAAGCGCAGGGCTTCCTTCAAAGAAATCTGGGAACTGTAGTTTCCCACACAGAGACACACAATTCCCACCACCCTTAACAAACTACATTTCCCAGGACACTCTGAGGGAAGCCATGTGGCTTTAAGTATGCGCTGAGTGTGTTTTAAACTTAATTTTTAAAAATATATAGTGTTGATCTACCTTTGCTCCTCAGCATATCTATTTGGAAGTGTTACATGGGGGGTTCATCAGAGCTTACTTACAGTTAAATGGTTGCCGAAAAGCACAGCAATAGCACTAGACACAATTCTATTCCTATCACAAGACAAGTGATCGTCATATGTGCCCCTGCAAACTCAGAATATTAGGATTATTTATTTCCTGACATGGAATCTTTCTTCTGACATGGAACCCAAGGTGGCATGTATGTTGCTCTTGGGTGGTCACCCAACTGACCAGAACTGGTTCTCAGGTGGCATGGACAAGACCTGCTTAGCTTCAGCAAGGTGGTGACCTTATGTGTCTTCAGGCTATGCCCCACAGCCAATTAATAGACTGCATTATAATAGTATCATACATATGTATGATACTATGTTGACCTATGTATGCTGACCACCAAGTGCACAGATCTGTAATGCGTACTGCCTTGATAGCCATAGACCCCAGGTCACAGCCACCCATGTGAGGATAAAGGAAGCACAGAAAGGATGGACTTCGAAACTACTGTGGATGTTGTGATTGTGGAAAGTTTTGTTTACACAGTATTTGCCATTGCCTGGTTCACAAATTAAATGCATATGAACCTACACTGAGCCCGAGATCAACTTCTGAGGCCCTTCTTTGTGTGCCTCCTCCATGAGTTGTCTGGAGGGTGGTAACATGAGAATGGGCCTTTTCTGTGGTGGCTCCCAGTTTGTGGAACGCTCTCCGCAAGGAGACCTGCCTGGCGCCTTCATTATACACCTTTAGGCACCAGGCAAATACATTCCACTTCAACCGTCTCTGGCTGAATAACATTCTATGACCTTGTACATGTGTTTGTGGGAACAGGGTTACTGGTTTTGCTGTGCTTTTGTTTCATTATATATTTCCTGCTCTCATTTTGTATTATTATGTTGTGAATTGCCCTGTGACCTTGGATAAAGGGCAGTATACAGATTTAATTAATAATAATAATATCCAAGGAGCTCAGGACAATACACCAACAACAGCTTTTTACTAACAGGAAATGCTGTGTTACTACAATATAAAATTTTTATATCTTCCTACATGCTCAATGTGCCTCACACACATTATTACATCATTAGAACAGTTCTGTAACTTAAGGCAGGATGACAATGTCCTCTCCACTTTACAGTTGGAACAGCTGAGCCTGAAGGAGGTGTAGCTTGCCCAATGTCACTCACAGTGAGATTTGAGCAATGCCGGAAAATAAGCAAGATTTTAGCTGGACACTTCCCAAACCATATTCTTAAACTGAAATCCTAAACAGTTGCTAGGGAACAAGGCTCACCGAATATAACTGAAATAAGATATGTATAGTGCTGGTCTGAAAAATGCTAGAGGATACTTTTATCATCTTTGAACAGACACAGACAGGACTCCCATTGCATCTCTCTTCTCTCCAACAATTGGCAAAGAGCTATGATTACTACTGGCAAAACTTGAGTCACTCCCCTTACGGACAACACACAATAGGATCCCTCACACATATTTTCTATGCTACACCACTCAAGCTCCTTCCTGAGCCCTGCTAGGGCCACCATTGGACACCAGCCAGCAGAAGAGCAGGTCCATATTCCACACGTTAACCCACGCTAGACTCTGTAGTGGCCCAAAAAGCCAGCTCACATTTTGCCGTTCACTATTAAGTGGAATTTCACCGACATATCCACCCCCTCTCACCCCAAGGAGGCCAGCTTTGCTGTCATTTTAGGGGGTGAAACTTAATTTTTGCCAATTTCTTCAGTGAGAGGTCTTCAAAACACGTTTCTGGGTGTGAGGACTTCAAATCTGCTATTATTTTTGTGGCTGGGCAATATTTAGCTTGGTAAGTCTATGTTAAAGCACGTAAACTGCTTTCAGAAAACCAAGTAGTTTTAATTTTACCTTAATAATAATAATAACAACATACAATACAACTGCAAGTACTTGGCAGTCATTTCTGAGCATACCTGGATAGCTCGACTAGTTGAGCATGGTGCTGATAACCCCAAGTTTGCGAGTTCCATCAAGATATGGGACAGCTGCATTTTGCAATAAGTTGGGCTAGATGATCCTTAGGGTACCTTTCAGCTGTACAATTCTATGGTTTCAGTGCTATTTTACACACTTTCTACTTACCAAGCACATCTGAATCATACTAATTTAGCCAAAACACCTTTTGGATTCCCAAGCGCTGTGACCACCTTTTTAGCACCCGATTTGGAAGTGGGGAAAGTCGAAACGCCCTAAATTGCAGCACCTCATATATTGCCACTGTTTCCCCACCTCTGAAAAATAAAACAACTCGCTTAACTTTCCTCCTGGTAATTAACCGCCCTACTTCCCGGTTAAGCAAACGCCCGGGCTTGCCCACCCCAGTCCCGCAGCAGCGAGCGCTTCCTGCTCACCCTGGTAGTGCAGGTCCCACAGGACCAGAAGCAAGGGCAGCGCCGAGCCCAGCCTGCTCGAGTAAGCCCGGGGAGACACCATGCCTGCGGAGCCGCTCCGTCCCCACGTGCGCCGCCCGACCCGCCGAGAAGTTCACTTCGGAACTCTGGAACTCTCAACATTCCGAGCCAGGTTCCACGGGGTGGGTCGTGGGAGCCGCCGATTGGCCGCGCTGGCGCCTGCCCCGCCCCCTCGCAAAGGGGAACGTGGAGGGCAGGAGAAGCGAACTGTCAAAAGTCCCCGCCCCCGGTTGGCTTGAGCATGCGCGTTAAGGGAAACCGAAGCCCGCTGCCGCCCTCACTTCGTGCCCTCACTTTCAGCACCGAGTTTACCTGTTGCCAACTTCGCGATTGGTCTTGTTTCGGATGACTTTTTTTAAAAAGACAGAATTGGTTTCCGAAGTTCTGCTGAAGAGGCAAATGCGCGCTTTCGAGTTACACTGATCTCTCCCCCCCCCCCCGCAAGGACACAGAATCCTAAAATTGTAGAGTTGGAAGGGACCCCAAAGGTCATCTAGTCCAACCCTCTGCAATACAGGAATCTCTGCTGGATCATACATGTCAGGGGGTCAGCCAGCCTCTGCTTAAAAGCCTCCAGTGAAGGAGAGCCCGTCAGAGACTGTTTTAGGGCATTTGGCTGCACCGGGTGCCGGTGTCACAGGGGGAGCCGCAACAATTATGTGGAACCGAGTGCAAGAGGCGGGTGTGTGTGTGTGTCACTGAATGTAGCATCACACAGGGTGCAGCTGAAGTTTGAGAGCCCAAAGTTCACCTCTGAGTCCATGACCTCTCATGGGAGTTTGTTCCACAGTCAAAAGGTTCTTCCTGATGTTCATAGGAGCCAACTCCCCCACAATAAAATATTTGCCCACCCCCACCCCCAAGTTGATGGGCATTGCCATTCAAATAGGGGTGTGTGTGTGATGTCTTGTGATCGATTATGTGGGGTGGGGTTTTCCTGGCCTCCCCCCCCCCCCATATTTTATTCAAGTTGTCACCGCTGCTGATGTTGATTTGGAACATTGGTAGGCAAACTAAGGCCCGGGGGCTGGATGCGGCCCAATTGCCTTCTAAATCCAGCCCGCAGACTGTCCGGGAATCAGCATGTTTTACATGAGTAGAATGTGTCCTTTTATTTAAAATGCATCTCTGGGTTATTTGTGGTGCATAGGAATTCGTTCATTAATTTTTTTCAAAATATAGCCCGGCCCCCCACAAGGTCTGAGGGACAGTGGACCGGCTACCTGCTGAAAAAGTTTGCTGATCCCTGATTTGGAATCTCCTTTCCTGTACCTGGAAGCCATTGGTTCGGGTCTTATCCTCCGGAGCAGGAGAAGACGAGCTTGCTCCATCTTCCATGTGGCTGACAGCCCTTAAGATATTTGACAATGGCTATCATATCTCCTCTACTCGCCTCTTTACCAACTCCCTGGAGGTAAGCACTTAAAAAGGAGAAGTAACCTGGTAGGCTGATAGTGACCTGGCAGCAAGAAATGTCCTCTATGAGTTTAGGTGCTTTAAATGTAAAAAATAAAAAATGCCACAAACACCCACTAGAGGCCACTAAAATTATTCTAATAAATATAGGTATGTGTATTACAGGCATTGGTGTACAGTACTAACTTATGAATGGCTGCTTTTGGCTGAACACAGCCTCGTCATTTTTTGTGATGTTGCATTTATGTGATGTTGCAATACTATAGCCAATATTCTCTACTTACCTAAAGAAACAAAAAAGTTGGATTATTTAGATTAGTTTTGTTTTTAAAAAACAGTAGTACCAAAATAATGTGTACAGTAACATTCCATGTTATATTAGTATACATGCCACTTAAAAATAATAATAATTCCTGTAGTGTAACTATGTAAACTAGCAAAACAAAACACTACCTCTAGGCTTTCTGTGAGCTTATACAGACAACAAATAAACCTAATTCTTGCCACTAGCATTTTTAACTTATTATCACTAATGTAGTGGAGGGATAATCTTGTCCCTTCTCCCTGAGTTTTGAAAAATAATCAGTATAGCAGTCACTGGCATTTAATGGAATGGACCACTCTATCTGCCCGCAGAGGGTCCCAAATTCAGTCCCAGCATCCCCAGGTATTGATGCTAAAAATCCCTGTCTGAATCTAAAAAGCTGCTGTCAGTAGACTGGGGTGAGTCAGGTGGTTTGCCTTTGCACAAGGCAGCCTCCTATGACCATAGATGGTTTTATTCCATACACACCTGCAACCACAAGCAACTTGGGAACCATCCAAAATTCAGAGTTGTGTTGGGGGATGTTTTTAAACTTCCACAGCTGGCAAATGTACCTACCACCCGTCTCTCCTTTTAATTGCAATTTCCAGGATGGAGAACCTGCGACCCTTCTGAACATTTTTGGACTCCAACCTCCATCAGCCCCTGCCAGCGAGGCAAATGCCCTGGGATGATGGGAGCTGTAGTTCAACAGTGCCTGGGGAGACCTGTGTTAGGCACACAGATACCCCACTGAAGTTAATGGGAAAGAAAGCACTCAGAACTGTGCATAGAATTGCAGCCTTTGGGTCCAGCGTTGCTCCGGCTGATACACATGGAACTCTAGATCCTTTTGCCAGTAGTCCATGTGAAAAGGATCTAGGAGTCATAGCAGACCACAAGCTTAATATGAGTCAACAGTATGATGCGGTAGCAAAAAAAAAGCTAATGCTATGCTAGGCTGCATCAACAGAAGTATAGTGTCCAGATCAAGGGAAGCAAGAAACCTGCTCTATTCTGCCTTGGTCAGAGACCAAACCTGGAATAATGTGTCCAGCTCTGGGCATCACAATTTAAGAGGGATGTTGACAAGCTGGAATGTGTGCAGAGAAGGGTGACCAAGATGATATAGGGTCTGGAAACCAAGCCTTATGAGGAACAGCCGAGGGAGTTGGGTATGTATACCCTGGAAAAGAGGACTCAGAGGAGATGTACCGTATTTTTTCACCTGTAAGACAAGGTTTTTTTACCCAATTTTTTAGGTTGAAAAATGTGGGGCGTCTTATCCATGGAATATAGCAATTAAATATATAAATAAATATGGTACTTGCTCTAGCAATCACAGTTTCTGGCAGTGACGAGCCGTGGGGCCTCCGTAGTCTGCTTGCCTCCTCTCACTCTGCCCGCCCTACAGCTAGGAGGGAGGCTGTAGGCAGTCCATTTTTGCCGTGCGGCGTCTTCACGCGGCTCCACTTGTGCGCGGGCAGCGCAACATTACACAGGAGGAGTGCAGTGATTGCGCCTTTAACTTGAGTGAAACATCGCGCCTTGCACTCCTCCTGTGTAACATTGTGCCGCCCATGCACAAATGGAGCCGCGCGAAGACACCGCACGGCAAAAACGGACTGCCTACAGCCTCCCTCCCAGCTGTATGGTGGGCAGAGTGGGAGGAGGCAAGCAGAATATGGAGGACCCGTGGGAAAGGTGAAAAGTGCTAAAAGTAATTGAAAAAAAATCTTCACCACTCTCCCCCCCCCCCAAGCTCAGTGATTGCCAGCGAGGGAACAGCTGATAGGCAGCCTCTTAGACGCGCATGGCTGTTAGCCTCTGGGTAATCCTCCTCCCCCCAAATTTTTTTTTCAACAAGTCAGGGTGATTTCCCCCCATTTTTCTTCATTTGAAGTCCCCCAAAATAGGGGGCGTCCTATACATGGGGGTGTCTAATATACAGAAAAATACAGTATATGAAAGCTACTGTACATATATAAAGGGCTGTAAGATGGAGGATGGATCAATCTTGTTTTTTCCTGCTCTGGTGGGCAGGACCTGAACTAATAGTTTCAAGTTACAAGAAAGGAGACTAAACATCAGGAAGAACTTTCTGAGAGTAAGAGGTCTTTGACAATGGAACAAACTCTCTTGGAAGGCGGTGGGCTCTCCTTCCTTGGAGGTTTTAAAGCAGAGGTTATATGGCCATCTGCCATGGATGCTTAGTTGAGATCCTGCAGTGTGGGGGTTGGACTCGTTGACCCTCGCAGTCTCTTCCAACTCTACAATTCTCTGATTCTAATTGCTTTTTACCACATTAGCAGTCGGATCCTGCACTTCCGGCCGGGGATTCTCCTGCATTTGCTTGTGATGAGGATACATTTGTTATTGTTCTGCATTGAGATCCTCTTGCCAGCAGGGCCACTCAGCCACACTGCTGACAATGCCAAGCAACCCTCTCATCTCCATGTTTCTTCCCTCTTGCAGATAATGGGATTAGCCTTGGCGAAGAGGCGGGGAAGAGAAATGAGTCCAGAGAAGCAGCCAGTTGGGTTGGGATGCATGCAAAGAAGAGAGGGGGAATCCAATCCCCTTGGGGACAAGCAGGGGGTGGAGGCTGTGCAAGCGAGGCTGCAATGCAACCCACCCACCGTCTTTTACTGGAGGAGGCATGATTCAGCAAGCGGAGATTGAAGGACACTGCCTGGGCACAAGCTAAGAGAATCCCCAGGACAGAGGAGGGGGTGTGGTTGTGGCTGCTTAGCAATAGTGCATGCATGTCTCTGAGCTCTTGCTGTGGAGCTGAGTGACTGCTGGGATAGCACCAGTTACTACTACTGGAAAGGAGCAGCAACAGATTTTCGATTTCATAAAAAAGGTTATATGCATGCTACCACTGCGGCCCATGTTTTATTGGCCCCAAAATGGAAAAGGAGCGAGGTCCCAACCAAAGAAGATTGGCAACTCAAGTTGACGGAATATGCACAACTTGTAGACTTAACATATAGAATAAGAGAAGAAGAAGAACATACATTTAAAGAAGATTCGAAAAAGTTTATTGAATATATGGAAAATAATTGTGTACAGCTGAAGACGCTGGCGGCATTAAAATAAATTCAACAGTGTAATTAAGTTTTGATGGATGCAATAAGGGAATACTGAATGGTATAGTTTTTGTAAAATATGCAGGTATTTATGATATATAAAATGAACCATGGAAAGAGAAGGAAGTAAATCGATGATATCTGGATGTAAAATGAGTATTTTAAATTGTATGACAGAAAATTTAATAAAAATTATATATATATATATTTCCGATTTCGATTACATATATGTTTTCAATTTTCCCCCACCAACACTCTTATGCTGGGATAGCTCAGTCGGTAGAGCATGGGGGGGTTGGACTAGATGAGCCTCGTATCCATTCCAACTCTACAATTCTATGGTCCCATGATTCCTTGTGCAACTACACATCCCAGAGCCTCTTGTAAAGCTCCTTTCTTTGCAGCAGGGGCAGGCCAAGCAGGGAAAGGGGAGATGGGGCTTCTTCACTTTGGCCCTTGAGACCTGGCTCTCTCTTCCGCTGCCCCGCTGCTGTCTTCTTTTGAAGGTGGCCAGAAGTTTGTTGCAAAAATTAAAATGCACTTAACACACCCAATTCCAGGAACACATTTCTTTTTCAGCCTAGCTAAACATCCCACCTCCCAGTTGCAAGGAATAAAGTTTGCACAGGCGTGCAGCATTTGAATTTTAGCCCGCATTGGAAACAAATCCCAATGTCTTCAATACGAATTCCCAAGCAATTTGCTTAGTTTTGCAACTTTATTTCCCACACTGGGAAGCTGTGTAATCGATCTGTGCATCTTAAAGTTATGTCTGCATTGATTAAGGCTGCCAGCTTTAATCTGTATAACTGGTGGCTTAATTAACTTGCATATAAATCTGCAGATTAAAATCCCTTCTCCATTAATTAGTGAGATTGTAATTGAAGGCAAGCGTAGTGCCGTTCAGGAAACCCACACTTGACTCCTCAGGGTGCTAAAATTCACTGGGGGACAGGGGACGACGACAGGGGACTTAACAGTGCAATCCTCTCTATGTCTATTTAGAAGTAAATCTAACTAAACTCAATAGATTATTATTATTAATTGAATTTATATACCACCCTATACCCGGAGGTCTTGGGGCGGTTCACAGAAAAGATCAACATAAAAACCACAATATATATAATCAAAATAAAAACAACCACCCAGTAAACCCCCCCCCCAAAAAAGAGCCACATTTTAAAAGGGCACAGCTATTTTGCAGGCTGTGTAGAGCCAGGAGGGAGATAATAATCAATAATACGTTTAGAGAAGATTGGAAAACCTTTATTGAATATATAGGAAATTATTGTATACAGCTGGAAACGCTGGCAGCGTTAAGATAAATTCAACAGTGTAAATAAGTTTTGATGGATGTAATAATGGAAAACAGATGGGTATAGTTTTGGTCAGTGAAGGGGTAAGCATGCCCCTAGACATTTTGTGAATCCTTGTACTTTTGTCCATTTACTGTGTTTATTATTCCCGATTTGAACTATAAAATGGTGACTTTCTTGAGTCAAAATGAGAGTACCCCTAAACATTTATATACCGTATTTTTCGCTCTATAGGACGCACTTTTTCCCCTCCAAAAATGAAGGGGAAATGTGTGTGCGTCCTATGGGGCGAATGCAGGCTTTCCCGGGCTTCCTGCAGCTCCGCGCCACCCTCCCGATCCCGGCACGAAGCCGCGCGGGGCTCCGGAGGGTAGCGCGGAGTTGCCTGCGCTCCAGGGCTTCTTGCAGCTCCGCGCCACCCTCCGGATCCCGGCGCGAACCCGCGCGGGGCTCCGGAGGATGGCGCAGAGCTGCCTGCGCTCCAGGGCTTCTTGCAGCTCCGCGCCACCCTCCGGACCCCGGCGCCAAGCGCGCGGGGCTCCGGAGGGTGGCGCGGAGCTGCCTGCGCTCCAGGGCTTCCTGCAGCTCCGCGCCACCCTCCCGATCCCGCCGCGAAGCCGCGCAGGGCTCCGGAGAGTAGCGCAGAGCTGCCTGCATTCCGAAGCCTGGTGCACGCTGAAGAGCGCGCCCGGGCTTCGCGCACCTCTCCACAAGCCTGGGGAGACCGGCTTGGTTCCCTAGGCTTGCGGATAGAAGGCTGTTCTGGGGGCTGGGGTCGGGGGAAGCTCGGGCTTCCCCCGCTCCTGCCCCGTGCCTGGGGATGGAAAATTTTTTTTTCTTTATTCCCCCCCCAAAAAAAATTAGGTGCGTCCTACGGGGCGGTGCGTCCTATGGGGCGAAAAATACGGTATATATTTTTAAAAAGCACTGTTTTTTGTAAAATATGCAAGGATATAAGATATGTAAAATGAACCATGGAAAGAGAAGGGGAGTCATGGATATTTTAAGGATGTAAAAATGAGTACTTTAAATTTTAAAACAGAAAATGCAATAAAAATTAAATATATACTCACTGTACAGTATATAAAAGGAGGGAGAATCCGGCCGGCTAGTTACCTCCTAGCTTGCAGCATGTTTGCAGGGTCCGGTTTCTTCCCCCTCCATCCTCATTCGAGGGCTCGCGGCCGCCTCACCGCTCCTCGAAGGAGCCTAGGCGGGCCGTGGTCGACCAGGCCCCGTTCCCATAGCAACGCGCGCGACGCGCCGCCAGAAGCGCCAGGCGGCCGCTGGGCCTAGATCCGCCGGGCCGCGCAGGAGGCTCCTTCCCGCCTTCCCCTCACTGCGGGGCCGGGCGGGGGATGCGAGGCGACCCCGGGGGAGGGCGGCCGGGCCCCACTGCCGACTAACGGGCCTCCTCCTCCCCCCTCAGCCCTAGCGCGCTGCTGTTGTCGAGCATGGCTTCCCCGGCCCCGTCCGTCCCCGCCTTCCAGTTCCGCCCGCGGCTGGATCCCCCGGACTGGCGGCGCCTGAGCGCCGTGGACGTGGAGCGGGTGGCGGCCGAGGTGGACGTGGCGGCGCTGCAGGAGCACCTGGCGCACGTGGCCTTCTGCGACGCCGGCCGGGAGCGCTGCCCGCGGTGCCAGGCGCCCGCCGACGCGCTGCTGCTGAGGCTCCTCCGCCTGGCGCAGCTGAGCCTCGAGTACCTGCTGCACTGCCAGGACTACCTGGGCGCCCAGCTCCGCGCCACCCAGGAGCTGCTCAGGGCCGCCGACGCCCACCGGGACCTGCTGGCCAAGGACGTGGCCCGGGGAGCCCAGGAGGCCCGGCTGCTCCGGGAGGAGTGCAAGAGGCGGAAGAAGATCATCGGCACCCAGCAGATGATGCTCCAGGCCGGCGCCGCCTGCCACCAGGTGGGCGCATGGGTGGGTGTGGGGGACGATGGAGGGTAGGAGGAGAGGGTGCACCAGTTTATCTGCACTTGGTTACTGGTAAGATGCCCCAGGGCCGGTGGCCAACCCGCCATGCGCCCTTTTGTTGTTTAGTCGTGTCCGACTCTTCGTGACCTCATGGACCAGAGCATGCCAGGCACTGCTGTCTCCCGCAGTTTGGTCAAACTCATGTTGGTAGCTTGTCCAACCATCTCGTCCTTCCCCTGCATGCAAAGACAGGCTCCAGAGGATTGAGCAGACGAGACCAATAGTGGGTCTAACAGTCAAGAAGACAGCTTCTGCGCGTGCCGTAGAGGGAAGTGAGGGTTCATCAACTTGGGGAGGTAGCCCATTTTCTTCTTGTTGTTTAGTCGTTTAGTTGTGTTCGACTCTTCGTGACCCCATGGACCAGAACACGCCAGGCTTCCACTGCCTCCCGCAGTTTGGTCAAACTCATGTTAGTAGCTTTGAGAACACTGTCCAACCATCTCGTCCTCTGCCGTCCCCTTCTCCTTGTGCCCTCCATCTTTCCCAACATCAGGGTCTTTTCCAGGGAGTCTTCTCTTCTCATGAGGTGGCCAAAGTATTGGAGCCTCAGCTTCAGGATCTGTCCTTCCAGTGAGCACTCAGGGCTGATTTCCTTAAGAATGGATAGGTTTGATCTTCTTGCAGTCCATGGGACTCTCAAGAGTCTCCTCCAGCACCATAATTCAAAAGCACCAATTCCTCGGCGATCAGCCTTCTTTGTGGTCCAGCTCTCACTTCCATACATCATTACTGGGAAAACCATAGGTTTAACTATATGGTCCTTTGTCGGCAAGGTGATGTCTCTGCTTTTTAAGATGCTGTCTAGGTTTGTCATCACTTTTCTTTCAAGAAGCAGGCGTCTTTTAATTTTATGACTGCTGTTCACCATCTGCAGTGATCATGGAGCCCAAGAAAGTAAAATCTCTCACTGCCTCCATTTCTTCCCCTTCTATTTGCCAGGAGGTGATGGGACCAGTGGCCACGATCTTAGTTTTGTTGTTGTTGAGCTTCAGACCATATTTTGTGCTCTCCTCTTTCACCCTCATTAAGTGGTTCTTTAATTCCTCCTCACTTTCTGCCATCAAAGTTGTGTCATCTGCATATCTGAGGTTGTTGATATTTCTTCCGGCAATCTTAATTCCGGTTTGGGATTCATCCAGTCCAGCCTTTCTCATGATGAATTCTGCATAGAAGTTAAATAAGCAGGGAGACAATATACAGCCTTGTCTTACTCCTTTCCCAATTTTGAACCAATTAGTTGTTCCATATCCAGTTCTAACTGTAGCTTCTTGTCCCACATAGAGATTTCTCAGGAGACAGATGAGGTGATCAGGCACTCCCATTTCTTTAAGAACTTGCCATAGTTTGCTTTGGTTGACACAGTCAAAGGCCTTTGCGTAGTCATTGAAGCAGAAGTAGATGTTTTTCTGGAACTCTCTAGCTTTCTCCATAATCTAGCACATGTTTGCAAATTGGTCTCTGGTCCCTCTGCCCCTTAGAAATCCAGCTTGCACTTCTGGGAGTTCTCGGTCCTTAGGCAAGGCTAAACTGCTTACACACACACACACACACACACCAAAATTGCACGCACACCCCATCCCAAAATTGCAAACTTAAGTTTTTTTTAAAAACAGCTAGGAAAAACGAAAAGTGCAAAAATGCCAGATTTAAATCAAAATTGCAAACTTAAGTTTTTCAAAGATCAGGTAGGAAAAACGAAAAGCACCAAACGGCTAGATTTATCTGAGATCGCAAGATCTAGGCTTATCGCAGATCTCAGCAGCAAAGCCGTCTTTGATTATCTTCAATTGCAAAATCTAAATCTATCTTAGATCTTGGTAGTGTATCCATAATAATAATAATTATAGTAGTAATATTTATACCCCGCCCACCTGGCTGGGTTTCCAATCTTACTTTGCTATGAGTGATTGCTAGAGAAGAATCATTTGCAGCACTGAAATGACTTCTCAGCGGTGCAAGCCTGGGCATTGTATATGAAGGTCCTGGGCTGCCCAGACAACACATGGCATCCATATATCTCAGGAGACAGTGGAAGAATGATACAGGAGAGACATGTTTTATTGCAGGGGGACTTCTATTACATGAAAGTCTGATTTTGTTGCTACAAGTGCCACATTGTGTATCAGGCGCTCCACCAGTTAAACTCAATCCCCGAAGGTGCACTCTTCCATTGTCTTCTGAGACAGATGGATGCCAACAATGTTATTCTGAACCCCAACAATTGATTATCATTACCTTAGATGGGTTACACAGACTCCCGTGTTAAACTAAATACAGAGGGCTAATAGAGTTCTGCTCCCTAGACAATCCTTGGTGAATAACAATAAGACTAGCCTAAAAGTGGCATTACTGCTATGTCTTTTTTAGGTTTTCAGAACTCAGGATAATCATGTTTTAGGACTCTGTATTAGCATAGGTTCGGTATGTTGTGGTACATCTGAGAGCTCGGGTTATAAAGTATCCATAGAAATTGTGAATGTAGAATCAAGAGTTGGAAGAGGTGCCCTGCCTCTTCTTTAAGGCTCCCAAACAGTGCAGTAACTTTTTCAGTTTCACATCATTTTGAGCCAGAAACATTAAATGTTGTCACTTTACATGACTTGTGTTGGTAGTTTTCACTGTATCCATTGAGAATAGGACGAGAAGTGAATGGGGCTAATGTTGAAATGAAGTTGCTTTAAGGAGCCCAGCTCCAAACAATAGACCTTTTCACTGTGTGGGAAAGCCTTGCAGTTGCATATAATCGATGTTTATTTATGAATAAAGTCCTTTTAGTAGCTCCATGCAAGACCTATCCCCAATAAGCATAAAACACTAATGTACCATGAGCTAAAGTAATTGAATGAAGGGTAAAGCATGCAACCGCTACATGGAATTGGCAACATTTCAACATGAGTGTTTGTTTGGATAAAGATATTTCACAGCTGATTTAATACATTAAATCCTAATATGTTTCAGCAGAAGATATCTGTGGCTTGCTGGCATTTCCCTGGCACTCAGTCCTTGACTATCCAAGCTTTGCATGTTCTTGCATTTATCCAACAAAAATGTAACTTAATTATTTATACCCTTAGTAGTTCTTTCAAGGAATTTATATTTAATCACATAGCAGCTATCAGTTGCAGGATTTTAAATAGTTGATGGGGATTGGGAATTCAGCAACAAGAATCTGGTTCTGAATCTGCTGAGCCATTACACACATTTCACATCATATGAGCTGATCCTCCTAAATGTATAGTAGCATGTTACTGAAGAAGATGTGCAAGTTTGAAGTGCATTAAAAGAGCAACAGATTTTGAGACCATGTGTCTACAAATCAGAAGCAAAATAATCTCCCTTTTGCACCAGCAAAATCTGCTCTGGTGTTATGTCCACCTGCCCCTAAGTAGCACAAGTCCTAGATGTCCTTTACTAGATGTTGGATGCAGGTGGCACTGTGGTCTAAACCAATGAGCCTCTTGGACTTGCTGATCAAAAGTTTGGCGCTTCGAATCCCCGCGACGGGGTGAGCTCCCGTTGCTCTGTCCTAGCTCCTGCCAGCCTAACAGTTCGAAAGCATACCAGTGCAAGTAGATAAATAGGTACCGCTGCGGCGGGGAGGTAAACAGCGTTTCCGTGTGCTCTGGTTTCTGTCACGGTGTTCCGTTGCGCCAGAATTGGTTTAGTCATGCTGGCCACATGACCCGAAAAGCTGTCTGTGGACAAACGCCAGCTCCCTCTGCATGAAAGCGAGATGAGTGCTGCAACCCCATAGTTGCCTTTGACTGGACTGAACCGTCCAGGGGTCCTTTACCTTTTACCTTTATTAGCTGTCCTAGCTTAGGGATAGCAGCCGCTGCCTTCATTTTGTTTCACATTCTAGTAGCGATAGTAGTGACACTGTTTTTCCTCAATCGCTGGCACAATTTTTGAGAAGGTGATTTTTTGGGGGGGTTAATGGGGGGAGGAAACCTGCCTCCCATATGATACATAAGATCAGGTTGCAAGAATGATCTAGTGTAAGTAGTTGTTTACACATTGGCACTCTGATCCAAATATTCTTACTGGTGCCTGTTCCTGTAACACTGGAATAATATGATGGTTTAGTCCAGAAACAGGCACATCCTAAACATGTATTTACCGGTGCAACTGTTAGGTTCAGGCCAGAGTGTTGGATAGAGTCTTGAACTAGGACTTAGGAGACCTGAGTTCGAATCCTCGCTCAGCCATGAAGTTCATTGTGTGGCCTTGGGCCAGTCCCTGCTTTTCAGCCTAGCCTACCTCATAGGGTTTTTGTGGGGATTAAATGTGGAGAGGCAGAACCAATGTGCCCCTCCTTGAGCTAACTGAAGAAAAAGGTGAGAGATAAAAGCAATAAACAAATGGATAAAGGTACTTAATTCTTCTCCAAAGCTGTAATCTTGTGCCTAGTTGCTGGAGTATAAGGCCCAGAGACTGGTGATGCTAACTGATAGCAGGATCAAACCCATTCACGATCCAGTTAGAGCTTTGTGCCTGTCCCTCATCTAGCAGCCAGGACTGCACATGTGATAGTGCTGATCAGTTGTTCAACACAAGAAGGTATGGGTTTTGATTTATGCTTCTCCACCCCACATCCTGAACATTACTGCTGTTCTTGATAGTCTCTCCAATGATTTTTCATGCAGAGTGCCAATTTGCCGGGTGGAACGTCTCCCCTTAGGTATCCCACATGCAGGGATCTTAATATAAAATGCACCTCTTAATATAAAACATGTCTAGTTGGCAAATGCAGCATTAGCACCATTAGTGCTTCCAGCAGCTTGTGTATTTTTGGACCAGGTACTTTGTCACCTTTGAAACTATGTATTGAGAAATGAGTAAAATAACAGAGGTATTTGATGATTGATTTGTGTGTTTTGTCTGTTACTGCTAAGTCCATTTAAGTGCCTTACACATTTTCTCAAGAATACAAACCTACGTTGAGAATGGGCCCTGGACTAGCACTGAAATATACAGACCTAATTTCTTACCATAGTTGTATAGGTGGATTTCTGTTGTTGTTTAAACAAAACTACATTTATTTTACAGTGTCAATTTTGTGACAAAGCTTTTATGAACTATTCCTTCCTGCACAGTCATTTGCAACGTCGCCACGCAAAGGAACCACACTCTGGTGAGTTATGAAGCAGGAGAGGAAATCTCATAATGGGCAGTGTAATTCATTTTTTCCCCCTGGGTGAAAAAGCAAACAAGAAACAGCAGTGCCACTCAAAGAACAAGAGTGATTTTGAGATATAGCTCCAATCCAGCTATAGTTAATCATAAGTAACTCCCACTGAAAGCAATGGGATTTTAGTTAGCTGTTTCACTGACATCAGTAAAATTTGTTCATGACTAATTGGGCAACTTAATGAAACTACTAAAGTAAACTGAGAATTCCTTTATTCTTTTTTTCACATTTAATAAATGCAAATGTAGGTATAGGACACGGGTGGCGCTGTGGGTTAAACCACAGAGCCTAGGACTTGCCGATCAGAAGGTCGGCGGTTCGAATCCCCGCAACGGGGTGAGCTCCCGTTGCTCTGTCCCTGCTCCTGCCAACCTAGCAGTTCGAAAGCGCGTCAAAGTGCAAGTAGATAAATAGGTACCGCTCCAGCGGGAAGGTAAACAGTGTTTCCGTGCGCTGCTCTGGTTCGCCAGAAGCAGCTTAGTCATGCTGGCCACATGACCCGGAAGCTGTACGCCGGCTCCCTCGGCCATAAAGCGAGATGAGCGCCGCAACCCCAGAGTCGGTCACGACTGGACCTAATGGTCAGGGGTCCCTTTACCTTTACCTTTAGGTGGAAATGTAACAGGTTCACATCTGGATATTTGTCCGTTTGACATGCTTTAAAAAAATCACTGTCAAGGAATCCTGACCCAAGACCCAGGTCAGCACTTCCTTAGTAGGTCTGGATCTTGCTCAGAACCCAGGATGTCTATCCACTCCACCAGGCCACTGTTTTGGGAATGTTTTGAACAAAACATTTCAGTAGAACTTAGACTCTCAAAGTAGCTCACAGAGCTCCTTCTTGTCGCCTTTGGCTGATACTGCTCTGAGGCAGAATACACCTGGCATCATGGTTTGCAGAATAAAATTTGGAAATGCATTCCTGAAGTGCCTCTGTAGGAAGAGCTGTGTTGCCCAAAATAATAAGAAAAAAAACCCCATGTTATCACCAAATATGTATTTCTTTTAATAGATCAGAAGCAAAAAGTGCAGACGGGTCAATTACAGGAGGAGATCAACAAGCTGAAGGAGCAGTTACAGCTCACCAGGTCTCAGTTAGAAGCTGAGCAACACGCTCACATGGTCAAGTTGTCTAAGGTAGGGCATACTCTGCGTCAGTACTCTAAATGCTGTTGAGTGGTATCCTAAGTAATGCATTATGGATGTGATCCTGAAGAGACACACACATGGTTTAATCCCATTGAGTAACAGAGAAAATAGGACTGTAAATGTTCAAATGGCCATATTCCTCTTCCACGCAACATTCATTGCCTATTCAGTGCATCAGGAATGGATAATCTTTACAGGTAGTCTTGAGTCGCTTTGGGAACAGAGATTATTTTGATCCATAAATGCATGGAGGTCTAGATCAGTGTTTCCCAAGCTTGGCTTTCAAACTGTTTTTGGACTACAGCTCCTATCATCTGTAGCTAGCAGGACCAGTGGTCGGGGATGATAGTAACCTTAGTCCAAAAACAGCTAGAGATCCAAGTTTGGGAAGCACTGGTCTAGACAAAAGCAGGCAAGCATCTGGGTAAGTAGGGACAGGAAGTCTGAGTGAGTAGGGACAGGAAGTTTGTGTTTGAGCAGCATGTTTTCTCAGACTGAGGATCCAGGTGAAAATCAGTTTTCTAGGACTAGGAGGAACCCTGCAAACCTCTTGTGCCACTTGATTTCTGTTGAACTGGGAACTGTAGGACCAGAATCTGGCCAGGACAGGATGGGCTTTCCTGTTATTCCTTCTGGACTTGAAGAGACATGTGATCCTCACCTGAGCCTATTCCAGCTTGAGGAATCACCCACCTCCTCCCCGAGCTAGCGAGCCCCACCTGGGTTGTGGGTCCTTGCCTGCCTTCCCTCAAAACTAACAGCTGTAAATTCTGGAATCCTGAGGTCAGGGGTGGTTACATCCCATTTCGCCACTTGAGGCAAAACAGAATCTGGTCGTCTGCAGTGGGTGGCACTACAGCCTATCATAGAGCTAACAGAGCTAGCCAACTGCTCCCTGCTCTGTCAAATCTTCACAGCTGGCCAGAAAGTGAGACACTCTGCTAGAATCTCTGGTTTGAGATCCCTGTCCCTTGCAGGTGGAGCAATAGTCAAAGTGTGGCAAGTGATAAGCCAGAGGGATGAAGCAGCAAAATCAGTCAGAGGCCAAGAAATCTCAAAGCTGAGTACAAGCTGAGGCAAAATGAATTAATTAGGACTGGGATGAAGGTAGAAGCAAGAGGGTTTGTTAAAATTGGAAGCAACAGGGCAGAAGACAAATGTCTGGGTCATCCATGATGGGACAAGGAGGATGCTCAGGAAGTTTAAATAGAAGCAGCAATAACCAATGCCTTGTTGTGCTAGCAAGCTGGCCATGTTTTCTGAAAAGATCCATTATTTTTCAGTGTTAAGTGAAACTCTTGTGAGTCAGAGATATTTTAGAAGAGAGATACTATCAGGAGTCAGTAACCTTTCTAAAGCTGCTGATTCTCACTTGGATGAGCAAACAGAGGACATGTGATTCTGCCACCTTGTTGAAGCTAAGAAGGAACCCCTGTGCACCCTGCCTTGAGTTCCCTGATAGAAGAAAAGCAGGATACAAATGTATAAAGTAAAGCCAACCATAAAAAGTAAAAGAATGAAACTCAAAATTTCTCAGCCTAGGACCTGTGTGTTGCTTGGAACTGTTCGGTTTGTTGTATCCATGAGAGAATTCTCAGAATAACATTTTAAAGCAATTTCAGGAGTATGACGAACACAGATCCAAGGAGGAGGAGATTCGGCAGTTATTTCACAAATGGAAAGAAGAAGAAAAAGACAAACTGGCCAGTGAACTAGAGAAGATGAAAGAGATGTTTATGAAGGAATTTAAAGAGCTAACTGCGAAGAATACAGAATTAGAAAATGTAAGTAATTGAGAAGGGGTTTCAGTTGGCCTGCGCACACCTTCAAGCGGTCTTGACTTGATCACTTGCTTAAAGTTCAAGACGTGAGCTTCTGGGGAAAGACGCTTAGGATTTTCTAAGAGCAGAGCTTTATAAAAACCTTGGTATATTCATAAATCTAATTTCAGTCCCAAGGACCAAAATGTTGCTATGTCATTTAAACACTTGCTGTGATCCAACCAAAGACCAAACTTGCATGGAACCAGGTTTTCCATACATATCCTTAGCTGCATGAGGCTCTTTTATGCAAACATGTGCATGTTTCCTCTGACTCATGCAGCTTGACCAGACTGTGAACATAAAACCTTAACATAGCAATGCCACCCATCACAGTTATGTAGGGACAGCAAGGGGCTACCTCTATTCTCTACCCTGCCACTACCAAACAGCTCTTTTGCATTATTACTATTTTCTAAGAGGCCATTGAATTTACAGGGTTGGGTTGGGATCAATGTTCAAAAAATGGTAGTGGGTGGATTCCTAAATATTCAAGGAAGGAATCATGCAAGTTATGTCTTCAGGGGAAAGAAGGCAGAACACGTACACCCAACCTGCGAAATTGCTGATTGGTGTGCCTGTTGTTGTTTGCAAATTTCCATCCTCTAATACAGTACATATTTGGATTTTAGCCTTTTATCATTTTCTCTCTCCCCCCTCCCCTTGCTCTTAGCATCTATTAGAAGTCCAGAAGTCTAACAATCACCTGAAATCTAATTTGGGCACATTAAAAGATAGCTATGAATTTCCAGAAGAGAAACACCAGAGTGCTGTAGATCAGCAGGAAGCAGTGCAGGCTTTAGAAAAACAGGTAATTTAACACAAATTCCATTCCAGTTGCCTTGTTTCTAGTTTGTGGGAAAGAGTGTTATTACCCTGTACATATTAGATCAGAGCTTTCCAAAATGTGTCGCAACAAGTTAGTGTGTCGGCTGCAGTGTGTAAGTGTGTTGCGTGAACACTCCCCATGCTTCTCATAGGGCTGGAAAGGGGTTAGTTTAACCTCCAGTTTGCTGCTTTTCTGGTGGAGACACACACACACACACACATCATATAAACTGAAATACGAGTATGTTAATACAATTAACTTTATTCTGTCTTACGTAGGACACTGAGTGGAAGGCTAAACTACAAGCTCTTAAAGAAGAACATGGCAGTGAAAAACGCATGGTAAACAAGACTGTTTGTGATTAAAGGGGTGGGGGAACAGACATTGGCTTGGATCCTAAAATAAGTCATTCTAAAGAAGTTAGCGGAAAGAATGTTTCTCCTCTCCTTCCCACTTCTGCCATCTATGACCCTTAAGAGTCTCTTGGGAGGATGGGAGGGCACTCCCGAATAATGTGGGAAGAGGGGCTGCAGGGGAGAAGGGGACAGAAAACTTTCTTTACCTCCCTTACCTCAGGATCCAAGCCAATCTGCTCTCACGACATTATGTAAGGACCTGGCAAACTGTTCAGAATGGGTGTTAAAATCCACTCTTGTTGTGTTGTAGAATTCATTTGAATATTCTCATTGAAGGCATTTCACATTCCGTCCTTGCACTGAAAACTTCAGTACAGAGGTTGACTTTTTGCAATACAACCAGCTGGTTAGGGGTGGCACCTGGTCTTGTCCTAGCCCTTGAGAAGAGCACAGTTAGAAATAACTTTGGATTCTGTGCTTTGGTATTGGAGGCATCAGCAGAAGTTATGATGTCATATTCACCCAGGAAGGGACATAATCATGTGACCTCTCCCCCCACCCCAAGTGTTGCTGGTCTTTTCTCAGCTTTTCCCCAGGACACAGCAAGTTATTTCTTCTCCTTGTTACCTGTGCTTTGCCTCAGGCCTAACCTCTTCCTGATTCTTGAAGCATCTTCTTTCACTCTTCCAAATCCCTGAGTTCCACACGTGGCTCAAGCTATATTCTGTCAGACTGGCCCTCCTAGCTTTTCCCAGCCTTCACCAGATGCTGTAAGAGAAAAGTGACCAGAAGTCCACTAGCAACAAGACGCTCCTTCTCTTCCTACAACAAGACACCAATCTAGGCCTCAAACCAACTATTCTTTGCAGACAGGTGTCAAACCTGTCATCAGTTCTGCCAAGATCTAGCAACTCGGCTCTAAGGACATAATATTCTTACCAGACCTTTATTACATCCATATTATGTCATCTACAGGTTTCAGGAGCTTCTTCCACCCTCTTTGTCCTCCAGCCCATCCCTCTGAGCAGACCTGGTACACACTGAATGTTCGCAGGCTACTTAAGGCATGTATTAGAGGCACCACTGCCTTCTGACGAAATGAAAATCTGTTGATGTCTTTTTGTCCTGCATCTGTAAGGAGATTCCCCCCCCCCCAGTGCCACCGCTAGAATGTGAATCAAGGCATGTGTTGCCTATACAAGGCATATCATCTACCAACACGGTTGCACGTTACAGTCACTTCACCTGGGCTGCAGCTGACATGTTTTCCAGGCACTACAAAATAGACTGCTTTGCCTTAGCAGAAGCTGTCTTTGGGAGGGCAAATGTTCCAGCATGTAGTCCTTACCTCATTCGGAATGCACATCCCATTGTTGGATGTCTCCAGTGTCAGACACAGAATGGAACATCGGTTGCTCCCCATGGAAGTTCCTTTTGTTTTGGCACGTACAGGCCTCGTCCCTAAGCTTAGCGCTCCTTGTAACACTTTCACAAAGCCAGCAATTCCTTCACCCTTGTTACTCGGGCTCCTACACTCCTACTCCCCTTCTGTATTTATACTCTTCTAGATACATTTTGTCTCACGTTTGGCTCCAGGACAGAATTGAGGGATGACTCCCCTCCAGGACTGCACTTTGTGAAGAAAACAAGGTAACGGCAGTCCCTTCATTCCTGAGCAAATGCAGACGTACTAATCCATTGTTTAGTAACTCCATACACCAAACCGAACAAACCTTCGTAGTGATTAATCAGCGTCCAATTTCCCATCAGCCATGCCATCAGACTTTCTTCCAGTTTCATCCATTCTTAACGGCTATTTTTTGTGCCATGGATCAGCATAATCTTCCTAGCCAAACATTGCATGGAGTCACATGTAAAAAGCTAAAATCCCACCAGCCAGTTGCTTGAGGAATAGAATGGGAGACTGGATTCCCCCCCCCCATGTTCCCCCTTCCCCAGCAAACCAATTAGGCTGGGTTTTTACTTTTGAAAAAAGGGCTCTGCCTGCGATGTATTGGATCAGAATCGGTGTTATTTGTACCCACAGGACAGTTCCCTGTCTTCTCTTTATGCCAATTATATGCAACTGAAATTTGTAATTTCATTCCCTGTTCTTTTAAAGGCTTCTTCTGCATGGTTTCCCCCCTCTTTCTCCAGCCATTATGTCTTCATTTCTGTGTGTGGCTGTTTGCTTATTTACTTACTTAATTTATACCCTATATTGAAATGCACGAGGGCAGCTAACAAAATTAAAACGGCAAAAAGCAATTACGTGAGAGCTTTACACTGCTGCAAAGACTGTAGCCTGCTAGGTCAATGAACTTATCTGTCTGGTCTGTGATGTGCTTTATCCCCATGGTGATCCCCAAGGAGGATACTGGTATGTCAGAAACAAATCCACATTGGATGTTTTGCCCCATCTCTGGAACTTCCAGTCAACAAAGCCAGGCATGTCTGGAGAAATACTCCCTTTATGCCACACACCCCTCCCTCACAGGCGTTTTGGATGTCACAATGACTTTCAGATGCAGTCTGCTGGAAGGTTCAGGAGACAGCTGACAAACATGCTAGGTATCAAGGTGGGTCTTCGGTGAATTTATTTCCAGCTCCTCATATCATTTTCTTTTTGAAATAGCATCATCAAGAGCTGCACATGACTTTTTCTGTCTGTTATAAGGATCTGTGCACCCTTAGGATATGCCCACGGAAGAGATAAACTTCCCAAACAAGGGCTAAAATAATAATAACAGCAAGAATTGATAGATAACCTAAGCATCTATTTAAAGACAAAAAAGCCCCTCAGCCATTCATCCTTGTGTGAAGGTAGAGGTTGTCTGTTGCTTTGTAATAAGAGAATGAGCTCCATAGGGTTATGGATTTCCATTTGCTATTAGTCCTTTGAGCTGAACTTTTAAATGAAAGAAAATAGGAACTAATCCAATAAGCAATTTTTTTTTAAATTAGTGAAATATTGGAATATTTTAGGTCTCATTTGAGATCAATTTATTCTTCCATATTTGACACCTTCAGCTTACGTCCCAAATTGAGAAGTACAAAGCACGTAGTGAGACCTGCAGTGCAAGCAACATCTTCTATAAGAAGAGGATAGAAGAACTAGGCCAGAAACTGCAGGAGCAGAATGAACTCATCACCACGCAGAAGCAGCAGGTCTGTTCATATAATATTGTTACGTATCGAAAACCCCAAAGCAGAGTGGAACATTCCTCTTTGAAACAAAACAAAACAAACCCTTGAAAAATACAGATCAATTTTCAGCTGCTGTACCATATTTTACCAACCCATACTATAATGGGTATGGGGTTGCTCGTGTGTAAGTTGCCGCCTCTCCTGGCTATGTTGCCTTGTTAAACCTTTCTGTCTGGACAGCCCTTCAATTCGTGGCTGCCTCAGTCGCTAGCAGAATCCATCAGTGGGCGTTTCTTAAACCTCTTCCAACATAAAGGTTGTTTGACGCCCAGTCTCCTCCTACTCTCCCTGCGTGCAAGTCTTCTGCGCAGGGAGGGCGTGGGTAGCGGAGGACCCGTGCTCTCCCCGCTGGTGTCCAGTGAAGAGTCCTGGAGCCCTCTCGCCGATTCCCCCATCTGCCCCCCTTTATCCCTGGTGTAACGTTGATTTGCTTTCCCCTCTGCTGAACTGCCTCTCTCCCTGCTTGGCCCTTCTCCAGCATCATTTGAGAGCCTTCCCTCCGCCTCAGGCTCTGATGTCAGTTCCCTGACACATACATTTCAAATTGTGTTCTTACAAACCATGATCCTGATTTCTGCAGGGCTTAGGGCTGTTAGAGAATGACTTCCCCCAATTTGCAGCCCCATTCACAGGGGGAAAATGGGGGGAGTGAGGGTTATTTTTCCAATTTGGTAAGGGAGGGGTGGGTTGAAAATTCCTGAAGGGAAACCTGTGCTGTGCTTTTGTTTTGCAAAAAGACTCCTTCCTATTGCCCCTCTCTCCCTTCCTTGTCCGGGGAAGTGATATCCTGGTGAGTTTATTCACCACCTTGCTCTAAGGATGCCACGCAGAACTGTCATTGGAGCAAGCAGCCAACACTCCTGCCTGGCCAGCCAACTAGCTAGTGCGTCACTTCCTGCCCCCAGGACAAGGAGGGGGGAATAGGAAGGAGCTACTTTGTCAAGGTTAAAAAAGAGGAGGGGGGAAATCCCCTCTCTCCCATTCAGTAGATCAAGTCAGTTGGTCAAACTGGGAAACAGTTTGAGTATTAGAGACGGATTCTATAGCATTGGCTGTAACAGACATTAAACTGGCACAGAAATAGCATCCAGTGGCATTGTATTGATGGGATGTTCAGAGCACTTAAAGCAACCTCGCTCCTACGATCAAGCAAGGTTTGATCATGTTAGGGTTCACATTAAAGGGTAAAGGGACCCCTGACCGTTAGGTCCAGTCGTGACCGACTCTGGGGTTGCGGCGCTCATCTCGCTTTATTGGCGAAGGGAGCCAGCATACAGCTTCCGGGTCATGTGGCCAGCATGACTAAGCTGCTTCTGGCGAACCAGAGCAGCGCACGGAAACGCCGTTTACCTTCCCGCCGGAGTGGTACCTATTTATCTACTTGCACTTTGACGTGCTTTCGAACTGCTAGGTTGGCAGGAGCAGGGACCGAGCAACGGGAGCTCACCCCGTTGCGGAGATTCAAACCGCCGACCTTCTGATCGGCAAGTCCTAGGCTCTGTGGTTTAACCCACAGCGCCACCCGTGTCCCAGGGTTCACATTAGGCTGGAACAAAGGTCCCTCTCCCTCTTTCCAGCCCCTGAGCCACTCCAGCAGTCGTTACCGGAGCTCTGGCTGGGGCTGGCTTCAGATGTTTGAATCATGCTGCTGCCTCTTTGTGGGTGGGGAGGGTGCAGCTGGGCTAGTTGTCCAGCCATCAGGGGCTCTTAGGTCAGGGGACAAAACAATTCCACCCTGTCCTATAAGGCCTGCACATGCCCACCTCACGTCACAACAGCAGGGATTTAGCTGGTACCACCCCACAAATGATAATAGTCGTCTCCTTTCTAAATCTGCACCTACGCTTGACTCTCTCTGAATTTCAGATAGAGAAACTGGCTACAAAAAAATCAGTGGAAAGCGTCAAGTCATCTGATGGTAAGTGGCAACAAGAAGAACTTTAAAATTCCTTTGTTTTTATCTGCTTTTTAATCATTGCTCTCTTAATAAATGGTTCCAAAGTATATAATTCAACAAGTCATCTTTTTTTCTAATTGCTTTGAGAAAGTCTGTTGAGAAGTACAAGAATCTCAAGCCTGTATTTCTTTTCTTTCCCAGTGAAAACGTCAACACAGAATGTTGTTCAGCCCAAATCGAGTGTATCGTCCATGCGTGGTAAGTTTTTGTAATAGATACGCACATTATTACTGATCTTCCAGGATGACAGCAAGTAACAGCTAAATTTAATTAACACAGCAAGATTTTTTTTAATTGAGAGGTCTTGAAAAGATCGCTGTCATGGTTCACAGTGGTAAATATAACACATAGGCATTTTCTTCCAGTGCAATACTTCTTTCTATTTCTAGACAAAACTGAAGCTTTTTACTTGGAATGTGAAATTCCATTGTAGTGGAATTGACTTATTAGTTAACTGATTTTGTTACCAAATGACCTCCGCATCTAAATTTAAGGCACCTAAGAATAGGTGCCCGAGGCATCAATTTACCTAATAGTTGAGCTGACCTTGAATAAGCCATAATAATTGGATTGTAAAATAGCAAACAACCTCATTACATTTTGTTTTATTTCAAGTGGTCTCTTAATTTTAAAAAAGCATCACCGTGAGGCTTTCAATTAAAAAAAAACATTGGCTGGAAAGCCCGTTCACAATAATTATTTTATGAAGACTTTGCACCATGAATGCTACTCTAGTGTTTTATGCTTTGATGTTTTAATCTATATTTTAAATTTTGTACATAGCTTTAGTTTTTTGTAAGCCACTTTGAGACCCAGATGTGGCGATATGCAGGCTGTAATAATAGTAAAAATATTCATTATATGGCAACTGCACTTTTCATTTCACATTTGGGTTGTTTGAATGGTCACTATGTCTCCAATCTCGCAGATATATTTATGATCACAAGGGCTGTGTTTGGACTTAATACTGGCCAAAAACCTTAGTTAAGCAAAGTAGTCTGTGCACAAGCTGTGTGTTGGTACACATAAAAATAATTTTATTATTTATACCCTGCCCATCTGTCTGGGTTTCCCCAGCCACTCTGGGTGGCTTACAGCATATATAAAAACATAGTAAAACATCAAACATTAAAAACTTCCCAATAAAGGGCTACCTTCAGATGTCTTCTAAAAGTTATGTAGTTCTTTATTTCCTTGACATCTGAAGGGAGGGCATTCAAGAGGGAGGAGGCCACTACCGAGAAGGCCCTTGTTCTGGTTCCCTGTAACTTCGCTTCTCGCAGTGAGGGAACCAGCAGAAAACCCTCGGAGGAGGACCTCAGTGTCCAGGCTGAACGATGGGGATGGAGACACTCCTTCAGATATAGCTCATGCACTCCCCGCTCTCCTCCTTTCATGAGGTGAGGAAACAAACCAGCATGCCATAGAGTGGCTGGCTTAGCATAGCACCCAAACCAGTTCTCATGAGTACCACAATTAGGAAGCCAAGAGCAAACCCTGGATTCTAGATCATGGATCTCCAAAACAAACCACAACCACAGTTTCAGATGTAATACTAAGCTAGACATTCCATGATGTGTTACCCTGGAAAGGAGGGGTTAACTCTGGTTTTGGTCAGCATTATGCCTGAAGACAGGTATAGATTTAATATCTTCCAGTGGCATCAATCTTAGCACATTATAGCTCATAGTTCAACTAATTGGGCTTGGAAAGGTAAAAAAATGGAAGGAACATTCTTCACAGTTTTATCATTCATTGTTTTATCAGGTCCATTTCCTCCACTTTGGACAGGCACCAGAGTGATTGTCTCCATTAAATTTAAATCCATACCTGTAATTTCAGATACTCTTCCGACTATACTAAGAATAATAAGCCTTTTTCAGTTTTCGAAACAACTTGGGTATTCATTTGGGATGATTTTGCTGGTGATTGTCTATTTTATTTATCTCTGCAGGTCTTTTCTGTCTCTCTTTTTATCTCTTCCTACCTTGTTCCACCCCCTGCCTTTTTAAAATTAATTTCAAAATTATGCCTTAAAGCAGAAACACTACTTTTCCTACTTTCTAGCAAACAAGACCATGATTAGTAGAGCTGCATTGTGTTTTCATTCAAATGAAACAGCTAAAATAGGCAGTGTCATCTTCATGAGTGAGTAAATTTAATATAGTATCCCAGTTTTTCTTTCTTTTGTAAAATAGAAGTTTCCATCTGATATTCATTTCTGCTTTTTGGAGAAACAAGCTTAGATTAAAGCATCATCACTGATCCTTTTTTGTCTTCCGTGGAATTAAATGAAACAGATCCATTTCAGTACTTAATTTATTTAGATTTCTAGCTCATTCTAAAATAAGGGCTTAGGGAAGTAACTGCACTAAAAAGAACTATGACAAAAGCTGACAAATAAAAATGGTTTTAAATAAAAAATGCCTTAAACCAGCCTAAACTGAAACAAACACATAATCTTGGATGTATTAAATTTGTCAAAAACTGGATTTTGTCGCTTGCTGGGAGATGTCAAAAGTTCAGTCATGTCGTGTCAAAAGTTCAGTTTAAATCAACAGGACTTGGGTTACAATTCTATATCCACTTACCTGAGGGTAAACACCACTACATTCAGTGGAACCACTAAATTCAGTAGACATTATTAGATTGTATTGTTAGAGCAAAACTCGACATGGCGTGAGAGCTCTGTGAAGGGATTCCCTATTGCCTCTTCCCCACTCCTGCACAAACAATCTACAGCAGTGGTTCTCAACCTGTGGGTCCCCAGATGTTGTTGGACTACAATTCCCATCATCCCTGAGCTCTGGCCTTGCTAGCTAGGAGTGATGGGAGTTGTAGTTCAACAACATCTGGGGACCCACAGGTTGAGAAAGGCTGATCTGCAGGGTATGTGGCTGCATCTGGGGGAAGGTTTGCTTAGTTAACCTTTTCTTTCCAAGCCATTTCCTTAATAGATATTATGTCCTGATGCTTCCGCCAGGAAAATGACACAGGGTGAAAGAGTTAAGCCCACTGCCTGATCCTCTCCCTGCCTGGGTTGAGAACCCCCAAGCTTCTTGGGGATCATTCACAGGTGACTCATGACAACCATGGGGCTGCCCGCCCCCCATCCTGTGATGGGTCACACACTTGTCATGGTCAGATCACTTCCTGGTGAAGGTGTGCCTCTGCATGCTTCCCCCTCCTTCCCTCTGAAACCTCTGGTTCAGGAGTTGCCTTCCATGCATGGTGAGCAGGGAAGAAGCCCAGGAGCCTAAGACCTAGCATCTATCTCACTACACATGGAGGTAAGAGGGGAAAGTCCCAGGTACGGCCAGAGGCTTACTTTTGTTCTAATGCTAAAGACCTACAACCACTCCGCTTGCAGGTAAAGCTGAGAAACAACTGCAGCTTAATGTGATGGAAAATATTTCACTTCCTCCATGCAAATTGCTACAGAGAACAGCATTCGCTACCTTAAACACATCCCTACAATTTGAATAAGCTTCTATCACAAGTAATGACATTTTTACTGGGCTCTGAAATTAGTGGCTCAGAAGAACAAATAAAACAAATGCGGCACCTCCATATAATCTTCTGCATAATTTTCACCCTTTGGACCTTTATCTTGACCTGCTTCTGTCTGTCTGTCTGTCTTTTTGCTATTCCTCTGTTTCCTGATTATTAGAACAGGCCCATTTGGTGCATATCCTGGAGCCCATAGAGGAGCTTCCAGAGGATGGAGAAGGTAATGGAAGGGCCGATCAAATCATCTGTGGCCTAACGTGGGAAATGTTTACTAGGAATACTAATGTACATGTTTATATGTTTCCCAGAGTATCAATCACGTAGGCATGTTTTCATACTGCATGGTAAATTACATTTTCAAGCCCTACGCAGAGCTAGGCACCGCAATATTTCCGCCATCACCTTCCTGAAAGTAGATTGCTCCTCCTCCTTTCCACTAATTCCCATCACCCACTTCCCCGAAAAGCCAGTTCCAGTCCTTCCCATGCTTCTGGGCAGCTCTGACTGTGCCACTGTTTCAGTTTCCATATAGTGTGAGAACAAAATGTGAGCCTGCTTGTTACAGCTGTTTCTGAGCAATAGGAGTTTCATTTTAGGCTCTTCCTCCTAGCAGAAAATTCATACCCAAACGCAATTGTCATCTTCCTGTACCTCTTCACTTTCTTGCTGGGGTGGCCAACGTGGACCCCAGCTCCCATCATTCCTGACCATTGACCATGATGGCAGGGACTGATAGGAGTTGTAGTCTAGCAGCATTTGGCGGGCACCATATTGACTGCCCCCGTTCCTACGGTACTTCCTTGCCTATGTTGGCAATTGTTTCAGGAGGAGAAGGGTTGGCAGGCAGGACTTGTGATCACAGATCCCTGGAACATAATAAATTGCTATTATTCTCTTGTTACTGTTACTACAGTAGCTCTTTCCGGCAGATAAAGCGTTTTCTTCTTATCCTTTATCCTTGCATAAACCAGTGAGATGAGAGTGCCCAGTGTTTTTGATGGCCAAGCAAAGATTTGAACTTTGATTTTCCACAGTCAAGCTATAGTAATAGTAACTATTATTATTATTATTTTTCTTATTACCCCACCCCACTCTATCCAGTTCTATCCAAATTAAAAAGCCAGATTAATCGGGCAGAATTAAAAATAGCCTTATGATATGCCTATGCTTATGCATATAATATATTTCAAGAAGGGTTTTAAGTATTGTTCTGTGGTGTTGTGTTTTAGATGTTTATGTGGTAATCGACTCTGGAATGCTATGGGATGATGGGCGGTTTAAAAATGAAATAATAATAGGTTTCTAACTTTTTAATGTAGTTTTTTGAAGGCAGTTCTTCTCTTTTGCCTCTTAAATTGTTGTGGGCTTAGCATATATTGATACTACAGTATCGTTGTAAAGAGAACTATCTGTTCTGTTTCAGAAACAGAGAAACATGAGCCCAAAGCAGGGAGGAATAAGCACCATAAAGCACATTCTTTGAAGAGCACTCCTTCAGTACCAAGAGAGCTGAGATCTGTTTTGGAGCAGACCCTAGCAGAGAAACTGGAATCCTTGGGAATTAAATCAGTAAGGCCACTTTATAGTATTTAGGTGATCGGAAGATACTTCTCTCCCTTTTACTTCCTTAACTTCCTCTTTCAGTCAACCTGGGACAATCAGCAATTCAAAATCACTGAGGGCACCCGTGTTCTTCTTGTGCTTTTTCTTAGACTTTAGTGTAAGATTGCAACACCTGCAGTAATGTGTTTGTTCTCACGTGTTTGCAGTCTCACACTACTGTTGGTTACACTTATTATTATTACAGTGGTGCCTCGCAAGACGAAATTAATCCGTTCCGCGAGTGTCTTCGTCTAGCGGTTTTTTCGTCTTGCGAAGCAACCCTATTAGCGGATTAGCGGATTAGCGCTATTAGCGGTTTAGCGGCTATTAAAGGCTTAGCAGCTTAGCGGCTTAGCTGCTAAAAGGCTATTAAAGGCTTAGCGGCTTAGAAAAAGGGGGGGGAAAGCGAAAAAAAATTCTCAAGACTCGCAAGACATTTTCGTCTTGCAAAGCAAGCCCATAGGGAAATTCGTCCTGCGAAGCGCATTGAAAACGGAAAACCCTTTCGTCTAGCGGGTTTTCCGTCTTGCAAGGCATTCGTCTTGCGGGGCACCACTGTATTATTATGTGCAGTCTCACACTACTGTTGGTTTTACTTACCCTCAAAGCAAAATTTATGCCTGTATCTTGTTGATCAACACACTCCCATATTTTTTCATTTACGTCCACCAAGAGACAGGGAAGGGAGAAAACACGGGCGCAAACGTTTAAGTTCTACGAATTTCAGCTGAATTGTCACCTGTCACAACAAGCCACAAACCATGACCTATGAGCATGGCTGAATTGCACCTGCTTTGGTCCTCCCTGCTAATGCATAGAGAAAACAAATCACGATCCTCGGATTTGCATGCTGTCTGAACCAGGGATCATGGTGTGAGAGGTGAGTGCTGCCAAAGCCAGCATAGATAAAACTCCAGGCTCGCCGCCAGTTGTTGTCTTTTAGATTTATTTACAAAGTTCAAAAAGGTTTCCAGAGCTTCAAAGCATGTCCATCTCTGTCTGATTAGATGCCTCGAATGGCTTTTTTTCCTTACTTCCCCTTCCCCAGCAGGCAGAAACCCCGCCTCCTATCTCCTCTGTTCAAAGGATAGCTAGTTCTGGGCTGAGCATCCCCCCTCCCTGCCTCTTCTTCGCTGTCAGAAGAGAGGCTGCTAATTAGCTCCTTCGGCTCTCTATAAGTGCTCCTCTCCCCCCTTGGGTCTTTTGCCGTGTGCATTTCCCTGACACATGGTTTGCTTTGCTTAAACAGAACTCTCAGTAAGCTAAGAACAAATGTTGTCTTATTGTGGTTTGTTTGGAGTAGACACAATGCAAATCCCTGGTTTGGAAGTACTGCTAAGCCGGGGATCATGGTTTGTTTCCCTCCTGACATGACCTGGGAGGACTGAAGCCAGCACAGTTCCCTCACGCATGGCTGGTCATAGTTTATGGCTTACCACAATGTATGAACATAGCCAGCAACTCATTAAAGTGCTTAACTTGGGTTGAATTATGCATAGTAAGTAACATTCAGTTTAAATCTTCAGTAATGAAGTAGTAATTAGAAGGATAAAATCTGTTTAGTTTGTAAAGAGAATTTCACATACTGAGAGTGATAGTTTATGGGGGGAAATCCTCATCATTCCAAAGAAATAAAAAGAGGGAAGTAAGATGACTATTATTATTATTATTATTATTATTATTATTATTATAAAAATGCTATTTCTTTCTGCTGGAGAAAACATACCAAGTTTAAAGTTTTTCAGATGGACTCTGAAGACAAAATTTCCCATAAATCTCATTTGTTCACTGGATTCAAAACTGGGCTTTTTATTTTTAGGGAGAAGTGTGATTATAATATCTAGAATCACCGTCTCATTTAAACGAAGCTTGTATTTCTTAAAACACAAATACAGAGTCAGAGTTTGAATAATACAGACATTAGGAAGATGACACCATACTTTTACGAAAAGAAATGCTTCTTAAATAGTGCCACCAAAAACCACATAGGGTGAAGATGTCAGTGCCATTGAATAAAAAAAGGTAAAAGCCTACACCAGAAGTAGAGAACCTTCTTTCTGTCAAGGACCATATTACCTTGGGGTTAATCTGCCAGGGGCTGGAATGGGTTGGTCTCTTTGGTAGAAAGGGAGCTGTCCATGGAGGCGCAGGTCAATTCTGTGTCCAGGGCAGCTGTTTATCAGCTCCACCTGGTACGCAGGCCGAGACCCTACCTGCCCGCAGACTGTCTTGCCGGAGTGGTGCATGCTCTAATTATCTCTCGCTTGGACTACTGCAATGCGCTCTATGTGGGGCTGCCTTTGAAGGTGACTTGGAAACTACAACTAATCCAGAATGTGTCAGCTAGACTGGTGACTGGGAGCGGCCGCCGAGACCATATAACACCGATCTTGAAAGACCTGCACTGGCTCCCAATACGTTTCCGAGCACAACTCAAAGTGTTGGTGCTGACCTTTAAAGCCCTAAACGGCCTCGGTCCAGTATACCTGAAGGAGCATCTCCACCTCCATCGTTCTGCCCGGACGCTGAGGTCCAGCGCTGAGGGCCTTCTGGCGGTTCCCTCGCTGCGAGAAGCCAAGTTACAGGGAACCAGGCAGAGGGCCTTCTCGGTAGTGGCACCCACCCTGTGGAACGCCCTCTCACCAATATCAAAGAGAAAAACAACTACCAGACTTTTAGAATCCATCTGAAGGCAGCCCTGTTTAGGGAAGCTTGTAATGTTTAATAGACTATTGTATTTTAATATTATGTTGGAAGCCGCCCAGAGTGGCTGGGGAAACCCAGCCAGATGGGTGGGGTATAAATAATAAATTATTATTATTATTGTTGTTGTTGTTGTTGTTGTTGTTGTTGTTGTTGTTGTTGTTGTTATTTTATTTAAAATAAATAGTAGGCAGGGCCACCCGTTCTCTTTTTCTGTCTGTCTCTCTTTGTTACACATTTGCTACAGCATCACCTTGTAGGGTCCACACAAAAGCAACATCCTTCCCAAGGATAATTTGTATGATTTTCAAAACCGCGTTTCTGGAAAAGGGAAGCAGTATTGCTTTTTTTAAAAGCAGAAAGTGATTTGCATTTTATTTCCTGCATATCAGAATGAAACTTTTCATCTTTCGCAGGGAGTTCATGGTATCCCAAGTGATCATTTGAACAGGGTCTTAATGTCTGTGGAATCTGCTAGAGAAGAAAGGAAGAAACAGATCCCCGACATTCATCTTATTCGGGAGCAACTCCAGCAGCAAGTCAACTTCAGGGTTATGTCTTGCAGCAGACTTTATTCCAGTTCTTACCTTTCTCCAGAAGGTGTGCTAACTTCCCACCCCTCTCCCTGCCCCAACCCACCCCCACTGCTTTCAGGTGTCTGGAGGTCAAACCACCATGTTACTTATAACTCGAGACAACATAAACGTGGGCCTGCTTTCATGTGCAGTGTGTTAAAGGTTTTGTTAACAAGTTAATGTTCAAAAGCAGATCAGCTGTTTGTCTTTGGACCCATTAATTAATCGGTGAGCCATTTACATTTTGGTACCAGCGTTGTTTGAGGGCAGTGGATGAGGGCAACATTTGGACTAGAAAACTGGTCCCTAGCTCATGTGGAATCTGAAGTACCGTATTTTTCGCTCTATAAGACGCACCAGACCACAAGACGCACCTAGTTTTTGGAGGAGAAAAACAAGAAAAAAAAATCTGAATCTCAGAAGCCAGAACAGCAAGAGGGATCGCTGCGCAATGAAAGCAGCAATCCCTCTTGCTGTTCTGGCTTCTGGGATAGCTGCGCAGCCTGCATTCGCTCCATAAGACGCACACACATTTCCCCTTACTTTTTAGGAGGGAAAAAGTGAGTCTTATAGAGCAAAAAATACGGTAATTTTTTAATGAAATGATTTTAAAATGTTGTCTTATTTTATTGTTGTTAGCCGCCCTGAGCCCGGCTTCGGCTGGGGAGGGCGGGATATAAATAAATTATTATTATTATTATTATTATTATCATCATCATCAAAGAGGAGCAGGTATGAGCTTCCTCAGAATCTGCCTGAGCCTCCTTAAGCAAGTCATCACCACAGTTTTACGGCCCCAGTGTTGAACACATTCTCTGATACAAGATGTCTGTGTGAACTGCAATCGATAATCCTTTCACAGATTTATTTAAACTATTGTTAAAAACTCCCAACTTACTTGTTTAAGGACTACATGTTATTTAATTAGCAGTTTATACATTCTTGACCAAAGCTACTGTACAATGTATAACTACTTATTCATAAAAAAGTGGAAATCCCGTTACCTGAGGTATTGACCAATCGGATATTACGTTCCCTTAGCACATTTTGCAACATGCTTCTAGCCTTAGGGGCCAGAGGGCACTTTTCTGGCTCAAGATGTATAGCTAATGCCTCTTTTGTGAAACCTGTGCCCAATATAGAGAAACATTACTAACATTTCTTGTGAGCACAGCTTTCCCCCGCATTCTCTGTTATTCATTAGAGCATTTTTACCCCATCTTTCCTTTGTTGTTGTTGTTGTTGTGTTTAAAAAATGTGCACTCAAGGAGGCTTGCGGTGTAAAAATTGAAAAAACAGTAGCAAAAAACCAAACCTGAAATGCAAAATAAACAGGGACAGCTAGGTGACTTTCTAAAAATTCAAAGGAACTCAGAGCACAGAAACAGCCAAATGTCTTCTGAAATGAAAATGTATTCCTGAGATGATGAAGAATAATCAAAGAGGAAGCCAGGCAAGCTTCCTTACTTGGGCAGGTCTATTAGACACAATTCAGCTGGCAAAGTAGAAACTGAAAATGTGTCTGTCTTTCTTGTTTCTTTTGACATTGTTCCTTGGGGTATATCTTTATTGTTGTTGTTGATTGAATTTATATACCGCCCTATACCCGGAGTTCTCAGGGCGGTTCACAGAATAAAATCAAAATATAAAACCACAAAATACATAATCAAAATAAAAACAACAATGCAATAACCCCCCACCTCCCAAAAAACACATTTTTAAAAAGGGCATAGGATCCTCACAACATTTAAAGTAAGATAATTAAACCTGGAAAGGAGCCACTCATTGGAAAGACCATGATCTCAGAAATGTCTGTGGCAATATTTATTGGCAACCAAATTGGCCAGGCGCCTTTCTGATACAAAGACAAAAATAAGAGTGTGGGGAATTAGCTTTGGTTGTTGGGCAGATGTAATACTATTGCTTCATCTTCTGTAAGGGAAAGGCCTGTATCTAATGTTGCAAACAAGTCCTCTTTGCTGAGTTTCATCTTCTTTCTTCTTGGTACTGTTTCTACCACTGATGCGCTTCCACCAGAACATTGTTTTGAGTATTTATAATCTGTGTTTCATTGCAGCTAAGAACAGGGTAGCTCATTTGGGAGGTTCGCTGTCAACTGTGTTGCCCAAAGCAGCAAAACGTCCATCTGTTGCCAAACGCCCAACCGTACAAAGACCAGTCGCTGCTGAAAACACCCCGGCACCAAAGTAAGAGGAACTGTTCAGTAAAGTTTTGTTTGGGGTTGTCCGTATTATTGGAAGCAGCCTTGTGGAGCACCTGAAGATGTCTGTATTATTCATCCGCTGGGAGAGATGTACTGGCTGCTGATTGGCTGCAGCTCCGTATTGAAAGCCTTGTTACTAACACAGAAAGCCCTGAGCAACTTGGGATCAGGTTACCTGAAAGGCCCCTGACCCTGGATAGACATTTAAAATTTCTTAGATCAGGGTTTGCCAAACTTGGGTCTCCAGCTGTTTTTGGACTGCATCATCCCTGACCACTGGCCCTGCTAGCTAGGGATGATAGGAGTTGTAGTCCAAAAACAGCTGGAGACCCAAGTTTGGCAAACCCTGGCTTAGATCATCTGGGGAAATTCTACCCACGGCTCCATTTCCTATAGAATATTACAGAGCATGTCAATTTTTTGCCATTGCCCCTGTTCTGTGGAATGCCCTTCCCTCTGCCATACATGACACATTGTCTATTAGTTGCTCTCTGCATCTTTAGAAGGTGTATGGTTTCCCCTAGGCTTTCCCAGGTCCCCAAGGTTGGATCCTGTTATTTCTGAGTTCTCGATTTTATAATATTGTTTTTATTATGATGTTGTGTTCTTTTGGATCACAGGTTAGGGTTTTCCCAAACTTTTTCAATGTTAAAAGTTTGTAAATGCTTTTAAATAAAAGAGAAAGAAAAAAGACAAGAAATGAAAGAACGGAAATAGGTGTATTGATTTATTTCCTCTGGCCCCTCAAAAGTATCTTTTAACAAGATAGCGAAACCGTCATCCTTCTGCAGGAAGGGGAGCAATTAAAAAGCGTTTACTACATTATTCCTGCATTGCAGGGGGTTGGACTAGACGACTCGGGGCCCCTTCCAATTCGACGATTCTATGATTTAAATATATTTGTGACATTCATAAACCTCTTCTGAAAGGCAATTGCCCAAAGCAGAATACAGAATCTGAGTACAGAGTACAGAATCTGCAATATAGTAGATAACAAAAGTTGTAATTTTTGTTATTGTTCCTTCCAGAACCAAGAAGAGCGCTTTGGGAGATGAAATCCCCAAAAAGCTGCATAGTATTACGTAAGTCTTCCGTTTGGTTTCTGTGCGCAATATTCTGAACTCGATTTAAACAATGCAAAGAAGAAATGTCAAATTGTATACATGCCACTTTACCTAAGGTTCAGGTTTGCCAGTTGCTTGAAATGGTGAGGCAAAGAATTGGGGATGGACAAGTAAGCAATAGAGGCAGAACAAAAGAACAGGAAGGGGAGAGGCAGAGTGGTGTGCAGGATACCACCCCAAATGGAAGTGCTGCTAGCACTCCTCTAATCCCATGGCCTTCATCAGAAACTATTCACAGATTTCTACAACCATGGTGGCTGGAAGTCTCTTTTTTTTAAAGGCATGGTGAATCAGATTGTGTAGTAAAATCCAAGACAGATGTATAGCTATGCTTACTTTGCGCATGCTTACTATAGGTATGGTCAGGGGTTCAAATCCGCACAACGGGGCGAGCTCCCATTGCTCTGTCCCAACTCCTGCTAACCTAGCAGTTTGAAAGCACACCAGCGCAAGTAGATAAATAGGTACCACTTCGGCAGGAAGGTAAGCAATGTTTCCATGAGCTCTGGTTTCCGTCACGGTGTTCCGTTGCGCCAGAAGCGGTTTAGTCATACTGGCCACATGACCCAGAAAGCTGTCTCTGAACAAACGCCGGGCTCCTTCGGCCTGAAAGCGAGATGTGCACTGTAACCCCAGTCGCCTTTGACTGGACATAACTGTCCAGGGGTCCTTTACCCCTTTACATTTACAATAGGCAAATGCTCAGAGAACCACAGGTGTGTTCTACCTGCTTTTCAAACTGGATAAAATGGTTTGGCTGCGTAGAATCCACCTTTATCCGAAGGACCTAAAATGGCTTTCCACACGTTCCTTACTGCGTATGGGATGTTTCTCAGCAAAGACTCCTTTCTTACTAGTTTCAAAACATGGGGAGAGTTTAGGTTGATGGAAATCAACATTCTGTAACCAGTTTTCTTGAGAATGGTGGCATTGTGGATTAACTTACATTGAAAATGGTGGCCCGCCATTTACCTTGTGGACAAGGATCCTAAGATTATCTTAACCAGAGGTTTGTGACATCCCTACCATTTTCCTGTTGGATGAAAGGATTTAGAGAAGCTGGGCAAAGTGTGGCTAAGGCAGTACCGTGTTTGGCAACAGTTGGGTTAAATCAAGGTCTTGCCGCAGCGATGATGATAATAATGGAAGGTGCCTAACTCCACCAATTTCCCTCCCCCTTAGAACCCCACCATTTAGCTCAGAGGAAGAAGTAGAAGAGAATGACATCATGCAGTCCTATATCTCACCAGAATTGTCTCAGCCTCAGGCATCCAAGAGCAACATCAAAAGCAGCTTGTCAAGATTTGCAAGCCAGAGTGATGTGAACTCCATGGAAGAAGAGGAGGAGGAAGAAGAGGAAGAAGAAGAATTCAAAACAAGCCTTAAACCTTCGAAAAGTAGGGAAGCTAATTTTGTAGACCACCTTAAGGAGAGGAGCACACCTATGGGGAGATGCTCCACTCATGTTCACACCAGGATCTGTGTTCACCCCATGGTCTCCTTTAGTATGGCTTTCTATCCTGTGCTCAGGATTGTGCTGAACAGCTGATAATCATACTGGCCATTAACCAGTGGGATTAATTAAAAAGAAGTACGTAGAGCAAACGGTGAAAAGGAAATCATCCTTTGACACACTACTAAATGTTAAAGTCTGAGGGGTTGTAGCAGGAGAACAGGGTTCTTGGGCAATTCGCACTGCACAGCTGCTGCCTAGACTAATATCATTGATTTACGAGTAACTTCCAAGTTGTAATCAGCACAGTAGCTGAAGACTCACGGGGCAGTCTACCAATCTCGTGTAAGTTTTTTTGGGAGTGTGGGAGTGAGGGGAGATGGCATAGCAGCCATCATTAATTTGGGTTTATTTTATTTTTTAATAAAACTAAAATGTGTTGGAAGATTTGTGCTTCCCTGGACCATTTTGTTGGGGAAAAGTAAGGGGACGTTTTTATCCCACTATATTAAAATTGGCTAGAACAACAACAACAGAGCACCTCAGTGGCAGAAATCAATCAATTTATTGGGATATTTTTGTCTTGGACTCTTGATTGTTTTCAAAACAAAAACCTACAACGCTGGGTTACTTTTTGCTAGAGGAAATATTTACCCTAACATGTTACACTGGCACCCCAAATGAGATAAATAAGCACCCCAAATGTAAAATTCAGTTGGTTTTCTTTGGATTATTTGTGTACTGTAAATAGCAAGTGACTGAATTTTTTTTATTACTATGCAGGCAAATTTTTTATTACTACGCAAGCAAAGATGTCTTATAATTATTGCATTATAGGTCTACCTCTATGTTGATTCTGCAAGGAAAAGTGTACTGGGAGTGTAATTTTACACCCAAAAGTCTGGGTTAGAATTAAGCATTTCAGTTATAAGTTGCCCATATCCTGTTTTTTTGATTGTGTAGGCGCATTTATCCAAAGAGGGACTGTGCAAATCGAAAAGCTTCCTCCGAGCCAAGGGAAGGAAAATGAATCTGCTGAAGTAATTAATGTTGGCCCCGTATCTATTCAAAAGTGTGCCCAAGGAGTAAAGGTATTAGATTTTATTTGAAAAGGACCTATATACATTGAGATTTTATTATTTCTATTTTCTTATAATTGAAGGGATAATTCACTGGTGTAAGAATTTCCTTTGCAAATCACTTTGTAGTTGCTGATAAAGATATTTGTGGTTGGTATTCAGTATGATGATCTTCTGACTTTTAAATGCAGTTCAGGGATTTATTTCTTTTCAGTGTAAGTAAAACTTACACTGTAAGTACAAGTCATTCCCCCTGGATTTTTAAAACCTGTATCCATGCAAAAAAAAAAAAAAAGGTCCAGGGAGCTACTGCAAAAGCAGCAGTCAGAGCACGACAAGTAAAACAGAGTATTGCAGCTTTGCCCACCTGCCAGGTAAAAGCTATTTCACCCCCTAACTGCACCACCTCCTCCTTTGCTTCCAAGCGGGTTGCAACCTTTGAAAGCCTTTAGTAGTCTAAGCCCAGCATAGAATCTGTGAGAGCATTCCTTCCTATATGGACCCGCTCAGAATTTTGTAAGAAAGCCTAATTTTGTAAGAAAGGTGCTATCTATAAATGTAGCTCTATAGGAACTAGAGAATTGAGGTGCAGGATTTCTTTAAAAGATTTGAGGGGATCACTCTCTTTCCTCTTGTCACTTGTGGCGAGGAAATCTGGAATCTTAAACCTTTTCCATAAAATGCTCTCTCACAGATGGAGGAGAAGAGGCCTTGTAGCTCATAATAATAATAATAATAATAATAATAATAATAATAATTATTTTATTATTTATACTCTGCCCATCTGGCTGGGTTTCCCCAGCCACTCTGTGTGATTTACAGCACATAAAAAAATTGAAAAACATTATAGACTTAAAAAATTTCCCGATACAGGGTTGCCTTCAGATGTCTTCTAAAAGTCAGAGAGTTGTTTATTTCCTTGACATCTGATGGGACATAGGTAACAGAGCAGACGTTTTATAGGGAGCAGATTCTAGGATCAGTCGCAGAGCTCTCTGGTTCAAAAGGTTAAGTAGCAAGTGATGAGGAAGGTCCCTCTCTTCCTGAGACTTTGGAGAGCCATTAGTAAGAAAGTAGATCACACTGGGCAAAATAGACAAATAGTTTGTCTGGGCATAAGGCAGCTTCCCGTAGTATGTAAAAACGTAACAGCAGTTTAAATTAACTTTCAATATTGTTACTAGAGGCAGGTCTTCACTTGCATGCGATCTAGTTGCGCACAACTGCACACACGGGCAACACTAGGAACCCAGAAGTGGCAGGTAGCTCATGAAGAGACCCTCCCCGGAGCCTGAAGAGGACGTCTTTAATTTCTGGGTGAGGTGGCTTTTGTCCTCAGCAGGGCTTTGTTGAGGCTGCTCAGCTGACATGTGGGAAATCGATGGCTGCTGCTGCGCTATCCCACATGCCAGCTGTTAGATGGGGTGTCTGAGCAGCTTCAACAAAGCTTCGCTGCGCCTCCGGTTTGCGAAGAGACCCACCCTGGAGCCCAAAGAGGACTCTCGAGAGGGTCTCATTGAGAGCCACGAGGACTCTCTAGGGTGCTTCCTACTTACACACGTCACTTGTGCGCAAGGGGCCCCAGAACGTAAGTGGGACCTGTACAGTGGTACCTCAGGTTACATACGCTTCAGGTTACAGACTCCGCTAACCCAGAAATAGTGCTTCAGGTTAAGAACTTTGCTTCAGGATGAGAACAGAAATTGTGCTCCAGTGGCGCAGCAGCAGCGGGAGGCCCCATTAGCTAAAGTGGTGCTTCAGGTTAAGACCAGTTTCAGGTTAAGAACAGACCTCTGGAATGAATTAAGTACTTAACCCGAGGTACCACTGTACTGCTTTTCACTATAGCTGTCAACTTTTCCCTTTCCTTGCGAGGAATCCTATTCAGAATAAGGGAATTTCCCTTAAAAAAGGGGAAAGTTGACATCTTTGCTTTTCACACCTTCATGACGCTTTCTAATACAATAAAATAGGGGTCAGTCTTGTCAAAATTAAGAGCATTAGAGTACAATCCTATGTGTGTTTGCTCAGAAGTTAATCCCATTGGGTTTAATAGGACATACGTTTGTATAGATTTAAAATCTTAACATCCCATTCATTTCTTTGTAGAATTAAACACATGCCTGAACCCTCTCATGCTGAAAGGGAGGACATGTAAAACAGTTTAACTTGGGTGTTACTGTGCCCTTTTTGTTTTATATGTAGGTCATGTGTGTGTGTGTGTGTGTGTGTGTGTTTGTGTGTTTGTTTGTGTGTGTGTGTGTGTGTGTGTTTGTGTGCATGCAGTCTGTACATAATTTAAATGAATTTTGGTATTTTGGCTTCATGTAGCATATTGTAGTCTCCTGTCAGTAGAGGGCACTGCAGTCTTTCTTCAGTATAATGGCTATTCCTTAAGAGCTCTTTTCGCCTTGCCACAGGGTTTGGCACTAATTCAAATAATGTGAGTATTTTGGTCTGTTCTCTTCTCAACCTATTTAAAAAGCAAAACCCACTAGCACAAAGAGAACAAATCACATCAATTGTTTTTTCTTGTGTTGTGTGTTTCCAGAAATCTTCGCTCTTTAGTAGCTGAACATATTGACGTCCATCGTCTTAAGCAAGCAGCTCCTCTTACAGGATCTGTGTATAAAAAGACTAGCAGATAACTGTTCCTAGATTTAAGTTTTAAGAAATTCCATTTGTTTCTTAATAGTTTACAGGAGTTGAGGAGGACGACGACGAAGACTGGGATTTATCATCTCTAGTAGAAGATGAGAAACCATCGCCAGCAAAAGATGAACAACCTTTGTTAGCAAAAAATGAAGAACGTTTGCTGGCAAAAGATGAGAAGCGTTTGCCAGCAAAAGATGAAAAAGTTAAGAATGCAACTGCTGTTGAAAAGAAAGATTCGAATGCGGCATCTACGGTCCATGCATGGGGAACTCCATGCGTAGGAAAACCAACAAAGGAAGAAGGTACATTCATGGGTGATATTAATTACTAGTCAATAGCTCTGATGTTCTCAGCCATAGCTGTGCCAGGTTCCCTTGGTGCTGATATTTAAAGCCCTAAATGGCCCCAGCCCAGTATACCTGAAGGAGCGTCTCCATCCCCATTGTTCAGCCCTCATACACTGAGGTCCAGCTCCGAGGGCCTTCTGGCGGTTCCCTCACTGTGAGAAGTGAGGTTACAGGGAACCAACAGAGGGCCTTCTCGGTAGTGGCACCCGCCCATCAGATGTCAGGGAGATAAACAACTATCTGACTTTTAGAAGACATCTGAAGGCAGCCCTGTTTAGGGAAGTTTTTAGTGTTTGATGTTTTGTCACCTTTTTATTTATTTATTATTATTAATCTGTTAGGAGCCACCCAGAGTGACTTGGGAGACCCAGCCAGATTGGCAGGGTATAAATAATAATTTATTATTTTTATTAATTATTATTCTCTGCAAACCCTGCCTGGAGGGAAGGGAGATTTGCTACCAAGGTCAGAGCCACTGGGCTATGGGCCAGGTTGATTGAGACCTTTGCAGCTGCAGTACAGAAAAGACTATTTACCTGTGTTGTGTCTATCCTGCTTCTTAATTTCAAGAAAATTTATTACCACTTACAAAACCAATAAGATATAATAATAAAAGTGGTAAAATGCAACAAAACACAATTAATAACATAATCTTTCCTAAACATGTATCAGGACTATAACTATGAAATTTAAGAAACTTCATCTGATGTCTACACCTGATGTTTAAAGCCATTGTTTTTTATTTTTATTTTTATGGGGTGTGTTTTTTAGTAGGTACAGTGATAAAGTGATTGGGGCCTTTCACTGTTCCCAACAGTGGTGGTTTTGATCCCCTAGGTGTCTGTTCTTATTACATAAAACAGTATTTTCTACAGACCACAGTAAAACAGTGCACTGCAACCAACAGGACTGGGCACATTTAAACCTGTGGTTGGATTGTGGTCACTCTGTTCGGAATAACTGAAAGCAGCCAGACAAGGTGTTGGGCTTCTTATATTGTGGTGCATTTGACCACAGAAATTAATGCACCTTAACTGCTCTGCTGGAGAGCCTGTATAATTCAGGATGAACTTTGGTTTAGGTGAGATGGGCTGCTCTGCTCCATAGGCTGCTAAAAAGAGTTTGGATCTGCTGCAATTAATGCCCATTTAATTTACAGCTGCTTGCCTTACACTAACTTCTTCCCTGTTTAGGGAAGTTTTTTAATGACTGAGGTTTTAATGTATTTTTAATCTGTTGGAAGCAGCCCATAGTGGCTGGGGTATAGGTCATACATTATTGTTGTTGTTGTTGTTTTTGTTGCTGCTGTTATTATTATTATATTATTATTATTATATTATTATTCTGCATAGGCCTGCTCCTTAAGGAACTCTGCTTGAAGCGTGGAAAGTTCCTGTGTCAGACTTTGTTTAAAGGAGATCAAAATTGTTCTAAATTGTTTTCAGGAAGACCTTCCTACATCTAAAAATGGTAGACCACCAAAACGTGTTGCAGAAGAATGGTACCATCTCTATCCTTGTGTATCTTTGAAAGCTAATTTTGCTGTTTCCTTTTTAAACAGTCCTTCAAGATGAAGATATGAGCACAAAAAGCAGCTCACCCACTATCACAGACTGGAGCGACGCTTCGGTTATTTGATTGTTGCAGATAAAACCTCATTCCAAAGACAACAGTCTGATTCCTGTTCATTTTTTTCTGGTGCGTTAACAAGGAACCTTTTGTTTACAAAACTCTGGTATCTTTAGTTGATTTAATGCAGGGCCAATTAATACTTCACTAAATCTCCACTTTCAGGTAAGAAGTGTTCATCAATAAACAGCATTAACTGATCCACTATTTTAAGTAATCTTTTTAAAAAATACAAAAAACAGTTTATACATAACTTAATATAAAATGTGAACATTTTAAATAAACTATTTTGACTCAAAGGTTACTTTCTTCCTTCACAAACACACAGAAAATTGCAATGAAATTGGCATTCCTCTGGCGGCCAGAGGATCCTGTTGATCTCTAGTGGCTCCCTGAGCAAACGAGGGGTTGGCTTTGTAGGAGAGCACCCCTGCACACCTCACCAACTCAGTATATTTGGCCCACCCTGTCCATGTCAAGGCCTTGCAAGCTATACTTAACTGTTGAGACAATGCATAACAGCTGCACCAGTCAAGCTTAAACCACAAAAAGTCTTGTAGCACCTTGAGGACTAACAAATTCATTGTGGTGTTAAGCGTCCGTTCCCAGGTAAGCATGGCAGCTAGATCCTTGCCTGGTGGCAGTGCTTAGACATTTAAATGCTTCGAAACACTGAGACCAAATGCAGCCTCTGCACCTCCTTCCCCTCTTCCACTGCTTAATACTGTATGTACAAGCAGAACTGGTACATTCTGCCTTACAGCAAGAAGAAGAAAGCCCCAGTGCGTTGCTTCACAACCAGGGCTTCATTCTCATCCATATGGGCCTTGTGGTTCTTGTGCAGAGAGATGGAGACATCAGATACATTGAGCCCAGTATACTGTGTATTGTATTTAAAATGCTTTGTGCTGCTAAAGTTGAATGCTTTGTGGTGAGATCTAAGTGCAGATCACTGTCTGAGGCATCTTTTCATGCGTAGTGGGAAACACATGTGACCATGGGGCTCTTCCCTGTCCAGGCAGGCTCTGTGTCTTTTCTATCTCTCTTGTACAATTTCAGCAGTGGAAATTAATAAAATGTTGATGACTTAAAAAAAAATAAAAAAAATACTGTATGTACAAGCAGAACTGGTACATTCTGCCTTACAGCAAGAAGAAGAAATTGACCGAGAGGTCTGGCGGCAAATAGTGCCAAGACTCAGCCCCTGCCACCTCAGTGACTCGGAGCATTTGAAAATATACGGTAATCAGCTTCTGTAGATGAAAAGATGTCATTATTGACATATTTGTTTGAATCAAAATCTGGAATGAATGCTGGAGGGAGAGGGTAAAACTTGTAAAAACAAGGACATTTATCCAAGGTCAATCATGTGTCCCTCCTTAAATAAAAATAGCTTATTGGCTTATGATATCCCCAAGAGAGTTTGGCCAGTTTCAGAAATTTGTGGCTGTAAGTTCTGGCAGGAGAGGGATTGGCTTTGTGTGACAGAATCTCAACACTATCTGGCAAGGATAGGTTTCAGCCCATAAGCTTGAAGTTTTAGGAACCAGTGTTTAAAATTAGGGTTGTTTTTGCACAGCATAAAGGACTTGGAGTGTGTTTCTGTTTACTTGGCTTACCTTCCTTCAGAGTAGGCATAAAATAGATAACACAATCCTATGTAACGTCTTTCAAATTGAGCCCAAGGTCAACGACCCATCTAGTGCCCATCTAAAAATTAACCTGTGGTGCCTTGATCTCCACCAATTAGCCATAACCAATAGGACGTGACTTTATTTGTAAATATGTTCTTTTTTTTACAGAAAGCAAAAAATGGCAAATGATTTACATATATAATTTATGCATAACATCAGTACAAATCTTAAAATGAGGGAAGAGGAAAATTTACATCAAGTAGGTAAAAGTTCATTTAGAAAGTATTCTTATTTCTGGTGCTAACGACACCAGAAATCTCCCTTAAAAATCATTCTGTGAATGAACAGCACAAATGTGATTTTTTAAAAAAATAAACTCTTGGAGTCATCTGGCTACACGTAGGCGTTTTTGTCGAAGTGCTTTGGAGGGGCTCTAGGCATTTTTAAGTCTGCTGAGCCATTGCAGCCCTTTGTTCGAATAGACATCGCGGAAGCTGCTCTGTTGTATGTATATCCCATCCTGAAAAATGAGAAAGTTACAGTTTACAGCTCATTCTGCAAATGCTAGCAGATATTTTAAGAGCAAACCCCATCCTTCGTTAGAAGAAAAAAATGTCTGACATGAGCCTACTCACTGTCAGTGCAAAGTGCTTAGGGACTATTCTGAGAAACCTCAGTGTTGAATAAAAATACAGTGGTACCTCGGGTTACAAACACTTCAGGTTCAGACTCTGCTAACCCTGAAGTAGTACCTCGGGTTAAGAACTTTACCTCAGGATGAGAATAGAAATCGTGAGCTGGCAGTGTGGCAGCAGCGGGAGGCCCCATTAGCTAAAGTGGTACCTCAGGTTAAGAACGGTTTCAGGTTAAGAATGGACCTCCGTAATGAATTAATTTTGTAACCAGAGGTACCACTATAGGGGCAAATTCAGCACAAATTCTTAGTCAGAATTTATATTGCACTTCTCAAGGTTCAATAGCAGTTCACTTACATATCAGTTCTCGTGATGCTAAGAAAAACTATGGCTGAGTGACTCTCTCTTTTTTAAAAAAATAAAATCAAATAAACATCACAAACATAACTAAAGTACCTCTAGTGTAGGCTTCCTCAAACTCGGCCCTCCATATGTTTTTGGCCTACAGCTCCCATGATCCTTAGCTAGCAGGACCAGTGGTCAAGGATAAGGGGAATTGTAGTCTCAAAACATCTGGAGGGCCGAGTTTGAGGAAGCCTGCTCTGGTGCCTTGGCTTAGTGTTCTGCTCATGGTTTGTCTCCCTCTAGACAAAGAGATGCAAGCCATGAGCCTGGGTTCAGACATAATGCTAAGCCAAGCTACGACTTAGTAGCATGGCAACAGCAGAACTTGGGGGGCAGAGCAAAACAGCAGCCATCTTCACTTGGAGAGTCTACACTTTTGTGTATTTGTGTTGAGCTACAGTTTGGCTTGTCGTTATTTCTGAACTAAGTTACTATCTTGATAACTTTTTAAAAATAATAATCTATCAAACAGTTCTGAAGCACTGCCTTTTCTAGACAGGCAACTCACAATTTACGCCGGGGTTATGTTCGTGGTGCCACACGTTTGAGTGAAATCGAGTATATTTGAAACAACATTGAAAAGACTCCGCCCTGGCCCCACCCCTTTTTGTGACATTTTCAGGTCACTTTCGGGTTTGGCACGATGCGCAAGTGCGCTGTCACAAACATATTGGACGCACCTAAAATGATCATTGCCTGTATTGGCAGATTGAGGGCTAAGGAACTTTCCTCCAGCCACTTAGTAATTTTTTATAACGGCGTTTTCCAGTTCATTACCTAACAGTGCACTCCTATACATGTCTATACGTGAGACTTACTTCTGAATAAACATGTCAGTTGGGCTACAATCTTCTACATGCTTACCTGAGAGTAACTTAAAAGGTAAAGGACCCCTGACAGTTAAGTCCAGTCGCGAACGACTATGGGGTTGCGGCGCTCATCTCTCTTTACTGGCCAAGGGAGCCGACGTTTGTCCGCAGACAGTTTTTCTGGGTCATGTGGCCAGCATGACTGAGCCGCTTCTGGGGAAACCAGAGCAGCGCACGGAAACACCATTTACCTTCCTGCTGGAGTGCTACCTATTTATCTACTTGCACTTCATGTTTTTGAACTGCTAGGTTGGCAGGAGCAGGGACTGAGCAACGGGAGCTCACCCTGTCGCGGGAATTTGAACTGCCGACCTTCTGATCAGCAAGCCCTAGGCTCTGTGGTTTAACCCACAGCGCCACCCGTGTCCCTAACTTACTTACTAGGGTCCAACTTACTAGGGTCCTAAGGAATATATGCACTGAATTGTGTGTGGATGTGAGTTTGATGCATGAGGTTCGGATGTGACCCCCAGCTTGGGCCGCTAGTTAAATACAAACCTTGTGACTCCAGGTGGCTGGGATCACATGTTCAATATATCCTCAAGTTGGCTGACTGGACATTATTACACAACCACGAAGGAAATATATGAAAAGGTCAACTCTGGCAAATTATTTACTCTAATGTGGAGTGTACGTTGCAGCGAGGTCTCCTGGCACCCTTTGCAAATCTTTTTAATTCTGAAACAAAGCAGGTTAGGCAAATAGGCTAGTGGGGTTGGTTTGACTCCCTATAGTTTCAAAATTCCACTGGAAAAACGGTTGTGTCCCTGTGGAGATGGCAGTATTGAGTCAGTGGCTCATGTGCTTCTGGCTGCACTCTTTATAAAGATTTGAGGAGTGAGTTTGTTACCCCTCTATTATTGCCCATTCCAGGTCACTCAACCATTGCTACTGTGTCCTTTCTTTTAGCAGATCAAGATGATCAGGTGGCAGCAAAAACTGTGAGGTTTTTAGCTGGGGGCAATTAGAATAAGATTTATTATTTGATTATTGATGTAAACCTCCAAAATGCATCTTGTAGAGTTAAATTTTTACCTCTTCAGTACATTTTATTTTACTTTATTTTATCGTTATGGCTAGTGGCTGATGCAAATAAAAGATTCTTCTGATTTTTATTCCCTATAGTTTCATGATGGGATGGTATTGTGGTAGGGTTAAGCTGAAAGATAAGGAACTGACAGAGTTGGTCAGTATGCCTCTAGCGCTGGAAATTAAAACCAACCAGCCATTTGGGGCAGCTAGGAGGAGAGGCCTTATTTTGCCAGTCTTGGGGAGAAGTCTTTCTGTGACCAAAAATGATGAAATCAAAGTCAAAACAAGTTTTCAGGGCAATCTTCCCAGGTTGCAGTGGAATGCTCTCCTGTCGCTAAAACGGCAAAGCGTCGGAAGAATGCAAGGATGTATCTGCCCACAAGGCAGTTAACAAAGATCCCACATTGACTTCTGAATTCTCAACATGCCCACATCCATCTTTGTGTCTAGACACCCAGAACCACAATGAGTTTCGTGCAAAGCATTCCCATAGCTTTGCTTCATTGACCGTGGGAGCTCAGATTGCCCCTTAAGGCCTGAGGTTACCAAAACATGTAGGTCAAACGTTTAGCCCAGCAGGGTCAAAAGCATGGAAAGTCGAGTTAATGGCCAAACCAAGGAAAAGAAAGCTGCCATCTAATGATTACGAGATCTTCATTTCTCAAAGAAGAGCTGAAGCTGTGGAATCCTTCCTAACAAAGGCCAATGTTAAGAAATTGAGGCAAGTGACAATATTGCCTACATTTCGTACTAGAAATGGGTTTACCTGCTTGGATAAATGGTTGGAGGGAGGGCATGAATGTGTGCCTATCAGGGCAAAGGAACCAGTTTGGAAAAGGCTGGTACTTTTATCCCAAAGAATTGCAATGCTCCAGTTGTCTTCAGCAGTCACTTCTTATCATTTAAGTCATGCATTTTCCATATTGGTGTGATTGATATTTTTATTTTGCATATTTGGGCCTGGATACAAAGGACCCAGAGCCCAAACAGCCTGCAGAGTTCTTTTCTTTTTTCCTTTTTTCCTTTAGAGTTCAATGGCAAATTGCATATATATATATATTTATAACATTTTTAATAGCATTTTCATAGCATTTTTTCTATAACTGTAGAGTGTAGATTATAGAGTATTCTTCCAAGATGGAAAGACAGAGGAAAGTCTATGACCCTATAGCTGAAGTAAGTAGAATTACTTATTTGTAGTTACACTCTCTGTCTACACTGTAAGTACACATAGTTCAGATCACTAGAAGTGTTGGCACTAATCCTATCCTGCTCATTCATTTATTGATGACAATCATAAACCAACTTTCAATAAGATTAAAAAATTCTTGTTGCCTCCCTATCAAATGACCTAGCCCATTTATCATCCCCAATGCCTGGTGCCAAAGGGCTCTTCGCGTGGTCTTCAGCCCGTGGCTTGTATTATCCCTACATGTGTGCATTATCTTCACCCAGGGATGCAAATGTTCTTTGTAGTCAGCTCTGCAGGTCACGTTTGTTTGCCATCACTGGGAATGCACAACTTTTGTGTGTTTGGGGGGGGGGCCTTCAGGGGAGATTGTGCAATAGGAATCGTGCAGGTGTCGGGTCGCCACTTCACAGCTGGATTGCATGGATTCAGGCCCCTGCCAATTGGGAAATAGAACGTCCTCCTAAAGAGTCACCTAAAGAGTCAATCCTCCACATGAACCACAATATGGCTTCCTTGCTCCTGCTTTCTTGAAGTGAGCAAGAGCCACATTCATTTCCCTTTTTTACTTTCAGCAAAGAATTCCAGGTCTCCTTCACTCCTTATGTCACCACAGAACTGTGTGGGAAGCATTCTGATTAGACCCAGGGAACATACGGCCATCCAGCTGTGGGATGCTTTGCATCCCGCACCTGGAGAAATGAAAAGATATCTGCAGAGTTACCCTAGTTTCTTTACTGTAAAAGAATTAAAATATCTCCTAGATTCAGAGTTATCAGCCCTTGTTCCTGAATCATGAAACCTAATTGTCACGAGCCCCATGGAGGTGTCATGGAGGGGAGGGGAGGATCTTTAGGAGGAATGAGAGGAGCTCAGGGTGCTGGATAACCATGGGGAGGGTCATAGCATGAAGAGGGAAGTGAAATCAAGAAGTGCTTGTGGTTAGCCAGTTGTCTATACAGGCGTCCTCCCACACGGTATGTGTGTGTGTGAAATCGTGTAAAGTAGGGAGCACCCTCTGAAAAGTCTCTAAATGCCTATTTCCCTCTGCTCTCCAGTTCTCTCTCCTGCTCTCTCTTCAATCCAGACCAAAATATCCGGAGTTGAAGCTCTAGGGCCGTCTGGAGACTGGAGGACGTGTGAGAAAGCAGCTGCCGCTGCTGCTGCACTGCCCCACGTGCCAGCTGTTAGGCGGGGCGACTGAGCAGCCTAAACAAAGCCCTGCTGAACCTCTGGTCTCTTTGGGGCTTCCTCTGTCCTATATATACAGGGGGATGCCTGTATAAGTAGCTCTCAACTTACACACTTTTATTTGGTGCACATTCAGCTTTGCACACTTGGCAAAATAAAGGGGGGGAGCGGAAAGAGGGTGAGAGTCGGGGGGGGGGGACTTTGGCAATCTCACCTGCCATCGAACACAATGTGTTTTGATCATGCACGATTTTGCCTTTATGCGCTATCCCCAGAACCTAAGTTGAGTATCATCTGTGCAACTTAGATACCTCCTGCACTGTGCAATCTGTGCTGATCTGATTCACTCATCAAAGACTTTGGCAGAGACAGGAGTTCAGGTTCTTTGTGTGGCAGCAAAGGACAGGACGCTATGCTTCTTAAGAGCGATGAAAACACATGAGATACCCCTTTAGAGAGGAAGCATTAAAGGCATCTCCATGATGCAAATGGAGCCTTTGGTATCAGCTTCTGCCACACGGCGTCTCACGCTGCACTAAAGCCTTATACAGACAACTAATATCAAAGAAGAGTTTCCTTAAAGGTGTTTTATCCCCCCCACATTTCAACCAGTTGTTCCTAAATCCTAAGTTTGTTTTTGAAAGATATGCAAACTGGATCTGCATAGCTTACTTTCTTACACGTTTAATAATTAGAAATATGCTAATGCATTAATTTCAATAAAGCTGGTGTGATCTGTACCTTGGAGTTTTATTGTTTTCGGCAATCGAAAAGCAGAATATGCTGCCGCCAATTATGCAAAGTGCCGATCCGGCCCATCCAATGAACAAAGCCGCTCCTAATTCATACCTGCAGGTAAGCGATACATTCTTGCTTCGTAAATTGTTTAATCAGAAAATAGGTTTCATTCATTTTGTATTTTTGGTGTGACACAGATAAACAAAGCCATGCAACATATTAACATATATTTTCACTGAACAACTTTGTGGGAGCAGTACACAGTGTACTTCAGAACAGAACAAAAAGTCACCAGAACTTCTGCTGTTTTGGATATTTGCCTTTTTCATTCGCCATGTGTTATAGTTCTAGACTCCAAACACCCTTGGCAAGCAACCGCCACAGGCATGGAAGCATGTCCATAGATTCAGATGGATTTTACTTCCAGCAAAAGAGGTAATCCCTGTTAAGGCTGATAATAGATAAATGAATGTCAAAATTTTGACTAGGTTTCCCCCCCTCCCCCAACTTCACTTACCTGGAAGTAAGACTTATAGAACTCAATAGGACTTATTTCTGAGTAGACACGGTTAGCAAAGTACAGAGATTTCAAGATAGGCTTACAGAACTCCTCAACAAGCAATTAAATATATATATATATATATATATATATCCCATCCTTCCTCCCTAATGAGCTCAGGGTAGCAAACAACAAGACTCAAAACAATGGGAGAAAACCCCTCTTTATAACATTTTAAGAAACATTCTGATATGGATGAAAACTGGGGAAGATCTAAAACAACATATTGAGGCCTACAGGTTTTTATATTGCATTTCAATGATGTGAACCGCCCTGCAGGTGTAGGGAGGTATACGAATTTAATAAATATTATTAACAATAAATAATCCCCGCTGTAGCAAATTAAAATAATCACTGCTGCCACCTCATCCCTGTACTTTAGCCTCTGGTAACCATGTTTTGAGCAAGCTGATTTTCACTCCTTTGAGCCAGATGCAAAAAAAATATTTTCTGGAAAATGCACCACATGCTAAATTTATGTGTATTAAGCTGGAAAATGCACCACATGATAAATTTATGTGTATTAAGCTGGCGTAAGGTGCAAGAGTAAGACATGGTAAACCTAAATGTTTACTGTGGGCGTCCTAAAGCAGGTAAGTGAGTTACAGGCCCATGCAACCTCACTACTTTTACAAGTTTTGATCTACTTATTCAACACAGAAATAAGTATGACCCGCTGAAACATGCAGTCATACCTCGGAAGTCGAACGCCTTGTGACTCAAACATTTTGGCTCCTGAACACCACAAACCCGGAAGTGAGTGTTCCGGTTTGCGAACGTTCTTTGGAACCTGAATGTCCAACGCAGGTTCTGCGGGTTCTCATTGGCTGTAGGAGCTTCTTGAAGCCAATCGGAAGCTGCACCTTGGTTTCCGAATGTTTTGGAAGTCAAATGGATTTTCGGAACGGGTTCTGTTCGACTTCCGAGATACCACTGTACTACATTCAAGAATACAATTTAACTATAACAACGAGGATGATGACGATGCATCTCTTTGGTGCTGTTTGTGTACCTCAAACCTTGCATTTTTGTATTTCTAAAAAACCTTCAGTATATTTGGATCAGCAGACTCAGTTCCAGGCCAGGAAATTTGGTTTCAGTGAGGCACTTTGCAACATCCGAAAACTAGGGGGAGAATTTATACAGTGGTACCTCGGGTTACATACGCTTCAGGTTACATATGCTTCAGGTTACAGACTCCGCTAACCCAGAAATATTACCTCGGGTTAAGAACTTTGCTTCAGGATGAGAATAGAAATCGTGCAGCAGCAGCGCAGCAGCAGCAGGAGGCCCCATTAGCTAAAGTGGTGCTTCAGGTTAAGAACAGTTTCAGGTTAAGTACGGACCTCCGGAACGAATTAAGTACTTAACCCGAGGTACCACTGTATAGGCCTTCCCTGACCTGAAAGATCAGACCCTGTTCCATATGCCTGAATCCCCTGAGTTTGTGCTTTTATATGCCTTTATAATGCAGTTTTGCTCAATTTTTGTTTTAATTATATATTGTGTGTGTTTTTATATTATACATCGCTTACAGATTTTAAAAATCTTAACTGGTTTATAAATGCACTTTTGTTCCATTCTAGTAAGTATTGTACCATTGCCTATTTTAAATATTTTAATAATAATAATAATAATTTATTATTTATACCCCACCCAATTGGCTTGGTTTCCCCAACCTCTCTGGGTGGCTCCCAACAGAATATTAAAAACACGATAAAACATCAAATAATAAAAACTTCCCTAAACAGGACTGCCTTCAGATTTTGTAACCTGCCACAAGATCTTCAGTTGACAGGCAGAAAAAGGACCCCTGGACAGTTAAGTCCAGTCAAATGCGACTACGGGGTTGCGGCACTCATTTTGCTTGCGCTTTGACAGGCAGAGTATGGATGTTCCAAGATAAATAAATTATTTGGATTATTAAAGGACTTCTTATTACATGAGTCACATGCCTATCATTTTTTAAATAAAAAGAATCTGCTGTCAAGACTGATTTGATGGCTTGTAATCATTCATATCTGGGGCATTTATCCAGCAGTTTATCCAGCGAGTGGCACTGTGGGTTAAACCACAGAGCCTAGGGCTTGCCGATCAGAAGGTCAGTGGTTCGAATCCCCGTGACGGAGTGAGCTTCTGTTGCTCAGTCCCTGCTCCTGCCAACCTAGCAGTTCAAAAGCACGAAGTGCAAGTAGATAAATAGGTACCGCTCTGGTGGGAAGGTAAACGGTGTTTCCGTGCACTGCTCTGGTTCACCAGAAGCGGCTTAGTCATGCTGGCCACATGACTTGGAAGCTGTACGCTGGCTCCCTCGGCCAATAAAGCGAGATGAGCACCGCAACCCCAGAGTTGTCCGTGACTGGACCTAATGGTCAGGGGTCCCTTTACCTTTACCTAATCATTCATATCTGGGGCATTTATCCAGCAATCTTTTATGTTGTAGCATGTAAAATGTGCACACACACCTTTAAAACTTCCTTGTGCAGCAGAAGAGACAGCAGCCTTTCTCTCACCTGTTTTTCATTTTCTGGACATGTCATCCACCATCTTCTGCAGCAAAGAGGTTTTGCTGGCAGGTGGCAGAGGGAAGCAAATGACAGGCTCGGGAAAGACGCAAGATGCAAAAAGAAGGGGCTGCCTCTTTTCTCAAATTTGAGAAAACTGGCGAATCGGAAAAGCCACGTGCAGACAAATCTATCTGCACTCTATCTACACTCCTGAACCCACTTACCAGGGAGTAAGCCTCACTTAACTCAGGGGGGCTTACGTCCGATTACACCTGTACTGGACCACCTGTATAGTCATGCTACTTTTGATGGGACATTTCTGCCTGCATTTTGCATATGTAAATTAAAGCATATCGTAGGAATGAAGGAACCAATTGCAACCCACCTACATATCTTCGAAAAGTCCCAATGCACACCCCTCCCTCTGACTTACTTTTGGGCAATATATGTGGGATCGAAGAATTCTGACGTAATTCGATTTGCATACAGGGAGCAACCAGCCATAGCACACAGCCCTAAAAAAAGCAGCAGATGGGGAACCAGATGTTTAGTTAGTACCAGATGTTTAGTAACTGGATGACGATGATGAAATTAAGAACAGCTTTACATCCACTTGGTGTAAAACACAGAGCATTTATAATTTCATATTTACCGCACAGTATGAAAATAAAGCCAGCTAAACAGGCAATTTTAGCTTTCGTCTGGTCCGAGCCTCCAATTTTCGTACATTTCATCCCAACCAGTGCAAAGACGGAGCCAAAGAACCCAAGACAGACAGCGGCAATCATGAGTCCTCGACAGGCCTGGATGTAACCTGAAAAATACAATGGTAAAATTTGGTATTAGGCAGCAGTTTCAACTTCCATAATTCCAGTGCAAGTGAAACACTCCTGATCGTCCTAACCCCAGAGATTTGGAGTGTGCCATGAGTTCATATGCTCCATCCCTCCGTATGGTTAATTACTGAGCCATTTGCAGTTCGACAGATCACTCTCCTTCCCAGGCTGAGAGGGAAAATGGTGGAAACAGGTTATTAATTGTGACAGTGTGGTTTTCGCAGCTGCTGGTAAAGTTGCAAAATAAAGAAGCATGAGACGGAGCAATGGAGAATTTCTGAAACAAGAGGAAGAAGAGTTTGGATCTGATATCCGGCTTTATCACTACCCTCAGGAGTCTTAAAGCGGCTAACAATCTCCTTTCCCTTCCTTCCCACAACAAACACTCTGTGAGGTGAGTGAGGCTGACTTCAGAGAAGTGTGACTGGCCCAAGGTCACCCAGCAGCTGCATGTGGAGGAGCGGGGAATGGAACCCGGTTCAACAGATTACGAGACTACCGCTCTGAACCACTACACCACACTGGTGTAGTGAAACAACAATGAGATATCAGCTCTGCCCAAGGCATGAAGGAGAACAGGAACAACCGGGAAAAGATAAGACACAACATTTTACAAGGACAGGAAGAAACACCACGAACAGAATAATTGCCACAAACAGGAAGAATAAGGATATAGTTTGACTGCCTCACCTGTAGTTTTATAAATCATTTAATTTGTCAGTACGAATGGAAGTTGTTAATACTGCAGCTGTTGTGTAAGAGATTGTTATCTTGACTGGAGTGTAATTGAAACTAAGATTTTGGAACGCAGAAATAAAATCATCAAACCATCAATTCTAGCACGCAGGGGGCCACCGACGGTAAATTATATAATTTGGTATCTTAATGATTGGTATTAGTAATTGTATTATAATTTGGCATTGTTATAATGTGGCTATTATTGGACTGTAATTGAAAACTAATAAAAATTATTATCATATATGTTCCATCCCTTCTAATTCCTCACATGCAAATCCCTTCCCTTTCCCTTGTCAGCCTTAACCATGGTTTTCTTTTACAGCTGCACTATATTAACTATGGTCAGCACCACAATAAGGTTGCCATATGTCTTCTTTTTCCAGGACATGTCCTCTTTTTCAGGATTAAAATTTCTGTCTGCGCAGATTTTTAAAATTTGGCAAAATGTCTGGGTTTTTTGGTTTTTTGTTTACACTAATCCAAGACGTTTTTTAAATAAAAACAATTTTAAAAGCCCCACGTGTCGTGCTCCCACCCCTCACTACTAGCAATATATCACAGTTTCTATAGCCTACGTATAGTAGGAGTATTTAAAGGTAGAAGTGAGCCAATGTGTCCTCTTTTTTGCTCTTCCAAATGTGGCAGCCCTAGAAGCAAACCGCACAGGAGGACATGGCACAGACAGGGCAGGAGGGAATAAGCATTTGACCCCTCAACGTGTTCCCAGTCTCCTAACTATTGTCAGGAGAGCAGGGACATTGTGTCTGTGACAGGTCATTGTCCAGCTTACTACCCAAAATTATAATTGTACTTGCGTTAATCGGGCTCCTTACGATGCACGCTGCTTTGAGATCAATGTGAATAAGTGGTCTGCAGATCTTTCTAAAGAAGTAATCCATTGGCCATGGACTGGTTGGACACAGAGGAATGGCGAGAGGAACCAGTGTGGAAACCATCGAGGGGAAAAGGCTCAGAGCCCAGACAGTGGAGGTGGGACAACGAGGAGTGGTCAGAAGGAAAAGAGGAAGAAGACTGGGTAGAGGAGATGTTGAAAGGTAACAGGGCTTAGAGGGCTGGGAGAGTCTGTGGCAAAGAACAGTCAAGAATCAGAGGCAGGAGAGTGGAGTGAGGGAGCCTAAGAGGCAGAAATGAGTCAGGCTGGTGAAAAGTCACAAGAATCTCTGGATAGCTCAGTTGCTTAGAGCAAGGTGCTGATAATGCCAGGGTTGCAGGTACGATCCCTGTATGGGACAGCTGCGTATTCCTGTTGCATTGCAGGGAGTTGGCTGGACTAGACAATCCTCAGGGTCCCTTCCAAGGCTACAATTCTGTGATTCTATGATTCCCTACTATTGCAACAAGCTCCCCTCCTGCCTGGTCTCCCAAAACCAGAAGAAGAATGAAAAGGGAGGAGAGGAGAGGTTGGCTACACACAGGTACAGTCTCTGATTGCTTGGGAAAAGCCCTGAGGAGGCATGGACTTTCAGTCCCGGCAACTGATTTGCTCCAGTCTCAAGCAGTATGATCGTCAGGGACTGGGGAGAGGAGGAATGGTGGAGACCGCCTCCCCAGCTTGACCCTTCCAGGGAGGAAGAAGAGGAAGAGAGTTTAGATTTACAACACGGGTTTGAGGGAGGTCACAGCTCAGAGGCAGATGAGGGGGAAAGTTGGGAAATAATGGGAGAGGAGGAGGAGGAAGAGGAAGAGGAAGCACGAGGAGGGCGACAGCTGATGGACACAGTGTCTTTAGAAAGCATTCCAGACCCTGCCCCTCTCCCAGAACCCGGCGAGCCTTGAAAGTAGGGGAGCAAAGAGCTCAAAGACAGAAGGCACTTATCAGCACCCATAGGAGAGACAATGAGATTGGCGAATGATTAAGTGGGAGAGATGGGGGGGTGCAGATTCACTTGGGGAAAACGCCATTATCCAAGAGGCTGGGTACTATAGTCTCTCTCTGTAAATATTGAATAAAAAGCAGACAGTAAGAGACATTTCCTTGTCTTTGTACGTTCCTGGGCAACCGTCCGGAAGTCGCTGGCAGCAGCCTGACGATGTGCTGCTGCTCACACCTCAAGCCAGAAGTAGTAGGTCTGTGGCAACTACTAGTTTCAACAATTCCCACATTTGCTTAGCAGCATGTTGCATGGCTGGATGCCTGCATAAAACCATTTCCCCTCGACTGTTGCCATAAAATTTAAAGCAGTGCAAGAACATAATTTTGCGTAGATACTCTTAAACAGCCAAGAGTCTCTTGAGGCACTTTCTTCCTTTTTCCCTCTGTTTGCTAGCTCTGCCTGTCTTCAGCAGACGTCATAATTGCCGACATCCGCAGAAATGACGCGGAGAAACCTTGTTATAACAAAGGGATCATCCACTGTTAGGGCGTCCAATCAGCAATTTTCCTTGTATTTTTCAACAAGGAACTTTAACCCTGCACATCATGATGGTAGGGAGAATTGGGGTGGAGGGAATTGCTTCTATAGTACAAGGTCCAGGGGAAACTTTTGCTAAATTTAAAAGCTACTGTGACATTGCCTATGACAAGGGCTTTCAAAATATGCCTTCTTAGTGTGGCATGGGTGGGTAGTCATAAAGATTTTTATTAGAAGGAAAAGGAAGACTTTCTTAACTGGTCATAAGATAATCTCTGTAGAGGAGAGAAAGATGATTTGGTTTTGGAGCAGGAAGCACATGAAACGAGAATGAATTATGATTTCCTTTAAATGTTGGGATTTTTGGCCAGACACCCAAAACGTTTGCTAGGGAACCTTTCCCCAAAGTTTCTAGAACAGGAAAAGCTTCGCCTGTTTAATATTTGTACCCTGGATTCAGCCAAAGGCACAGGAGCAGGCTCAATTTAACACAAAAAAATGTAGAGAGAATTAAAGGAGATGGACCACAGATTCCCAATTATATTACCCTTGTGGAAAATGGACATTTGAGCAAATCCTCCATCGCGCTTTAAACATAACGCTATGTGTAATCAATCCGAGCTTGAAATTGCCTTTAAGCAGACCTCTGACCTTCCATAGGCATGATTTCAAATTCCAATGAAAGGCACGCAGCGCAGCTTGGCAGCAGCATACCCTGTGACAAATCTCTCTCCCTGTTTTTGCTGCCTATATGAAACTGCAAAAAAAGAAAGAAGGGCATTAAACCTGGAGGACCACCAAGTGCTCCTCCTGAGCTGAATTCAGATTCAGCGTGGTGAAGGCTTCACATGGGTGTGTAGACTTGGTTTAATGTTACTAAAAGTGGGTTTTTATTCCAAAGCTCTTCCCTTTGTGCCCTTGCCCAGTTCTCTTCTTCTGTAGATACTTTGTGGGTTACATTCTTCGGCTACACCTGTAGATTCAAACTAGCCAAGGAAGCCATTATTTCCCGACAGGTCCAATTTATTGGCACCGTTAGTAGCTAATTAACACATTAAGGGTGATGAAGCATGAAGGTATTTACCCAGAGGTCCTCTCCCATCTAATTTATGGCTAAATCTCCTAGGCAAAGCAGTAAACATTCACCTCAACCCAAATAATTAGCGTCTGCTAAAAACAACATGGCTGCCATTTGCTGGTCAAAGGCCAGCGCATGTTTTGTTAGGGAGACGGGTAGCAGGGGGTAGAGAAAGCAAATGTGTGATCAGCTCATTGAACCAACACAAATTCACGGAGTGGCAGGATAATAATGAGTGAAATGGTCATCCAGTCCCAACTCCCCAAGGCAGGATCAGGCAAATGCAATTGTTCCTAAAGGGATTAGTTTCCGGGCATGTCAAAAGGCAAGTGGAAAGTAGGAAGCATATAAGAACATTGTGGCAGAGGTACGCTCCAAGGCAGTTTCAATATATTTACAGTAGGTAATTAAATGAGAAAGTGAAACGAATGTGGATATGCAGAAGATATTAAAACATAAATAAATTTAAGGAACCGCAGAAAGAGAGGGAAGGATGTCAAATTGATTGCAAAACTAATGAAATGTATAAACTTGAAAATTATAAATAAAAACTAAAAAAACATAAGATTTAGATAAATCACAGAAACTTCCTTAAGATGCCTGCTGAAATAGAAATGTCTTTGTAAAGCATCTGAAGTTCAGTTGGGGCAGGGGTGCTGTCCCATCCCAGACAGTGAGGTGGAGTCCACAGAGCTGGGCATAGGAGCAATAATAATAAAAATAATTTATTATTTGTACCCTGCCCATCTGGCTGGGTTTCCCCAGCCACTCTGGGCGGCTTCCAACAAAGATTAAAAATACATTAAAATGTCACACATTAAAAACTTCCCTGAACAGCGCTGCCTTCAGATGTCTTCTAAATGCCAGGTAGTTGTTTATCTTTTTGACATCTGATGGGAGGGCATTCCACAGGGCAGGTGCCACTACCGAGAAGGCCCTCTGCCTGGTTCCATGTAACTTCACTTCTCGCAGTGAGGGAACTGCCAGAAGACCCTCGGAGCTGGACCTCAGTGTCCGGGCAGAATGATGGGGGTGGAGACGCTCCTTCAGGTATCCTGGGCCACGGCAATGGGGAACTCACTGAAGATCCCAGTGATTAGGCAGGGCTATAAAGGATCAGGCAAGACTCAAAGCATCCTGGACCCAAGCAGTTAAGGGACTGGCAAATTAAGAGATGATTCCTGAACTTAGCCTGGAAACATATCGACAGCTGGTGAGATACCATCCAGCGGGTATACTGAGAGCTTTTAAGCATCTGTGCTATGTGCTAGGGGGGGTCTCACCCCACCAAATGTCTAGCCACTGCAATGGTTTATGCTTCCTTGCTCAAGAGCCCTGCAGGGAGTGGAAAAGTCGTGAGCACCTAAATATTGCTTTCATTGAGGAAGGAAGCATAAGCCACACACATAACATTATCAATTGGTTCTTCGTTGGCATCTGTCTATCTCGGGAGACAACGGAAGACTGTGCCTTCAGAGGTGAAGTCAAACTACTGGAGAGTTATCAACGGGCTCCTAGCATTTGAAGAAAAGTGACACAACATTCACTTCATGTGGGCATGATGCTAAGCCATAGTTTGTCTGCTTCCCAACCTCCCCTAAACCCCCTGGCTTGGCTGAGGGCAATAGACTGGAAGTTTCTGGTTCCTTTTAAAACTAATTGTAGTTTGTCATTTTGTCTGAAGCAGGAACTACAGTAAGCTTTAGCAATGGTTTATCCAAACAAGCCCGGATCATAAACCATGGTTTTTAAGTTCACTCATTCAAACAAGCAAACCACAATTGAGGCTATCCACAGCTTGTCCCTTGTTCAGATATAACGACAAAGCAGAATAAACTGATCAGCTCCTTGTCACAGCAGTGGGGAGGCTAGATAGAAAGCATACCAGGACTCTTGCACCATCAATACTTGTGTAAAAGAGGGAATTTCAGCAAATGTAGCAGGTGAGAAGAGAGAATACAGGTCCAAGGGAAATTCGTGTAACCCTAAACCATAGTTAAGTGTTACATCAGAACCAACCATTGCACATTACTTAATATTAGGGTTGCCATATTTCAAAGAGTAAAATTCCTGACACCCACAGGAAAGTTGTTGAGCTTTTTTGGGCGATTTTAAGCTTTTGCCATACATCTGGGTTGACATTTTGTCAATTTGGCAAAATTACCCCCGATGCCATTTTTTACACCCGAAAACCAGGACATGTCAAGAGTTTTCCTGACGTATGGCAAGCCTACTTAATATCCTCACTCTGTCACTTTTCCTAACATTCTGAAGCAATCTTGATTCCAAATGCTGAATACAGAATCGGGAAATAAACAGGCTATTTCTATGCTTTCCCACCACAAATGGACAAAAAGCGGTGTGCAATAATGGCAACTAAAAAAAAAGCACCACAATATAAAATAAGCAGCAAGAAAGAGCCGAAAGCCGGAGTATTGTCAGAAAACCACCCACAGTTGTACAACACAGCAACATACATATTTGCAAAAGGAAAAAATGCAGAAGAAGCTAGGACTAGGAGCCAAGAATCAACTTTGACGAGCCACTTGAAAATTTGTGAAATAGTTATTTTTAAAACGCTATTCACTCATTTGCTATTTGAGTACCACATGGTTGCAATTGCTTATCACATGCAGTAGATAGTCACTCTCTGAAAATAAAAAGTTGCAGAACTTTTTAGAGATGTTTTCTTCCTATGCCCCTAAGTGAAAGGATAACAAATGGACATATGCTTTCTAGAAAGATGTCTAAAGCAGAACTGAGTTCATGGCTGCCGGCTGCCAACCTTGAGACCTTTTTTGTTTAAGAGCCAAAGGGCAAAAAAGCATTCCTTAACAGCAACCCAAAATAATAGCCAATTCTGAGCTATGACAGCCACCAGAACCAAAATACCACTGCAGTTCAAAAGGGCAAACAGATTAGAAAGGGAGCTGGGTAGCTTTTGTTGTCACCTTGCTCTTTCTATAAAGCGGGTCAACATGGTCTGAGGACCCCAGTATATCCACATTCAATACTGATTTTTAATTGCATATTTGTTGCGATGCCATCAAACACAATATACAGGAAGGAAAAGAAGTAATAAAAGCACAATTGAAAATCATACAGTTTCTAGCACATCACATCACAATTGCTACAACAGGGGGGGAAATTACTAAGTCATCTCCAAAGACCATCAGGAATTTCAAAATGGTCCATGGGAAAAGAAATTTAAGGAACAGCTGCTCTGAGGATGATCATTGATTGTCACATTGGACAAAACAACTCTTCTTGTATTTCCAACATACAAGCATCAATACCATTACTGATTTTGAGAAAGGAGACAAAGCCGTTGCATCTCAACAAAATACTCAGAGGCACGTGTTTTTACAAAACACAGGAGCAAAACGGTGATTTCATTGCATCAGCCCACAACAGTTAAGGAGAGAAACTTATTTTCTTTCTTTTTTTAAGTGCATTATTCAAACCAACTCGGTAGGTTAAAGACCAATATGGATTCACTACTCTCTTAATTGACAGGGAATTAATGAACACATCTGAGATGGAGGCGGCTGCAAGACTAGCTTCTCAGCCCCACACCTGGTGCCCTTTTTGATGTCAGATGTAAAGAAGGAGGAATTGTGGCTGTCAAGGATCAACCAAAGGCCTTGAAGTGATCTTTTTCAAGGTAGGCTTGCTGTCAGTGCCGATCAGCTGATAGGCAGAAACAGGAAGCCTGCAATGATCAATGGCACTGTAGTTTCTCTTAGGGAACTTCATAGCACAGTTAATTCCAATGGGCTTCCTGCAACTACCAGATAGCTGACCTCTGTGCTTCACTCTCTCGCAGTTACCATTATGGGTTTTTTATCCTGTTTTTATTGATCAGGACAGCCTGTTGACTTTTCACAGATGTCGAAAAGATCAGCAAACACATGCTTTTTAAACGACACAGCCGACGCATGCATTGCATTCATCAATCTTTGCAAAAGCAGATGTAACCAATATCTGCACTGCTAAAGACTTTTTATTATTCTGCACCTAGATATCATTCTGGAAAATAAATGGAAATGTACAAAACAACAGCACACCGCTGATCGGCATTTACAAGAAGCCCACTGGGATCATCCATGCTATGATGTTCCTGATGGGGAACTTTGTAATGCAGTTAATGCCTGCCCAAAACCCAGCTGTTCATTACCGGGAAATGATATATAATGAAACAAAAAGGATGTTTAATATAACGTTTGTAAAAAACAACAACCCAGAAGCTTTTCTTTTGGGAATTACAGGGACAGAACTACCTAAAATGTATAGAAACTTATTCATGTATGCGACCAGTGTGTTTTTTCATGTATGCGACCAGTGTGTTTTTTCTAAAAAAAATGTTTAGGGGTACTCTCATTTCCTACTTATATTGAAATACTGCCCCTCAATGAGGCCAAACTTAGATTTACAAAATGTTTATGGGTATGCATACCCCAGCATACCCTCAGAAAAAAGCACTGTATGCGACTACAGTGGCAAGAATGATACCTGCCCCAAAATGGAAAGAAGCAGAAGTCCCAGCAAAGGAAGAATGGATACAAAAACTAATGGAATATGCAGAAATGACGAAACTTACCGGAAGAATAAGAAATCAAGATAACAAACTTTTTTTTATAAAAGAATGGAAATGGTTTACTGAATATTTACAGATAAATTGTAAACAGATGGGCAGGATTATTGTAATAACCTTCAGTTTCATAAGAGTATATATTTAAAGAAGATGAATAAATGAGCAAATTAAATTAATTTGGATATGTGGAATATATTACAAAAAAATTTAAGGAACCACAGAAAGCAGGGGAAGGAAGTCAAGTTTAGAAATGTCAAAAAGATTGTAAAATTCGTGAAATGTGTAAAATTCGTGAAATGTATAAACTTGAAAAGTTTTAATAATTTTTTTAAAAAATAGAAAGAAAGAAAAAAGAAAAACTCAGCTCTTCGGCACTTGGAGCAACCACTGCAAACCACACTTATGGCAGATGTTGCTGTTTGTATATCTCTTTGGACCACTAGCTTGAGTTGAAGATGGCAGTGCAAAGGACCTTCGTCTCTAGGCATGCTTGAGCCATACAAACAAAGGATTGGGGGGGGGGTTGTCATCTAGAGCAAAATACAGATTAGAAGGCTCAGTTTGGTCAGTATCGATTACAGTATACACTTCCAGAGTTAACGCTAAATAGAGAGCCAATGTGGCGTAGTGCTTAAGAGCGGTAGACTCGTAATATGGGGAACCGGGTTTGTGTCTCCGCTCCTCCACATGCAGCTGCTGGGTGACCTTGGGCTAGTCACACTTCTCTGAAGTCTCTCAGCCCCACTCACCTCACAGAGTGTTTGTTGTGGGGGAGGAAGGGAAAGGAGAATGTTAGCCACTTTGAGACTCCTTCGGGTAGTGATAAAGTGGGATATCAAATCCAAACTCTTCTTCTCTTCTAAATACATTACGTCTGTTAATGAGCCACCATAGCTGCTAGAGGGCTGTGAAAATTTGTGTCTTGGGCTTTTTAGACTCGTCTACCCATGTACTGGGGACGCAGATGGCACTGTGGGTTAAACCACAGAGCCTAGGGCTTGCCGATCAGAAGGTTGGAGGTTCGAATCCCCGTGATGGGGTGAGCTCCTGTTGCTCGGTCTCTGCTCCTGCCAACCTAGCAGTTCGAAAGCATGTCAAAGTGCAAGTAGATAAATAGGTACTGCTCTGGCAGGAAGGTAAACGTTGTTTCCGTGTGCTGCTCTGGTTCGCCAGAAGTGGCTTAGTCATGCTGGCCACATGACCTGGAAGCTGTATGCCGGCTCCCTCAGCCAATAAAGCGAGATGAGCGCCGCAACTCCAGAGTCGGCCACGACTGGACCTAATGGTCAGGGATCCCTTTACCTTTACCCATGTACTATCTGAAACCCAAGGGGCACACTGGATGCCAAATGTGAAATGTATTGGCATTATTTTCAGCTCTCCTACTGCACTACTGGGGGCAATGAGAGACTTGCCCTGATTCCAAACTCCATTCAACTCAGTCCTGTGACTTAGCAATCCAGTGGAAGTTACACTGGCAAAAGGGGTGGCATAAGAAAAACTCTTTTTTATTGTTTTATTTTCTTTGTTAGGTTTGGGCTGGCTCAGCCGGCAGCAGCCCTGTCCCTGGAGTTTGGAATGGAAATAGGTAAGTTACACCGGCATAATCTACCCTGGCGCAACTTACACCAGCTTCTTACAACTTGAATTGTTCTGCACAGGAGCAGAAGTCGGGGGGGGGGGAATTGCAACCCTCTCCTCTGCTACACCTGCGCTCACGAACATTTATTCACCAAAACTCAAATGATAAACCCCACGTTTCCATGCAAGACTGGAGGGGGGAAAAACAACAACCTGCACCTGTCAAAATTTTTCTTTGCAAAACTCTTCAAAGAAGAGGATCTCTCATTCTCTTCACATCTGATCAGCCTAAACCCTAAGATGAAAGAAACTGAGCTTCTTTCAGGCGCTCCTTCCTCACCCTTAGGGCTCAAGTTTAAGGAAAGCTTCTGTTTCACAGGTACGGCTTCCCTCTGAGTGCATCCATTTACCCGGAGGACAAGGTGAAGACATCAATATTTTGCCTTTCAAGCTGAGAAAAGGAGTTGACAGAAGGGACCTCTGGGTCAATCGGTATAAAAACCTGCAATGTGGCACGACTCCTTAGCCTTAATGCATGTCCCGTGCAATAACAGAAGCTTTAAAATATGCCGACACCAGGAAGATTGAGGTCTTTGTTTGCCTCAGAAGCAATATAACTTTATGTGTTGTGACTAGAACAGCTATATGGAAAAAGAAGGACAACAATGATGCACAAGGTGTTTCTGACTATGAGAGCTGTACAAGTGACACTGGAATAAGATTATTATATGGATGACCACATTGTTTGCAAGCAGCAGGTCCCAGCAGGACATCTGTAATTTGGAGGGCAGGAGGAGAGAGAGTCAAGGGTCAGGGAGGAGGTGATAGAAAATGACATGCCCTAATAACATAATGACAAGCATCTATATGAGATCCCAAATCAGGAGAGAGAAGAAACGGGAAGGTCCCCAAAAGCACATTGGAGAAGATATTGCTCATCACATTTGCTCATTCATGCAATAAATAACAGGATGTGATAACATATTTACTCCCCTTGGCCTTGGCAAAGATAGCATGATATGGACCCCACCTCTCCTCTAACACTCTAACCACTAAATTATTTTGGCTCTATTCAAGCAGCAGACTTTTTAAAGAAGAAAATGTTAGCAGCAATTGAGGCCTTAAATCAAAGATGGATATGTATACACCAGTGGATCAAAAATGGATGAAGCATGGGGAACACTCTTAAAACAAACAAAACACAGAGGCCTGCCTTGTGTTTTTACATGAGTAGAATGTGTGCTTTTATTTAAAATGCATCTCTGGGTTATTTGTGGGGCATAGGAATTTGTTCACTCCCCCCCAAAAAAATAAAGTCTGGCCCACCACATGGTCTGAGAGATGGTGGACCAGCCCACGGCTGAATAAAGGTTGCTGACCCCTGCTCTAAAGGCTCTGTTTAGGTATCATGGTCAATTGCCATTGATATATCTGCCTTCCCCAAATACTTGTGATAGCTGTTTAAAGTCATCTCATGCAATGATCATCACCATGTCTCACGACAGTGAATTCCATTTCGAAATGGTACTGTGTCAGGAGAACAAGATCACTGAGCAGGCAAATCAGCTCTCAGATTATGAGGGAAAGGACTGCCTTTAATGTCTGCATGCAGAAAGTCCCATGTTTACTCTCCAGGTAGGGTTTGGAGAGAACCCTATCAGAAAGGCTAGAGAGCTACTTGCCAGTCACCATAGACACTATTGAGTTAGATAGACCAGTGGCCTGACTCAGCAAAATGCAGTTTCCTATGTTATTAATGCTATTTATATGGAAGGATCAGAGCTCAGTGGTAGAACACCAGCTTTGTCTGCTGAAAAAATCACAAGTTCAGTCTCCGGCATGTCCAATCAAAGAATCTTAGGTTGCAAGGCTGGAAGATGCTCCCAGCCAGAATGTGCAATACTGGGCTGTCATCCAGGGCTTTATAGATCCTGCCTTATCCTTGCATGTTCTTCATATGCAAGGCTAAGTCATCACACTGGTGCACCCTACTAATACTAGCCCTGATTACAGAAACCAGCTAGGAATCCAGGAAGATTTCATGCTTACGTTAGCATAGGAACTGTAGGGAAAAGATGGCTTCATTTGCAGATATTCTGGGCCAACCAACAGGAATTCAACCAGAACTGAGCCTAAAGAGTTTGGTATTTCAACTTTAGGATGGAAGTGTAAGTATGCATGTGCCATGATTTTATAGGCATTTATTTTTTAAAAAAATAGAATAAAACATTAGACATCTCTGGAGTCTTTTGCTAAAGGTAAGGTGGGGGAAAAACCAAGGGGGACAATCAGATTGAGGTTGAAACCTGACAAGGCAGAAGTACTATTTTGGGGAGATGGGGCAGGTGGGTGTGGAGGAGTCCCTGGACTTGCATGGGGTAACTGTGCCCTTGAAAGACCAGGTGCGCAGCCTGGGAATCATTTTGACAGCTGTCAATGGAGGCACAGGTCAATTCTGTATCCAGGGCAGCTGTTTATCAGCTCCATCTGGTATGCAGGCTGAGACCCTACCTGCCCATGGACTGTCTCGCCAGAGTGGTGCATGCTCTAGTTATCTCTCGCTTGGACTACTACAATGCGCACTATGTGGGGCTACCTTTGAAGGTGACACAGAAACTGGAACTAATTCAGAATGTGGCAGCTAGACTGGTGCCTGGGAGTGGCCACTGGGACCAAAAAACACTGGTCCTGAAAGACCTACATTGGCTCCCAATACATTTCTGAACACAATTCAAAATGTTGGAGCTGACCTTTAAAGCCCTTAACAGCCTCAGCCCAATATACCTGAAGGTTCAACCTGAGGTCCAGCGCCGAGGGCCTTCTGGTGGTTCCCTCCCTGCGAGAAGTGAGGTTACAAGAAACCAGGCAGAGGGCCTTCTCAGTAGTGGCGCCCGCCCTGTAGAATGCCCTCACATCAGATGTCAAGGAAATAAACAACTACCTGACTTTCAGAAGACATCTGAAGGCAGCCCTGTTTAGGGAAGTTTTTAATGTTTGATGCTTTATCGTGTTTTTAATATTCTGTTGGGAGCTGCTCAGAGTGGTTGGGGAGACCTATTATTATTCTTATTATTCTTATTATCAAAACCAAAATCAAGCACTTTCAAGTCCCATTGATTTCAACTGCAGAGTTGAAGCCCTTGCTTCAATTTCTCTCACGGATGTCAAATGAGCAACAGAGCTGCCTTTGGGTGGACTGTGCCTTAAAACCAATAGCATCCATTATTTTTCCTTGTCTCTTTCAGCCAACCACTGCCACCCCTGACCCCCCTCAAGATAAACAAAACAGGTACCTGAATATAAAATAATAATAATAATAATAATAATAATAATAATAATAATAATTTTAATACCTAGGGATTTCTAGGAGAGCTTTCTGATTCCAACAACACTTGTGCTTCACTATTTAGGTAACCTTTCACTATTTCCCCGTGAAGCCACTACAAAAGCTTAGCAACCATTCAATATAATAATAGCCATCCTAGCACTGAGACAATTAACATACCAGCCAGTTTGCTACTCTTGAAGCGTTTATAATGGAAAGAGGAAAAACAACACAGCCAAAAAAAACCCCTTACATCAGGACACAGCAGCATGTTTTTCTTTTGGTATTGCAACCAAGTGTTTAAACAGCTAAATTTTTTACCTTTCAACTAATACCAGCACTCTGTGTGTGTGTGTGTGTGTGTGTGTGTGTGTGTGTTTGGGAGAGGGCACTGTTAAGTATTCTATACGATTTATGTTGTATTTGTGATGCTCCATCAGGTTATTTTTATCTTTTGTTTGTAAGCCACTTTGGGATTTATTTTAATAAAAAGCGGCATAGAAATAGAATCAATCAATTAATCAATCAATCAATCTCTCAGATAGGACACTCTCCATGGACTCCATGGATTATAGACCCACCCTACCCAGAGTTTTTTTTTGGGGGGGGTTTCCCTCAGACAGGGCATTGGATAGGGCCCTTTTCACTTCTCAGGGGTGGAACTTTACCTGCCCCCCCTTGCAGTGATGGCAACTTCTTAAGCTCCTCCTACTCACAGGCTGAGCAGTTGGGGAAGGACCAACTGATGCCTCCCCTTGGCCAACCTTCTCCATGATGCCACTGCTACCTCTCATCCCTCACCTGTCCAGCGGCTATTTCACCAGCCCGCTTGCTGTTCCTCCTGCTCCTTGGTGAGGGCAGGCAAGCAAGCAGTTTGGGTGGCAAGGAGCAGCGGCAAAACCAAGGAGAACTGACTGGCAGGTCACAGACAAGTATGTGGTGCTATCAGGGATGAGTTAATAGCTACATGGCTTGTCAGATTACACTTCATTCCGTCCACTGCACAACTAGCAAAGCAGCTTAAAAATGGTTTAGAAAGAGGAGCAGGAATATGGAAGTTCCGGGTCGCACGATTCTTTCCCGCTATCAACTCCAGGCACACCTTTAGAGCAGCAGCATAGCCGAGCAGGTGCAACATTGAGAAGACCCAAAACTGAGAAGATCTATTTGGGGGCACCAAATTTTGACCTCACATTATGAAAGATTACTAAAGTCCATCCCTGACAGAGTGTCCAGATAGGTCTGAGAAATGCAGGGCTCAAATCTACCTAGCCCTTGTTCCAGAAGAGTAAGTGCTTGCAGGACACCATTCAAAGCACTTATAGGGGCAAGTGGTGTCTTCCCAAAGTGGTCCAACATAGAGAGCAGATGGAGGATGGGGAGATGAGGTGACCGAATGCTTGCTGGGCATATCTTTGGCACCTGGAGGCAGGTGATGAACAGGGAGCTATTACATGCCCTGGTATAAATAAGTCACTCTTCGACAAATCGGGGTGGGTTTTTTTTTTGGGGGGGGGAAGTTGCAGAGGAAGAGAAAGGCACCTGTGAAGGAGGTCTGTTTCAGCTGTTGATATCCAACCCCTTGCTGATTCCTCCCAGCCTACCTGCATATTCAGTAAAGAGGAAGAGGTAAGCACAAAGCTACCTGGCAAGGATCATATCCGGGACTGTCTTAGAGGTACTGGCACATATTAGCTTCTGAGGAACTAGTTTATATGCTTGTCTAGTGCACAAGCTGAGAAAGCAATATTTCCAAAAAGCACTACATTCCAGATGTTGCTCGGGAAAGTGGGGATTTCTATTTGTTCTTCCCTTCATCAGGATAAGAACCAGGGGATCCTTGAAATCTGTTATGAGTGAGTTCCCAAGGTGTCTGCCTTCTGAGCCAAGGGAAGACTTAAAGGGAAGAAGCTTGAATATTGTCAAAAGCTCTCCAAGACCAAAAAGCAGTGAAAACATTTGGTGGCCGCAAACAGTTTGGTCTTCCTATAGAGCATTCAGCAAACCTTTCAGCATTTAAAATAAAACACACAGCAATTATCCTGGGTAGCAAGTAAAGTTCAAAAACAAAGTAAAAAAAGAGATGGGGGAAATGGTTCACAACTGTTGAGATGTTTCCATCTGTACTTGGGGGAAATATTTTCACACCTGTACATCAAACCCCCTTTTCTTATTATCATCAGCTGAAATACAGACTTTATATAATTTTAAGATGGAGACAAAAACACACAAAAATAAGAAATAGTGGGAGGGAAATGGTATAGTTTCAGAATTCATTTAAAAAAAATTATGTGAAAATATTTATATTCCCATTCCCACGGATCTTAGAAAATGGATCAGAAGGCAAGCTGGTCTCCAGCCTCCTCGTACATTTCTTTGCAGCTGGACCTTTCCCGAGGCGTGTTTCCTCGGAAGTAAGTCTCGCTGGATCCAACGGGGCTTACTCCCAAGTAAGGGGCGCAGAGAAAGTCCAGGGGCGCGCAAAGAGCCTCCACCGTGGCCATCCGGAAGCGCGAGGAGCTGTTCCTACAAAAAAAGAACCCTCTCCTCCTCCTCCCTCTCGCCCTCCCCACCATCCCGGATCTCCGAGGAGACCCATCTGCTTCCAAGGAAGGCGGCGGATAGAGAAGAAGAAGAGGGACTTGCGCACCGTCCAGCGCCAGCATGGAAGGGAAATCCTTGCAGTTGGAGACGCCGGTGGAGTCGGTCACGCACGTCTTCCACAGGTTGGCCCAGAAGGTGGCCGTGGTGATGACAGTGCCGTCGATGGTGGACACTTTCCAGTAGTCCGTGGGCAGCGTGGACGACACCAGCACCCAGCCCGAGATGACCAGCAGGAAAGCGAGGATCTCGGCCGACGAGTTGGCCATGGCGGGGAAGGAGGAGAAGATGGGGCGCTGCGCTCTCGGAGCGGGAGGCGAGAGCGCACGGCCCTTCCTCGCAGCCTCGAGGGAGCGCACTGAGCGACTGAGCGCCCCGGCCGAGCTCCCCCGCCGGGCGGCAGCATCCTCCCGGCGGCGAGGGAGGAGCCGGCCCCTCCACGCCCCACCCCGGGCGGCGAGCCCTCGGGCCGGCCTGGCCAGGGCGACGGGGCCTCGGGAGGAAGGCTGAGGCGGGAGGGGGGCGACGCCTCGCCTTAGTGCCGCCGCCCCAGGACCCTCCTCCTGCTGCCCTCGCTGGGAAGAGGTCTGTAATTCCAGGTAGGGTTGGCCGTTTGTCTATTAGGGTGATGGTTATTACACACCCTCCAACTTTTCTCTGATGAAAATAGGGACGTCTTGTTCCATAATAATTTTACTCTTTATACTTCGCCCATCTGACTGGGTTGCTCCAGCCCCGTCTAGGGTCCGATAACTCCAGACCAACCTTTCTCTGATGAAAATAGGAACGTCTTGTTCCATAATCATAATTTTACTCTTTATACCTCGCCTATTTGACTGGGTTACTCCAGCCCCGTCTAGGGTCTGATAACTCCAGACCAACCTTTCTTTGATGAAAATAGGGACATCTTATTCCATCATAATAATTGCTCTATTTATACCTCACTCAACTGACTGGGTTGCTCCAGCCCCTCTGGGTGGCGTCCAACATATATAAAACATAATAAACCATTAAACATTTTAAAAAACCACCTTCCCTATACATGGGTGCCTTCAGTTGTCTTCTAAAGGTTGTGTAGTTACTTATCTCTTTGGCTTGGGGGGTCAGATAACGCCATACCCTCCAACATTTCTCCAATGAAAATAGGGACATCCTAAAGAAAAGCGGAACATTCTGGGATCAAATTAGAAACCGGGATGGATTCTGTAAATCTAAGACTGATCCCTGACACCAGGATCTATTATTATTATAATCACCATTAATAATAATAATTCAAATTATAGGCCACCCTTTATCCAAAGATCCTAGGGCGTTGTAAAACATTAGGAACGTAATTACGCAGCATAATAATAGACACATAATACACACACATTTAAGAGGCCATAGATTATTTAATGACCAAAGGCCTGGGTAAAAAGGAATATTTTCACCTGTTGCCTAGAGATATGTAATGATGGCACCAGGTGAGCCCGTAAAAGGAAGCAAACAATATTACCCTCCATCTAAAAAACCCCACCACCAGCCTGCCTGACACCATTCTGAGCTGGCCTAAGCCCAGCAAGGGAAAGCAAACCTTTGAAATAGTGTTTGAAGAACACTGCCCATTTTTGCTGACTTGAATTACACCAGGCTGTCAGGTCATGTGACCAAGCTGAGCGGGTTTAGGATCCAGGGTGTATTTAAGCTTAAGATCTATTGGGTTGGCATCTGGGAAGATACATCAGTAGATCTCTGGATAAGCCAAGGATGAGGGAGCTGAGCCCAGAGGATCCTGCTCTGTAGGATTGCTCCTTTAGTGACAAAGCATCAAAAATGAAACTCCAAACCGTCTCCAGATGCTTCCACTTCATGGCTACAGATCTGGAAATAGGGCACCAAAAGTCCCATAGAACTTGTGACACTTACTAAATTCATCTAAGAAGAGTAAGTTGTTCCACCGTGAAACTACCGTACTTGAACGGTGTTCTCAACCATACTGAGTTGTGCATTGGGCTGTGGAGCCAAGGGTTCTGCAGAAAATGTTTTGTTTGTGAAGGCTGTCGGACAATTTGATCACTGCAGCCCTTTTTTTCCCTTCCCAAAATAAAACCACACGCACCCATTTCTAGTTTCATAAATTAAATACGGATGACAGCCTTATTTGTTCCTCTGCCAGTATAAACAGATTAGGGTCGTCATGCCTGTTGTTCCAGATTGGTTTTTCTTTTTCATTTACACCCGCTTTCTGTTGGGCCACTTCAAACCCTTCCCTGCCCCTTGAATGACATGGTTTCAGTGGGTGCCTGGGTGCAGCCGGCCAAGGAAAAGACAGCTTGTGAATCTGGGCTCTGTATAACCTCTATGCATATGGCTGAGTTTGTCCGCAGGCCTGAATTGTTAGAGAACCTTTCCTGAATTCTTGCCAAGATGTTAAAGACAGGTGAAGCTTTGTCCCTGGGCACGGTGGAGGGGACACAGGCAAGCGCATGGGTGATGAATTTGGACCATGGGATAGATTGTGCATCCTCTCAAACTACCCTCCTCTCTCAAATCTCCCTCCCCTGCTGGTGAATATGGATACAGTGGTACCTCCGGTTAAGAACTTAATTCGTTCTGGAGGTCTGTTCTTAACCTGAAGCACCACTTTAGCTAATGGGGCCTCCTGCTGCCACTGCGCTGCCTCTGCACGATTTTCATCCTAAGCAAAGTTCTTAACCCGAGGTACTATTTCTGGGTTAGCGGAGTCTGTAACCTGAAGCGTATGTAACCCGAGGTACCACTGTACTACATTAAGTACTTGGGTTCAAGCTAGCTGTTGGTGCTTTAAACAAATCTTTCCTACCATTACAGTGGTACCTTGGTTTTCGAACGTAATCCATGCCAGAAGTCCGTTCGAGTTCCGAAATGTTTGAAAACTGAGGCGCAAACAGCCCCCTGCAAATTTAATAGAGAAAACTGAGAAAAATACAGTGGAAGCTGTTTGACTTGCGAAGTGTGTTCGAAAACGGAAGCATTTACGGCTCATGGCGTTCGAAAACCGAAACGTTCGTCAATGGAGACGTTCGAAAACCGAGGTACCACTGTACCTTAAAAATGTGTCTGGGAAGAAGCATTAACACAGAGGGTAGGGTTGTGAGGACCATGAATGGGAGGAAACTTTTGCAAAGGGTTTTTGCCCAATTTTGCCTCCTTCCCCTCTGCCCCCCCCCCCAGTTCCCCATGACACCCCATTCTACTGGGTTTTGGGAGAACACAGGGAGTGGGAAAGAGGAGGCCTTCAACAGACTTCCTTCCATTTGAGGTTCTCAGGAGCCAAATCAAGCATTTTGGAAAGCATTTAAATACACTGAGAACTTGTGATACTCACTCACACACACACACACACACACACACACACACGTGGGCATAACAAACAATATATACAAACTTCACATGCCTATTGTTGCTAATTTGGCTATTCCTATACAACTTGCATTTTAAGATGCAATAGGTCAAAACAATTAGCTGAAGAAACGGACTGGACCAGGACCAAAAACATTTTCTACAGTAACTTACATTTTTCTCTCTCCATTTAAACACAATGTTATGCATAAAGTAATACCATGAAGCACAGAACAGATGGCTTGACTGTGAATATATTAAAATACGTTTTCAAGCTGCTTAAGTATATTTAAGGATTTAACAGGCAATTTAAACAGGCAGCAAATGTTTTCAGAGCGCCAGCCTTGCTTTGCTTTGCTTACAGATACTCCTTGCAGTCAATCAATTACCTTACCGTGAAACTGTTAGTATGCTTTGTATACGGAAGAAACGGAAAGAGACAAGGAGAGAACATTATACTCTTTAATCCTGCAAATTATAGGGTTAGGGAGAAATGGAGTATACAAAAAGGCTTGGACTGGCCAAACCTGGCATAAATTTAGTTTTCACAGAAGGAGAGATGTGATGGAGAGCGAGTTACTTGTCTTTTCAACATGAAGTCACCGTGCATCCCAGCTCAACAAACTGGACCACACAAGCTCCCTTCTCTGAACAAAGCTGTTTTGTGATTTTGTTTCAGTCTAGCAAAATTAATCGAAAACATGGAATTCTTCCAAGAGTTTTGTGTTGTTTAACTGGATGGTGTGTGCAAAATACAGGAATGTGCCAAGATAGGACCCTCCAAAGCCTTTCTTTGACTTTTGAGCTCAGTTTCCACTTCCCAATCAGTCCCAAGCCCCAGTGCCAATGCAAAGAATACATAGATTGCAGTCCTAAACACACCTACAGTGGATTAAGGGCCCATCCACACTCCTGCTGGTCCCATGCCCAGAAACCATGGGGCCGAGTGGTTTTCTGTTTGCTCCTGTAGCTTACCCTGGGAAAACCATTCAGAGGTAAAGATCAGGTTTCCCCAGGCAAAAGCAGCAGGACAAGCAGATATCTGAATGAGACCTAAGCTTTGTTGGGCACAATGGTTTTTTTTTTTAAAAATCACTAATAAATATGTATAGGACCAAACTGTGAGTCAAATTTGGCAGCTCCCTCTCCAGAGACATGCTGGTTAGATTGCTTCCCCATTTATATAACCCATTTTGTATCGTACAGAGGTCCCCGAGCTTTTCCTCCAGTGGACCGCTTGAAAATAGCTGGGAGTCTTGGCAGACCACTTAGTAATTTTTCTGCCTGTTGCAGCAATTTCAATGATATTTGCTAGATGCGGCGTTATTTTTAATTGCCATTTTACAGACATGCCATGGACCACCTGAATGAAGTTCACGGGCCATTGGTAGTCCTCAGGCCACAGTCTGGGAACTCCTGATCTAGTGGACAACTATAGTTCGATATACTGTATCTATCAGATAGGAACTGGCCAACTTCTATGTAGCAGGTAGGGCAGGGGAAGCAAACATGACTGGACATGCTAGGACACTCAAGCCTTTTTTGCCACAAAGGATTCCTGGAGGGTTATGGTCCAGTAAGAGACATGGGGAAGGCCAACCCAACCAAAGAGCAGGAGGTACATCTAAGAAAGTGCAGGAGAAAATTGCATATTTACTCATAAAAATAGTCCAATATACTCAGTATTATTTCATCTTATAAAACCATCTCCTATACTTCTCTTCTTCCTTTTGAGAGAGCAACCTAGCCCCAGACACCAACCAGAAAAGAAGCAGCTGCCAGAACATTACTTCTTCCTTCCAGAAAGAAATTTGCTCCAACTGCCTGTGGCAGGTTTTTGCTACCTTGTGACTTCCAGATGTTTTGGACTCAAACGCCAATTGTCCTTGACCATTGGCCATGCTGGCTAGGGATGATGGGAGTTGGGTGTACAAAATTACCTGTAAGGCATCAAGTTGAAGAAGGCTGGCCTGGGGGCTATAGAAGGGAGCAGGAAGGTTGTTCTGTCCATTGTCACCAGCCAAATGATTAAGAGGTCTGGTATTTTGGTATTGTAAGCTGTTTAGTAGATCACTTGATGGAAAGGCAGAATGTAAAATCTCTAGACTTTCGGGTTAAATATGACAGTGGCAACAATGATAGATTTCAGTTTTTAATAGATCCCCCAAATAAACCCCAAAGGAAAATACAGTGTTATCGCTGAGCTAGAAATCTTGTAATTTCTGTGGGAATAATTTCACCAAATCCCTATCCATTAAATCCAGTTCTTTAAAACACATCTTCCCAAACTGTGGAAAGGAGCAGAGTAATCATAGTGGGGAATCAGCAGGGAGAAAAAGGCAGCGCTCAAAACCTCTGTAAATCAATAATAATAATAAGAAGAAGATGATGATGAAGAAGAAGTGGGGTATAAATAATAAAATCATCATCATCATCATCATCATCATCATCATTATACCCTGCCTTTCCCCCTCAAAGCAGCTGACATAAAAATGTCACAGAGCCAGCCAGTCAGTATATCACACAGTTCAAAACTGGAGATAACTCTTTATTAGCGAAACACGATCTTCACAGACTGGACAGAATTTCAGGCCTAGTGAGCACAGCAGCTCATTCCCTTTAGGTCATACTCCATGAAATCAGTTGCCGAGACTAAGAGTCCCCTCCTCCCCACAGCCATCTATGTCTCCTCCTCTCTCGGGACGCGGCTGGTGTTGTGGTCTAAACCACTGGGCCCCTTGGGCTTGCCGATCGGAAGGTCAGCATTTCGTATCCCTGTGACGGAGTGAGCTCCCCTTGCTCTGTCCCAGCTCCTGCCAACCTAGCAGTTCGAAAGCATGCCAGTGCAAGTAGATAAATAGGTACAGCTGTGGCGGGAAGGTAAATGGCGTTTCCGTGTGCTCTGGTTTCCGTCACGGTGTCCCGTTGCACCAGAAGCAGTTTAGTCATGCTGGCCACATGACCTGGACAAACGCCAGCTCCCTCTGCCTGAAAGCGAGATAAGCACCATAACTCCATAGTCGCTTTTGACTGGATTTAACCATCTAAGGGTCCTTTACCTTTACCTTACCTCTTCTCTAGGTCTTCTTGCACTCAATCAGATACAACACCTGTGTGCAGCCTATCTTTGCTCCTCCTGTTTCATGCCTCTCATGGTTCTGGGAGTCAAAGGGGAGCTCACTGCAGCAGTGGGGTGGGGTAGGGAGACACCTGTGACTCTTCACTAGCCTGACTCATCTCTGCCTCTTGACTTCCCACCTCTCACCTGCTTCAGCCTCTGCCTCTGCTTCCTGACTTCTCTCTTTCACAGACTCTCCCAGCTCACTAAGACACCTCCTCTTCCCAGTCTTCTCCCTCTCTGACCACTCATCATTGCCCCACCAGCACTCCCCAGGCTCTGAGCCGACTTCCCTTGGGGGTTCCCCAGCTGGTTACTCCTCTGTACCCAACCAGTCTATGACAAAAAATAAGAACAGGTAAAGATACTGAAGAATTGTTAAACGCAGGCAAGGCTGCCCACCCCCAATACACACATACACACACCACGGGTTTACTTGCATTCTCAGATGATGAAAGGAAAGATTAGACCTGACCAAAGTTGATGAGCATTTTCAGTAAAGAACTAGTGGGACAGAGAAGAGTTAAGAAAACTCATATACAGTGCTATTTTTCTAGGAAAAAAAAGTGCCGGAACTCACCTTCAACACCTTCCTCATTTTCTTAGCAATGGCAAGATGGCAGCCACTTGAGAGGTGCCGGATCTGAGTTTCCACAAGTTCTGGCTGAAAAAAATCCCTGCTCATATATATGTCTACTCAGAAGTAAGTTCCATTGAGTTCAATGGGGTGTACTTTCAGATAAGCACATTAGTCAGGCAGTAAGTCCCAACAGATCCAGGGAGACTTCCTTCTGCAAAAACTTGCGCAAGATCGCACTGCTTAGATTTTACCTTCAAATAGGTTTTCATGTATCAGATTACCAAACTCATAATATTAAGAACATTAACAATTTGCCCATCGGCTTTGGTTTCAAGTCATTGTGCTATTCCGTGCAAAATATATTAATCATGTGTTACTAAAATCAGCAAATTACCTGGCTCATTGTTTTCAATGGACCATTGATGAGGAACTATTTCCTCCTGTCTGACTGAATGAAGCCATTTTCTCTCTGTCTCTTGACTGCACTCCCCCTGACTCTTTTGTGAGACACACTGTATAGAATGAAAATAAATAAGAGTTTCTACGATCCTAAACGTTGCAAGAGAAATCAGAACATGAAACACTATCCTTAATCATAATCAATAACAGGATAGATATGGATGAGTTCTAAAGTCAAGTGTACGTCACTTCCTGAACCAATAGCAGGAGCACATGGGATACAGGAGAGCAAACAGGAGTGTTTACCCAGCCTTTATCAACACGCTGTTTGTGCTGTTAATCAACACGCATCATTGCTGCCAAGAGCACATCTGCATATATGAATCCGTGGATTTGGGCTCTCCGATTAATTTTCTAAGCTCTCAGGAGGCAGCATGAATCACAGAATTGTAGCGTTGGAAGAGACCACTAAGATCAACTAGTCTAACCCCCGCAATGCAGGAATCTACACGAGAAAAGACTAAAGTTTATTGTTAGGGTTTCGTGTGTGCCGTGTTTTAACTGCAAGGATCAGATGCAAAAAGGTGAGGCGTTGGCCAAACGGAAAACAACCAGGAACGAAGTAATTGAGATGGAGCATGGTGAATTAATTGGCATGTCTGGTGAGGAACTGACAGACTCCATTGACAAGGGAGTGGCTGGAATGAGGAAAAAACCATCTGGGTGCTTTCAGGCAGCCCAACGGTAATTCACTTCAAAGAACCGGACCTGGGTCATTCATAATGAAAACCTGGACTTCAGAAATAACAGAATTGCAGCAGTAAGGGTGATTAGGAAGCACAATCACTGCGTTTACATCCGCGTGGTGTCCAGCCTTCTCCAGCAGGGCCTACTCATCCATGAAGCCAGGTGAGATGGTCATTTCGGCTGGCAGATCCAGCCTCTGAACACCACGTCACTCACTACCACCCGGCCCCCTTCACCCTGTTATTATGCCCCTGCGGCCTTCAGCATGTGGGGAGGCTGTGGAAGAGGAGGTGGCAGTAGCAGCGTTATCTGTTTGCCCTCAGGCGGCAAATAGTCCTGGGCGGGCCCTGCTCTCTAGGGTCCCGTTCTTAAAAAAACCATTCTGCAACTTTGCAGCAAAAATTGTCTGTGCCAAGCACTGATTGCCTTGTACCTGTGATGTCACCACTATGCCTGCCTTTACTTCTCTAAAACAGTTTTAGCCTGGATAAGAGGAGACCGAGAGGAGAAATGACAGCTGTCTCCCAATATCCAAAGGGCCGCCACATAGAAGATGGAGTGAGCATGTTTTCTCGAGGGTAGGACTCGAACCAATGGATTCAAGTTACAGGAAAGAAGATTTCTACTAAACACCAGGAAGAACTTTCTGAGGGTAAGAGCTGCTGGACAGGGGAATGGATTCCCTCAGGAGGTTGTGGACTCTCCTTCCTTGGAGGTTTTTAATCAGAGGTTGGATGGTCAACTGTCATGTATGACCTAGTTGAGATCCCTTCATTTTGTGTGTGTGTGTGTGGGGGGGAAGGTTGGACTAGAGGACTCTCAGGGTCCAGCAACCATTCTATGATTCTGTTTTCTGCTGGAGGAACATTCAGAGCACAAACTGAAATTATGTACTGTGGTGGCTGGCAATAGAGGCAGGAAATGGAGCTGTGATCAATGAGGGGCTTTCCTCCTTTCCCTTTCTCCTGCTTCTACCTATGATTTATCCCTTGACTGTAGAGACAATTATGACGCTTAAGAATATTAAGAGATTGTTACTTCCAAGTAACAGATTGCATAAGCCCAGGGCTGGCACCAGAGAGAAGATTGGGGTCCCCTTTTGTGTGCCTTCTTCCATTCTTGCTTTACTTAGGCTCAGTTCTCTTGACCCCGTTAAGAAAGGAGCGTGATAGATCATTTGTGTTGTGTATTTCTTGGCTTCTGCCCTACCTGCCACTGATCATGTGAAACCAAGCATATTAAAGGAAAAGACGGACCAGATCCATTTCTTTAGGCTAATTTAACTCAAGTGAAAGCAGGATGGCCAAGATCAAAAAAAGGTCAGAGTGACAAAGGAAAGATTATTCTGGACTGAGAACAGTGAGAATAAGCAGCCAGGAAGTAAAAGGGAATGAGGACAAGCAGAAAAATGATTTCAACTATGAAATGATTTCAACTTCAGCATGTGCCTTCCAAAAACAGCAAATTAACTGGCACGCCAATCCTAATTGCAAAATGCGGCTTGTGCCATCATAAACCAGAATGGCATTGCATGCAAGATAACCAGAAAAGGTTATTCTACCATCACATCACAACAGTTTTCTATAATCAGAGTTGGGAATATGCAACGGCCTAAAAAAAAAAAAAGGACCTGTGTACGCTGTACTTATATTCACATAGTTGTGCCTGTTTCTGCTAGGGAATGACAAACTATCCAAAACACTGAACTTGCACACCCAGCTACTTTGAAAAAATAAATCCTTCTCAGTGCTCTTTCTAGCTTCTGAAATTTTACCATGTGTTGCCGATGCACTTCAAGCTGGCTCTGTCGCACAAAGGACTAAAAACTTACTCATCTTTTTAAAAAGACAGAAAGCTAAGATACTAAGGATGCCAAATTATCTGCCAAACTGAAACTTTTCATCAGTTACAGAATACACACAGCCCTGGCTACATCTACTGTTGGTTAATACCTAAGACAGATGCCTGCCTCACATTTTTTCATAGTCTCACTGAAAGTAACAGAAAGTCAGCTCTGAATATCTTGAGTGCCACTGCTTTCAATACGATACCGAGAATTAGGTGCCACTGATTTCCCAGGGACTAGGCATTGCTAATTCCCAGTAGACCTGTAAGCAGTTTTTGCAGTGTATCACAGGAGTCTGCCGGTCAACAGTTGCACAGTTCAAAGTTGGAGTTAACTCTTTATGAGCAAAAACACAATCTCCGCAGACTTGGCTGAGTGTCAGACCTAAGGCACGGAGCAGCTCATCCCCAAATAGGTCCATGAAAAACCAGTCGCCAAGGCTGAAAGTCCCCTCGTCTGCCCCCAGGCTTTTCCCAAGCAACCAGAGACTGTGCCTGGTTGCGGCCAATATCTACCCTGCCCTTTTCATGCCTCTTCTGATTCTGGGATACAAGGGCGGAGGGGAGCTGGTCGCAGCAAGAGGGGGAGACACCTGTGACTCCTCACCAGTCCTGCCCGAGCCACAGATTCATTCATTGGAGTCTCGTGCCCAAAGATTAAGGCTTTCTGGGAAATGATATATAATGAATTAAAAAAGGTATTTAAGTATACCTTCCCTAAGAAACCAGAGGCCTTTCTCCTGGGCATAGTAGGCCAAATGGTGTTAAAAAAAGGATAGAACTTTCTTTATGTATGCAACAACAGCAGCAAGAATACTTATCGCAAAGTATTGGAAGACACAAGAACTTCCCACGCTGGAGGAATGGCAGATGAAATTTATGGACTATATGGAATTGGCGGAAATGACTGGTAGAATCCGTGACCAGGGAGAAGAGTCGATGGAGGAAGACTGGAAGAAATTCAAAGACTATCTTCAGAAACACTGCAAAATTAAGGAATGTTAGAGTGATGTTGGACTAAAAACAAGTGGTTTCCAGCTGTACAGGTTAAAGTTAAGGATAGATTAAGATTAAAGATCAAGATTAAAGATGTTTAAAGAAATGGAAATTTGATAATAAAAGGGAAAAATTTAAAGTTGTATGACATTAAGATCAAGGATTAGGTCTAAAAAAGTTGAAGTTATATATCTTAACGCTTTATTAAATTAAAGATTGGGATTAAAAAAGTGGAAAAGAAATTGCTGGACAAACAATGTAGATTGGAATACAAAAGAGGGAGGTATGAGGAAGTCCAGAAAATAAGTAATTTAAAATTGGAAATGGAAAAGAGAGTTTGTTTTTAATTGTTATGTTTTGTGTTTTTATTGTTAAGTTTTGTATTTTTTTTTTGTGTGTGTTGTTTTTCTTTTTATGTTTGTTTAAAAATTTAATAAAAAAATTATTGCAAAAAAAAAAAAAAAGATTCATTCATTGGAGTCTGTGCCCCATGATGCCCTTACAAATGTACAGCCACTTCCTTGCAAGCAGAATTGGTGGCTGTTACAGGTGCAGCAGCTGTCAGGGTGGCAGTGATTAGCTCAGGTTACTAGTGCTATACCAGAAAGTGACACTTCTTGCAAATCGGTCTGTACACCTGATTGCCTAGGAACTCATTCGCCACCACCGAGGCAGCAAGACTATATAAATAAATGTGATTCTTTAATAACGATTCCTTCTTAGTGCTTGCACTAACTGCCTAACTTGCAGCAGGAGTGAAATTTACAATAGATACTCACGGCGATAAAATCTCTGGGGTTGTAATCCGAGAATGAAAAATAAAGGGCCGATAAGATCGGACAAAGCTTGCTTTCAAAAGAAAAAAGGACTTGGGGACCTGTCGTTTGATTACAAACAGAAGCAGGAAGTTGTGCTTCAGCAGTACTGTCTGATAGCCGTATGAGAAACGACCCAAAACATAGACGTTATTTAGAAAGTTGCTCATGTTGAGGGATAAAGCTACCTTGCAACCTTCCTTGTTCTCGTGCGGTTTTAAACAGTTTTCTTAGGTGTTCGAAACTAGGTGAATATAATTCCTTTAAGAGCACACTGCTATTATTTTCTTCTTTGCCAATTAAAAAAGGAACGTGCTGTGATTCTGGGCAGAGTAAAACTGAGAGCTGGTATAACGTAGTGGCTTTAAAATGTGTCACCCAGAAGCCCCTTGTTCAAATCTTACCACACGTTTGAGCACATTAGACATGGTGGCAATTGTTCTATTCATTTAGACATAGAAATGACAAGTCATGTAGAAAGAGGGAACTCCTGACCTTAACAGCAAATGACTCAGGTGTTGTGCAGAATTTATATCCTGCCTGAGACACACCTCCCCACAGTCTTTTTCTCCTAGCTAAGGTAACTTCTCTGTCAGAGTTTCTGGGCACTTCCAGACTGTCACTGTTTGCAAGTGGGATCCGATCACATGCCGGCAAATTCAGGTTGTGCAATTTTAGATGATCAGGAGGTCTTGTACAACAAGCCCTCTTCCCTGGAAAGGCTGGACTTTCTGCAGTGACTGAAAAAGTACATGATAACACTTGCTTTGATCCAATGTCACCAACCTCTCCCCTAACAATTAAAGAGTGAATGCCCATTAAATAGCCAACACTATTTCATCTCCGTGCAAATGCTGAAATAAACAGGTTGTCTGGACACACCCTGGGTTGAAGAGATAAGCTTTTAAGGCATAAGTTGCAGGTGGGGAAATGTACTGCGCTCCTCTGTGGGGCTATTTTGGTCTTAAACATCAGCCCCTCCCCTACTTCCTATATGATTGGGGCAGGTACTAAACATGACTTCCATACAGTGGTATCTCAGGTTAAGAACTTAATTTGTTCTGGAGGTCCGTTCTTAACCTGAAACTGTTCTTAACCTGCGGTACCACATTAGCTAATGGGACCTCCCGCTGCCACCATGCCGCCGCCGCGCAATTTCTGTTCTCATCCTGAAGCAAAGTTCTTAACCTGAGGTACTATTTCTGGGTTAGCGGAGTCTGTAACCTGAAGCGTCTGTAACCTGAGGTACCACTGTATAGCTGCAGAGAAGGGAAATACAGAGCCCTGCCTTTCCCACCCCTGTGCAGTTAACAGAAGATTCAGAGGACATTTAGAATGATACAGCCCAGGTTGAAGCGTTAATTGATTGTGATTTGAACTACTGTAATGCCCTCTATGTGGGGCTACCTTTGAATGTGACCTGGAAACTACAACTAATCCAGAGTGCGGCAGCTAGACTGGTGACTGGTGACTGGGAGCAGCCGCCGAGACCATACAACACCGGTCTTGAAAGACCTACATTGGCTCCCAGTACGTCTATGAGAAGAATTCAAAGTGTGGGTGCTGACCTTTGCAGCCTCGGCCCAGTATACCTGAAGGAGCGCCTCCACCCCCATCATTCTGCCAGGACACTGAGGGCCTGGACCTCAAAACCTCTTCACATGTTAGGATTTCACAGAAAATGGAAAGAACTGGACTGCATGTGAAGTGAAAGACCTACATTCACTCCCAGTACGTTTCCGAGCACAATTCAAAGTGTTGGTGCTGACCTTTAAAGCCCTAAACGGCCTCGGCCCAGTATACCTGAAGGAGCATCTCCACTGCCATCCTCCAGCCCAGACACTTCTCGCAGCTCTGAGGGCCTTCTGGCGGTTCCCTCACTGCGAGAAGTGAAGCTACAGGGAACTAGGCAGAGGGCTTTCTCGGTAGTGGCGCCCGCCCTGTGGAACGCCCTCCCATCAGATATCAAGGAAATAAAAAACTATCTGACTTTTAGAAGACATCTGAAGCTAGCCCTGTTTAGGGAAGTTTTTAATGTTTGATGTTTTATCATGTTTTTAATATTTTGTTGGAAACCGCCCGTAGTGGCTGAGGAAACCCAGCCAAATGGACAGAATAATAATAATAATAATAATAATAATAATAATAATAATAATAATTCGATTTTCATCCATTTCCACTGCACAACACCAGAGAGGACAGCTGCCAACCTAAACTGTATGGAACTGCTGGCAATTGCCTTGGGGGCAGGAGTTGATGGAGTGTGCTAAGCTCAACCAAGTCTCCTGTATTCAATCGGCAAATGTGCCAATGACCAGGAATCTGCTATAGGGATGAGGAATGTGTATTCGTTTTCTTCAAGAGCACAAGAGGTGAGTTTGTGAGGGTAGGCAAATGCACTTGGAATCCCATAACAAGGGGGGGGGGGAACCTGCCTGTGTTAGGTGGGTTGAGATGCAGAAGAAAAATGGCAGGCAGGGAGGGAAAGGCTAGGCATCCCCATATCCTGATGTTACTTCTTGCGAAAAGAAAGAAAAAGACCCCCAAAGAGGTTTTATTTCCAGCCAACATGACAGCTTCTGAGTTGCGCATGAACTTGTGAACCTTATGCTCTCTCAGATGAGCAAACTGGGTGGAGTTCTCCTCTAAGTAGTTAGAAAAACCTTTATTACTGTGTTTATTGGGATGGTGATTCACACCAAATTCCAGGAGTTCATCCCTTTACCCTTTCATGTGGCATTTGTATAATTGAAAATATTGAACGATGCTTTGTTGTATTGCTGTAAGCCAATTCCATACATCATTGCGGCAAAGATTAGATAGGTGAGCTATCAAACCTATCAAGGGGTGTGAAAAAAACAAAGCACCACTTCTTTCCCTTTGAAATAGAATAGACAATTTTTCACTGGCCTGTCTCCTGAGTATCCATGTGTATGAAATATGGTGAGGTGACCCCCATTTTGTAAGGGTCACCCCCTCATATTGCATACCTTGGGTCCCAAAATGGTTGGTGTTATGTACTGAGTTGAATAGGATCCAAACTGCAGCAGTCTGATTGGTCCTAGAACAATAGGATTCAGAATGCAGCAGTCTGATTGGTCCTAGAACAATGCAGCAGTATGATTGGTTGGCAGGAACCACCCAATCCTGCTCCAGATAGAAGTGAATCCACAACCTGATTGGCTTACAGTAGAATTCCGGAATTAGCCAATCATGTGCAGCCCATTGTGTAAATAATGTATATAAAGCAGATACTGTGAGGGGACTTTCATTCATTCCTCCTCACCACTATGAGCTGAATAAAGAGCATGAAATCACTTTGCGACTCTGAGTATATTTCAGTTGATTTCTGGCCATGATATAAATGTGAAAGCAACAACAGCAACCATGCAAAGGCTGCAATCCTGTCCCCACTTCTCTGAGGAGGCTGCATGAAACTCAGTGGGATTTACACCTGAGTAGACATGCATAGGATTGCATTGTAAAACACCAGTTTCAGTTTCTCAGATTTAAAATGGTTCAATATGCCCTGCTCCTAGTGCATATTTGCAAAGCTAAGCGGAGTTTGGTATGGTTTCAAATTGGATGGGAGACCGCTTCTGAGATTCCTGTCAGGGAAAACCCGGATGTATGGCAACCAGTGCTTTTTTCCTGGGGATATGCAGGGGTACGCATACCCCTAAATATTTTGTGAATCTAATCGGGGAAGAAACTAAACATTTTTTTAAAAAAGTTTCTTCTCTAGCATGGTGAATCGTCAGCTCCGCCGCTACCTCTGATGGTGGCTTCATTTCCTGTCATGCTGTTTCCTGAGTCTCAGGTGGAAGTGAGCGTTTAATGTGTGAAACAGTGTGGAATGTGGATGTGTGGTGTTTTACTGTCTGACCTCATTTCAATATTAGTAGAAAAATTACTATTTTTCATCAGAGGAATCAGGAAGATGTTAATGCACACAACCTCGTGCCAATGTGGAAGTCACTGTGAGCTGTCAACTGTGTAATATGAGTTAATGCATGGGTAGGCAAACTAAGGCCTGGGGGCCGGATCCAGCCCAATCGCCTTCTAATTCCGGCCCGCGGACGGTCTGGGAATCAGCATGTTTTTACATGAGTAGAATGTGTGCTTTTATTTAAAATGCATCTCTGGGTTATTTGTTGTTGTTTTTTTTAATGATATTTATTCCAGATTTAAAGTTCCAAAAAAGAAAAAGAAAAACCATACAAAATACAAAGAAAACTTTAGCCATAACAAAGCAAGAAATAAACAAGTAAAAAAGAACAATAAGATAGAATAAAAAAGAAAACTTAACAAAAAATATAAAAATACATTGAGTTAAAATAAAACAAAAACAGATTAAACCTTTACATAGCCTTTTCCCTTTACTTATTTCCATGACCTCCTCTCACCTCCCAGTTTTGTATTCTAGTTCAGATCGTGTTTCCAGCAAATCCTTCTAACCTTATTTTCATTTACGTATTTTAAAATTAAAATAATGTGATTAGACCTCCTCTAATTCATCAATTTCATCAACTCATTTTTGCTTAGTCCATTATATCATATCTACCAGAACGACCTAATATTCTTTTTCCAACCTCTTTCTAACATTCTTTTATATTGCAGTACTTTTGAAGATATATTTTGAATTTTTTCCAATCTTCTTCCATCGACCCTTCTCCCTGGTCTCGAATTCTGCGGGTCATCTCAGCCAGTTCCATGTAGTCCATCACTTTCATCTGCCATTCTTCTCGGGTGGGCATGGGTTATTTGTGGGGCATAGGAACTCGTTTATATTTTTTTTCAAAATATAGTGCGGCCCTCCACAAGGTCTGAGGGACAGTGGACCGCCCCCCTGCTGGAAAAGTTTGCTGACCCCTGAGTTAATGCATGCTCTTTGTACTTTTGTCCATTTACTGTATTTATTTTCCCTAAATTGAACGATGAAATGGTGACCTTCCTGAGTCAAAATGAGAGTACCCCTAAACATTTTTTTAAGAAAAAAAGCACTGATATCCAAAAAGCTCAACAACTTTGTGGGTTGCAACAACTTCGCAATATGGCAACCCTAACTGCAGGGGTCCCTTCCCTATGATTCTATGATTGCAGTCTTCAGCCCATTTTATAACAACTGACTTTGGGGGGAAATGGCCTGGTCTGCTCCTCTGCCTTTCACAACAGCCTTGATCTGCAGGAATCGGCAGCTGAAACTTTTACATCACCCAGACCCACATTTTCACCATCTAATATCTGAAGATGAAGGTGCTCTGAAAGGCAAAGTAGCAAGAAAAAAAAAGACTTTGGCAACCCTGTATTACTACACATGAAATGTAGAATTGGTTTGAAGCTTTAGTCCCAAGTCTTAGTAATTAAGGTTTCAAAGTCCACACTCTGAGAGGAAGCATCTGCCATGTATGGTTTTCCCCATCATCATCAGATGTTGGCAGAATGGGGCCATAAGCAACATTCCTAATGGGCAATTCTAGCTAGGGCTGCTGGGGACACAGCTATTTCCCCCTTTATGCTCCTCTCACAGGTATAGCTGTGTCCCCAGAAACCCTAGCAAGAATTACTACACAGGAAAGCTGTTTATGGCCCACATTCTGCCAGATTTGTGTGCCTACCTATTTCTGGCTTCACTTCTACAAATTAATGCCTTGTTTAGCCATAGGTCAATTGCAACGATACGTCATAAAAGACGATGAGACATAATACAATGGAGTGACTGACCACAAAAAGATAAAGTGGAAAGGAAGGAGCGTTGTGAGGAGCATAGTGAGGAGCTATGCGTCATTATATGCTGTACTATAGATATAATATTGCATGCATATAATATGAATATATTTCCCAGGTTTCCTAACGCAATGAGCACACAAGCTGCATATAACTATCATGAAAATTATAAATAAAATTATGCTGCAGCATACGGATTAGCTCTTTTACACATATAATGTTTGGTTTTTTAAAAAATACATTTAATGAGTTGGGATTTTTAAACCACAAACAGCTTGGATATGAGTGGGCACCTAATATGAGAGAATGTGATCAAAGCTTGATTGGGTCACAACCACCAAATCCTACGTATAAATCCCTCTAAAATGGATTTCTCCTCCCTCTCTAGAGCAGACCTGAGCAGAGGGAAGGAACAGAGTTTTACTTTACTGAAAGGACAAGAAAAAGGGACATGAAGATTGAATATGAGTTCCAAAGGAGGGGAAGGAATTGAGAACAAACCCCAGGGCTGGTGTCCGGTTGACTGAGAGGAGGGCGCTCTTAGTGGATCCAGAGACCCAGTTTGAGAATATGGGGCTGGATGGAGGCGGATGAAGAGATTCACGTAACGAGGTAATGAAATGATTCCCGGTACAATCATGAGCTTACCGTATAGACCTTTAATGTAGCAGCTTCTATATCCCAGAATACATGTGTGCTGAGCAGAGACTGGAATCTTTTATTGGCTATTGCCGAAACCGACCTTTGCAAATTGTATTAGGTGGCAGTTGCAGTTAGCATTTTGATTTTTTTACGGTTTAATGGCTTGAGCGTTTTATTGTGGTTTTTCTGAAGCGCAGCCCCCCACCCCACCCCACCCCCCCTCAAGCATTTGGAGAGTCAGGTGTAGAAGTTAAATAAATCAAACAGAAGCTGAGCATAATCCTGAATTGTCATGAGATTACATGAGATTGCCTGGGTGGGGTGGGCATTGCGTAGAAGGGTACCGAGATGAGAACTTGGGCAAAAGCAAAGGAGCTTCTCCCATGGCAATCGCTGGAGGAGTGATTTAGCACATTTGGTAGAGAATGAGACTCTCAGGCTCAGGGTTCAAGCCCCTTGCTGGGGCAAAAGATTGCTGCATTGCAGGGGTTGAACTAAACACTGGAACAAACTGGAACGTGTCCAGAGGAGGGCAACCAAAATGGTCAAAGGCCTGGAAACGATGCCTTATGAGGAACGGCTAAGGGAGCTGGGCATGTTTAGCCTGGAGAAGAGGAGGTTAAGGGGTGATATGATAGCCATGTTCAAATATATAAAAGGATGTCACATAGAGGAGGGAGAAAGGTTGTTTTCTGCTGCTCCAGAGAAGCGGACACGGAGCAATGGATCCAAACTACAAGAAATAAGATTCCACCTAAACATTAGGAAGAACTTCCTGACAGTAAGAGCTGTTCGACAGTGGAATTTGCTGCCAAGGAGTGTGGTGGAGTCTCCTTCTTTGGAGGTCTTTAAGCAGAGGCTTGACAAGCATATGTCAGGAGTGCTCTGATGGTGTTTCCTGCTTGGCAGGGGGTTGGACTCGATGGCCCTTGTGGTCTCTTCCAACTCTATGATTCTATGATTCTATGATTCTATGATTCTAAACAACGCTCATGGTCTCTTCCAAGTCAGTAACTCTATGATTCAATGATTTGGCAGGTAGGGAGAGGGAAACTAGCTAAAGACAGAGTCTCTCTAGTCTAATAGCCTCGTCGCTTATATACCCAACCATTGCATGTGCTCTACAAGGTAGGGCACCTGGTGTTAGAAACTCAGATATATAAGCTAGGAGCCAAATGGCTCCTTAAGCCAGGGTTGCAGTTGCCAAAACGGAATGTCTAGTTGCCATTTTGGGGCCAAATGGCTCAAAAGTTGTATTTTTCAACATGATGTTTCGGTACCTGAAATTCCTTCTGATTGAGCAGATAGAATATCACACAGAGAATTCTACAGGATGTGTTGTTAGTGTGTGAAAACAGGGAAGATCCAAGGATCCTCCGGAACAATTTATTTGATATTAATTGTGATTACAGGTGTGTCATCAAGTCTTTAACAAGGAGTGCTCCCTAATAATAATAATAATAATAATAATAATAATATCTCATTATTCCAGATATTAAAGTGGATGTTGCTACTTTACTTTCCCCTATTTTCTTATTTTGTATTTTGGTTTTTAAACCACCTCTTTTGTGTTTTTATTCCAAATTAATTTTAACTTACTTGCAACATTTGCAATGAAAATATTTGAGAAGGAAAGTGTATGTGCACTTGTTTGTGTACGGTATATTTTTGTGCTGTGCGTCAGAAAGAGAGAGAAAGAAAAGTTCCTATACATCCGCTAGAGGGCAGCGAATCCAAAGGATTCAGTGTTCAGAAGATTAAAAGACTGAATTCCTGGCCATTTGTTCCTTTCAGAGGGCATATTTCTCATTGTTGTACAATGAGAAAACTCTGCAAATTAAGCATCGCCATTGTCATTAGTCTTCTTATTGCCCATGTGGAGTGGAAGCATGTTATTTCATCATTTGCCGTTATTTCCTTTACCAGAGTTGCCACCTTTGTTCCGGCAAAATACAGGACAGGGCAGGTTAGTTGGGGGGCTTCAACCTGTTAAGTTGTGGGTGAACATATCAGACGACACAGCGATTCTTCAGACAGCTCTTGTTTATTCACAGGCCAGAACAGAACTGAACTGAAGGGTTCAGCCAGCCTGCTTATATAGAGCTCCACTACAACGCAACTGTAACTATCCAATCACTGAACGTCATTTTCAATCCCTTATTTGCATATGTGGACCTGAGTGAAAACTATCTAGAGTATCCCCCTGCTGGCCCAGGGTGAGAACTTCGGTACATAACACCCCTCCCCACCGAGACAAGGCGTTAGTTACAATCGTAATGGTTTCCTTATATACAGCACTACACGTAATGGTTCAATTAGGCACAAAAGCATATCGGTTACATTTCACATACTTCCATTAGACCGACAGTATTATATGAGAACTTCAGTATATAACACAACCAACCAAGTGACTTCAACCAAAACATTGCAAGACATTGCAGCCTAACAGATGGTCCCTCTGAAGCACACACACATACGCGTGAATTTGCAGATCTGTCTGTTCTTGGCTACCCTGAGCTTAAAGACATGACCTTTCAAACACCCTTTCAGTCACATGCATTTGAAGAAGGTCCCTAACTTGGCAGAGAGAGAGAGTGAGTGAGTGAGTGAGTGAGTGAGAGAGAGTCAGAAGACCTAAAATACAGGACAAAACCGTATCAATACAGGACGTAGCATTTTACATTGAAATATGGGACAATCTTGTATTATACGGGATGGGAGGCAACCCTACCCTTTCCCCTTGTAAATATTGTAAACGTTGGTTGCATTCATTTAAAACCAAAGCAAGTAAAAATTCACATTTTAGGAGGAATAGATGATGTTTATTGAATATTTTAAGAGCCAGTATGAACAAAAACATAGCCTAGCTGGTCTCGAGTAAATCCAGCGGAGTTGAAATAGATAAAGGAGTTTTTAATAGATAACAAATTGGAAGACTGAAAAGGTGTGGATTACGTGGAGTAGTAGAAAAGCAAAGGAACCAGGGAAGTCCTATGGTATATGCAGTGCTTTTATTGCTAAAAAAATGTTTAGGGGTATTCTCATTTTGATTCAAGAAAATCACCATTTTATGGTTCAAATTGGGGAAAATAAATACAGTAAATGGACAAAAGTACAAAGATTCACAAAATGTTTAGGAGTATGTGTACCCCTGTGTTCCCCCCCCCCAGACAAAAATCACTGGGTGCAGTATATGTAGACATGCTGTATTTGGTATGAAGTTGTAAGTTGTAAGTTGAATACTTTCCCTAGAGAAGTTCATCTGTTGCCTTCATTATACACCTTTAGGTGCCAAGCAAAAGCAAAAACATTTGTTTTTAACCAGACCTTTGGTTGATCTTATTGACATCCAATACACTTTTAAAATGTGGCTCTTTTGGGGGGGGTGTTATTGTGTTTTGTCTTTATTTTGATTATATATATTGTGGTTTTTATGTTGATCTTTTCTGTGAACTGCCCTGAGACCTCTGGGTATAGGGTGGTGTATAAATTCTAATAATAATAATAATAATAATAATAATGTGGGGGAGGAGGAGGGGAGGAAGGAAGGGGGGTTAAGTATTCTCTCTGTTCCTGTTTTTGGAAATGCAAAAAATAAAAAATAAACATTTTGACAAATAATTAAGATGATGATGATAAATAAATAAATAAATAAATAAATAATAAAAAGCAGCAATTTCTGCAGCTTGTAAGCCACTTATATAATGAATGATGTGGCAAGATACTTTGGGATGAGCTGCTTAAGATGCACTGGATCTCCTGCTCGGCTGGGCTCAGTTGGCATTAAGTCCCCAGGGCTCATCCCAATTCAACCAGCAGACCTAAAGCTGGCTGGGCCAAAACCAGTGTCAGTCCTCCCAAAGGGGCATTCCATGGGTGTTGCAGTGGCGTGGCCACAGGTAGGGGACTCTGCCTGCACCCTGAGCCCACTCAGTTCAGTCCAATGACCTGGAAACTCAGTGCAATACTTCCACCTCTCACCAAATAATTTTTAATTCTAGCATGCATTTTAACTGAAGTTTCATTTAATAGTTCGGACTATTTTTTTAGTTACTTTTTTGCATTGTTTCCTTGTAAACTGCTTAGAGATGATTGTAGTTAAGTGGTATATAAACAACCCCGCTTCCGCAGCTGCCCTCAGTTTACCCCAGTGTAGGGAGAGAGGAGGGAAGCATCCATGACTACTATTACTACTATTACTACTACTAATTTATTATTTGTACCTCGCCTATCTGGCTGGGTTTTCCCAGCCACTCAGGGAGTCTCCCAGCAAAATATTAAAAACACGATAAAACATCAAACTTTAAAAACTTCCCTATATAGGGCTGCCTTCAGATGCCTTCAAAAAGTCAGATAGATGCGCCACTACCGAGTAGGCCCTCTGCCTGGTTCCCTGTAACTTCACCTTTCACAGTGAGGGAACCACCAGAAGGCCCTCGGAGCTGGACCTCAGTGTCCGGGCAGAACGATGGGGGTGGAGACACTCTTTCAGGTATCCTGGGTTGAGGCCGTTTAGGGCTTTAAAGGTCAGCACTAACACTTTGAATTGTGCTCGGAAACGTACTGGGAGCCAATGTAGGTCTTTCACTTCACATGCAATGCAGTTCTTTCCATTTTCTGTGAAATCCTAACATGTCAAGAGGTTTTGAGATATGCTGTGTTGCTCATTGAACAAGATCACTGGGGAATTTGACAAAGAAAGGGCTTTATCTCCTTTGCCTCCCCTTCACAGCCATCTGTCGTGGATGCTTTAGCTGAGTTTCCTGGGGTCCCTTCCAACTCTACAATTCCATGAATCGACAATTCCAGTCTACTTTCTCCAGCATTTGTGACAGCTTTATAGTACCACCTGCAGGCCAGTGCTCAGCCTGGACGAAAGCCCTCTCTGCTAGAAGACTAGGCTGGGCTTAGATGTCCATTTCACAAATAACCAAGAGTACATGCATCCCCAAAATCAACCGTCCTTCAATCCTTCCGCTTTGCTTTGCATTGCCTTTGCATTTGTCTTAATTTTACAGCTCCCAAATGGCATCATTTTGAAACCCCAGAGCTTTTCCCACAACAACTGATGTTCTAGTTGCTTTGAATATTAGATAACATGGCACCAAGAACTGTAGTTAGTTAATTACTTGAAAAACACAAAAGCAGCAGAGAGCTGCAGCCAACATACAGTGACTTCCTTTTGGTAAACGTCTCTGTGTGTTTCCTTTTAAGTGGCAAGAAGCTACATTTGTCAGGAAGTGACTCAGCAGTTGAAATTAGTGCTCTATAGCTAGCCCCCAGCATCAGACACAATGCCTGAAAAATGATATAAAATAATATTTATTTAATGCTAGTAATGGTAGCCAGTAAAGGATCAGTAATAGCAGGATGTGATCATGCCCAGATTAAGGCAAGTGATAGCCCCACTCTATTCAGAACATGCCTGGAATACTGTGTCCAGTTCTGGGCACCACAGTTTATAAAGGATATTGACAAGCTGGGACGCTTGCAAAGGAGGACGACCAAGATGATAAAGGATTTGGAAACCAAGCCTTATGAAGAATGGTTGCAGGAGTTGGGTACGTTTAGCCTGGATAAGAGGAGACTGAGAGCAGATATGATACCAATCTTCAAATATCTAAAGGGCTGCCACATGGAAGATGGAGCAAGCTGGTTTTCTCCTGCTCTGGAGGGTAGGGCTTGAACCAATGGATTCAAGTTACAAGAAAGGAGATTTTCATTAAACATCAGGAAGAACATTCTGAGGGTGAGAGCTGTTTGAATGGATTCCTTCGGGAGGTTGTGGACTCTCCTTCCTTGGAGATTTTTAAGCAGAGGTTGGATGGCCATCTGTCATGGATGACCCAGTTGAGATTCTTCCATTGCAGGGGGTTGGACTTGATGACCCTGCGGGTCCCTTCCAGCTCCACAATTCTATGATTCTACGCGAGCTGAACACCAGTCATGTAGGATGTCAAACTCCTGTCAAGACACAGTATGTGGGTTGTGGGTTTTGTTCCTCCTGGTAGGCCACAAGTCATGCGGGTCTGATAAGCAGGCCTATGTCTTTGTTTTTGTTTCAGTTTAAACATGGTTATTTTTCTAAACGGTAACCAAGAAGAAATAAGAGACTCTTGGCACACACAAGTGTATGAAGAACATTTGCTAGGATTGTTTATATCAGCTTCTTCCTGGAGAATATGCTGGAGCCCAGATTCCAGCTTGGGAAGGAGAGGAGGATAGCAAAGACGAAAGCACCCAGTGTAGATTTCGAAGCAGAAATAACAGCGGGGAAAGCAAGCCCTTTTAAATATCCTTAAAAGGAATGAGGTGTGTGTGTGTGTGTGAGAGAGAGAGAGAGAGAGAGAGAGAAAGAAAGAAAGAAAGAAAGAAAGAAAGAAAGAAAGAAGGAAATACCGTATTTTTTGCTCTATAAGACTCACTTTTTCCCTCCTAAAAAGTAAGGGGAAATGTGTGTGTGTCTTACGGAGCGAATGCAGGCTGCAAAGCTATCACAGAAGCCAGAACAGCAAGAGGGATTGCTGTTTTCACTGCGCAGCGATCCCTCTTGCTGTTCTGGCTTCTGAGATTCAGAATATTTTTTCTTCTTGTTTTCCTCCTCCAAAAACTAGGTGCGTCTTGTGGTCTGGTGCGTCTTATGGAGCAAAAAATACGGTGATTATTCACCAAAAAGAAATTACAAGGATGTAGTCCACAGGGATATTTAATGTATCCTCCCAAGTCACCCAGCGAGTATACTTAAGTCACACAACTCCCTTTGCCTAAAGTTCAAAAGGTAGGGAGTATAAGAATCCTGGGAATTATAGGTTACGCCTCATAGAGCTACAGTTCCAGGCATCCTCATCAACTTACAGTACCCGGGATTCTTGGGGTGTGGATGCTTAAAGATAAAAGCACAATAAGGAAGAAGAGGGGACGTCTTGCCACTGCCCATCAACCATTGGCACCAGAGAGTAGACTGAACGGGTGCACAGGTCTTCCCCACAGAGGTGCCAACTTGAATAATATATTCAGTTACAAGACACAGCACATGCACACCATTTGAATGGCAACACCCATCAACTTTGGGGGTCCCCGGCCCAGCAGTGTAGCTAGCCACTCGGGTGCCTGGTGCGGGGCGTGTCCTGCAGCCGGGGGCGGGGTGATCTGCCTGTGGGGGCGGGGCGAACCTCTCCGACGCTTGGAGCCTCTCCGCTGCCTCCCACTCAGCTGTAGGGCGGCTGAGGTTGAGGCAGTAGGCAGACGCAAGTCTCACGCTGCCATTTGAGGCAGTGTGGAACCTGCAGGCGCCTAAGCCACCACATCACTCCTAAAAAGTTTCGTGAGCCCAATTTTATTTTATTTTAAACTCATTTTGTCACCCCCCTCTCTGTGATGTCACCTGGGGCGGGCCACATATCCCACACCCCCCCTTTCCTCTGCCACTGCCCCGGCCCTCTCAAATATTTTATTGGGTCCCCGGAAAGGACCTCAGCCCATTGGAGTTGGTTCCTATGTTTCCCCACTATGGTCAGGTCAGGTATATTGCATTTCTATTTAAATGAACGCAATTAGTTCTAAATTTGTGTCTGCACATGTACATCAGCATGTGCAAATTTTAGGCTAATATGTGCCATATTTTGCCATTTTTGGGGGAGGGTGTGTGTGTTGCAATTCTTCTTTTTCTGGTGATGTGTAAGCATAGAGAGCTTATGTCCCAGCCTGACTTGCTGCTATATTAATTACATTTATTTCAGGGTATTTCTTGCTGGCTAGGGCTGATGGGATCTGTAGTCCAAAACATCAGGAGGGTACCGGGTTGGGGAAGAATGATCTAGAGTACCACATCGGCTGGGTCTGACTCATTACCAAATGTATTCTTATTCTTATCATTCTTATCATTCTTATCATTATTATTAGGGAGGACCCATTGTTGAGGAATTGTTGTCACAATTAATATCAAATAAATTGCTCGTGTCAGTAGTAGTAGGTCATACTGTGTTAGATAACTTAAGCAGCTCCAGCTCTTTAAACTATCCGAGTTTGTTTAACATATGCCTAATTAAATTTCTAATCATACTTTAAATGCTTAATTCCAATGCAGGTAATGAAGTAAGGAAGCATTTTTGAAAGGAAAATAAAGATCAGTGTGATTAAATATAATTCTCTGTGTTGCTAGTTCCAAGTACCCCAAGGCAAGAAGCTGATGAACTCTGATTTATGTCGGTTTTTGTGCCAACGTACCAATGCGGATTCCATTGGAGTCAAATTAGCTTACAGGAGACCACACAATGCATTTATTATCTCCTTTGAAACAATTTTGCCAACAGTTTTTGAAAAGCAGGTTTGGAATGTGTTTTTGCAGGCATTAATTATTTTAATGAGTGATCTAATCATACTGTTTAGCTTGGGTCAGGCTATGTACGACAACAAGTCCCAGCTCGATTTCTCGAGGAGCTGGAAGGTTGTGCAGCACGGAGGTTAGAGGGGAGTAGTTTGGGATTAAAAGATATGACGTGGGTCACCCAACATCCCAAGGATGCAAAACTCCATCCACACCAAGAATTCTGTCCTTTCACTTTCAGAAATATCACAACAGCTTTCAGAAATATCACAATAGAGAAGCTGCAGTTGCAGAGGTTCTCCTGTGTGACTTGGAATTGGCATCTGGACCCTACTGAATAGCTGAAAAGCCTCTAGGGGATTAAAAGAGGGTCAGGCACAAACAGGTTCTCTTCGATAACTCAGGGACCACCACCAAATTTGGCTGGACTCCACACCTTGCCTTTAAATCACTGTTATACTACTTTAACAACCATGGTTCACCCCCCAAGAAACTGTAGTTTATTAAAGGTGCTGGAAAATGTAGGTCTGTGGCAGGTCTCCTAACAGCTTTCGGCACCTTTAAACTACCATTCCCATAATTGTACGGTTTGCCTAATGGGCTGAGGTCCAGCTCCGAGGGCCTTCTGGCGATTCCCTCACTGCAGGAAGTGAAGTTACAGGGAACCAAGTAGCGGGCTTTCTCGGTAGTGGCGCCTGTCCATCGGATGACAAGGAGATAAAGAAATACACAACTTTTTGAAGACATCTGAAGGCAGGCCTGTATTGGGAATTTTTCAATGTTTGATGTTTTATTATGTTTTTATATGCATTGGAAGCTGCCCAGAGTACCTGGGGCAACTCAGCCAGATGGGTGGGGTATAACAACAACAACAACAACCAAACTATACATTAAATGTATAGTTGCTCCATCATGTGTTATTCTTCCAGCATGTGTCTGTAAAGAGGTTTAAAGACTCTCTCAAGGCAAATCTAAAAAAATGTAGTATAAACACTGACGACTGGGAAACACTGGCCTGCGAGCGCTCAAATTGGAGAACAGCCTTTACCAAAGGTGTCATGGGCTTCGAAGAGGCTCAAACTGAGGATGAAAGGGAGAAACGTGTTAAGAGGAAGGCACGCTTGCCAAACCCCAATGTGGAAGGACGTGTGGATCCAGAATTGGCCTCCACAGTCACTTATGGACACACTGTTAAGACTGTGTTCATGGAAGACAATCTTACTTGGCTATGAGTGATCGCCGAAGAAGAAGAAGAAGAAGAAGAAGAAGAAGAAGAAGAAGAAGAAGTACAGTGGTACCTCGGGTTACAGATGCTTCAGGTTACAGACTCCACTAACCCAGAAATAGTACCTCGGGTTAAGAACTTTGCTTCAGGATGAGAACAGAAATCGTGCGGCGGCAGCGGGAGGCCCCATTAGCTAAAGTGGTACTTCAGGTTAAGAACAGTTTCAGGTTAAGAAGAGACCTCCGGAATGAATTAACCAGAGGTACCACTGTATTGTTCACATTCAGTTTGCAGCCAAAACGATCAAGGGGATGGAACAACTCTCCTGTGATGAAACATTGCAGACTTACTGGTTCAAGGAAAAGCCCAGTAAGAGGTGACATGGTACAAGTTTATAAAAATATTTGTGGCATGGAGAAAGTGAATATGGGAAAGTTTTTCAGCCTCTCCCATGACACCCGAACTCATGGCCATGCAATGAAGCTGCATGTTGGAGTATTTGGGACAGACAAAGGCAAGGAGCACCTGCAGTGCCTAGTTAAACCACAGATTCCTCTCCCATAGGAGGCAGTGATGACCACCAACTTGGATGCCTTTAAAAGATCATCAGACAAATTCATGGAGGATAAGACTCTCAAGGGCAGCTAGCCATACTCTGACTCCAGTGCTAGAAAAATGCAAGCTGTGCTGCTGATAGAAGTACAGTGGTACCTCTGGATACGAACGGGATCCGTTCTGGAGCTGCGTTTGCATCCAGAGCAGAACGCAACCCACGTCTGTGTGTCTGCGCGGGTCGCAATTCGCTGCTTCTGCGCATGACATCATTTTGACCGTCTGCGCATGTGCAAGCAGCGAAACCCGGAAGTAATGTGTTCCGTTACTTCCGGGTCACCGCGGAGCACAACCCGAAAACACTCAACCTGAAGCAACTTCAACCCGAGGTATTGACTGTAGTGCGACTCATGCAACATGTTGACGATTAATATATAGAGAACAATAATTATACATACTTTGTCAACCTTCTGAGAAAAATACAAAACATTAAACAAAGCCACAAAGACTTGCGAACTACCCAGCCTAAAATGAACTTATAATGTCTGGTTTCAATAGAATTTTCAAATGCTTATCTCAGTCCTTTAGATAAGTTCATGAAGATACCAACAAAAGGTAAGTTCGGTGATATTCACAATACCAAGAGGTGCTAGTAGAATTGTAGATAGATGTTAATAAAGTTGTAGACAATGAAGTTGTAGACTACAGGGTGCTGGTGTTTTGTACCTGTTTCGCCCTGGCAGTCCAAGTAATCAAAAGGCCGCTGTTTGCCCCCAATGGGGCCCTTTAACTGGGGCTTGCAGGTAGCACCCTCCCAGGATAGTTTTCCAGGCTTCTTCAGTGGTCTAATCTCAAAGTCTTGATACGTATATTGATATTCAATCTTATAGAGAATACTCTTTCTTGGCTTAAGCTTAAGAAACTGATTTGCTTAGCCGGAATACTCTGTCTCCAAAGCCAGAGGCAGTGTGACTCTGAATTGCAGCTGCTGGCATCTGCAGAAGCGAGAGTGCTCTTATGCTAAGATCTTGCTTGCGGATTTGCCATCTGGTTGGCCACTGTGAGAAGAGGATGCTGAACTAGATGGCCTATTGGCCTGTCAACAAACATTTGCTTTAAAATGTCCAAAACTCTTTGTAGCAGATAGCAGATTGGCCTATTGTCCTGTCAACAAACATTTGCTTTAAAATGTCCAAAACTCTTTGTAGCAGATAGCCATATAGGCAGATTTCTGGTTTGCATGGGTTTGTAGGTGAAAGAAATTTAGGGTTGCCTTTTAAAAATGGTTGGCACAAATTGCTATCATTCTCCAGGTTTCAGCTCCCTCCTCCATTGTTTAAGTTTTAACCACTTTTCTTGGGTAGAATGAACTGCAGCTACTGCAGGCAACACAAACTGAGGCTTCCACTGCAGTTAGAAGGATCAGATTGTTAAAACAGCTTGGCCTTTTGCAAATGTAAAGAAATGCAATTTTTCCCAAAAAAATGTTGTGACAATTTAGATAACTATTTTGATGCATTTAAGATTTGTTAACTATTTTGCCTTTCTTCTGAGGACGAGAGCAGCTTTTGAACTTCAAATAGATAATTTTGCTGCGTGCAACATGTGAAGAGCTTTGCTGTGTCGTTCTTATTGTTTATATACGCTTATCTGAGCTCTGGAAGACAACATTCAAGGGGCTGTGACTTTTTGGAATTTTTCCATCTAGGAAAGGAAATATAAAACTCCCGAGTCCTCATTTCCTTTGGAAATCTGAATCAGGGCTTGTTCGTAATTTTGAACGAATGGGTGGTTTCAAAATGATATATTCCGGGAATAGTGTGCATCTCGTTGCCATCTGAGAAATAATAGACAAAGTCCATCTACCCACCCAGTTTTGTCTAGAAAGATAACCTATTAGTTAATAAGATTTAACATCTCAAGATTACAGGGTGCACAAAATAAATGCCCATTGTGTGCTCATGTCCCAAAAACACTTGGTTGAAAGACTTTGGTGCAGGGTGGCTTTGATTTAAATCAAATTGATTTAAATCACAATTTAAATCACAATTTAAAATTATTATTTTTTAAATCATTTATTTTTTTATTCACCCTGAGGCAAATTAATACGGTACTTTTTTAAGAGTGTGGAAGCTTGTATGTAAGAAGCATCATTTCCTGTGGTACTGATATGCAAAACTACCCCCCTTTGCATTTGGAAAAGGCATTTGGGGCTGTTTTGTGGTGTGCCCACAACTAGCAAAAGCTGCTCAGGTGTGTTCACTGTTGAGAACAATGCCCCTTTCATACCACTTTAAACCCTCTTTAAAACTGTATCCTTGACATTAATAGCTCTATAGCCTGTAATGGTGCCATTTTTGCACTTTTCTTCTTCTTCTTTGCTTTTTAATGAGAAATTTCTACAAAAATTGTTTATCTCCACAGTTATCAATACGCTGAAAAACAAAGTCTTAGGACAAACCTAGATCTGCCCCGTGTATCTCTCAATAATCATTGCTTTTTTAGTGGCACGAAAACAGGAAAAAGAGTTAATGGATTAACAATAGATAAAGGGGGGGAGGGGAAATGGTGCAAACGCATTTGATATTGTGCACCCTCATTTGAAATAGACTGCTGGATGGATGGTCTTGAGGAATTCAATCGCTAACTTTAATGAGAATATTAAGTAACAGCACTATGCAAGATGGGTGAACTGAGGTAAAATTAAATTTGACATCGCCAATGGACATAGTTCAGAGCTGTGCCCGTCTGGACAGGTAGCCTGGTACAATCGAGGTTGGATTACTGCAATGCGTTATATGTGGGGCTGCCTTTGAAGATGGTACAGAAACTGGTGCAGAAGACAGTGGCCAGATTGCTGACTGGGGCAGGAACATATTGAACCTATCTGAACATATTGCCCCAATTCTGGTACAACTCAATGCAAAGTGCTGATTTTGAGTTATCAAGGCTTATGCAGGACCCCAGTAGCTTAAGGGCCATCCCTCCCCATATGAACCAACCCAGAACCTGCAGTCATCACCTGAGGCCTTTCTCCATGTGCGTCTTTCACAGCAGGTCCAGTGGGTGGAAACACAAGAATGAGTCTTTTCAATAGCAGCTCCCTGCTTGTGGAATGTTTCTCGCGCAGAAGTTTGCCTGGTGCTCTTTTTATTTATTTTCTAAGAAGTGGGCAAAAAATATTCCCTTTTTACCTATGTTTCTGGCCTTTAATTTCGAATGATTTTAAGTCCCCATAGCCTCTTTTGGTGGGACAGGATCTGTAAGACCCGTCTTGACATTTTTATAGATGTGTTTTTGAAGTTTTTTTATTAGTTTTGAGGTTGCACTTGGTTTTAGTATTTTGTTAGAAAAGCAACTAATACCACTGAAGTTTCAACATGGCAGATTGGATTTAAAGTGCTTCCATACTGTTGGCTCCTAACACTACTCAGCCATAGATCTTCTCTTGTAAGCTACCTTTAGAACTGCAATTAAATTTCTAGACTTTGGGGTGGGTTATAACACTTTTTGTGAGTATACAGTGGTACCTCAGGTTAAGTACTTAATTCGTTCCGGAGGTCTGTACTTAACCTGAAACTGTTCTTAACCACTTTAGCTAATGGGGCCCCCTGCTGCCGCCGCGCCGCCGGAACACAATTTCTGTTTTTATCCTGAAGCAAAGTTCTTAACCTGAAGCACTATTTCTGGGTTAGCGGAGTCTGTAACCTGAAGCATATGTAACCTGAAGCGTATGTAACCTGAGGTACCACTGTACATCCTTTTTCGTGAGTATACACCCTAGGCCGATATTTATTGAGATTATCAGCCTTTTTTTGCCTAAAATTATTATTGCGCCTTGCCTGGAGTACTATTGATCAAGAGATGAGTAGGGGAGAGTGGGCAGGGTATGTTCAGGCAATGGAGGAAGAGAGCAAGGTGCTTACAGACAGAGGGAGGTACAACTTTGGGGTCCACTTGGTTTTGGTTAGGAGGAGGGTTGCTGGATGCATTAAGGCTATCACTTTTACTGAACTGCTCTCTAGACATCATAATTTAGGAGACTGCAGAAATTAATGGCGACACTGTTGATTGTTAATCCTTTGTGTTAAATTACAATTTATTTACCGTACTTTGTGCAAAGGAACTCAATGGGAACCTGGGAAAATTTAACCTCAACCTGTCTTCATCGGCCTGCCATATTCTGCTAAAACGTTACAGAATGGAATGTGTAGTATGTTCCCTCCTAGATTTTACATCCATCCATCTATCCACCTAACTTGTAATCCATCCATGTATTCACCAAACATAACAACGTCTTCACTGTTTCCCAATGAACGTTTCCAAGGCAGCGTAAAGTAAAGATGTCAGAAAGCAGAATCGTAGTAGAGATAGATATCAATTTCACACATGGCAATATAAAAACAAGCAGTAAATAGACCTAATTACACATACTTGGTTTATAGCATTATAAAACGGCTAAGGGCATGTACACACTGTGGGATAATGTGCATTCGAAACTGGATGCAGGCACCTTTTTGGGGTGGGGTACACATGAGTAATCCTCATGCCCTCCCTGTCCCACACTGTTTGTCCATATAAAATGCATTTTGCTGGAAGGGTTGCAATCCGTTTTGTGCCGAGATTCCCGCCATTCTCCAGAGGAGGAAGAGACTGTTATGTACTGAAGTTCTCACCCTGGGCCAGCAGGGGGATACTGTAGATAGTTTTCACTCAGGTCCACATATGCAAATAAGGAATTGAAAGTGACGTTCAGTGATTGGATAGTTACAGAAAGTTGTTACTGTTGCTTTGTAGTTGAGCTCTATATAAGCAGGTTGGCTGAACCCTTCAGTTCAGTTCTGTTCTGGCCTGTGAATAAACAAGAGCTGTCTGAAGAATCACTGTGTCGTCTGATATGTTCACCCACAACTTAACAGAGACTGTCCTAGGCACTGTGTCTTCCAAAGCCAGCTTGGGGTGTTCTTAGGTCTGCAACTGCTGTTCCTGAGCTTTCTCCTTTTGTCTTTTAGAGCTTATCTGGATATTGTTGGGACAGGTTACAAAGGCAAGAACCTTATGGTTTGATTACTTCCTAACTCCTTTCTCTCAGCTTGCCTTCTCCAGACTGCAACCCCCTTTCTCCAATGTCGTCTCCATGGAAGGTAGCCACCGGGTTATCAGCATAACAATCCACAACCAGTAGCCTTGGATCTCTAGGGGTTAGGTCTAGAATGGAAAAAGCCTTCTCCAAGTCCATCTCCTCCTGTCTCTTACTCCTCTGGGGTGTGTGTGTGGCAGGAATCATTCTGTGCGCTGTGCCTTTCACAGCCACCTTGGTGTCTTCTGAGGTCAGAATTATGCATGCGATATGAGAAGCAGTACAGTAACTTAGCAACCTCTGTATACTGACATGCACCCCCTGTTTAGCAGGATAATAATGTACCGGTTTCCAGCCCTTCTCTTTTGAAAGAGAGTTTGCTGTGGCACTCTGTTGCAGAAGTGCTAAAGAAAAGGGAGTCAAATCCCCATGTCTGCAGCGATTTTGTATTATGAGATTATCCTAACCGATAGTTTAAAATGCTTGATTTCTGATCAGTGCCTTATTTCACTTAGTGTAATACTATACATTGGAAGTGCTTGCACAGTGTGTTTAAAATTAGCATCGCTGCTGCTGCCAACTCATTTGAGCAAGCGCTGTTATCAACGAGCTTCTTTCTCTGAATATAAGCTACAAGCTCCTAGCAGAAAGAAGTGGCTCAAGGGCTGCGTAGCTTTTTGTCCCGGGGATTCGTAAATGCTTGGAGCACCGTGATTATTATCATTACTTGGCGTGTTAAAATTAAACTAATCTTAAAAGGCTCACAGTAACAAACAGCAATATAGGCTTCCTATGGCCATCTGTGTTATCCGTACTTACTGAAGGATTCGAAAGGGAATTATCAAGATCCCAGCCTCTCCATTCCCAGTTGTTTATTGGCTGTGCCGTTTTGGCTACAAAAGCAATAGCATTCTTCCCCTGAAGACTGGAAAGAGCATTTACAAGCCTGAAGGGAGCACTGGTCGGAAGCCATAAATTGTGCATTCCAGGTGATAAGCGAGAAGTCTGTGGGACGGGAGGAGAGTGGAGCCTACCAGTTACCGAAAGCAGAAATGCAAAAAAAAAAAAAAAAAAAGAGAGCTGCATTTCGACATCAACAGCCTAGCCTAATTTCTCCTTAGCTTAGAAGCGGGTGACTGCAGTTCATGGTTAAAAAGAGATGTTATGTACTGAGTTGAATAGGATCCAAAAGGCAGCAGTCTGATTGGTCCTAGAACAATAGGGTCCAGAATGCAGTAATCTGATTGGTTCACAGGAGCCACCCAATCCAGCTCCAGGTGCATGTGAATCCGCAACCTGATTGGCCTACAGGTGAATCCCGGAATTAGCCAATCACGTGGGGCCCATTCTGTAAACAATGTATATAAAGCAGACATTCTGGGGGAACTTCCATTCCTCCGCACCACTATGAGCTGAATGAATCCACTCTCGACTCCGAGTATATTTCAAGAGACTTGAAGCAAAATCCTAGGTTCAGACAACATGCTAAGCCAAACCTGACTTAGCTGCCACACTAACCTAAAAAGCCTAGGTGGGAGCAAACCAGCTGCAATCTCTTCTTCAGATGGTAGCACATGTATGCTAAGACTCGGTTTTGTTTTGTGTGGATGTGGGCAATGACAGCTATTAACCAAGTTGCCCTAGTGCATGTGCGACTACTTGGTAAACTGGGGAAATCCATTCCTGACAGTGATTTTTTTCTTTAAGAATGTTTAGGGGTACTGTCATTTTGACTCAAGAAAATCACCATTTTATAGTTCAAATCGGGGGAAATAAATACAGGAAATGGACAAAAGTACAAAGATTCCCAAAATGTTTAGGGCTATGCGTACCTCTGCATTCCCCTAGAAAAAAGCACTGCAGATAATGAAGAGAATTTTAACACTCTCTTGCTGTCAGACATATGGCTAAAACTCTCCTTATCCTTTACCCCTCATGTGTGCTAAAGCTCCTCAAAATTAGCATGCTGCTGCTGTCAGAGATAGAGATCTCCTACCCTGAATGTGGGAGGTCTGCAGTATTACTTGTCTCAAATTTTCCAGGTACAAGAAGACTATTAATCTCAAGGAAGCCGCCTCTGTAACAATCCCTTGTTTTGACAAATGAAGAACAATGGTGGTTCTCCTTAGTTTGGGTAGAATAGATCGGAAAGGTCACAAATAAGTAAGGATGGATTAATAGGCACAAGAGAAGGATAATGATTTTTCTTGGCCTCTATTCCGTACTGTACAAGAACCGAATTTTCAGGTTGAGCTCTTTAGCCCCAAGGTAGCTTTTGCCGACACTGGTGCATCAACTCTCCAAGTGGTAAGGCAGAACGTTTGTTCACATCCAGTAAATTTATAGATTCATGATCTAAATCCGTTACCTGGATTAGCCCTATCGCCCTATCATGGACATAAAGTTTGTCTTCGGTGTGGAAGCATCTAATTGTAGAGATCCTGGATCCATAATTGTTATTTCAAAGGGTTGCAAGCAAGTAGCTTTATAACATTTTAATTTATTTCAAAAGTATTGCAAGTTATCAAAGAAGGAAATTATTATTATTATCATTATTATTATTATTATTATTAATATCATTTCTATACTGTTTTATATTTTTAAGGGGGAGGTAATCTCAAAGTAGTTTAAAACCTACATGAAAACAGCAGATAAAACAATTCAGAATAAAACATTGCTGAAGAAAGTCAAATATAAAGTATACATTTAAATACAATTAACATTCATTCAAACATAATTAATAGGAAACTAAAATATTATCCTAATTTTTTTTTAAGGAGGTCAACTGCAGAATTCACATTTAGGAGAGCAAAGTTAAGAAAAAAAATTACCTTAAACATTTCAAAAGAAAGCTTTACTAAGTGAAGTCAAATATAAAAGGCACATTTGAAACAGCGTAACTAGCAAAAGAATAAAATGCACTTGTGAAACACAACCACACACACTCAAAATATTGAACTGGGCTGTGTAAGGTCTGGGATAGGAACTTCTGAAACATCTTCCCAAACAGGATTTGATCCATCTGAGCAACTTGCTGCTCTTTTAGACCCAAGTATGCCATTCTGGTTGGGACGCGGGTGGCGCTGTGGGTTAAACCACAGAGCCTAGGACTTGCCGATCAGAAGGTCGGCGGTTCGAATCCCTGCGACAGGGTGAGCTCCCATTGCTCAGTCCCTGCTCCTGCCAACCTAGCAGTTCGAAAGCACGTCAAAGTGCAAGTAGATAAATAGGTACCGCTCTGGCGGGAAGGTAAACGGTGTTTCCGTGTGCTGCTCTTGTTCGCCAGAAGCGGCTTAGTCATGCTGGCCACGTGACCCGGAAGCTGTACGCCAGCTCCCTCGGCCAATAAAGCGAGATGAGCGCCGCAACCCCAGAGTTGGCCACGACTGGACCTAATGGTCAGGGGTCCCTTTACTTTACCTTTATGCCATTCTGGTGGCCTCTGCCTGGTGTTATCTCCTTGCCTGTTGCTGCTACCATTTTGTATTTGATGTTAACAGGCATTAGTGACCATGTACATATAAACATGGTTGATGTATACCAGGGGTGGCCAACTCCCAAGAGACTGCAATCTACTCACAGAATTAAAAACTGGCAGTGATCTACCCCCCTTTTAGGGGTTCAGGTCAAAGTTGTTGGGCTTTTTTTAGGAAGGAGGAAAGACGGATTCTGTTTTACCAATGATAAGGAAAAGGACCCAGAGATCGACCATGATCTACCAAAACCTCCTGGGGATCTACCAGTACATCGCGATCAACCTGTTGGACATCCCTGATGAATGCTAAGAAGCCTGGCAATGTCCTTGTTTATGTTTACTTAATATTATTTTTTTTTAGTTTTCCAAATTATTACAGATCAGACCAAATTACTTTAATACAATTTCTTAGGGGGGAAAAACAGGTTCCCTGCTCCTGTTGCAAACATATGTCCATCACTTCCTCCTGAACTGAACTGGACAAAGGAAGATAGCAATTAACTCTCCCAACACACCAGGTCTGAGAACAACGTTTATGAAGGATTTGAAATGGATTTTGTATTTATGATAAATAACAGAGGTGCTGTATGTAAGGAAAGAATAAAGGTCAGCTGTGAGTATGGACTACAGTCAAACCTTGGTTGTCAAACGTAATCCGTTCCAGAAGACCGTTTGACTTCTGAAATGTTCAACAATCGAGGCACGGCTTCTGATTGGCTGCAAGTGCTTCTTGCACTCAAGCGGAAGCTGCGTCGGACATTTCGGTTCCGAAAAACGTTCAAAAACCTGAGCATTTGTATATCCGTGTTTTCGGCGTTCGTGAACCAAAACGTTTGAAAATGGAGCCATTTGAGAACCAAGGCTCGACCGTAACATCAAGAGAAGGATTAAGTGGATATTAACGAAGAGATGAAGTGGCTACAGGAGGAACTGTTTACGTTTGATTTTGTGAGCGTTGAAGACCATCAGCAGCAGAAATGGCAGCGGCGGCAGCAACGAAGGGAGTAAAGAGCGGTGGCCAAGAAAACAGGGCTCATGCTAGCCTCCCAGCGGTCCCCCATTCCAAATCTCAAATGTCAATGACTCAAACAAGCATCCTAATCTAAGCATGTACCCCCCTTTACAAGTATCACGAAAGCCGTATTCGTTCCCCACCTAACAAGATCCACACATACATATAGATACCCACCCTCTAGTTCCCTTTCACTTACTCTCTATTTTGAAGATGGTCAGGTGAGGTCTGCAGTGAAAAGCACCCAGGGCATTTCCTGCACAATTCATCCAGAGACCCTGGAAGACCCACGTCGCTGTGATCACAGACGAAGCCCTGCTGGTCACTTTCCATTCGTTTGAGACCGTGGCTGCAATAATCGCTCCTATTCCACAAAAACAAAGGGCGAATGCTATAATCTGTACTCCGGACATGTTCCCGGGGTGAAATCTCCAGCGGCTTGTTCTGCCACAACGGGAAGAGGAGCACACTTTTCGCTGTCTAGTACAACATTAGCAAATTACACAAGGGAACAAGTGTCAATGCAGATGCAAATTTTGTTTTTCTTCATGTCTGGCTAGCATCTGAAATCATGAGCCTCATGCTTTCAGGGTGCACCGTATTGGCTTAGCAATATTTAGCAATGGCAACAGATAGCAGTATTGACGTTATTAATTTGCAATTCCAGGAAGGCTAGTTTTTGAATATATATATATTTCTCTTCTGGCATTCTGTCATATAAGTTAATGCTTAATTTTTAGTTAAGCTCAAACGCAAAACAGCTCATTGCTAAAAAAAGAGAGAAAAAGTGCAGAGTCCAAGTTGCACAGTAGCACTTGACAATTATTTTAGCAAAAGGTCGTGAAAGAAACTCAGGCATGCTTCAAGACTGGCTCCCTTCACCAGTCGTCGCCCCCCCCCCCCGTCTTTAAAGGAATTGCATAATTAAAATGAGTCCTGTCTTTAGCATATACACATCACAGTATCTGAAGGTACTCGTCTTGCCTATTGATTTGTTTTACAGATGTATTGTGGCATCATCCAGATGTGAGTTATGCCAGGAACTTGTGAAATGACCAGGGCAAAGTGGTGGTTCTCTGCCGGCTTTCCATCTGTAAAATATGAGTATTATGGACCCACCTGACAGACTGCTAGAATTATAAAGCTGAATTATAAAGCTTTCTCCTCCTTAATCTCAGTGTTAATGGAGATCTGCCCTATGAGGTAAGCAAATCTTCTTGTGTTTTTGTCAATGTCAACATCCATTTCCCCCTGTGCTTCACCATTAGCTCCAGTGATGAAGAATTCTGCCTAGGTACTGTAGCCCTATATCAGACTTCAATTCTCTGCTACTATAAAGAATGTCTGGGCACATACATACCCTGTATCACTTTTCTTTTGTATTAAGTGCTTTAAAATGGCACAGCACTTGATATAGTTCTTCCTTTCTCAGACATCTGCAAAACGTATTCTAATATACGGTATATATTGGGCAGTTCATTTTTCTGCTTTAGGCCTAGTAAGCGATGAGGTCTTTCAAAATCATCCTCAAAGACACTTGGAAATCTGGGGAGATCTCCTTTGACTATTACGCCAGGAAGTGTCTCCTACCAAATCCTTCCTCATTTTCTCCAGTCTCCGAAAGACGAGTATTTCTATTTTCAGTTTCCTCTATCCAGAGTGAGGGCTTTGTGTTGCCAGGATTGGTGTTATGTGCTCCGACCGCCTTGTCCCTGCGAGGAACCTGGCTGGCTGAATTGTGCACAAGCTGCACTTTCAGAACTATCTTCAAAGGTAGCCTCATGCAAAACATATTGCAGTAATCTAATTTACAGGTTACCAGAGCTCAGGCAGCAGAAGTTAGGCTGTCCCTTGTCCAGATAGGGGCACAGCTGGGCCACCAGCCAAAGCTGATGAAAGACATTCCATGCCACTGAGGCCACCTGGACCTCAAGCGACAGTGATGGACCCAAGCTGCATACCTGCTCCTTCAGAGAGAGTGTAACCCCACCAAGAGCAGGCAACCTCCTATCCATCTGGTCCAGGAAACCACTAATGGTGCCTTATCCGAATTGAACACTCTATTGGCTCTCATCCGGTCCACTACCCAGCCAAGTCATCCTTCCAGCACATCCATTGCCACACCTGCAAAGGAGAAGTAGAGCTGGGTGTTACTAGCATATTGCTGACAACATCCTCAGTGTTTTCTTGTAGATGTTATGTGGTCTAAACCACCAAGCATCTTGGGTTTGTTGATCAGAAGGTTGGTGGTTCAAATCCCCAAGATGGAGTGAGCTCCCATTGCTCTGTTCTAGTTCCTGCCTACCTAGTAGTTCAAAAGCACGCCAGTGCAAGTAGATAAATAGGTACCACTGCTATGGGAAGGTAAACGGCGTTTCCGTGTGTTCTGGTTTCCGTCATGGTGTTCCATTGCACCAGAAGCTGGCCACATGACCCGAAAAGCTGTCTGTGGACAAACGCCGGCTCCCTCGGCCTGAAAGCGAGATGAGCGCCGCAACCCCATAGTTGCCTTTGACTGGACTTAACTGTCCAGGGGTCCTTTGCCTTTTCTTAATATCACATGGACCCTGTAGAACCCCACATTGAAGACTCCATTTTAGAAAGATGCTCTTATGTACATTTTCAAAATTCTAATTCATTCATTCAGCCTTCATTGGCATAATAAAATTCTAATTCACAGTGGGTATAATTTTTCAGAGTTATGAAAGTTTTGTTTGAAATGTCACGATCAATATATGTATGTCCTGAACTGCTTAGTATAAATGAAGAGAACATAAAAAAAAACCCTTTTAAATTGTGGTTACAATGCCACAGTGAGCCCTCTTGTTAAGAAAAGCCCTGTGGGACATCATGGGATGTCACTTAGAAAACAGATGCAGACAATTTTGCAGCAGTACACAAAGTTCTGTTCTCCAGATGCTTCATTTCCAGTAACATGGTGAAATTTCCCATGCCTACTGTATCTTCTAACTTTTGGACCATTTCAGTAATTTTAGATTGCATTGGGAGTAAAGCTGTAGATCAATCGGCCATTAGTTTGTACTGCAACTGTTTAAATTGACTTCCATGGTGGCAATAAGGTACACTTTTCCTTAGCACCTGTCATCACCATCATCATCATCATCATCATCATATTTCATTGTCACCTAAATATGCTAGACTTTGTACAGCACTACTTTTAAGGCAACCCAAGGGCGTGTCTGGCTGGCTGAAACCCTGAAAATTATATCCACACAAAGCTTGAGGGCAAAGCTTGAGAATGGTAAAGTTAAGAAGATAGATCCTGATTGAATTGTCTGAATTCTCGACTAAATTGAGGTAGGCCTGATCTAGAAAGGCAATGCTTATATTCTTAAATTCCTCTCGTTTCCTGCCGTTTAAACTACGTGTCATGCTAACATTTCCCCCAGAATTATGGAAGTTTTTGTTGTCACTGCTTAAAAAAACCCCCAAACAGACACAGAGACTGCAGTATTAACCAAAAGACTAGTGAAGAGAAAGGCTTCCTAATCATTTTTCCTCCTGGGGTTTTCTTTCCAATCAAGAAGGCGAAAGATACAAGTACATGTCTCTTTCCCCCCCTCGGGGTGGTGCACTGGTTGGCAGGGGGAGATGTGATTTGCCGCAAAAGAGGCAGAACAGCTGCATGAAGCCATTTCCACTGCTGTACACAAGCTGGGGTGGGGGCAGGGGGCACGCGAATCTGGGACCTGTGAGTTTATTCCTCACTGATTACAACCCTTAAAAGTTTTGAAGTGGGAGGAGGAGGAAGTTAATTAATAATTTTAAGCAATTTATTTCAAAGTTAAAAGCTAATGTGTTAATCTATTTGAACCTTCCTTTTGTAATCTTGCAGCACTGTAATGCGTGAATAACAACTTTATCCTGGTAGACAAATGGGCCTTTGGATTGTCAGGAGGCTGGCGGGTCACATAGCTTTTGGTAATGATCCCTCTCCTATTACTGCCCAACCCTGTTAGTTTGCATAAGCTCCGTAGAAGAAGCAATAAGATGGACATGTGACGTGGACTCGGGCAGGCCAAGTGAAACACGGCAAGAAATGAAACATAATATTCTTATTATTCATAATAAGAAAAGAGTATTGGGAAACAATTCATAATGAATTGAAAAAATTGTTTAAAAGTACTTTTCCAAAACAACAACACCACCACAGAGTCCTTTTTGTTGGGGATAATTCAGACGGAAATTCCCAGGTGTCAAAAAAGGTTATTTATGTATGCCACTACCGCAGCCCGTGTTTTGTTAGCCCCAGAATGGAGTACGAGTGAGGTCTCAACCAAAGAAGAATGGCAGCTCAAGCTGACAGAATATGCACAGCTTGCAGACTTATGGTAACATATAGAATAAGGGAACAAGAAGAACATACATTTAAAGAAGATTGGAAAATGTTTATTGAATATATGGGGGAAATTGTGTACACTTGAAAATGTGGGCAGCATTAAGATAAATTCAACCGTGTAAATAAGTTTTAACGGCTGTAATAATGGAATACTGAATGGTTTAGTTTATGTAAAACATGCAGGGATTTAGGTTATGCAAAATGAACCATGGAAAGAGAAGAAGGGAAGTCATTGATACTTTAAGGCTACAGTGGTACCTCAGGTTAAGTACTTAATTCGTTCCGGAGGTCCGTACTTAACCTGAAACTGTTCTTAACCTGAAGCACCACTTTAGCTAATGGGGCCTTCTGCTGCTGCTGCGCCGCCGGAGCACGATTTCTGTTCTCATCCTGAAGCAAAGTTCTTAACCTGAAGCACTATTTCTAGGTTAGCGGAGTCTGTAACCTGAAGCATATGTAACCTGAAGCGTATGTAACCCGAGGTACCACTGTATTTAAATGAATATTCTAAAATGTAAAACAAAATAAAAATTATGGGGGTGGGGACAGTGGGCATTCAACTGCATTAGAATCAAACCTGAATCAAGCTGGGGTCTGACACTCTGGCTACTGCTCATTTCTAGCTCAGCTTTCATACACTCTGTTTTTGCCTTCTAACTACCAGCCGGGTGTGGGAAAAGGCCCATCCCTTTGCCCTCTGGCACACTGCAACTTCCTATGTATCATAAGACACGGCTGGGAGAGCCAGTGTGGCGTAATGGTTAGAGTGTTGGACTAGGACTTGGGAGAACAGGGTTTGAATCCCCATTCAGCCACGAAACAACCTAGGTGATCTTGGGCCAGTCGCCATCTCTTAGCCTGACCTACCTCACAGGGTTGTTGTAAGGATGAAATGAGGAGGAGGAGAACCACGTACACCACCTTGAGATCTTTGGAAGATAAAAGCGGTATTATAAATGAAATAGATAAATTAAATAAAGAAGGTAGATCAGTGGCACTTAGGTAGGGACACGGGTGGCGCTGTGGATTAAACCACAGAGCCTAGGGCTTACCAATCAGAAGGTCGGCGGTTCGAATCCCGTTGTTTGGTCCCTGCTCCTGCCAACCTAGCAGTTGAAAAGCACGTCAAAGTGCAAGTAGATAAATAGGTACCACTCCAGCGGGACGGTAAACGGCGTTTCCGTGCACTGCTCTGGTTCGCCAGAAGCGGCTTAGTCATGCTGGCCACATGACCGTACGCCGGCTCCCTCGGCCAATAAAGCGAGATGAGCGTCGCAACCCAAGAGTCGGCCACGACTGGATCTGATGGTCAGGGGTCCCTTTACCTTTAAGGCCACAAAGAAGCTTACCTGACCTTTTCAGGATTGAAACAGATTTTTAACCCTTGCTGGATCCAGGATCCCAGGAATTAGAAGGGACTCAGGCGTTGTACACACTAACCCCCTCCCCGCAACTCACAACGATATTGTCTTTATGCTTATGTCCAATCCGCTCCGATCTCATCACCATAGGATCCAACTCCTAGAGGCTGAGGTCCCTTTGGCTCACCCCCCTTAAATATTTGAGAGGGCTGCTTCCCCAAAGTTGATGGGCATTGTCATTCAACTGCTGTGCATCTTGCCACGTCTTGTGATCTATTATCCGGGATGGGGCTTACTTGTCCCCCTTCCCAATATTTTTTTCCGGGTTGGCACCCCAGCTCATCATGATGCCGAAGCAGTTGTGGAAAAGGCCTTTCACACGCAAGTCTCAGGTTTGGGCTGGGAATGTCTATATGAAATTCTTTTTTTTTTTTTAAACAATCATATTTATTATTTTCCATACATAAACATAACCGAAGAAAGAGCCAACAATAATAAAGAAAAAAGGATGAAACGGAAAAAGAATAAAGAAAAGAGAACATATAACATAAAATACATCAAATCACCACATAAACAAAAACTTAATTAATTAATCAAAATCCATCTTCATAAACATATTACTTGACTTCCTCAAATCTCTTCCATCTGAGTTTCTTAGTAATTATATATAGCAGTTTCCAATATCATTATTTTATAAAACCGTATCACAGTCATAGTCCTATTTCCTAACTTTTCTTACCGTACATTTTCTTATTTATTTATTTATTTATTTAATCCCAATTTAATCCTAGGCCTAATTGATTCTTTCAAGTGATTACTGGAAGAAATTTAAAGACTATTTGAATAAATATTGTAATATTAAATAGTCTTTAAATTTATTCCAGTCTTCTTGGTATTCCTCTTCTTTCTGGTCGCGGATTCTCCTGGTGAGATCAGCCAGCTCCATAAATTCTATCATCTTCATCTTGGGGAATGTCTATATGAAATTCCGGAGATCTGCTGTCAATGCAGCTAAATTCTCTGCTAGTTGGACTAGCGATCTGTTCCACTATAAGTAAGAGTCTTATGTGCCAAAACCTTATGAGGTTTCAGAGCTGAATTAGTTTTCTAGTCTGTGCCAGGCAGATTTTGGTTCCTTCCCCCATTGTTTTAATGCTTCAATAGTTCTTTATCTTTTAAGTAACAAAAGGTGATTGCACTGGGAACTCCTTTGTCAAAACTTCTTTCTCTCCCTGGGTCAGCAGGGAGCCACTGCCACTTGGCCAGTTTTACAGATTAAACATTCCTGCATTGGTAACGATGGAAGCATCTGCAAATCTTTGGATCCAATTTTCCAACCGTTCCAAATGTCACAGCGCATTCTTCCTCGCGCACTGAGAACCATCTCCCCGTTTTCTTCATGCACCAGTTGAATTGGAGCTTTCACATCCTCTGGGAACGAGAACTGTTGTTTTGGACTTAGAAGCCCCTCTTGCCTTTTATGCCGCAGTCTAGAAAAGCTGACAGAAATTCACTTTCTTTCATAGCATGCCAACGTACTCAATCTACCTTAGTGGAAGGCAAAAGCGTGTGAGCAAAAATGGTAATGTATCAGTTGAAGAAATATTGTGATTCTATTCCTGTGTTCGTGAAACCCAGAGGTGGCCTTTGTGGCACCCTATCTAGATCAGTGTCTCCCAAACTTGGGTCTCCAGCTGTTTTTGGACTATAACTCCCATTATCCCTAGCTAGCAGGATCAGTGGTCAGGGATGATGGGAACTGTAGTCCAAAACAGCTGGAGACCTGTTTGGGAAACACTGCTCTAGATGCTGTTTAATTCTCAGCTTCCATCATCCCTATTAGCCATGTTGGCCGGGCTAATAGGATCTGGATAATACCATGTTGGCTTTCCCTGATATAACCATTATACTGCCTGCCTTTCTTTAAATATCTGGTAGCTAGGGGCAGCTACCCTGGAATTACATGACAGCAAGAAAGCAATTTAGTTTATATTCACCCCTGTTAAAAGTCATACTAGAGACTCAGCTACATTAGTTTTAAAAAAAACCCAGTATATTGAATGTGTTATAAGCATGCAACACCAGGAGGCGCTGTAGAGCAGAAAACTTTTCTGTGAGGTTTTACATAGTGTTGTTTTTTCCTTTTTTGTTATAGCGATGTAATTTCTGACTTATAGTGTTTTCCCCCCTGTGTGTAGATCCACCCCAGGACTGCCTCTGAATTAGAGTTGTGTTGGCCTAGCTAGACCACCCCTTGGTCCATGAGAAGGTTGAGCAATTCTCCTTTTTTTAAAAATCTGATGTTTTAACCTAATGCTCCTAGTGAGGAAGTCTGGTGACAAATTTGGACATTTCTGTGGTGCAATTGCATTCTCCCCACGAGGATGAGCTGTAGCACAGACTTTGAGCAGAGCAGTGAAGAACAGAGACAGAGCCTTGTAAGCACTGACTCTAGCATGCCTGTCAGGGAACTGCCATCGGCTCAGAGGCGAGGAATAGAAGGGCAGTTGTGTTACAGGGAGCCTCTGAAAATCTTGCGAAGCAGTTCCTCTCCCGGGGAGGAGGAAAGTCCCACCTCTAGTGGGGAAGAGGAGCAAGGAACAGAGGATGCTGGTGCGAGCCTTAACACCGCTCCTGGGCAAGCCGGACAGGAGGGAAACACGCCCTTGCCATTGCAGATCCTGCGCAGTAGCCTAAGGTGCAAAGAGGAAAGGAGAAGGTTGGGGGGTAACAAAACTCTTATGTTGGGGGAGGTCCTGGATTCTGCTAGCGATTGAGCCAGACATGAGCTTTGGAGCTCTTCACTGTAAATAGTTTGCACCAAAATAAAACCTGTAAAACACAGGTTTGGAGTCCTGCCTGGTTACTCTCGAGCAACCGCAACAGCCATCTGACAATGCCCAATAATTTTGCATTTTTACAAGTTTTGTGTGTTTGAGAGAGAGAGAGAGAGAGAGAGCAAGTATTAGAATGATTCCTGGATTAGACAACCTGTAACATATCCTTTCATAGTTAACATATTTCATTTTAATACTCAAAATAATTAAGAGGTGGCATACGAGAAGATTTAGAGGGTTCTACGAGATTAAGATCAACAATCTCAAAGAGGTGATTTTTAAAAGATGGCTGAAGTGTAGGCACATTGTGAAGGTATTGTTTTCTGCAGAATAATAATCTCAACGATCCAATGCCAACTTAATTGCTTTCCTTTGGGTTTTCCTTCCTGATATAATCGTACTTGAACTGTTATGAAACCATCCACTGCACATCAAAAAGATGTGTGCTTCTAGGGATTAACATTGGTTACCTTTGGTTCTGCTCAGATCAACCTTTCATTTTGGATTCCTTCACATGAACCATTTACCTGAATGATACAGGGGCACTTCCAGGCTGTCGCTATTTTCGGCTGAGATTCAATCACATCCTGCCAAATTCAGGCTGTGAAATCATAGTAGATTGGGAGGTCTTGCACAGCAAACCTGCTTCCTCAAAAGAGCAGACTCGAGAAACAATGGAGTCCATCTCTGGAGATAAAGTCAAACAGCTGTGTTAGCAGTGACCTCCCTTGGGCGCAAGCCTGGTCATTGTGTATGGAGGTCCTGGACTGCCCAGACGAGAAGACCCCCTTTTGGCCTCATTGATGTGGTCCAAAGGAAAGCAGAGCAACATATTTGGCACCATTGCGGCTGGAGTTGCTGGTAGGAGATCTACAAGATGCCACCCAACTGCCTTAGGGACTCTTCTCTTGGTTTGTGTAGGGTTTACTCTTTAGCCATTTCTTCTCCCAAAGATGTCCCACGAGGCAGCAGAGGTTTAGGGTCAGAGTTATATGGAACAACGGATTGGTTCAAAATTAGGAAAGGAGTACAATAAGGCTGTATATTGTCTCCCTGCTTATTTAACTCATATGCAGAACTCATCATGCGAAAGGCTGGACTGGATGAATCCCAAGCCGGAATTAAGATTGCCGGAAGAAATATCAACAACCTCAGATATGCAGATGACACAACTTTGATGGCAGAAAGTGAGGAGGAATTAAAGAACCTCTTAATGAGGGTGACAGAGGAGAGTGCAAAATATGGGCTGAAGTTCAACATCAAAAAAACTTAAGATCGTGGCCACTGGTCCCATCACCTCCTGGCAAAAAGAAGGGGAAGAAATGGAGACAGTGAGAGATTTTACTTTCTTGGGCTCCATGATCACTGCAGATGGTGACAGCAGTCATGAAATTAAAAGACGCCTGCTTTTTGGGAGAAAAGCAATGACAAACCTAGACAGCATCTTAAAAAAGCAGAGACATCACCTTGCTGACAAAGATCTGTAAAGTTAAAGCTATGGTTTTCCCAGTAGTGATGTATGGAAGTGAGAGCTGGACCGTAAAGAAGGCTGATCGCTGAATAATGGATGCTTTTGAATTATGGTGCTGGAGGAGACTCTTGAGAGTCCCATGGACGGCAAGAAGATCAAACCGATCCATTCTTAAGGAAATCAGCCCTGAGTGATCACTGGAAGGACAGATCCTGAAGCTGAGGCTCCAATACTTTGGCCACTTCAGTCTTTCCCAACATCAGGGTCTTTTACAGGGAATTTTCTCTTCTCATAACTCCCTGGAAAAGACCCTGATGTTGGGAAAGGCTGAAGGCACAAGGAGAAGGGGACGACAGAGGACAAGATGGTTGGACAGTGTTCTCGAAGCTACTAACATGAATTTGACCAAACTGCGGGAGGCAGTGGAAGACAGGAGTGCCTGGTGTGCTTTGGTCCATGGGGTCACGAAGAGTCAGACACGACTAAACAACTAAACAACAACAAGAAGATGGGCTACCTTCCCAGGTTGATGAACCCCCACTTCCCTCTACGGCACGTGTAGAAGCTGCCTTCTTGACCGTTAGACCTACTCTTGGTCTCGTCTGCTCAATCCTCCGGAGCCTGTCTTTGCATGCAGGGGAAGGTCCTTAACTCACCGAGGGTTTGAGACCCATCAGCTACCCACACCTGGTTTAGCCAGCCGGTACGTTTCCCAGGGTGCAGCCGGCGTCACATGCTGACAGCTTCTAGGAGCCACAGGTGAGATCTGAGTGCAGGGTGGGGATCAAAGGTGGACAAACTACCCCAGAAGATGCAATATGTGTTGTCCCACCAGAGATGCTATCCTTCCCCTAACATCCCGTACAATGTAGGACCTGTGATATGTCTGTAGTCAGCAACAGGTCAGGGCCCCCCCCCAAGCGATTAAAGCCATGGGAATGTTCATGACACCATCCCTTCACTGCAAAAAGCAAATATTTCCATTGCAATTACAGCAGCTGAAAAGTCGGCACTTTATACCCTAGCAACAAACCGGCAGCCCCAATGGAACTGGAAGCCTCCATAATGTTCTCTAACCTGCTTCTGTTGAGCCTTTTAACAGAAGATGATGATGATGATGAAGAAGAAGAATCTTTATTTGCATCAGCTACTAGTCACACAATAAAATAAAGTGTACTGAAGATAGCAGTAAAAACTAAACTACATTTTGGAGGTTTACATCAATAATCAAATAATAGATCTTATTCTAATTGCCCCCGCTAAAAACCTTGCAGGTTTTGCTGTCACTGGATCATCTTGATTTGCTAAAAGAAAGGGCACAGTAGGAATGGCTGATTGACCTGGCATGGACAGTAATAGAGGGGTAATGACCTCACTCCTCAAATCTTTATAAAGAGTGCAAGCCAGAAACACATGAGCCACTGACTCAATACTGCCATCTTCACATGGACATACAGTAACTGTTTTTCCAGTGGATTTTTTTGAAATCGACCCTCAAGTCCAGCTGAAGGCAGCTTATGCAATCTTGCGAAAGTGAAAGAGAGCCTGTATTTTGGATTATTCTGCTGCTCGATATCATATAGGTGCTGTCTAAGTACAGTGGTAAAAGGTAAAGGGACCCCTGACCATCAGATCCAGTCGTGGCCGACTCTTGGGTTGCAACGCTCATCTCGCTTTATTGGCCGAGGGAGCCGGCGTACAGCTTCCGGGTCATGTGGCCAGCATGACAAAGCCGCTTCTGGCGAACCAGAGCAGTGCACGGAAACGCCGTTTACCTTCCCGCTGGAGTGGTACCTATTTATCTACTTGCACTTTGACGTGCTTTTGAACTGCTAGGTTGGCAGGAGCAGGGACTGAGCAACAGGAGCTCACTCTGTTGCGGGGATTCGAACCGCTGACCTAGGCTCTGTGGTTTAACCCACAGCGCCACCCGCGTCCCTATAAGTACAGTGGTACCTCGGGTTAAGTACTTAATTCATTCCAGAGTTCTGTTCTTAACCTGAAACTGTTCTTAACCTGAAGCACCACTTTAGCTAATGGGGCCTCCAGCTGCTGCCGTGCCGGCGGAACACAATTTCTGTTCTCATCCTGAAGCAAAGTTCTTAACCCGAGGTACTATTTCTGGGTTAGCGGAGTCTGTAACCTGAAGCTGTTGTAACCTGAAACGTATGTAACCCGAGGTACCACTGTAAATTATTTGCTTTACTGAAGCCCAGTGTTAGTAACTGTTGTGGTGACAAATCAGAAAAGTAAAGCTTTTGGTTGACAATTTTAGTCCAAGCGCTCTCATGACAATCTTGCGATACTAAGGGTAGTAGGGCAGTGGGGTTTAAATTTAGGCGAAGCCAGTAATTAAATGTCTTATGCCAAATCTGTAATTCAACAGAGGAGGTTAGCCTCTAAGTGCAATGAAGCCTTTAATTGGCTGTGACCACCTGTCAGCACTTCTTTTATCATTGCTAAATCTGAGCATGGGAGAGAGATTTCCCCACGCAATTCGGACACAAAAACGGTCACGCTTATAGGCACAAGGTGAGAAATGCAGGCAAAAATGTAATCTCTCTAAGGCACGAGGGCAGCAGAGTCAAAAGTTCACTTCTGATATTGTTCGGCACACAGTAGGAGAGCCTACAGCTTGGGACTCACCAAACTGAACCAAAGCCACTAGCCGTCATCTGTGTTGACCCGCCATGTCACAGGCAGGCAGCAGATGGGCGTAGCCAGGATGGGGGGGGGGCAGGACAAACACCTGTCCTGTTCCAGAACCGAGCAACCTGCCATGCGATAGGTCAGTTTGCAGAAGCCACGCCTATCACTCAGTTGGGTTGCCAGTTGCATCGCTAGAATGCGCCACAACATCCTCCAAGTGACCTCAGCGAGCATTTCAGTTTCAAATATTCTGATTATTTCTACTTTTAGTTAAGTATTTTTATTTATTTACCTGATTTGGGGGGGACACAGCTGCCCCCGCCCCGCCTACACCCATAAGGCAGCATAAATGGAAAATCTATCATATTTGGTTGGTCGGCTGTGTTTGATTTGACTGGTGAAAACTGCATTCACTCACAAGCAAACAGCCCATTGCACAGACGTCTTCGTTTCATGACTGACAGATACCTGAAATTGCTAAGTGTTAACTACAGTGGTACCTCGGGGTAAGTACTTAATTCGTTCCGGAGGTCTGTACTTAACCTGAAACTGTTCTTAACCTGAAGCGCCACTTTAGCTAATGGGGCCTCCTGCTGCCACCGCGCCGCTTTAGCACGATTTCTGTTCTCATCCTGAAGCAAAGTTCTTAACCTGAAGCACTATTTCTGGGTTAGCGGAGTTGTAACCTGAAGCGTATGTAACCTGAAGCATATGTAACCCGAGGTATCACTTTATCAGTGTTGTTGAGCCATGGTGACGGTAGAGTTTGCATCTTTCGCTCCCTGCCAAGAGTATTCAGACAAAAAGCTATTAAGGACACCGCCTGCATGTTTTGGGTGCGCCTTCCGACAAAGACTGGCCCTTCCTATAAGGAAATATTAAACCCTTAGGATTAACAACAGCCACAAAAGAAGCCTCTCAAAATACTTAAAAGACTGGATTCCAGAGCCCAGTGTTATGTGCAATAGAAACACTGCCAACAGCAAAGGGTATATTGGAGTTTTATAAAACAACTGTAAGAAACTTTACTTACCAAGGGGACAATTCTATGCACGAGAAGCTGGCATAGAGGAAGCCACTGTAAGTTACGCCAATGTAAAGTACACTATGTGCTGCTTGCCTGGCAGAGGGAAAACAAAATAGTGTTTTACGCCGGGTTGCCAAGTCACATGACCAATCTGAGCAGGCTTATGGAATATGTAGAAATGGCGAAAGTTACCTGGAGAATAAGAAATCAAGATAAAAAACTTTATAAAAGAATGGAAAAGGTTTATTGAATATTTACAGATAAACTGCAAACAGATCAAAACATTAGCAGGATTATTGTAATAATCTGCAGTTTCGTAAGAGTATATATTCAAAGTAGATAATTAAATGAGCAAATGAAATGAATTTGGATATGCAGAAGATATTAAAAAATAAATTTAAGGAACCGCAGAAAGAGGGGGAAGGAAGTCAAACCTTGAAATGTAAGATTAATTGTAAAGCTAATGAAATGTATAAACTTGAAAAGTATAAATAAAAACTTTTTAAAAAACAAAATCCGAGCAAGCTTAGGATCCAGCCTAAGTCCCCCCTGCTCTGATCCTCAGCTGGCTAAGCAAGTTACGCTGGCATGTCTTTGGCTGAGTCAGGGTTGGGGACTTAATGCCAACTGAGCCTAAAGTCTCCATCTCTGAGGATCTTGTCATCGGATCGCTCTCTAAGTGGCAAATGATTGTCAGAGGTTGTGTGTGTTTTGTGTTCATAGCCTTCACACTGGCTGTCTTGGGGAGGGGGGTTACAGGTTATTGTGCCCCTGTAATGCCCTTGTGAGTGGACTATGATTACATCTCCTGTTTCCTTTACAGATTATGGCAAGCAATAGATGGCATTCTGGAGGAAGAATGAAAATAGACAGTGGATGCTGGGTGTCTGCCATGGCTGTTCTTTATTGCGGCCAGCAACTTCCAGTTTTTCCTCTTCCTGAGAAGAGACAGAGGTAACTAGGATGCATTATGTGGTCTTCAGTTTGCAGGGGAACAGCTTTGTCCTGCTACATCTAGCACAGCAAAAAACAAAAACAAAAAAGTCTGACCCAAATGCTGTTTGTATCCGAAGGGGCTTTCAATTACTGCAGACGTTGTGTACTGTGCAAGTTGCACAAAGAGCTTCTTGCAAGAAAACCAGTGATACAAGACCAACTATAATTCATGGTAGGTCTGTTTCGATTTTGGGCACTGGGTGGTGCTGTTGTGTTATTACCTTGTAAGCAGCACTACAGCGACACCTACTGATGGAGAACATGCATTACAAAGCAGCTGCCACGTACCGATCAGAAGCAACTCACACCCAATACAGAAAGGATTTGTTTGAAAAAAGTATGTACTCTTGCTCATTTGAGTTGCTTCAAGCATTACTTTACTGAAGAAAACTGTGCAATCTTCTATTTGCTTTGAAACTCCCTGTTCCTTTTTATTGTAGTCTCCATTTCCTATATAAAAGCATTCTGCTCCAAAAGTAACAAATACACATATTTTTAAAGAACGTATCACTATATTGGGTGGTTGTAAATTCATAAATTGGGTGTATCATTACCTACAAGTAACACTTTAGGCCAAGGTACTTGCCAGATATTGTAAGGGTCCGTGTTAAGTGCTCAGACGATTGCTGAAACATGCAGATTCCTATGAAAAACACG